AATCCTTACTAATAAAGGTGCTTTTATTGAATTCTTCTATGCCTTGCCGGTAATATTCGGGTAGATATATATTTCCACTAAAGAGTTGAATTTAGTCTTTAATATCTAAATTATTATTTTCTAATATATTAAGGTTTATTGCCTTTATTGCCTCCGTTTCGTTACCAGATAAATCCGCATTATACTTATTAAAGCAGCTCTTAATTTCTGGTGAAAAAGAGGAATCAGATTCGTCTGCATTAGGTAAGCGTTGCTGGCGTGCTATAATGGATAAAGTTATTAGGCTATAATCTAGACTTACTATAGCTCGCGGCTCGTGGAGTTTGAGGTAATTTAGAAAGGTAATATAGGGTTATAAAGGGAATAAAGAGATAGCCTTACCGCCTTAGCCGTAAGTACAGGCTTTTAAACGTGGCTATAAAAACTATTTTTAAGTTCTTAAAAAAGGCAGTAAGTAGGTAAAAAAGTGTTTCTTAGAACTTTGGTTAAAAGTTCTAATAAATTAACTAATATACTTAGCTGCTTATATCTTAAATACTATCTAATAAGGAGTAAGTACTATATAGTACCTTACTGAATATTAATAAATACGGTTAGCTAATAAGGCCAAGTTGTATAGCTTAAAGCGGCGTTAGATTCTTGGCAAATTGCCTGCCTGTTTCCGCGTCAGAAACCACTAAAATCGGTGGTGAATTCGCCGTCTTTTTGTTAAAGCTAGTATATTAGCTTTAGCTTATTATACTTAATTATTATTATATTATAAGTCTTATAATTAATATTTATATATTACCTTAATAAATAGCTTATTAAAAATAATACAATAAAGCTATATACTTAATAAATAAGTACTTTATAATTTATATAGTATATTAGCTAAGTAATTATATTATATTATTATATTATTTAAGTAATATTTAATAATAGGTATTTAATACTTTTATTTTTTACTTTTACCTTTATATCCACGGTAAAATAACCCTTACCGCCCGGTATCTGGCGTGAGATACTAAAGGCCTGCCTGGTTAGGCTGGATTAGAGTATAGTAGGCTATTAGAACTAATATATTGCTAAAATATCGCGTATAATAGTAGTAGGAGATATGTGTGTATAGCAAGATACTTTAAAGTCTTTGCTATCAACAAAGCAATCCTGTTATTTTATGTTATTAGGGGGTGGCCGCCACGTTGTGTGTGAAGTTGTCAACGAGCCGCATCCACGTATATTGGCTGTACGCATACACTAGCCAACCGCTGGCTGCCTAAATTGCGTATTCGAAGCTTTTAGTATATACATGTATTACCAATTATTGCATAACCATGATAGAGGGCTGTTGGGCGGTATTGCCTACTACTAATATACACGGATATTACATAAATAAGTGGTAGCATGTGTTACACGGAAAAGGCCCAATAAATCGTGAAGCCTAATAAAAGGGCTTTACTAATATAAAACTTATTAGTTATATAGCTTAAATACGTGCTAAGGTAAAAGCTCTAGGCTTAGGTATTTTTTTTATATATATAACGTGGTTACTCTTCTTTTTTTCTCTCCTAGAAACTCAAGACCTTAATATATTATTGCTCACAATAATCTGGTGCCAAACACCAGTCTCTAGATGTCGCGACAGACCACCAAAATCCATTTCCGCTTCAAGAACTAAACTTTAGCGCACCTCAATTGAGCTAAGATGAGCAGCCAGGCCCTAGTCTGTCACTAAAGCTGCCTAAACTTTATCCTAGGCATACATATATACGCCCAATAATGTTAACTAGTTGGATCTGGAAGCTAAATTTACGGTCAAGCTGGTACTATATGGGCTGGCCTCAGTGGCAGCCAGTATATGTACAATGTCTTCGTGCCACTACAAATTTAGGCCAGCGTATAAAATGCTAGTACAAACTTACCTGCTTTCAATATTGAAGTGAGTTATCAAAGTAGCTCTAGCTAGATGAACTTTATTAATTAGGCAAATCTAAGAATTTTCTCCATGAAGCCCACTTTTTAACACCTTTTTATCTAGACATAAATCGGCCCCATCTCTCGCTACGCGACGATTCTTGTATACTTCGAATCCTCTCTCTCTCTCTTCTCTACTCATGCCATCTTCTCTATTTATGGCATCCGCACCTGTTCCGCAGCCGCAAGACGGCCCCCAGACATATGCAACTTGGCTCGACCTTCCACCTGAATTGCGGTTCGAAATTCTTAACTTAGTATCCCAGGGCGATGGAAATGATCGACTTGACTTTTACGGCGGCGAGAGGCCTGATCGACTTGCCTCGTACGCCACAGTCTGCTCTGAATGGCAATCTTTTTTTGAGAAGATGACTTTTCGTCATCTTTTGGTCGACGACACCGCTCTACAAGACTTTGCACGCATCATGAGCAGAAAGAACGCCCGCAGAACCACCTACGTTCGTTATTTATCGTTTCTTATTGTGTTGCCAGGTTATTCTTGCCCGTCATGTTACAAACTCGAAACTTGGTTTGACATCTATCGGTATGATCCAGCTTCTGATATCTTCACTCTTGTGATGCCATGCTAATCAACCATCTTGAATAGAAACAACATAATTTTCACTGCTGCGATGGAGATGCTACTCGGTATACTCTCGACTTGGGTACCTAGAAGCCGCTCTGGTGGCTTAACACTGGAGCTAGCCATCAAGTCTTCTAGTGACTCTAAACATTACTACAATGACTTCACCACGCATCACGACTACCCTTTCCGAAGCTGGGACAATCGCGATGAAACAATGGTAATGACAATGTTTCACCACCAAAAAAAAAGACCTTATAATGGTATTGGAACTCGTCCATGGCATTATCAAACTGCCACATTGCCTTTGCGCAGACCGCAGGGTTTTCATCCAGCCGGCAGATACCTCGGGTCCCTGTTGCAATTCCAAGGACTCAAGAATAGCCATCTTCCAAGAGTGGAAATTATCGACTCTCTACTTATAAGGCGCCAGTTCCAGCGACAGATGAGCCCGTTGGCACTTACCAAACTTATCCATGAGAGCTTGGTACATATTACCTCCTTTAGGCTAGAGAGATTCTGCAGGAGAACCAATGAAGAAGAAGAGAAATATCTCGAAGGTAGGTGAGAAATGTGCCCAATAAAAGAATTCTTGGCTAACGTACGCAATTAGAATTTCGAGAACATGTACTTTCATCCCTGCCAGAAAACCTTGAAAATTTTCACTATTTTGCAGACAATTTCAGAGGGTTGGGGGGGCCGACTCCGGTACAAACCAAGCCAATATCTTTCATGGAGCTACTATACAATCATGGGCACCGATTCAAACGAGTTTCTGTTGTCGAGCCCTTGGACACAAAGAATCGGATTGCAGAAATGCAATGTCCTTCTGCCAATGCTCTGACTACACCGCTATTGCCGGCGCAATGGCACAAGCTCGAGAGAGTCTGCTTCAGGTCGGGTATACTGCGTCCTGATAATGACTTGGGCCTCATCAACCGCCTGCTTCTACTCACGGCTCCAGTTGCCGAAAACCTGCCGAATCTTGTCAGCTTAGAGATATTTAACACCAGTATTGACCGTTACAAATGCGATGTACCCTCTTGCCTCTTCCGCTACAGCGTTGAGCACTCAGACGCCATGTTATTATGGGAAAGTTATTGGCAGCTACCCCTGGATACGAAAACCGCAGAGTTCAAATTTTGTCCTGAAGTTAAGTACGCGTGGGAAAAGGCTGCGGTCGCGCATACCGGTCATGGCATCACTATTCTCATAAATGAGCCAAAGGGAACAACCGAGGCCGATGTTGAATTGAGACACCGCTATTGGCAGAGGGGTGAGCCCCGGCTCGCAGAGGTCTTTAAGCTCGACGCTATTCATCCTTTTACAAGAACCCTGATGAGTCTTGAGTGTCAGCAGGAGCTGTTCTAGCTTGATGTGTGACACATGCTGTCAGTCGAAGTCGATTTTGACCATTCTTGAGCGTGACGTCTCGGAAGGATAGCGATTTGGAGTGTCTCGTGCATTATATTGCAGGAGGGTTATGGCATGTCAAAAGAATGTGAATCGCATTATTTCTGTGGAAAGAGGTCAATCTTCCCTGGCGAGAGGAATTGGCTCTGCCTGCCCAGACCTCATGGGACTAGATGGGAGAAGCACCAAATGCAGATTTGGACAAAGAGCGGTTAATATACGACATGGGAAAAAATAACGCGCTCTATTGCTCCGACAAATTATGTGAAGGGGTCAAAAGAAAAGAATTTGGGATATAAATTTGACTTGCAAGTGTTGTCACAATGTTTTCACTCGGCATTTTGGATGAAGCGATTGTGTCGTAATGCCTGGCCGGCTACGATTGCCCAATGATTTTCCACACTACCAACCTAGGTTGGTATTATTATCGTGCAGGCCAGGCTGGGGTTAATACGGGCACGATCAACCATGCTCGTGAACTTCTTGGTGGCGGCAGTGAACTCCTGCGAAAATTTGGCACGCCGGGCCTTGGTGGTCGCAGACTTCTTGACGGCTGGTTCCACGACGTGCCCACCGGCGCGAGCGATAAGCTCAACGTTTTTATATATTTATAGCTTTATATATTAGTAGTTTTAGGCCACGGCGTCTTCTCTGAAATAGATCACCCCTGCTTCAAAGAGGATTCGATATCGTGTTTCGGGAGGCGGACTAGGAGTTGCGCGTGGGAACGAGGCCGACCGAGGCTGGCGATCCCGCACCCCAGGGTCGAGGATTTGAGGAGGCCTAGGACGCCTGCAACGAATTGAAGCAGGCCTTGAGCTTGTTTTAATTGGTATGTCCATATGTTGCCTTGTTTCAACAGTCCATGTCTCGATGTCTCTAGCGGCGGCCGGTGAAATGTTCTTACTAGCTACTGGTAGCTCCCACATACAGCGTCAATTACCCAGCCCCAAAACGTAATAAACAGAGATTCTAACTAGAGGTTGTATTTCTCTCCTTCCTGGTTGACTATTTAAGCAACAGTCCCAAATGGCCTCAAATACTAGCTTTACTGTTGGGACAAGGAAGCTGCCTGGTAACGAGCTCCTTGTTCCTTTGGTTCGGTACTAACAATTGTTGCCGATTTCTTATCGCTTATATTCTCGTTCCTGTGAGCAACTCTATTGTCTGCTTCTTCGTAAATGGGCGGTCTTTGGAGCTGGGTGGCTATCTTGTTTCTAAAGACAAAGATACCTGGATTATCAGCAAAGAATCTGTCGATATCCTCGAGCGATCGGTTGGCTGTCTCTGGATAAAAGAAGTAGGTAGTGGGAACAAAGGACGCGCAAATTACGGCCCAGATGATCCAGAATTTGTAACCCAGGTTTTCGATTCCCGGAGGCGTGATTTGAGCCACCATGTAATTCATTATCCAGTTAGTGGCCATGGCAAGACTCGCTCCTTGGGATCTGAATGCCAGGGCATTTATTTCCGTTGGGTACAACCATGGTACGCCGAGAACGCCCATGGCGAAACAGGCAAAAAAGACAAAGAAAAAACTAACAGCAACGACGCCCAACTTGAACGAATCCCCTCTGCCGGCTTCCGAAGGTCCAAGAGCTATTGAAACGATGAGCCAGCAGAGGGCACATCCAGCTGCAGAGGTCATCATGACCTTGCGACGTCCGTGGCGCTCAACGACAAAATACGCGAGGAAGGAGAAAATCAGGTAATCAACAGAGCCGGCTGCAGCTAGGATTCTAGACAGGAGCTCATTCAGACCGATTGAATGAATAAAGACATACTGTTTTCCCCTTAGTGCCTTATTTCCAGCGGGTTGGTCCTGATTTAACTCACTGTCATGTAATATGAGGTCACATTAATACCGCTAATCTGGTTCATAGCTTGCATCCATGCGCCGAGGATCATTCGACGAACGACGCCTGTAGGTCCCTTGCCAGTGAAGAGCTGCCACCACGTGTAGGTGACGGCATACTCGGTGTCCAGGATGCCCTTAATGATGGAGAATTGTGTTCTGACGGATGGTGAATCGGCAGTGGCATCGTTGCCCTGGAGAGCCGCGAGCACGTCATGGGCTTCGTCATACTTTCCCTTGCGAATTAATAGACGCGGGGAATCCGGCAGGAAGGGACAAATGAGCATAATGAGCCCAGAGAAGACTATGTTCGAGGTCAGAATATCCTTGCCAAACAAAAGAAGACTTGGAACTACTTGCAGACTTGGAAGGCTAGTGGAAATCGCCATGATACGCTGCCCGGAGCGAACGAGAAGCCCAAGGTGAGCCAGTTTGACAAGCAGAAGCCGGTGATGCAATTTGCCATTTGGATAATGACTAGCTTTCCACGGCTTCGCATCTTTGACGTCTCGGACTGCCACACGCCAGCAGTGGCAGTATTCATGCCAGTACCCAAGCCAGCCACGACACGGCCAAAATACATCTGGGCTGCACCCCAGGAGGCAGCTTGGATGACGGCACCAATGGCAACAATGAGGCTGCCGAGTATAAGAGTCCTCGGTCTACCGAGCTTGTCGCCAGAATACAAGGTGGACAATGCGCCAGCAAAGCAACCAAGGTTGTATACAGATGTCATGGTCCCTTGGTCTTGTGCTGAGGGGTTGCCCATGGTGTCGAGGAAATCTTGCGTGACTAGGACATTTCCGAACACTCCCTACACAAGTGGTAAGTGGAGGCGTCATGTAGGGAGAAAGACCCGGGCTTACCTGATCGTATCCGTAGAAGACAAGAACGGTGCTTGCGGCTATAGAAATCCAAATTGTAAGAGCATTGCCAGAGCCGCCAAGGTATTTGGTGCTGCTGCCCTTGCTAGTTAACACCATGATGAGCGATAAGGGTTACTGAAATCTTCAAATTGAAGTCGGTGAGGGGTCGAGGACCGAGACAGTGTTTGGCCCAAGGTCGCATTCTTTGTGCAACCTTTGTCGCCCAACCATGCGACAACGAAACCACCAGACCCGAAGAGGGTAACGATTAGCGCAGTGCGATGCGTACATGGTCCCCAGGAAAGCATGCCAGACTAAGTGCGCTCATTTTAGCTGTCCAATTGTCCAACTACCACACTCTGGTGCCGAGGTAAATGGGATGCTCGTGACCGATTCAAGTGCAAAGATTCGTCTTGCCGATACAACCTGAAACCTCAGTGGGTAACTGTGCCAGCAGCGTGTTTAGAAAGACCACATGCGCAGACATCAATTGATGCCAGTTGATGGCATGGCTGGGTACCGAGTACACCATTGACCTTCCACAGGCTATGCCAAATGTCACACGGAAAAGGCCGGTTACACAAGGGCTACGGTCACGGGATTAGGGCAGAAGGTCCTCACCGACTTCTTGTATAAATAGAGATCTTTGGTCCCTCAAGGCCTTGAGGAAAACCAAGGACCTTTGATACCAAAGACTGTTATTAGATGAATTGAGTAAATGCTCCAAGCCTCTAGCCCTTGTCACACCAAATGTGGCAGATCAAGTCGATTCCGGAACCCATACGGCACCAATGACCGAATTCCGAGATGTAACAAATATAGAGACTTTCTTCTAGAGCAAATAGTTGAAGGAATTTGCCGGGGCTAGTACCTCGTTGTAAAGGAAAAATAAAGAAGACTACCACAATGCCCCGAAAGTGGTCAAACCAAGGCCAAAATGAACGTTTTTTCCTCATATAAATGGGTTGACATTTAACGAGAGTTACCAAATTTATTATAGGTAGTACGAAAACTGCGCAAGGCGACATTTCTATTGAAGGCTCCAGGCCCCTGGCTCATGTTGAATACACCTTTCAAGACGACATCGATAAATACTTCCCACGCTAAAACAACTAGCAGCCCGGGGGACAGTCAAGACAACCATTTGCTCCCGTAACGAGATTTTCACAGCCTCGGAGTTTATTGCATGACTTATATTCAAAAACTGATTAGCATCAATATTCTTATGCAGGCCTTAAGCCGTATTAAATTGTATCCTACTTACTAGTCCATATTCACTACAAAATCTTGGTTGCGCAGCTAGTTGCTGACGTAGTTTCTCTTGTTTCTCTTTGGCAGTTAACTGTTGGCCCGGTCGCTGGCCTAGTTGCGGTTGACCTGTTTACGGTTGGCCTGGCCGCTGTTGACCTGGTTGCTGACCCAGTTGCGGTTGACCTGTCTGCTGGTTTGGCACGTTGGCAGGCCCCAGAAATTCGCCATTCGTTCCAATGCAGAACGTCCCTCGAGGTCCGGGAATTGCCCTTCCTCCTTGGGGACATCCGGATGGAACAGCCTGTGGACTACCCAAGGCCAGACGAATAAGGAGGGAGGCTGAGACTATGTGAGCCCTCATTTTTAAGACCGAGTAATAGTAATAATAGTAGTAGAAAGGTTTGTTAGAATGTAGATTATACAAAATAAGAACTAGATGCTATTAGAATATATAGAATAATAAGTCACTTTCTATACTTGGCTTGCCATGACACCTCTAAATAAGCTACGTATACGTGAAACATTATCAGCTAGGAGTTTTAATATCTTTTTGTGCCGAGTCATAGAGGTAGCTTGAAACCTCCGGGTTTTGCGGATAGCATAAGATCAGGGGGAGCTAGGGCTCAGTGCCTTCAATCAATTCAATACCTCGTATACGATAAGTCAAGAGGCTAGCCAACAACTCAAATTACATCGTCCATCAACAATCAAGTGTAAAAGAGGCCTCAGCGACGCAGCTGGTTGGATTTCATCAGGGACCAATCCCACTAGTCGATTCGATCTATGGCTGTTATTCATAATACAAAAATCGCAATCTATAAAAACTCTATAACTAACGTGCGATAATTGTCAACGAGTCATGGATATCAAGGTCTCTGTCGTGAGCCAATTCTAAAAGGGCATACTTATAAGCTGAGTATTACGTACGGATAGAAAAGGGTAGTTAAATTGTTTCCTTGTGCCTGTCAAGTCGGAAACCGCACACTGCGGTCACGGACGGACGTAACTTGTGGTTGTGCCTGTGAGACTTGTATCGCGGTTTCTTCTCTGGCAAATGCGGAGACGGCCATTTATTACATAACTTCAACTATTTCCCCAACTTATTATATAGTTTCCAATACTTTAAAAGGCCGGGTTCCTCCCTACATGGTCTGGGTTCTGCAAACGGGCTCGAAGCAATATACCCGGCCAACTAGCGATTGGGAATTTGTGAGTTGAGAACCAGCTCTTGTTATCTGTATGCTGGCTGGTCTCTACCTCGTTTGCTTGGTTGACCACGGCATCTGCCAAAACCCGCTCAATGTCCAATCTGGGGAGCGTCTTTTCGAGCTCAACAAACAAGTCGTCGGCCCCAACCTCGGCTCGTACTGCCAGTGAAAAGTCCATCATGACGCCATACCGAACCAGTCGGGAGAATGGGTCAATTCTCTCCGCAATGCCGGGGCTGGTGTGAACAGCAATGGCGGTCCAAACCTTGCGGCTGTCTTGCTCCGAGATGCCGTGAGATTGGCAGTGATGCTGGGCGGCATCTGCGCCTTCCACCTCGAATCGCTGGGGTCCGTTGAAGTTGTCGCTGGTTCCCAGGTCATGGCAGACGCAGGCGACAAAGAGGAGAGGCAAATTGTCGGGTTGCGCCCATTCCGAGCCTTCCTTCTCGGCCAACCACTGGGCCGCGAAAAACACCCGGATCGAGTGATTGAAGACGGGCCGTTGCACCGTCTGCCATGCAAGGCCCAAGGCGCTCGAGCAGAGCGTCGTTTGGGGGATTCTAGCTAGCACCTCTGGCGGCAGGACAACCTCGGCCTCGCTCCTTTCCATGTTGGCGCTGTATGGGAGTTCTTCACCTGGGCGGGCTTGCCGGTCGCCTCTGCATACGTGGCCACCATCTCAGTTTTATCCCCCCTCACCCCAGATTCGCGCTCTGTACTCCGTAGCTGACTTGCTGACAGACGGGGCAACAGTGTGGGGATTGATGAGTCAAGCTTCCGTGGCGTTGGAGAGTTGAACAGCGATGGCGGCCATTTGTCATACAAACACCCGGCTGAGTATTAATGTTTAGACACTGAAGTACCCAGGTATTTGGCGTATGGCTTCGTAATAAGAGTCTGGTTGTTCTCAATATACACGACACATTACCTGGGCCAACTAACTGCCCGTAGATACCAGCGATTGTCTTCACAGTAAAAAAACGAAATGCTGTCCTCCAATACGATACCGTGTTTCGTGTTCCTCGTCACGCCTTCGAGAAGTCGCCAGGGAACCTTCCAAGGCTTCTCCTGCAGGCTCTAGTGATGATCTACCTCGACGAAACACCACTTGTCAAGTCGCTAGTATCGCGTGATGAATTGCCAAGATGGCGGCTGCAGACCTCTCCGCCACAACCTGTTACTGGAACGCCTCGCCATTGGCACGCCATATTAAACGGCGATTTCCGTTTTGACAGTGTCTCACATTTGAATTCGGAAACTTCCGAGGCCTCCTTTTCGTTAAGCGATGGTTGCGACCGGCATCATCTCTCCAATCTTTCTGGGCGTCCAAGATCCATTGGTCTTTTTGACTCGGGTGTGCAAAGTGTAAATATCACCTAGGATACCTACCACTTGCTCATTTCCATGAATTTCTCTTTTTGATGCAAACATTCACATATTATGTATTGCGCTTGCCGAATATTTTCGGGCTCATTGCCCGTGTCCGAGAGGTGCCCCTAGATTACGTGAGAACAGCCAGTTTCCATTGATGAGGGGCGTTGCATGAGAAAAGAAATTCCGATGACGCGCCCTCTACTCCGTATGTGGGCCAATCTATCCTCATAATATTGCAACTGATGCCTGGGGGAATTGGTCCAAACTCAGAGCCCGTCCAGCAAGATTCCTAGACGCGGTTCCAGATCCTGCACGCCGCTGCTCTCCGACAACGGCACAGTGTGACATGGCATGACATGACTGATACACACCGACGTCTAAGACCTTCTCATTTGATGCATCGAAACGAATTAGGTCTTGCCCGGTCAAAATTGCGTGCTTGCATGTCTGGGCATCATGCAGCGTTAGACTTGCAAGAATCGGGTGAGGTGACGTGATCGGCACCATCATCACGTCAACGGGGATCGTGCCTTGGTGTATCCACTAACAGTATTCAAGTGTAAACTGCAAGCCATTATGTTAGTGTTGACTTGGGACTTTCCAAATACCGTCAGCTGCATCACATTCCGGGGAGGATCTGATGGCTAAGCCATCTACTGCAGTAACCGTGCATAATTTCGCAATATCTGGCGTCAGGGAGATATAGCGGGGTTGGCCCCCAGAGCAGTCAAGTATATAAGGAACTCTGAGTCCGTTGTTCATGCTGTCCGACGAGTCGTTTATCGATCAAGACAGGAGACAAACAGGCTACGTTTTCAGCATACAAACATGGCACCTTCCGCAATTACTACCACAGCCACCGAGGAGGCCAAGCCTCGCCCAACGTACAAACTTAACCTGGGACAGTATAAAGAGATTGACCCTTACAACGTGGACCGCGATGTCGAGACTGGAAAGAAGGGTGGTAACGGTGCCAAGGTATGAAGGTCTCTACTTGCCATCACGTACCGTGACATGACCTGTGTATCTCCTTTACAATATATATACTAACAGAATTTCTTCACAGTACCCTCACTACCTCCCTACCTGGAACAGGGAGCAGAAATGGGGCCCCCTAGAGCCTTTCCAACACTACGAGCACGGCAAGGACGCCGACACATCATACCCCAACCTCTTTCCTGAGGGAACCAAGGTCACACAACTCACACCAACTATTGGCTCGGAAGTCTCCGGTATCCAACTCTCCTCACTCAGCAACGCGGGCAAGGATGAGCTGGCTCACTATATCGCCAAGCGCAAGGTTGTTGCCTTCAGAAACCAAGACTTTGCCGACCTCTCCATCCCAGACGCCTTGAAGTATGGCGAGTATTTTGGCCGTCACCACATCCACCCCACATCGGGTGCCCCTGAGGGATATCCCGAGGTTCACCTTGTGCACCGTGGCGAGGGTGACAAGGGAGCTGCTCAGTTCTTTGAAGCCCGAACCAGTTCCGTGGCCTGGCATTCGGACGTGTCGTATGAGAAGCAGCCCCCTGGCACAACTTTCCTATATATCCTCAACAAGCCAGAGACTGGCGGCGACACTCTCTTTGTCGATGCCGTCCAGGCTTACAATCGTCTCAGCCCACTGTTCCAGGAGCGTCTGCATGGCCTGCGAGCAACCCACTCCGGCATTGAACAAGTCAACGCCGCCGCGGCCAGAAACAGCATCAAGCGACGGGAGCCCGTGGTCAACGACCATCCCATTGTGCGAACTCATCCTGCCACGGGTGAGAAGGCGCTCTACATCAACCCTCAGTGTAAGTCAACCTGGCAACCGAGGCAGCTGCTGCCCCTGAAACACCAGCTAACTGGCACATCCATAGTCACGCGGGAGATTCTAGGCCTGAAGAGGGAAGAATCGGATGCCATTCTCAAGTTCCTATATGACCACTTGGCATATGGTGCCGACTTTCAGGCTAGAGTGAAGTGGGAGGAGGGCACCGTTGTCATTTGGGACAATAGAGTTACCCAGCACACGGCCCTTGTGGACTGGGAGGACGGCCAGCGACGTCACCTGGCTCGCATTACGCCCCAGGCCGAGGTGCCTTATGAGACTCCCTTTGAGGCGCGCAGGTAGATGTTGTGTCGCCTGAAAAAGCAAACTAGAATGAGACATGAAGGCATAATTTGATAGCATATAATACTTGGAAGCAATGAAACTCCTTGGAACTCTTATATAATACGGTTCTGACTTGACAAAATGTGGTGCATGCTCCATGGCTGGACGTGAGATGGGCTGGGCAGATTGGTTTTGCAATTACATACGTTTACTCATACGTTTACTTAATACTAGCTATTAAGTATTTCAATGTATTGGGATGAGGTAAAATACCTTTAAATTTATTAGCCGCTTCAAATAGAGCGTTTCGATTACGTAGTTTGACAGTCCAGTTCCCTTGAAGTAAAAGCGACAGACAGCAATAACCCGATTAACGAGTCTTGTATCCCTGTTCTTGATGCCGTACTTCAAGCTCTTGTAGACAACGACTTGCTGTGCATATCGAAAATGGCTGAGAAGCTCCTTTTTGACCGTGTTTATTGGCGTATTTGTCCTTGGGTGGTCGGCAGGCTTCCGGCCAAAAAGCCGATTTTCGAATATAATCCACCAGTTCCATGAACCTCTAAACCATATATTTTGAATTGACACGTCCAGCTGGGACTGATGCTTGTAGACACTCTCCAGGGTGTTGTAGGAGCCATCCAGATTACATTGGTTAAAGAGGCTGAGCGTCTTGATGTCCGTCTTTCGAAGGCTCTTTTATCCGACACGTCCTCGAATCTCACCCAAGTCTCTATCATGTCTGTTACAAACACTCTTGAGACTAAGCACAGGTTAAGGATAGCCTGGACAGAATAAAAGACTCATAATTTCTGACAGAGTGGAATGATACGGAAATTCTTATTGTAGTACTGCTACCAGAGATAATAATTGCATTTGCCTTGAATAAGTGACCTGACTTTGGGAATGCTAGTTGAGCGTCCGTAGCTCAAATACTCAAGCCCGATGAACCAACAAGCACATCTCAAGCATAGCACAGTGTGCTCCCTGTCCGCTCTCGTAGTTGGCGGATTCTAGTATTGATCTTTTCCAATTCCAACCACGGTACTATCTTTGTACCACCTTCGCCTCACCTGTCACTGACGCAATCGGCAGGGTCGTTGGGAGTTGATTGATAAACGTCGCACTCTGGTGCATGTCCGTCGTTGGGTAGCTCTTGCCAGCCCTCAGGGCTTGTCCCCTTACAGACATAGAACTCTTCAGAGCCCCAATCAGTCGATACAACAATTTCGCTGTCCAGGCACGAATTTCCCACCCGCTGATATAAGCGACCTCCATAGGTACAATCGTTGGGACAAATGTATGTTGTGTTTGAGATTTCGACGGGTTCAATCTTGTGGCCAAGCATCGCGTTAACACCCGCGGCGGCACTTAGCAATAAGGATAAGGCGAGCATGATAGTAGCGTGATAACTGGGGTAAAGGTAATAATGATGTCTTATGCATAAGAACCGTAGGTAATAAAGGTTTGAAGCTGGAGTGTAGGTTTTTTTCTTTTAGCCTGCCCGAGTAAAAGCTTCTGGCTTCTTGATCTAGGTGCTACTTACACAGCTATATATATAGACAGATAAAGGCCAAGTGAGAGATTTAGCCAAATAGAAAGCTGCAGTTCATGCTATAGATAAGGCATCAATGCGTGGGGGTAAATCTACCCAGGAAAAGCGAATAGTGGTACGCCCGTTTCAATCCATGTCGACTCAGGTGCTGATATCGCACATGGATTAGCCGAGTTACAGGCCTATTGAACAGGCCATTAAACTTCCCGAACCTTAAAACTTAATCTTCCCCACATCGCCCCAGGTTCAAAACTACGCCGATGAATTACACTTTCATACCGACGATCAAATCCTCACTTGCATGACTCAGGATCCGTCGCTCCTTTTATGCAGCCCATAATTATAGCGTCAATGTCTAGCATACTCTGGCACTGCAAACTGTCATGCAACAGGCAAAAGGTAACGAAAGGTTTCGGGCCCTTGCAGAAGTGCCTCGTCGAGAAGACATGCCCCTTGCAGTTACCCAAAGGGCGGCGGACCGATAGCGACGTTGGAATAGCAGCCCAACCCAGACAGACGGCCTGCTCTGGTCTGTCCGTCTGATGAAGATCGCTAGTCTGTCGGACTGCCGTCTCGCAGACCACCTTTGTCAGACAGTCCATCTGTTGGCTGCACCGGTGTTGGGTCAAAATCTTCACACACAATAAGTACCAAAACTCCAGATACCTCTTCGCGTCTTAATCTCGCCTATGGTAATTTCGGTCCTCAGGCTTCAGCTACAACTTGCCCCGGTCTTCTGACCCAGCTATATTCCCGCTCGTACGGGCAGGGGCGTGAATGCTTCGGGCGGGTGGGAGCAGTTTCTTAGCATTGAGTCATTGACAACTGGCCCTTGGTTACATTCCAACCCTTGCAAGTTGAGCTATGAGTGGCCTGACAATGAGGTTTGGGCGGATTGTAGATGGGGGCCTTTGGTTATATTGATAACAGTTGTCTTTATTTTAATTAAAGTTTGTTAACTATATTACCAGGGGAGTTTATAGTAGTAACTCTTATAATACATATTTAAAGAAAATTTTTTAAAATTTTTCCCTCTCCTCAACTCTAGAAACCAGAGAAATATATAGTTTCAAAATATTACCATGCTAAGGCAGCAGCACAACAACTCCCATTGCTGCTTCCTACTCTCTTGGCAATAGCACGTGCGTCTTTTTATCTGTTATGGCGAAGAGAACACGTGTAGGCGTGCTAAAATCTCTCTAGCAGCTCGAATATTAGCATATAATAGAAGCCGTTTTTATCCCACAGAACCGAATCATGTCTTAGTCGCTGTAGCCGGTACCTCCACCGTGACTCGTTATACGGCAGCACACATAATATTCCGGCGAGGAGATTACAAATTAAGAACCTTGTCCGACAGATACACAGCTCCTTGGCATTAGACACGGCTAGGTGGGATAGCCGGATGCTTCTCAAAGGGTGCACGTCACATGTGTGTAAGCCAAGCCAGTCTACTTATTCAACCAATATTCGATGCCTGAATTAGCCATTTCGCTTAAATACAATATGCAATGTGCATAGATCTAATATCAGAACAGGGACATAGTTGAAGGATTATGGTTCATTGTATTAGTAAGCGTCTTGTCCAAGTCAATTATTATCTAAATATATATATATATAGCTACAAGAATAAACACAGCAATCTGCCCATCTAAATCACTGCATTCTCATCTATCTAAAGTCAGTACTGGCCTGTGCTATCTTTCATATATTTCCAAGCCCATCAGCCCCCATATTTTTGCAATGATGCGCAAGGCTTTGATTACACTGGCCGTCACGCTTACTGCTGTTTCGGCAGCGGCGGTCGCTGTTGACAAGAGGATTATTGGCGGAGAAGAGGCCAAGGACGGCGATTTTCCATTCATCGTTAGCATTGGTAGTTCGGCTGAGGGATTATCGGGTCATATATGCGGTGGTGCTTTGTTAGACAACACTACGGTTCTTACCGCTGCCCGTTGCCGTAGAGATGCCTACTACGTGAGGGCAGGAACAAAGGTAGGTCTGCTCTGACTTTTATTCGTCAGCCTACTCTAGCTACCAGGATGAGAAGTACTTTGGCATAGCTAACAGAATATGAATAGGATCTAAGCAAGAGCGGAGTTGTTAGAAAGCTTGATTTCGTCGTGGCGCACCCTGATTACAAACGAGGTCCACCAAGAAGAGGTCACTTTCCTTCTGCTGTTAATGACATTGCAATATTGAAGTTGTCAACTCCAATTGAGCAGAGCGAGAGCAACAAGATTAAATATGCAACGCTACCCGAAGATGACTCGGACCCCGTGGTCAATTCCATCGCAGTAACTGCAGGCTGGTAAGTGCCTATAAGCTTCATGTTGGCACTGCCGGACAAGACGTTAACAAATAGGCCAGGGGTGAGCAAGTAAGCTTAGAAGGCGACGTTTACCAAGACGATAAACTCCAGAAGATTGAGATTCCTGTTCGCCCACTTGAGGACTGTTCAGATGTTACTCCAGATGCAGCTAATAGAGACACCAAAATATGCGCCGGCGAAGACGGCAAGAATGTATTTAGATTTGATAGCGGCGGTCCTCTTATTGACCAGGATGGACGGTTAATTGGTGTCGCGCTGGCGGGGAGCTTCGACATAAAAAATCCGTCGATATATACTAAGGTTGGCAGCTATATGCCCTTCATCAAGGAATATCTTGGGTCGGTTTCTAATCCAGATCCTACTGCTCGGCCTATAACTGAGGCAAGGGAAGAGGAGCTCCAGCCGGGTACCTCGTTGAGAGAGGAGATTAAGAAACACTGTGAAAAGTTTCCAGAGAATGTCTTGGACTGCATCTCTGCCGCAGGGGATTGCAAAGGGCTAAGAAAACCCGACGGGAATATGGCTGAGGTTTTCCAATGCATTGATAAGAAGCTAGATGTTACACGGCAATGACCTAACATCGAGCCCGACAAAGGACCTCTCAGTTACAGAGATCAAACACATGACCGGGCAAGGGCCCTAGGCACAGACGTTCCCTTCATGTATATATAGTGGTTACTCGTCCCTTTCTCCTCTAGGAAAACCAAGGACCTCTGACACCCTTTGAGATTATCATTGAATTGAGTCTTTTACTCCAAGCCTTAGGTCTACTTTCACTTTCACATGATATCGTAATTTGACGCGTACACCTCTACGTCCGCCACCTAATGGAAACTAAATGTTGCTCTGCCTGCGACCACATACGCATACTCTCTTGCTTCCTTGAGAATACCTCGGCTAATGCGAGTAGTAAATTCTTTGCTACCTGCATTCCTTGCCGACACAAGGTCGAGAAGAGGAAGGCTTCGGTGATAAAAGACGTGCGGAACCATCGACAACGGCCCGGGCTATAGAACCGTCAAGACCACCTCTCCTGAATCGAGTCCATGCCTGGCCTATCCTACCAATCCAGCGTCTTATCCAGCGTCAGCCTGGATGACCGCACACGGCGGACTTTTGTTTGGGATGGGGTTCAGAAGAGCCCGCACATCGTCGCCCACTACTTGGCCATTCGTCTACGGCCATGTACGGATCTTTAACTGAGTGCCGGGTATCCGAGTTGTCTAAAAGAGAGCTGGCAACTCTTGTGCTCCCATTGAAACCCAGCCTCCAGAACACTCGCTGCGGACTTTGGTTAATTGAACGAATAGTACCAATACAGGGCCATCTCACCCGCATTCTCCGAGCCTCTGTACAAAAACTCATCGTAGCCCCCAAAGACGGCGCCACAGTCCGCATAAAACCGGCAGGCGGCGTATTCGTGCGTTGCAGTTAGTTGGGTGGAGATAGATGCCAAGTGAGCGTACGATCGGGAGACTTTGAAGGAGACGGTGAATGAAAAGTTGCGGCTCGCGAGGTCGGCATTTTTTTAGACTCTCTGTCGTCAAGACTGGCGTTTTTGACATGGACAAAGCCGGCCGCGAGAGGACTACACGGTAGTTATTAATAGTGTCAATGAGATGCGATCGGAAACTCTTTTGCCGACCTCGGCCCATGGCACGGTGGAGAGCCGGAAAGACCATGCATCACCAAAAGTCAAGACAGTAACCCAGAAAGGACATGGAGCTATAAAAACTGTCAAAAAGGCCCAGGTCATTTTCGAAGCCTGCAAAGTACAGCCGCACCGCGCTGGCCAGCATGTCTCACAACAGCCGAGGCAATTCCAATCCGCAAATGCCCAGCCATGAAGAAATTGAGCCGTCGATTTCCTCGGCATCGATAGGGCGCGCTTTACATGTCGACCTTTTTATTGTCTCCCGGGTTTATGTGCCGCAAGCCCCATTGTTGCCGACGAACCAAAAGTTTGGCGCTTCCAGCCACCCGACAGAACCAGTCGTCTTGGCCAGAAGACATGTTGTCGACGCGGGTTGCTGGTGTTCGCCCTTTCAGATCAGCTCAACATTTCCATTGGCGCCTTGCTGAGCAGCCGCGACACACGTACGGCTGCATGACAATGTCGACTTTGTTCCGCCAAGTTGAGCACACCATCAGCGGCTCCCACACAAGAGAGTATCTCGGCGCAACGGCCAATGGAGACGACCATGTTCCCAAACTGGCCGTCAAGCAGTACATCCCACTCAACAACCCGCGCCCGCAACCCGGCGATGTGACCATTATTGGCGCGCACGCCAACGGCTTCCCCAAGGTATCCCCGTTGCCAGCTTTAGACCAAAATTTGTAAGAGCTGACTATTTCGCCAGGAGCTGTACGAACCTCTTTGGGACGATGTGTACGATCGGCTGCTGAGGAAGAATATCCGCATCAGGTCAGTCTGGATCGCAGACATATGGAACCAAGGCCAGTCCGGGGTGCTCAACGAGAAGATGCTTGGCAACGACCGTTCGTACAAACCAATTCAACCTGAACCCCCCGTGCGGACCATCTTGAGTACTGTCAGACTCACACTTTTCCAGCCTCTTGGTTCGACCACGCAAGAGACTTGATGAACCTGATCAACTCGAAGCAAGACGACATCCGGCACCCCATCGTCGGCATTGGCCACAGCATGGGCGGCACGCAACTGTAAGGGGGGAACTGCCTACACAAATCCCACACAAAATGAAGAGGTTGTTGACAAGAAACACGGTCAACAGGTGTCTCCTTTCGCTAATGCACCCGCGGCTCCTCGACTCGCTGGTCCTCATCGACCCCGTCATCCAGCTGCAAAACGGCGGCGTCACACCAGCCATGCTGTCCACACGTCGCCGCGACGCCTGGCCGTCCACGCAGGAAGCAGCGTCCAAGTTCAAGGAAACGAAGTTCTACCAAGCTTGGGATCCGCGCGTCCTGGACCGCTGGGTCGAGTATGGCCTCCGCCGGGGGTCCACGGAGCTCTACCCAGACGCCGACGGCGAGCAGGCGACGCTGACAACCACCAAGCACCAGGAGCTATTCACCTTTTTGCGGCCAACGTACCGCTCCGAGTCGGCAGACGCTATCGTCGACCGGGACCCTTTGCTGGGACGGGAATTCCCGGGATACCCGTTTTACCGACCCGAGCCGGCCCACGCCTTCCAGAGGTTACCAGAGCTGCGCCCTAGCACCTTGTACATATTTGGGAACGAGTCTGAAATGTCACAGCCGGACCGGCGACGGGAGAAGATGGCAAGGACAGGCACCGGGGTCGGGGGTAGTGGCGGCGCCGGGGCCGGTCGCGTGAGGCAGGCCGTCCTCGACTGCGGGCATCTGGTGGCCATGGAAAAGGTTGCCGAGTCGGCGGATACAATTGCCGACTTTCTCGAGCAAGATTTGGCGAGGCAGGCTGAGGAGAGAAGGCAGTTTGAGCGCCGGTGGAAAGAAAAGACGAGGAGAGAGCAATTTACCGTCGATGAAAGGTGGGCGAAGGAGGTGAAGCCATCGTCACTGGATGGTCGTGATACAAAGCTTTGAGGTGACGTCTTTCCGGGCGGGTTACGTATCATGGAAAAATATATGGACATGCTTGAGCCTTGGATGATGAATTGTAGCTGGTCGTTTGTGGTGTACCACCTGCCGTTAATTCCGAGTCTTGAGCAGAAAGGCTTGAGATTGGCTGTCTATTTCTACAGTATTATATATCACAGTAGAAGAAGTCATAACTTGGTTAGGTCAAGTACCCTGCTATCACTCTTTATATTATAATGTATTAGTGTATACTTCTTTGTGAATAACTATATTCCACCCAGATTGTAGAAACTGGGCAAGACGGTATTGGTGCCGCTACGCGGAAACAAAGATCCATTCACACATGAGGAGTCAAACGACAGTGAGTTAGTTGACAGCCTTCCACTAGAATGAACGCTCCATCTATCTACACGACCAAAGTTTCCAGTTGCCTTGTCAATGTGGAACTGTTAATATTAGCAACCACTTAAAACATCCCTTTCCACATGCAATGCTTCGCAAAAACGGATGGTCAAAAAACAACAACAAAAACAACATCTTTGTCCATGTGTCAAACTACGCACGAGAATCATCTTTAGTCTTGGTCTCACTTTCAGAGTCTTTGGCGAGCGTCTGGTCATTGTTGAGCTTCGGGTTGCGGAGCAAGAGCCCAAAAATGATAAGGGGAACGCAGAGGCAGATGCCGGTAATTGTGAGCAGCTTCTGGATATATTGGTATGAACTGATGATTGCTGTGCGCTCAGGGGTGCCAACTGGATACAACGGTGCAACGGTCAAGGGCGAGTTGTAAGCCAGAGGGCCCAGGGTGGCATTGATAGGGTTCAGGTTCTCATTGAGTTTCTCGGGTAGGAGCTGAGTCCACATGGCTCCCGAGACAGTGTTTCCAAGTGCAGAGCCAATGTTGTAAGTCGCAAGATAGATACCTGTCATGACGGCCAAATGCTCGTGTCTCAGATTGACCTGCAATGAGGCCTGAGTGGTGTAGGGGAACAAGCCGCCCGCGACGCCGAGAACCACTTGAGCACCGATGACACCAGCCCGGGCCGATCCGTTTGCAGAGCCGCGGAAGTGAATCAAGAGTCCAAACGCGACCATGTACAGCATTGTACCAATGACAACAAAGATTTTAAGTCGGCGGACTCTGTACACAACCAAGCCCAGAAGGGGGCCGACGATGACGCTGGTGAAGCTGTAGAGCGAGGTCACACGGGTGGCGGTGTTTTGGGAAAAGTCAAAGGCAACAATCAGGACGGTCCACAGGAAATCAGACTGCATGGTGAAGGCAAAATTGAGGAAGACGGCGATCCCCATGGGAGCCCAGACAGAACGGTCCTTCATGTTGGCAAACGGAACAAGCGGGTGCGGCGCCCTGAGCTCCCAATAGACAAAGGCAGGAATACATACGACTCCAACGACAATGGGCGCAATGATGTGAGCCGACTTCCACTGGGAGCTCTCTCCGCCCGCAAGCGTGAGCGGAACAAGCACGAGCTCAAGAACGGCAACAATGAGAATGATGCCAATGACATCTAGAAGCCAGAACAGCTCGAGGGCAAGGTTTTTGAGACCGAGCTGCTTAAATGACGACGTGTAGTTCTCCAGCAGGCCTTGGCGCTTGGCACGGCGAGAAACAACAAGCAGGCTGAGAATCAGGGGCAAGGAACACACGGGGAAGATGATGGCCCACATGCCGATGCCCCATTCCCAGGTGCTGTTTTGCAGCACGAGCTCGGAAATATTACCGCTCACCCAGGTGTTGATGATGAAGGGCAGAGCGGGGACGTAGCTGAAGAAGAGACGCGCGCGGGTCGAGGTTATATCGGCAATAATGACTTCGACGAGCAGAATAATCATGGTGTAGCCAATCTGGTACAAAACACTGCCGCCCGCAAAGGTGTCGACATTGTGGGAGGCGGCCTCGATGACGGTGCCGAGGACGTAGAAGAAGACGGACAAGCAAATGAGCTCGATGCGGCCAAAGACGTCGGCAATCTTGGCGGCCGTGGGCTGGGCGCCCACCGAGACGACAGACCGGATGACATTGATGGTGGATGCGAGAGAATGCTTGCCAAACGAGTTGGTGGCCGAGGGCTGGTAGGCGTAGCGGAGGGTGCCGTCGAGGCCGTAGGCGTATGCGACGAGGAAGACGCCGAAGAAGATGAAGATTCTGTCCCGGTTGGTGGTGACGGAGGCGATGGCCTCGACACGCGCAACGCCCGGGGATGTGATGTCCTTGACGGCGTCGGCAGCGGTGGCTGGTGGTGTGTGATGTTGGCCAACGCTTGCCACAGAGCTTGGGCGGTCGGCAGCCTTTTCCGAGGCTGGCTGGGTGCCCATTTGGTCCATGTCGATTCTCCGTGAGTCAGTCGATCGAAAGGTCACAGCAGCAGCGAAGAACGGGGCCTGTGGCAGTTGGATGCTGTGCCGGCGCAAGTTGAGGCAGATGAAATGAAGCCGAAGAAGAAATGTAAAGACCAGTACGACGCAGCACCCAAGCTACCAGACTGTCTGCGGCAGAATATCAATCCTTGTGAAGGTACCAGATGTATTCACCCACCGCCAAGTATACGCTAATATTGACACTTTGGCTACCTGAGCTGGTGAAATTCTTTTCGCCTCTCCCACTGTAGTTGGTGGGTGTCAAAAATAATGGCTGGGAACAGCTGCAACGCTAGTGCTAGCAAACCAGTCTAGGCGCACATTCGCAATGTCCTGCTGTGGGAAATGTCTCGGGTGTTGACGAATATTCAAGGATGATGATCTCAGGCGGTCTGGTCACTCTGGTGGGAGTAGGCGGGCTTGGCAAGTCCCATCAAATGTCTCACCCCGGAAGCGGAAGCGGCAAGGAATATTGATGATGGAATAAGGGAAGGAGCGGCCAATGCAGCAGCCCTCGACGAGGCGTTCATGCCCTTATATCCTTACATGTATTTCCGTCTGGTGGGCTGGGCAGCCATGTGTGCCCTTGGATTAATATGTACATGCAAATCTTGCAGGATGCATGTCCATCCCCCACGGTCAAAAGAGAAAACGAAACGAGCTGAGCGTGAACACTACAACAAGACCCCCATGTCCCTGCCACGCTCAACACCGAAAAGTGGCCGGGCTGGTTTCGTTGGATGGTAGCTCACCATGTCCCCACGACCTCGCGACCCGGGCGATGCGCTGGGCGAAATGCTCCCAGTGCCTGTTCCTTTTCTCTTCCTGCTCTACTTCCGTTGCCTGTTCCTCCTTCATTTGCCGTCTCAACAAGCGACCCATTCTATAGTCCGCACTTGGCTTTATCAAATCCTCTTCCTCCATCTCGTCGCATCGGCTTTTCCTCTTCTTCCTCAATATTTTCCCACCCTTGAAAAAGAAGAGAAAAAAAAAACCGGACCGATGCCCTGTGGAGCTGTTTATCAGATGGATCTGATTACCTTTATTGGCTCCTGGACGCCGCCAAGGACAGGGCCAAACAGCCGCAGCCAGCCCAACGTCGAATTAAGCTTGAGAACAACCCTCATGTCCGCAGTGCACGAGCTGGTGCGCGCCACGCAGGGATGTCGGAATTGGCGCTCTCGATCCCTGGACCCAAAGGTCCGACGCATGAGTATTCGGCATGGCCGGCGGAGACGAGCAACTACCACGACTTGTCCCAATACAGCAATCGTAACCGGCATCAACGAACTGCTCACATGCTTCAACTTTGACTTTCCGAATGAACGAGCAATGCAAGTGGTAAAGAAAGGAAAAACCCTTTGTACAGACCACGCACTTCCGTCCATCCATCCACTCCGATTTGTCGCCGCGCCTGACTCGTCCCAATAGTTTTTCGGGTTGCTATTTCCCATCAAAACCTCTTCCGTGGTGGGGATGTCTCCATTGATCATCCTGTTCTAGATGAACCGCGCTTCCATGGAGACGAGACGCTCAGCTTTCGTGTAATAAACCCATAAGTTTGGGTCCCGATTATATCGTTCCGATGATCGACTTATCAATCATCAACAAACCCAAAGCTCACCATGGATGCCTAAAACACACTTACCTCACCATAGATCAACAATAGTAGTCATCATGGAGCCTTCCAACTTTTCATGTTTACCAGTCGCTTATCGGCTTGGCACTGCCTCCTCTGGCCTGTCACTAGCGCCATGCTTTCTCATGCTCATGCACAATGCGCGTCATACCTGATCCTCGGGGTTCGCCAAGGGGGACGGCAACGTGGGAATTCCCCTCCAGTGAAACTTGACACTGTTGATTGACACTCTCTCCCGTCGAGCCCAATATACTAATGGGTCTCATGAGTTGGCAATTGTTCGACTGTTTGAGAGGCAATTGCTCTGCTCACCTCATACAATGGCGACATGGCGTAGGCCCATTCTTGGTCTTAAGCTCGATTAAGGTATTTCCAGCCAGAAACAGACTCTTCTCAAATTATGCGCAGGGCTAGGTTCAATACCGCGCTTGCACTTGATTTACCTCGCGTCGCTGATGAGCACCAGCCGTTGCCCACAAACCTGACTTCATAAAGCAACGTGGCTGGCATTGTCGTCGGCTGTATAGGGTGGCCGCCTTTGGTTGCGATTCTTAGTCACCCAACAAACGCGACGGGCCATGCGACTTCAACTGCGTCATTCGATTGATTGGATATCACACCCAGTGATGCGGCTGTTTATTGCATTTTGCCTCGTATCGGTACTTCTTGCTACATTATCCATCGTGTGTACATCAATCTTTCGATTTCGAGCTTGGTGGCCGAAAATAGGGGGACACACTCTTGAACGGACGCCGAAAACTAGATGCAGGGCTTGTACCTCTCGACTCTATAAAAGGGCTTCTCCATGGCGCACAAGCTTTGATTTTCGTCCATGGCGCCTAATCCGGCCTCTGATCCCGTACTATGCAGCAAGAAACACGTCGGAACTTGTTGCGTGCTACCACCGGGCCAGGATTACACAAGCTATTCGCATGCTGTGCCACATCTCTTTTGCCACCTGTGCTCAACTGGTTTGTACAACGTATTGTAGGTGGATGGTACGTTGGATCGCTCCAATATGGCGTTGTGCAACGTTTTGGTGCCTCGTGACTCTTAGTCCCCGATGCTGCGACTTGTCGGGTCAGGCATCGTCCTACACACCAGTGTCGACCGAGCACACACAACAATCCTGATAGCATCATGGAACTCAATAAAGCCAAATGCAGTGCTATGCTATTTCGGAGGTTGACAGCGCATCGTCCATTACCATGCAGGACGCGTTATTCGTCACCTGCAGGATATATAGAATCAGTGGTTCGCTTTCCGTTGCGAATCTCGGTAGATAGTTTGCCACAAAACCGGCAGGCAACATCTGAACGGCATGGTTTCAGGCTTCCGCCAGGTAGTCCAACCCAGTATCGATTACGCTCGTGTACAAAATGAAGGCTTTGCCCCTTGTATTTGCGGCTGTGCCAGCCACGATCGCACTCAGACTCGGACTGCTGGGCGACCACATGGATGGAGGGAAGCAAACAATGGAAGAGCATTCGACATTTGGTGGCCCATCACCTAGACAAGACGGTCGGTGTGGTATTAATCAAGGAAAAAGAACCTGTCCTAAAGGATACTGCTGTTCTATTGAAGGGTCAGTACAAACTCAGACTTGCCTTCAACACACTCTTGGACTTACTGTTGACATTGTTTTCCGTCTTGAGGATTAGGCGGTGCGGCGAGGGGTATGATTACTGCTCGTCTCCTGCCTGCCAGGTTGACTTTTCCGATAGTTGCGACGGGAACATTCGCCCGAGTGGTCCAGACACGAAGCATGTCGATCGATCCAAGCACGGTTCAGTTCCATACGGACAAGGGGTTTACCATTGTGAAAAATATGGTGTTATTGCGCTGTCATACGACGATGGCCCATATGAGTACACTGCTGATCTACTCAACTTGCTCAAGGCACGCTACTACCTCTCAACCGATGCCAGACATATATTCACACACATTGCCTGCTCAGATCCGAGTACTAACTTGGACAAGACATACAAAGCCAAGGCCACCTTCTTCGTTACGGGCCGAAATCTTGGCAAAGGTGCCATCAATAATGCTACATTTCCCTGGCGCAACCTCATTAAGCGCATGATCGAGGAGGGTCACCAAATTGGCAGCCACTCATGGTCGCATCAGCATCTTCCCGAAATCAGCGACGCTCAGCTAGACAACCAAATCTTCTACAATGAAATCGCGCTGACTGACATCCTCGGCTACTTCCCCACGTATTTTCGTCCACCCTATTCGGCAAGCAGCGACAAGGTTGACCGACGGCTGGGTGAGCTGGGATATCATGTCACATACTTCAATCTCGACACTGAGGGGTACTTGCATGACTCTCCATATGAGATCCAAAAGTCAAAGGATATATGGGATAGGAATGTCGAGGGGAAAAACCCCGAGAATACGAAGTGGCTGGACATTGAGCATGACATAGTATTTCAGTCGGTATACAACCTGACGGAGCATATGCTCAGGTCGCTGTTTAAAAATGGATTCAAGTCAGTCACGGTTGGGGAATGCTTGAACGATCCAAAGCAGAATTGGTATAGGAGAGTATAACTAAGGGGGATGGCTTAAGTAAAGAATGGCGCATTCTACAATGTATATGGGAAATCATCTTATTCTCGAGAGATATACGACCTCTATAGTGATATCTGACTTAATTTATTTAATATTCGCTGGGATAAACACATTCCATGATAACCTCTTTTCCAAGTTGTCTCGTAGCTGGTTCATTACCCTCATAGCAGCGCTCAAACAACGCAGCAAATTGTGTCCGAGACTCCTCACATAAGGCACAATAATTATGAGCTGGAAGAAATTTTGGTGTGATATATATGCGTGTATTGTTGCAAGCTATCGCTAGTTGAAAGGCTCTACAAAAAGGGATCAAATCCGACCTGATGGCCGCCTCAAGTTTCTAGCTATAGGCACCTTCCACACACAGCCTACCTGACCTAGTTCCGGATGGTAATAACAGGACCGCGGTGGTAACTCAGGCTCTCATAGTGATAGGGGCTGTAAAATATCTAGCGTTGGTGATAGCACTCGGTGTTGGTAGCGGACAGGCCGTTGGTGGTTTTGTTCCCGTGCTAGAGATAGCATTGCAGTAATAGAAACCAACTAGTAAGCTGGTACAGTCTGCTCCCATATCTGGGTTCCATGTGAAGAAGTCATCCAATGTGATTACACCAGAGGCGGTAACAATCTTGAGAACGTGTCGGCAGATTTTACCTAGTAAAATGGTAGTAGAGACATCGATGTGACCAGGTTGGGTTGGACTTGGTTTGGAATTTCCTGTTGTAGGAGAGGCGAGGCTTGAAATGGTACTCGCCGTATTTGATGGGCGAGGGAGGCCATGTTTCATTTGACACAGTATGAACTGCTAGTCTTAATTCCGCTGCAGTCAGATTCGACGCTGATCCAAAAGAGCAGGAGTCAAGTGTGTGAGGAAGTGCTATTGTGCCAAAAGTTCTAGGGTGACTCATCAGACCCGGTCGACAAAGTACTGTCTTTGTTCTTTTTGGACACACGTTCGAATAAAGAGTTACTGAAAAACAAGAACATGGACTAGTTATGGAATTTCTATAACAATGAAGTTGGAGGTGCGCCTATTAACAAGACGTTCGGGCGGTGCCGGTTTTTTCTACCGGCCGATGAGGATATGTTGGAAGCTTTTGCTCAAGGTGAAGGTTGGATAAATGTGCACATATGGACTATGATCCAGTAAATTATGTACTCGGGGGGGATTGAGACATCGTCCTCAAGCTTACTATGGCTGAATTAGAATCGCAACAAAAAGCTTGTTAGATCTCTGGATCAACCAAAGTATAAGCATTACAAATATTGTTGCTCTCGTGAAACAAACCTTACGACTATATCAACAACTGACAGATGATATATTTGGCTACGTGCTGATTTCGTCGTCATATTTTCCCGGTCCAATAGACATACTAAGCCAGCTACTTGTCCCAACTTCAAGTGTTGTGCCTTCGGGTTGGACCAGCCATTCATACGAGCCGTGACCCCTGTAGCGCGAATTTGTTTCCAAACTGGACTTTTCCTTTCATAACTCGGTATCTTTTCACCATGGTGCAACGCCAGCTTCGGGCCCCTTGCGACGAGGCCCTATCCATCGTGTGAGGGTTGCGATTTCTTTCAGTCGCCCGACTCAACAGTACAACAAGAGTCGTCATGGACGGTCTCGAAGCCCCGAGGTAGTGAGGGCAAAGTGTATGGAAGCGACGAGCTTCGCCAGTACCGCAGCGTCGTACAATAGTCAGATTGATGAATCTGAGAAGGTCTCGAGGTTAGCATTAAACGAATGAAGCAGCTGAAACTACATTATTCTCCGCAAAATTATCATGTAGAAACAGCACGGGTATTTAAAAAGTGTGGAAATCGCACGTTTCGGACTAGGGCTCGAATCTTGATATCCAGAACATCCTTAGTAGATAGGTCTAGTGAATTGTCGCCACTTGGACTTGAGCAGTGCCTGTGCCACCCCGGTTGTCTCGTTGCCGGCCCTGGAGAATTAACTGTCGCCGACGTTCAAGCGGACGCTGCAGGTCTGGATTTATTTATTCGCTCGTTGTGTTATAGTACATTAAGATAAAAAAGGATGACCAAGAAGTTCAGCTATCTGACTTCGTCTCTCAGGCTCTGTTATAACCATCTTCCGTATAAAATCAAGGAAAACCTCGCTCTCGGGGTCATTTCTAGGTCTACGAGACTTCCAGGCCTCGTCCTTATTAAATACTGGCAATACTGGCTTTCTCCGACCCTTCGTACTCTCGCAGAACTTCTCCAAGTCCCAAAACTCGGACCAGTCCTCTGGTGGCGCCCCACCGAGCCTCAATGCTTGGTAGAGCTGATACTGGAGATCACCTTGTACCAAGAAAAGTTGGCAGCCAGTCTTGATCTGGTATGCCTGTGGGATAGTATTAACATATATACCATGTTTAATGCGGAGTTGGATGAAATGACTTACTATACTCCCAATTGCCCAGATGTCCGCTTCTCTGCTCCAGACGGATCCGATCCTTCCGCCGGACAAACTATACATGTAGACTTCAGGTGGCCGAACCGTCGGAGGGGCAGCGCCTGGTAATTCTCTGGCAGTTGTATCAGCGTAGCAGGCTAATATAAACCCAGGCTGTTAGTAAACTTGCAGGATAACATTAGAACAAGTTATTGACTTGCCTATTCCAAAATCGAAGACCTTAAAACAGACCTCCTCACTTAAGGGGAAGCATTGTTTATCTAGGATAAAGGATGCTAAGGAGACCTTTTCCGCGATGTAACTTGGTACCGAGTCTCTTGGAAACGATGGGTCACGCGGTACCACCGTTATAACAGGAGGGTCTGCGAAGTAATCTGCAATCGTCCTTTCATCAAATTCTGTAACTGTGGTATTGCGATACCAAAGTTGCCGTAGTTTGGATCTAAAAAAGTATTTATTATTAGCCGAAAACCTTGATAACAACTAACGCCCATAATTTAGGTATGAGCTTTAAGTCTTACCACCATGTACTACCCCCTCGCTATGTAGAAAATCAAATGCCTTTAGTAATTGTTGAATTAGTTGCTGAGGCGAGCATCTTTGTCGGACAGACATGTCGTCTAGGGGGAGAACGACTTCTGTTACTAGACATTCATGAAATCCATTTGGGCCTCTTATGGTAAAGACGTTATATATTTCAATAATATTATTGTAGCCGGACTTTCTGTGTTCATTCTGATGAACTTGACAGAGAATCCTCGCTTCATTCCTCTGAATGAGCTGCTTGGATCCCCGACAAACTTTCACAGCGACGCATCTTCTATGAGACCATTATTTACTATTAGCAAGTGCTTGTAGTACTAGCGTCGAAGCCAAACTTACTCCTCAAGAAGATCACGAGCTAGCCAAACCGTTGAGAATGCCCCAAACCCCAGCTTCTGTGCGATTCGGTATCTTGGTTGTTTGGCCTCCTCGTTTACACAAGTATCAGCCTTTGGGAGAATATCGCCGAGGATAATAGGATGGAGTCCGCACAGCTTGTAATCTGTGAGGTCCTCGGACCCTATACCGTCCCCGTTATAAAAGAAGAGATCCTGCTGCGTATAGGGCATAGTAGCAGGGAGACGGGCGATGCAATATGTGATGTGAGCGCGACCCCAAACGGTGACCAGACGACGCGTGGCGTCGATAGGCTGGCGGAAAACTGGTTTGCGTTTATAACCACATGCAGGCAATGGGTAAAGGGTCAAGTCTGGTGCTGGCTGACCGCCTTGGAATAAGCGGCAATGGGCTTCTTGCATTGACTCCACCCCACTTGGAAGCTGCCCTGTTAAGGTCATGTTGCTTCTGTTATTATTACCTAATCTTTAAATCCCGTGTAACATGAACTTGACGCTTCCATGTCGGGCAGCGATTGGAAATGCCCTGACAGCATAAACAAGAGCCGAGTAGCCACATACTGCGAGAGGCTCTAAAAATAAACCCCGCCTTGATCGTGTAAAGCGGCTACGCGTTGTATAATCAACGAGATATTTGCAAAATCTATATATATTTTGTATTGGGCTGCAATAGGCGTCGTATTAGCTTCTAGATTGCGGCTGACTCCTTTATATATATACCCAAAGTCAAAGTTGGTTGTTCATAGAGACTTTACTTTCAGATGCAAATAACACAAGGGGCATAAAGACTAGTTGCCCCTCTGCCCTTTAGGGCCCGTGGACAACTCAAGTAGCCGCCCTAGTACGCGTTTCTCAATATAATAACCGATATTACTTAAGCGAGCGACTAGATCTTAAAAGACTACCTTGTTGAAGAACATTGATAGGCGCAAAACAATATAAATTGTCCGTTCCTATTATAATACAGCCAAGCCGGCTGTTACACTACCCGTATTTAGAAACCGATTAACATACGCAAACAGGACAACCGTCAGCTCCCTTTACAACACAGCCACTCATTTTGTCACACTATTCGCATTCAGAAACCGATTAGCATACAAATTTATATAGTTAAGCGAACTACGGGCCCCATTAACAGTCTGTTACTTACAGCCGGTTTTCTACAAAGTTTTGGGTCGTCCGGAAAGACAAATGAGTCTGAGCTAGGTTTTTTAGGGGGTTGTATAGTTTCCTTGAGGTCCCCATCTCCAAAGGGAATATTCTGCACGGGTGCGTTCGAAGAGCCAGGCTGTTTGCTGTTTTGCGGTAGGGGTGTGATTTCCTTCAAGCCCCCGTCTTCAAAAGGGATATTCTGTACGGTTTCTCTTGAACGACCAGGCTGTCTGGCTTCTAAAGCTCCGCGAGAACTATTGCGTTACTAGCGGAATAGCCGTACTAAGTCCAGCTAGTAGGGTACTAAGGGGAACGGAGAACTTCATTTTTGTATAAATTTGATAAACGAGATATTCGGATTTAAGTAGTAAGAGAAATTAGTAGTAGTAGGGTATAATAAGTAGTAGAGGGGATATTGGGACTTGTAGCCTAATAAATACTTTATAACAAGTAAGTGCCGGATTTTGCTTCGTGGTAATATATTAAATATCCACCTAAGAAACGCGCCTGCTTTATGCGTTACTATTATATATAGCCAATAATATTCTATCGAGTCAAGGATATTCATATTCCGCAAAGGTTCCGGATACCGGCTGACTCATACACATATACAGACTTGAGTCACTTTACCTGGTCATAAGATTTAGCGCTAGTATTACAGTTGTCTGAGGTCGACATTCTTAAAACAAATAATGTAACAGCCAGGCTTTGTGAGGGTACAATTTTGACCGCCACAGTCTCATTGGTGACCTGCCCTAGTCAAAGACATTAACATGGGGCAAGGCGACGGCATCTGTTATAAACACCAGACATTATATTCACCGACTCGTTAACGGGTGTTAATTAACTGAGGGAATTGACAGGGATACAAAAGCCGCCGGCAAAACGGTCGTAGTCGTGGGCACCGGCAACAGCGGCCACGACATTTATCAAAATTACTACGAGAATAGCGCAAATGTAACTAGGCTCCAGCGAGGCGGAAAATACCGTCCTCACGGCGGAGAAGGGTGTCTTTATGCTTCATGCCGGCCTGTACGATGAAACAGGCCCTCCCACCGAAGATGCAGACATCTATGCACAGAGCATGCCCATCCCGGTTGCCCTCAACCTCACCTCACACTTGACCAAGAGAATCGCGCAAGTCGACAAGGACTTGCTTGACGGATTGACAGAGGCCGGTTTTGAGCTTGACTCGGGACCGCAGGGCCCTGGTATCATGAGAAAGTATCCCACTCGCGGAGGAGGGTACTTATTTATGTCGGATACAGCCAACTCATTGCCGACGGGAAAGTCAAAGTACGCCAGAGCCGCAGCAGAATCAAGGCGTTCAATGAGAGCGGCTTGGTGCTGGCGGACGGGTCGACGTTGCCCACTGATGTAGTTGTTCTTGCAACGGGGTATGACAACCTGCGCACGTCGGCGCGCAAGATTTTCGGCGACAAGGTTGCCGATTGTCTTCATGATGTGTGGGATCTCAACGATGAGGTGGAGCTTAACGTAGTCAGTGTGCCTCCAAGACGCAGAAAACACGCAAGTAAATCGAAATGCCAATGGCCACGTAGATGTGGCGATACAGTGGACATCCAGGATATAGGTGGTAATTTGGCCTTGTGGAGGATATACTCGCTACTTTTGGGTTTGCAGATCAAGGCGTGTGAGGAGGGACTTTATGTGACCTCTATCAACACGCAAGAGGAGATTAACAGGGGCAGAATGTCCCTCGAGTAGTAGCAGTAGAGGGATGCAATGATGTTGGGCAAGATTAAGACGCCACGTAACTTGTTGTTGCCCAGCGGTAAGTCCAGTTTCTAAGCCGAGGCGCAGACTTGAGTAAAACTAGTACAGGATGGAAATTGCCGGCGCTTACTCCCAGTATTAGATGTACGCCAGTTGAGGAGCCGATAATTTGTCCAATAGTCACTCACAATCACGGTCAGATAGAAGCCATCATGGAGCCATATTATAGAGCCCCAGCTACATATATATGAAAATAAGATGTGGTCGCGAGTTGCCTAGCATGCTTGGGTACACAACTGTAGTGCGCGAACCGCTATGCCTTGTATATCCGAATTGCCTGGTAAGGACAAGATGGGGACGCTGTCGGTGCCGGGGAACTTGGACCCGTGGTAATCATCGACTTCTACCATGATTGCAGTTAGCACATGTTTGATAGAATCTTGACCTTTACCCCGGACGACATGGCATTCATCACCCTCCTCATGGGCCCGCTAACCAAGCCGTTCTGGACCCAGATATTGTCTATTAATATACCACAAGACAGATGTAGTCATGATGATCCAACGTATCTGCCTCGCCATCGTTTGCCCCCTTCGCGTCTTGGCCCGCGTAACAGCGCCAAAGCTGCGTATATTGACAGCTAGCTAGACGATGACTATAATCATCTGAACGCTAGAGAACAAGAAGAAAAGAGAACAGGAAATAGAGAGCTCGAAGAGCCGACGCTTCGTTAATTTGACTTGTCGGTGATTCCTGACCGACAGGCTGGGTCCGAAGCGGAGAGTGTAAGCCGAGCCATACCAGTCTTATCCTATTAGCCTGAGACATTCCCTCGAAGAAAATACACTGACTCTGCGGTACCAGCACAAGTCGCAAGTTCACACATCACGTATTTGACTCGGCGGACTCAAAAACCACTCTATTTTCGCAGGAAGGCGCGTTGGAGCTCGTTTGTTCAAAAGTAAGTGAATCCCGTATGTACAAATCATAAGACCTACATGTATCGAAGAAGCCCAACCCGCAGCTACCTTCTCACACCCCCCGGTGGTTCACCAAGCCGGCATTTAATGTTCCGGATGTCTTGGCCGCCACAAACCACACGAAGAGTTAAAACTTAACGTTCGTCAAGGAACTCGGAAAAGCCAGCGGCTCGGAAGATGTGACTGAATTTCCAGGAATCAAGACACCGTCTAAAGGATTTGATCGGGAATTCTGGGGTTTGGTCGAAACTGTCCCGTTTATAAAAGACCTCGGCGGACGTCCGATCGAATTCGACTCATCTCAGGTCAAGGGAGTCAAACTTGAGTTATCACGCCCCAGGCCCCTTTTCCAGCCCTTGCCACACGCGGTGGCCACAGCAGGGAGTATTTGTAGAGGGAACTATGGGAGTGTATAGCATTTGTAAAAACAACGGCACATCAGCGAGCAAAGAGGAATAGAATGCTGGGGGGGGCTGGTCGATTAACACGGATTGATTTCTAAGCCTCATCCCAAGTCGTGGCAAAGTAGAGATCCATAAATACGCCTGAATGTTACGGATAGATGCTGTGTTAATTCGCTGGCTATTATCCTCGTATAAGTTTTTCTCCCCAAAACTGTCCAGTCCAGTAGCTACTGTTATATGGCTGTATTTAAAAGCAACAAGCTTTTATAAAGAAAGTATGCGTTTCAAATATTTCACCCCCCAGCTGCACGGATCTCGACAGCGGTTTCGTGAAACACCTTGTCCTAGAGCAGAGGAACAAGCCGCCCCATCACCCCAGTCCGCTCGTTTTGCAAACCGTATGGAATCAGATATAAAAATGTGAAGGGGAGCTTTTAAACAAAGCCGAGAAGTCGAGTCATGTGGGTGGGCAAGCGGAGAGAGACATAGTATCAACGGAATATAAGGGGTAATATTGCTGTTTAATTCGAGCGCGCTCTTTTTATGACATATAGATCGGACGGAAGTCGGGTTCTTAGTACATCAAGAGGAGACTTAATACTGTTCTTCAGATGCTCACTGTCATGATCTTATCAGACAACCTTCTGCGATTACGGAGCTGGAGCGGATCCTGGAAATACAATACTCACTGGCATGTCGGACTGGAGTTATGTACTAATGTTCGTCTGTGTAGTTACTTGAGTGCAAGCACAGTAAACCATTTCAGTAGTGACAAGCCCGTCTCTCAAGCAAGAGCCTTCAAAATGTGACAATGTCTTTGCAGGCTTGGCATACATTACCCTGAAGCCTTCCTGAAAAGTTTCCTACCAACGGCTGCAGGCCGCAAATCAATGACCAGTCGGATAATGACATCCGGTCTCAGTGCGGTGTCAATTTGACGCATATAGATCCACTTCTTGATTGCCATTCTGCTCATAATAACAACTCGCAACCAATTGTCGTACAGTCTTTAGACGCAGCAAGTGGTTTGACCACGTCCAAGCAACCCAGCTAACCCCATGCCGCAGGTGCGTATATGGCCACCTGAAGTGCATTGGCGTTTTTTGAGTCATCCAAGGCATGGAGAGATGGCCTCTCAGCTTATAGGAGAGTCGGGAGAGCGAAGGTTGTTGGTTGGTATCACACATTTGTGTTGGTTTGTTTGCACCAGGCCACAAACATTCACTCGGTATGGCTCCAACCACTCAACTGACAGCTACAGTGGGAGGCAAAAAGTACTTGAACAGATCAGGTACCTGGCTATCACGATTTATACTATAATGTCAGCACTACAGTATATAAGTGTACACTCCTCGATGGGCAAAAATATTCTGCCACACACTATATACAGGAAACTATAACAGAGTAGCGTGGGGGCATGAATCAACGCCATTTCTAAACAATGTTTGTTTCTCTCTGCAGAACGGACATATGATTGCCAGCGATTCTGGCGAGAAAAGTCGTAAAATGAGGCTGCGACAGCGCTCATGCCACCACCCATTTATGCAACGTCCGTGTATATTGGTCTGTTGGTAGTAGGCAACGCTGCCTAACAGGCCCTCCATCGTGGTTACGCAATGATTGGTAATGCATGTCTGGCTTCGCCTTGACGCTTGTCACGGCCCGTGGCCTCTTCCAATAGCTTCTCTGTACCCGCAGTCCCCGAGGCGCTCCAAAGTGCGTGCTCTGGCTAAAAAGCAGCGGCCGCAAGAAAGACCGCGATGAATAACCTGTAATTACAGGCCGATAGACGGCCTCAGTAAGGCCTGTCAAGGGGCCCACTAGTAGCACTGAGATGAGAACTGGCTGGGGTCAAAACATGCCGATGCGAGCGTGCAAGAGGCTTTGACTGGATTTGCTCTTCGACCAACATATCCGCCGGCCCGGGCTGTAGGCCTGCGCCAAGTAAACATTGGCTGTCAGCTCCTCATTGCCTGAAGTTACCAAGCGTGATCCTGGTGGGACATGCTGCCAACAGGTCGAGTACTCCGTACATGCATGGCCAGACTCATGAACCAGACGCAAGGAGTCTATCAGCCAGTTCATGACTCCTTTCCGCACCCTTTCCTGCAAATTCGTCAAACAGGCTGGGTATAAATATCTCATTCCCTCCTTTTCAGCACTTGATCCTCAGCATCAGCTCCTCCCTTAGAATAACAAATTCACACTACCAAATTTGACACGCCTCGTTTGGTGCCAGTCTAATAAACCTCAAGTGAGTCTTCCCGCCAAAGCAGACTAGCTATGGCTGATATGAGCGAACGCAAGGTAAAAAAAACATGTGTCAGCGACTCATTGAGACGACTGGCCACAGATGCGGGCATAGCATTGATTCCCTGGGAACTATCAAGGAGCTCAATGGCTGCAAAAATTGCGGCATCGTCCAGAAAACACAATATTTGGGCAAAACAACTAAAAGAGACCCATGTCCTGATTGTATCGCGAATGGTATTTGGGTGAAGAGGAGTGGGAAATGGGAGAAGGCTTAAAACGCGTTATTGGCGAGTAAGAGGCTGTAGCGCAGGACTTGTATTTGGTCTCTCGCCAGTTTCAAGTCAAGTAGAATTATTACTTATACATGGTTCTTGAGGGTTTTCAATTAGCCATTTGAAGTACTTTGAGCAGGTTTCGTGTCAATAGAGGGAGAAAGCGTTGGACGGCAACTATGCTAGTTGGCTGATCAACATATTTAGCCTTAAAATTCAGGCACCCAAACATATACTAGTCAACCTAGGTCTGGATCAGGTTAATCCTCTTCCCTTCCTCTCCTCGCTCATCTCTCTTATACACACAAGCTAATTTTGCCTGCGCGCGCTCCAAAATATTCCTTTTGGAAAACATATTTTTTCTTGGCATGAGTATCCAACACCAGTTTCCTGATGTGCACTGGGTCTGGAAAGGAGGCATCTCTTTCGTCTATGAGGTCCATCCTCGCATCGTGGTGAAGGTCCCAAAATCCGGTGAATTCGAGCGGGAGCAATTCCGGAAAGAAGTCAAGATTTACGACATCTTCTCCAGACATGCGCCCTGTCCTTCCATAGTGCAATGTTTCCTCTATACTGATAACGGCATTTTTCTCGAGTACATGCGAGGTGGGAGCCCCTTTGGCATGTTCACCGGACTATCTACTAACTACGTCACAAGATGTATCCCTTTGCTCTAGAATACAAGACAATCAGGTCCGAGACCAGGAAACTACAATTGTCACTGAAGTTAAAAAGCTGGAACCTTTGCACCTACGAAAGACATGGATGAACGACCTTGCTCAAGCCGTCGCGTTCCTCGAATCGCTCAATCTCGCCCATGGCGACCTACGACCCGAAAACATCCTGCTTGATCGCAATAGATTGAAGTTATCTGACTTTGATTGTACGGCAAAGATTGGGACAGACTTTGAAGCTTGCATGGCCCCGTACGGAAGAGTACTTGATAGCAACGAGCCGGATCAAGGACGACGTGGAACGGCCGGCGTCCTAGGTCCTCGAACAGAGCAGTTCGCCCTTGGTTCCTTATACTACCTGATAAACTATGGCTTTGAAGTTTATGGAGATCGTTGTCTTACTGAGGATCCCAAGGAGCATGGACCCAAAGTTGTGAACTTGTTGCAGAACATGAATTTTCCCGAGCTGGATGGTGACCCTCTAATTGACGATATCATTGTTAAATGTTGGCACAACGAGTATACCACGATTGCGGAGTTGGCCGCATACACAAGGAAGCTACTCCCTGAAAGATCTGTCGAAAAGAAGAACAAGTCGGAAATAATTTCCATTCCTCGATGGCGTACGATTACTGGCCGTGCTATTCGTGGGTTGTGGAACAGTGTGAGATACTGGTGTGAATTAGTGCTTTGTCGCAAAGGCGCGAGAACCAACCCTAAAGTAGTTAATAGCGGAGAACCAAATGGTCACTACCGTGACATGGACCAAAACCACCTGACAGAAGAGTTGCCTTCGGGAAGAGTATACTGCCAGGACCTGGAGAAGCGTGGACTTTTGGATTTGCTTTTATTAGGAGAGCCCGAGAAACTTGGTTTTACTCTTGAGTGGTATAGGCATAGTTGTTCTGGATAAAATAAGCCTCTTCGGACAGACTAGGTAAATGGAGAATAGTTAGCAATAGCTCAAACTTTTGGGCTTATCTCCTAGTTACACTTATCAACTAGAAGGCTTTATCACTAGGTCTTGATTCTATATATTATAGTAGTATTAATTTTCTAGATACATGTATAATGATATACAGGTATAGTTATTTCGCTATATATACCTTAAGCCTCTATTGGGAAGCTTTATTCTAGGCTTATTAATATTACGTGTATTTTGACTGCGTAATTTAGCAGGGACTCGCTATCTAGGAAGTCAAGTCCCTCTAGACTAGCTGGCTGAAATCCTTCAACGAAGGCCTTCTCTATTGCAAGGTAGCCGTTTTCGATGACTTCCGATTTGAACTGTAAAAAAGACCTCAATTTCTTCGATACATAGATTCAGCTAAGGACCAAGTCCACTGTTCAATTTAATATATAGCTTTTAAACGTGATCAACTCTTTAATCTTGCTTCTACTTGCTTTTTCCACTACGAATCCACGTCATAAATTCGTCTGCAACATCAGGATAGCCCCTTTTCCCCAGGTCATTCTTCACCCTCCGTCTCCAATCCATCTGGTCACCGCTTGACAGATCCATTCCGCTGGAGACACAAAATTTGGTTGTTATCAATTCTACGGGTACGAATCCCGCAATTTCCCAATCAATAACGCCAATACGATCAGTATCCACGTCTACCAGGACGTTGGTCGGGCCAAGGTCACAGTGGTAGAAGACGAGTGTCGAGCAGTCCATTTTTAAATCATCGCAGCTTTTTTGCAGATTCTGGGGACTGCAGTCCGAACCTTTCTTGCGCAGATAGAGCTCCGGGAGTACGTTGCCATCAACGCCGCTCATCATGCCATTCCGAGTATATTTTGCCATTTCCACGCAAATATCGCCAACTTTCTCTGCGTACTGCTGTCTCTTGGACTCGTCCAAGGTTTCCCACATGCTTTTGATTGTTTGTCCGCGGACCCGCCCAAGAAAAATATAGTATCGACCGTCGTATTCGGCTTGATGAATAACATTGGGGATGGAAAAGCTCCATTCCTGCCCACGATGTCGCTCATGCATCCACGCTAGCGTGACATGCTCTCTCGTCACACCCGGGATATTCAAGATCCTTATTTTGCAAAAGGCCTCGCCCATGTCAAAGACGGCGGAGACATCTCCCGCATCGTATACCAACTTGATTTCGCTCGTGGGTGACAGTGGCCGAGACTCCGGTAAAGGAGATGGTGCGTCGGATATCTTGAAGCCCGCGCCATTTCCATCTTGCCAGTCACAATCTGAAAGAGACGCACGGGAGACAAGAATTTTGCCCCCGATAAGCCAGGAATTGTGGTCTATCTCCTGGATCGATTCCCGGACGGGACAATTTGCCATTATGGACGATGGGTATAGAACAAATAGAGAAACTTGTCGTGTCGATGGTCCCGGACAGTTTCCTGAATCTTGCAACTGGTCTTTATAGACGCCTCGTGGGCTTGACCGCTCTCTGGCAGGGCTCCACACATTCACGAATAGGACCAGTTAGAATAACGTAATTTGGAATGTTGGTTTGGTGCCATTCCCCCCTGACGACGATTTGTGAGAGCCAACACTTGACACTTTGCCAGTCTCTGTTGGTTTTCCGAGTACCAGGCATTCTTTGGTTGCTGTAAGTTTGCCATTTCGGCCCGACATGCTGGCGAATCTTGTATTTCCAAGATTCCCTCCAACTCCCCAATCGCACAGAATGCTGACGGTGAGTACCTAGAGCCAACCCAGTCACAGCATATTGCGGCTATTGATATACAACGGCCATTGGCACAGCTATGTATACACCTGGTCACTAGCGCCTGAGGTCTTTCCGAGCCCTGGGTTAAGGTCGGTAAACTGACAGATAGCAGTCTGCTCTCGACGTACTAAGAACTCAACTTCCATCCGATCCATGTCTCTCTCCGTCTGCTAACCCTCACGAATCGGCTCCAAACCCCTCTCAACATTTTAATACCTACTTCCACACGATTGGCGAAACAAGGGGCCTCAAGTGGTGCCATGGCTCGCTCCGCTGCCCCAGGCCTAGCCAGCTTTGTCACTTTGATCTCTGCCAAGCTCTCTGCGGGCAGGAAGTAAAGCTGTTGAGAAGTGGAATTTCTTTCTTCAAGCTGATGACTTTCAAATATGGTGGGGAGTCCGTCTATCAGGAGCGGCATGCATGAGCGCTGCATGCATTCGACCCGCTGACCTCAAAGCTATCGAGGCATACTCGGACGAAATCGCAGAATAGGAACAAGTAGAAGGCAGGGAATGACAGGGTAATAGACCGCATTCCTACCCACGTTTGTTCCACTCAACTAGGCAATAGGAGACTCTCGTCAGGCCATGATACTTGCAGACTTGGACAAAGATACATGGCACCCTGCTAGCACCACACGTTGCTTGAATCCAAGTGACAACTTGCCTCTAGTTCTTGATTCAACTTGCACATCTGCCCAAGTGCAGCAGTAAATGTAAGAGACAAGCCTCCAACCACATTCGCGCCAGGAGGGCGTTTTGTTACGTGAGTACGTCATGGGTACGACTACCCCGCGTGAACATGTAATGTCAGGTTGTCCTTAAAACTCTACAGCGCGTCGACTGAACGTTTCTAAACGCAACAATAAAAGAGGAGAGTCGCAGCACCTCGTCATTTAGCAAGTACGTGGCGTTGCTCGGCCTTCTACAACTGCAGATTTTGACTCACAGCATCTATAGAGCGTTCCATTCTCCGCGACAAATGTCCAACAAGATTAGTCATGCTCGGATCGAAAACTTGGGCGGCGAACGAAGATGGAGGCCCAAATCCAGGCCATGCTGGCAAAGATGCAGGAATTGAAAGACAAAATCCCCGACGAAACTGAAACTCGGCTGTTGTCATCATCGACTGCAGCAAGGGCAAGACGCGAGAAGGAATCGACATGTCTTGGCTTGCAAGACGAGATAGATGCACTTGATACCAACATGAAGAGACCGGAAAAGGCAAAGGCTGGAATTTCAGGACGAAATTGATCTTCTTAAAGGGTCTGGTGGGGCTAGGCCGGAGTCTCAAGCAGACAGCAGCCATCACGACTGAAGCCGCTGCAGTCAAACCGAGAATGCTAGCAGCCGTGGTTGGGATACAACATTGGACATGAGCTCTCCTACCAACCGTTGCCGGCACTGCCGCGTCACTTGGGTTTCCTTGTCCATAGTTGCCAGAATTACTCAACAAGTCCAGCTCTCTGCGATATCTGCGGTGGTCTTGTTCCTTCATGTCTGCGAGCAAAGAGCGTAAAGGATCATCGTCAGCAAAGGCCGACAGAGTTTCTTGGTGGGCAGTGGACGTTTCCTTGCTGGCCAAGTATCGATGGACAAACCAATCCACTTCGGTCCAGTTTTCTAGAGCATTAGCGACCAACGGTTCAGCGTATTCTGTTCGTCTAGTCCACTCACCGTGGAGTAGGTTGTTTCCAAACATTTCCGCTTCCCGCCTTTGAACCACTGCTAGAAACTCAGCAAATGGTCCCTCGAGAAAGAGTTGCCATGAATTAGGACCGGCTAATTGGGCAGCATCTCGTCCGCTGAGCCAAAGAGGCGGTGCGAAATACTGAACTGGCACGACACGACACCACTCTCAATCAAGCACGCCGATGATTCGCACATCATGGTCAACTAATAGATTTGACAAGTGCAAGTCGCCATGGACCAGGACAAACGGGCCTTGATCGAGGCCAGGGTCCACCCACTTTTGAACGTGCTTGCAGAACAAGAACTGGTTGTAGAGGCATTCCAGGCCCATGCCGATTGCCACAGAATTCCGACTCTTGAGAAAAGCGTTGTACCCGACGCTTAACAGCATCTTTGCGTATGAATTGGCCGATGTTAGGAACCCAGACTCGTCGTGATGAAAATCTTGAATGCCAAAGGGATCCAAGCCCTCGAGCTGCATCATGTTCATCTCAAGCGACGCTGTCTTTTCGCTGATGCGCACCGCACTGGCTCCCAGCCTGAGCCTGCCAATCGAGGGGAATTCCTGTCGTCGTAGTTGTATATAGACATCTGCTAGTGATTTGTATAGCTCGGCTCTTGCGTCAGGGGCCAGGCGACGAAATTCGGTCGGCGACAGGAGTTTTCCATCAATGTATTCGAGAATCATGAACGTGGATAGAGGGTGGGCGCCACTGTCGGCACAATAGGATAGGACTTTTGGGACTGGGATTGTGCTGGTGCATTCTGACAAGTGTCTGATTCTGATAAGTAAAGACGGCGACATGGATAAGGGGGATATAGTTGCATACCGCATTGTGGTGACTTCGCACTGCAATTTAAAGCGAGGACAGTTTGCTAGACAGGGCCGCAGCGGTACGCGGAAGACACCAGACACTTCTCCCCGTCGGCGAACCGGATAAAGAATGAGACGTTGTAGCTTCCCCGAGCATAGTAGTCACCAAGAGCAGTCGATTGAAAGAAGCGGGCCGACGGCTTCCCGCATTGCGTCGATGCGAGTTTGAGAATGTCTTTCTCGCGGCTTCGTGGTTGATTGACGAACTGATCGCGCTGGCGATGCACCGAATATTGTATTAATCCATCGTTGAAATGTTGTACTGTGCTCATAGTTTACCCACAATCCCTGGCGCAATATCGAAAGGGGCGCCATCTGCTGGGCTGGTGAGTGTGATTCTTGATGTCGTTTCGCAGAGAATTGAATCAATGTGACGTCTGGTGTTTTGGAAGAGCTTGCGAAGGACTCGGCGGGCAACCTACAGTGCGAATAGACTCGCATTATACTACTTAGGTGGCACTTATTCTCTATTTCAAGGGACTCTTTATGCTGACAGCCGGTCATTCTTCTAATAAAATGAACCCCGAGTCGCATCTGAAGATTAAGGCTGGGCATTCAATGCTGTGCAGTACCGCGTGGTGGCGGTCCAACTTGGTGGAGGCCCAGGGTTGGTCATATATGTACCGGAAAACTCGACGGCTGGGGACGATAACGACGAGGACTCACATTCGGGATGCGCTTCCTCTCTTTTGCGCATTACCAAAGGCAGTCCGCAGTCCTTACGTGCGTACTAGTGTCGGATATCATCTCTGTAGACTGAAATCGCAGGGCTTGGTGTAATTGCTGGTCATCACTTCGTCGGCTATTATGACTATTTAGCGGGAAAACAAAAAGTAGTCTCAGAAGTCTAGATGCCAATAGATGGTAATGCAAAGACTGTAACGGTCCAAGCTAAGTATATTAACAACTGTCTAGGCAACTATTACGAGTATCGAAATATTAGAGAAAAAAGAGAAGAGAGAGCGAAAAAGAAAAGGTCTTGAGCCCTGGGCTCCTGAGCCCGACGCGTCGTTAATCTCACTTGTCAATAGGTCCCGGCCGGCAGGCTCCGGCCGAAGGCAAGAGTGCAAGCCGAGCCCTACAGGGCTCAGCTCGTAGCACTTCCAACGCCGATAAGGCGGGAATCTTATGCTTTGTACATCGCCGGCTGCAAGTCAAGCACAAATAGGCTGAGATGAGACAGGCTGATCGGTTTCCTGATATTCCGATAATAGCTCGAGTCAGAGCTTCCGAAGAACCCCTGGCTCGCAGCAGCTTCTGCTAACATGAAATTGCCTGTTAACGGCTCAGAAGCGTAACGAGCCGAGCCTGAAGATAGCCCGGCTTGCACTGTCGCTGGCACCCTGGCTGCTAGCGCGGCAGCCGCGGCGCCGGCAAGGGTCTGGTGCAAGTGTAGTTGACATGTAGCCTGGGCAGTTACAGCTACCAGACTGTTGGGTATGCTAGGAATGTGGAGCTAGTGCCAGATAAACTGCCAGATCATCCGGTAGCTCCAAACCGATACAGGGGACTGCCAACTTGGCCTCAAACCGTGCTTCCCTTATTACTTAATCTCAAACAGCCTATTCTGCGCTGTGGTTGACTTTTAACAGCATTAAAACAAGTATAATAACCGCATCCTTATTGTATAACACGTCTAGAGACCTAGCACGTTTCAAATCCTGCATTATAAAGGGGTATAACTTTTAACAGTATTAAAACAAGTATAATAGCTGTATTCTTATCGCAAAACGCGGCTAGAGACCTTGCACGTTTCAACTCCCACATTATAAAGGGGTAGTCCCGGTCTGCTTTGCCGGGATCTCGCATCTGGAAATAACAAATTAGAGTTGGTGTCCTGCTACAACAGAGCTGGGAGGGACTACCTAGCTGGGGTATCAGGTATATACAGTTTAAGAGATATATAAGATATCGTGCTCCGGCATTAAAGCCCAGAACGATAACTCAATACAAAGAACAGCGCCGGAAGCCTTTACCAAAACCGCTTAATTATTATAAGATGCTGAATTCCTTGCTATTGACGGCTTTGCTCCACGTGGTAGCAGTTGTCGCGCAGGCCGCGACTAACTCTTCGGGACAAAAGCTAGGGTCAGCCACAAAAATCCCCTTTGGCAAAATTATTACAAGCTGTACTACGAAAGACGCTTTTGCTCTTTCTTTTGACGACGGGCCTTTCCAGTTCACCACGACGCTCCTCGACTCATTGAAAAAAGCCAACATGAAAGCTACTTTCTTTGTTAACGGCGACAACTTTGGCAAAATATCGGACAGAAAAATAGAGGTGCAGCGAATGTTAAGCGAAGGGCATCAGATTGGTTCACATACGTATGTATTACGCTTGCTATGGCAACCCCAGGGTGGCCTCTATATATAGACAGGAGGTATTAAAAAGCTTGTAGGTTTCGGCATCCGGACTTGGCAAATATCAGCGAAGCAGAAGTGAGGACAGAGATGACATTACTTGATGCCGAAGTAAAGAAACTTATCGGGAAGACGCCGACATATATGCGACCGCCATTTTTTAGCACCTCAGATGAAGTCCTAAGAATTTTGGGAGAAATGCAGTACCACGTTATTAACGCCGATATCGATACCAAGGACTTTGAGAACACGAAGCCCGAGACTAATGACAAGTCGTTTCAGAACTTCAAGAACTTATTTGGCAAGGGATCTATTTCCCTAATGCACGATGTACACAACACGACAGTCAACCAGTTAATACCTAATGTTATCCCTTTCTTGCAGAAAAGCGGAAAAACATGTACGCACACGTCTTATATATATCCCGCCTTGTATAAGAGTTAAATATATACTAATATCGGTTTAGCAATGACAGTCGGGGAGTGTCTAGGCGATCCGAAAGAAAACTGGTATCGAGAGAATAAAATCGGCGGTACAGTCGTCCAAGGGCCGGTCAAAAAGCAACCGGCCGGCAAGAGCTGCGGTTGTAACGCCCGTAAGTCTTAGTCGGTCGAGGGCAAATAAGAGCCTAAATTATTGGGTGAAGCTGCCGGCTATGACGATGCAAGGTTGTCTCGCTTTGTGGGTCTCGAGTTTAGCCGCATGTCCTAACTGTTATATTATAAGCTTTAAAGCCTCCCTGATAATTTTTCATACTTATGTCTCTCTTATACTTCGGCAGATAGCAGAAACATCAGGTGTTTTAATAGTTTTAGAATACTATTGCTACCTGTTATTCAGATATTATTATGGCCAACTGTCTTGCCTGTCTTGCTGACCTTCTTTATTCACTGCCTAGTAGACATGCTGTTGTTATGTTATGAGGGTATTATTAACTAAGCTTCGTAAAAGGAAATTTACGCAGAGTTTATAGCTATCTGTTTATATAGTAAAAACTTCCTTTATCCGAATCTGGTTTCGGCTATCTACCGTCCGATAGTAAATAATAACTCAAGCTACCCTGCCTTAGCCAAGGCAATAAGAGATGGATTAAAAAGGCTTGTCTCCACCAGTTGACGTCTACAAGCCAGGGGGTGGACTGTGGGCGCAACTACCGAGTGCGCGGATCCCAATCCCCAGACGCGCTGTAGGAGTCTGGTATAGCCGAAGCCTTGTCAAGTTGGGGATCGAAACGTGGAAGGTCAAGTCAAGACAGACATAGTAGTTCCCAATACGAGCCGGCCACAAATAGGATGGCTAGTTGGGTCGCCAAGGGCTCTCAGCCATGGTAGGCTCCGGGTCCAAAGAAACAAGAATATGTCTTGGCCACCAAGTCTGCGCATTACTGCATAATACACTAGACATGGATGGTACAGTCGGAAATGGAACGAACCGGGGAGGGTGCAAATGCGAAGCTTGGGCACATATTTCGCTTAGTAACAAGACATTAATGAGTTTATTTATGGGCAATAGTTGAAGTTAAAATCACGAGTTAATATAGGACTATATGCCGGTGTCACTACCGCAATTGGTCTACACAGCATTTGCATAATGCCGAGACACAGGACCGGCATCGTTGCGGGTTAAGTCGCATGTACAGCCGTGACCGGGCGGCTCCATACAAACAATCCCTCAGGGTTGCTATGCAGTCATATGCTGTATATTGGTTTATACCAAACACGTGGATTGTGCTCATTCACTCGTTCCGACTGTCGGAATTGAATGCAGGAAGCTGATGTGCCGAGCCTACAATATGCATTACAACGTGCAAACCGGGCTGTAAGTCTGCGACATTTTTGTATGGGCAGCCGGACAAGGAGACACTGGTGGCTTTCTGTGTATAATACGTACTAGTTCACGACGACGACGGTCATGCAAAGTACAGAAGCACAAGTCTGTCTCATGAGCAAGTAGTCAAGGACTGTTACACGAAAAAGGGCCAACAGATCGTGAAGCCCAATACGAGATTATTATTGAATCGAGCCCTTTTCACGAGGACTCAGGCACCTCTTTGTTGCCAAGAAGGTTTCTTTACTGTGCGGAACGTCTGCCTGCGAGTTCGGAACTCGGGACGGAGACGAGCGACCAAGCCAAGTCAATAGCTCATCCCATCACACTGTGTAAGTGTAGGGGCCGCGCAGCCGAAGAGTAACCCTGCTTATTGACTGCCTATCTCTCAAGCCGGTGTTCCAGCCGAGGTTACGGGCCAGTACCATAGGAGCAGAATACATATATATTGACTGACCTTCCGCCGTCGTTGTCGATTTGTCACCTCCACCAGTGACAACATCAAAGTTCAATCTAATCCTGCCACATACTTACACTTGACCTCCCTCTTGAGCCTACACTCTCGACCCCTCAGTCATCATGCAATTCACGTTCCAAAAGATGATTCTGGCAGGCCTGCTTGCTGTTGGAGCAATGGCCGCACCCGCAGGTAAGCATGACGCCAACGAGGCGAGAATCTCACAAGTCCCGATCCTTTCTAATAGTCTATTTATTCAAGTCGAGGACAATAATGATGTGGTTAAGCGTGACTCCAATTGGCAGTCGCATGCCAAATACTACGCCATGGGAGGTGGACGTGGCAACGAGCTTTATGTCGACGGGACTTGGTCCAAACCACATTCATTCACAGAAGGCACGCCTGTTGGCCGATGCTCAGCTAGACCTCTCGGTCTCTATCAAGCGCCCCCCGGCAGCGACTTTCAGCCCATTTCGGATGTCAGCTGTCGGTGCTGGATTTCTTCAAACGACCCAATCGGCTCCAAGACTCGATGCGTCGCAGGTTGGAAAGAAACAGATCCAGCTGATGCGAGCAAAATGATCAAGTTCAAGTTGCGCTTCGAGTGTTCAAACTGGTTCGGAGATTGCACTAGCTTCAGCGTCCTTACAGACGAAGGGATTTGCGAATCTACCCCTACGAACCTATGCGACGGATTTACAGTCACGGTCTAGAACAACATGTCGTCTATGCTTCTACAATCTCTGACAATCTTATCAGTGGCTTGCTATTGCAGATCCGCTGGGACCGGTTTTATCAAGATTACGTCGCTCGTTTCAAGCGAGGACAGGAAGCTATTATTAAGACGCATTGGGAATTAGCTTACTGCTGCCTATAAAGCAGCAGAACACTGAGATGTTTAATTTTCTTACAATATGACTCCTTTATATAGCAATTCAACAGTCTGTCATTACCTCTTCACAGGAAATCTCTTACTCAATTGCTGCGCGGTTATCTAATCAATTACCAGACGTATCGTAGAGCGAAGTTCTTCCCAGTAGTAGAAGGAACCCTGACACTCGACGCCCAGCAGGGCTTATCCGGAAATAGCCGGAGCCTTTGGTTATATTAAAGGTAAATTGCTCGGCTGGCTTGCTCTTTCGCTAGGTGGGCTTACGCCCTAAGAGATACCTAAATAATAGGCTTTATATATATTATAATATATTATTATATACTTTAAGATAAAAAATATATATTATTATATACTTTAAGATAAAAAGATATTTACTATATTTTTATAAGCTATTAAGTATTTAAAAGAAAAGCTTGTATATAGTAATTACCTGGCCTTAGCTAGGTAGTAGGGGATAAGCGCACCTAGCAAAAAGAGTAAGCCCGCCGAGTAATTCTCTATTGTAGGCTTGAGCCAGCGCTGGTATTACATCCTCACCGAAAGCGAGGCCACATGTGTAATGCTGACGTAGTTTCACAAATAGCTGTCTCAAAGTGGCTAGTTCGCGTCCCTATTAGACCTGCTATCCGTAACGAGAGCCTCTACTAAGAGCTCTGTATTAGTCTGCATGACTACGAACCAAATTCGGCGAAATAACCGATATCCACACAGATAAGACGCGGCTAGAGACATGGCATGATTGAAACAAAGAGATGTATGGACCTACCACATGGTTATAAAAAATATTGGGCAACCAACAACCAGGCCCGCCTCGCCGCCGCCAAATTGGCGGCGCCACCCTTCGAGGGCCTCGGCGGCCGCGCGCGATTCGGCCGCGGAATCCTATTCCGCCTCCCAGAGAGGCTGGGATATCAAAACCTCTTTTGAAGAGGAGCAGCCTCTTCACGCGGGGGGAGAGGGGGCGGGACATAGAATCAAGGATTGCTTGTGTCAGTGCCTGTCTGCCGGGGAATAGATCAAGAGTGGTGGTAGGTATAAATGACTTACATCGGAGTTGCTGCTGGTGCTGTTGCTGTTGCTGGTGATGTTGCCGTTGATGTTGCCGTTGATGTTGTTGTTGTTGCTGTTGTTGGTGCTGATGCTGGTGGTCGTGATGGCGATGATAATGAAAAACAAAAGAAAATTTCATAACAATTTTTACGAGTGTGACACGGAAATGGCTGGTTACACAAGGGCTACGGTCACAAGACCTAGGGCAAAGTCCCTCACTGACTTCTTGTATTTAAAGACGTCTTTGACCTTTAAGGCCTTAAGGAAAACCAAGGACCTTTGATACCAAAGACTGTTATTAGTTGAATTGAGCTATTGCTCCAAGCCCTCTTTCCGAGCCCTTGTCACAACGAGGTCTCCAAATGCATTGCGCCTTGAGACTGAGCTCGTCCTTCCTTCGGACACATATACCACCAGACTTGGTGGACTGATTCCCCTCTAGGGCTCGTGTAATTGACGCAAGTCCCTTCCTGTTGACGTCTGGTCGTGCTGGTTCTTTCTCTCGTCTAGTTGACTGCCCACCATGGATGCACACCGGTGTTCTTTGGTCTTCGCTCCTTGCCCATGCACGAGGACATCATTACACATTGCCAGCCAGTATAGATCCCACTTTGTTGGCCCAACATTAAAACGCAACACACCGGACCAGACAAGATTCAACACCAAGTACTGATGCCCCTCACCACGATGCCGCCTCTAAGTCGTAACGCTCTCTCGTGGCAAGGCCTCAAAGGTGGTAAAGACCTGGAATAAATATAAATTAATCTAAAGGGATTAATTAAATGGTTTTACTTAATCTATTGAATTAATTATACCTCCTGCCAGGTCAGGTTCTGGTTAGGATGCAAGGTTTTTAGTAACGTAAACAATTTTTGCAGATGCCGCCACACACCACTTGATCACTCCAGGAGCTTATCGACAGCTACATGTAGCGCATGATTACTGGTGATGCTCCGTCCGGGGTTGTGTGTCCAATCTTCAAAACGTTACTCGGGCAAGAGGAGTCCTTCGTCAAGTTGTTGTTCGGCCATATCATGGCAAGGAATAATCGACTGGGAGTTTGCTAGTACCATTCCGAGAAGCCTGCTCTCTCAGCCATCCATGGGTATATACATTTACAACTTGCCAGGGATAAGTTATGCAATCATTTTGTTACCCCGTTGGAAGAGAAGAGTAAGCACAACAGCGTATGCACTCGGCTTCAAAAGAAACTGTTCAAGAGAGTGGCTAACCACACGTCAAACGCGTTCCGCAAAGCCCACCTGGTTCGTTAGCCCCGGGGGGGGGGGAGGGTTTGCATACTGTTCTAGACTCTTTCAGATGTGACATCTTGGAGAAGGAGTCGCAGGCCAAGGAAAAAGAAATTGAATTCTTCCAGCAGCGACCACGAGATGTGGTGGAGGCGCGACGGCTGTTTGAGCGAAGTGAGAAATACACAAGATATTTGAAGCATATAGACTTTGTCATATGAGTAAGACGAGAATGAAGTTTGCTTTGAACAAACTTTGATCAGAGCCAGACGCCAAGACAGACAAACTTCGTAGGCACCGAATTATTCTTGTCTGCATTTTCCAGCGCCCTCCCATGGTCTTGAGTGACATAGGCGAGGAGGTCCCGTGTTTCTTTGAGGTCTTGAAGTTGGTCGTTTTAAAGATACCTAGCCTAGCCTTCGTAGTTGCTTCTGTGTTTCTCAGTAATTGATTGGCCCGCAGTTGAACTTGTTACACTTCATTCGCCCAATCTCGGTAGCGTCAACTCGTTTCATGGTTGTCCGAAATTACGGGAAGAAGACGGCGATATCTAACTGATTACGCCAAGGTTAGTCACAGCGGGCAAATGAGTGGTTTGATTCAAGGACAGCTTGCAAACCATGGTCTGCCCGGGGGCCCCATGCATGGAGCGGTCGAGTTGGTCTCACCATGAACTCCCTGCAATGTGGGACGAACCCATTTAGTCATATGAACTACGGCCCAGTTTGAACACCACCCGCTTGGCAATCAGGGGTGACCTTCCAAAAGTGTACTGTAGATACTAATCGGGGATATGCACCCTTTCTTCCATTCGATATGAAACGTACGCGATAGTGCAAGTCAGCGACTCCGCCACGAGGACTCCGTACCTTGTGCGGCATTTTAAATGAGGATATCCACGCAGCGTTTCAGGCAAAGAAAATGCACTTTTCTTCTTGTGCCATGAAGCCGTACGAGATCCCGAGCTTCTGTAACAGCGGGTACATTGATCTCAATGGCGATGGGCCGATGAGCCTGGCGGCCCGGGGAGGTTTAGCAGAAGCAAGTATTAAAGGTCAGATGGGCCATGCGAAGATGATTCTCGTTTTCGTCTGAACTTTTCATTCAACTACATTCTCTACATGACAACTGTGACTCAGTAGTGACTCCAAAATGAAGTGCTCGTTGACCACCGTCGCCGCTTTCGCCCCCCAGCTTGGCCTCGCCCTTGTGGGCAACGACTGGTCTTTTCCTGGCAGACCCTGGGACGGGTCAAGTGACGGGTTAAGAGACATCACTTTCCCATTCAACATGGCCGGAGCCTCTCACGACTCTGGTTATTATTTCGCCCAGCAATTCAACTTTCACAATGTCCCAGATGTTGGTTATTGCGGCATCCAGAACCGACCCGACACCAACGGGAAAAGCGTCGTACACGCCGTTTTTTCGTCCTTCCAGGAAGGCACTACTGCCGACATCAACGATGAAAACTGCCACAATGGTGCTGATGGCGGCCCCGGTGTGAGCTGCGCGGTCCAGGTTACCGGCGATTACAGCCACACCTACCTCTTGGTTATTGAGAATAACCATGGCACCACTTGGACTGGGACCGTGGTGAACACCGTCACTGGAAACCAGACTCGCGTCGGAACCTACACCTTGCCGTACGGAGCCGGCGGCATTCAGCCCCGTCAGGTCGGTTTCGTGGAATACTACCCTTGGAACGTCGGTGGCCCTGATTGTTCACGATTACCCAAGACCGAGGTCACCATGTATGACCCCTGGTCTAACACGCCTGGTGTTGGAAACGGTACCATGGGCAGGCCGTACGAGTATGGCCAGTGCGTTGGCAGAGTCAGGTTTTCTTCCCAAAAGCTCCCTGATGGCTACAACATTGACGTTGGGTTTGAGCGTTTGTAGATGTCGAGATCAGCGGAGTGACAATGTACATTTTTCTTCTAGCGACACATGAAGGGTTTTCAAACGTGTATTTATATGAGAGCAATTTAATCTTGCGGACAATCTAGACTACTCTGCTCCCCATGCCATGTGCACCAACGATTCATGCCTTGACAGCGACCGGCACAGGTGGCGGTTCCAAATTGGGCAACTTGTAGTCCGGGTCTGCAACTGCAAAGGCCTCTTTTGCATCTGCTGGAGGGGGATAGATGAGAGTCGTGTTAATGAATTGCTTGACCGACTTGGCCTGGCTGCCCGTGAAGACGACCTGACGATCCCAACCGGCGGTTACCACTGCTCCATTGGGCCCGAGGTCAAGGCAAGTGCCGTAATCCGGCTGGCTATACGGACGGTTGGGAAGACCTAGGAGATCGGCGGCGGCGTTGTGGCCCGACGACCGGCCAAGCACAAGGGCATGTTGGCAACTCATCATGGCCGTGTGGCCGTCCTCGTCGGTTACGGCGCAAGCAGCATCTCCAGTCGCAAAGACATGCTTTGTTTGCGCGACGCGGAGGTTCTCATCAACCACGAGGCGGCCCAGTCCGTCCTTTTCCCCCGGAATTTGTTGTGTCAAGCCGGTTGCCACCATGCCACCAGTCCAAACCACAGTACTGGCCTCGATCCTCTCGCCCGCCGAGGTTACGACACCGCCGGCGTCGACGGACGTGACAGCAACACCGAGTTTTAGTTCCACGCTGTAGCCGTCCAGTGCTTTCTGAATCTCGGGTCGCGGGCTCGGCCCTAGGCCTGGGCCTATAGTTGGGTTTCGTTCGACGACTATGACTCTGGTCTCTGTGTCCTGCCCCAATATGGAACGAAGTCGAGCGGGCAGTTCTGCTGCCAGCTCGATGCCCGTGAAGCCGCCACCACACACAATGACAGTGTTGCGAGCAGGGCAATCTGGGGCCCGTGGTAGACTGTGAAGATGTTGGTCCAGTGCGATTGCCGAGTGTAGCTGGTCCACATTGAACGAGTGTTGCTTCAACCCGTCAACATTGGGAACCCTCAGTTGACTTCCCGCAGCCAAAATGAGCCGGTCGTAATCTACTACGGCTGCGTCTCCTCCCGTGTTTACTACTCCAACCTGTCGCATCTTGGTGTCGATGGTCTTTGCGACACCCTGAATAAATTTCACCCCAGTCGCTGTGAAGAGATCTCCAAGAGGCGCTGCCATGGTGCCGGGATTTGCTTCGTAAAGTCGGGGCCGAACCGCAAGTGTTGGCTCGGGTGCGATGACGACGGTTTCAATGTCTTGGTCTCTGCCATTCTGGGAAATCAGTCGCCGGGCGGCCAGGGCACTGTACATGCCAGCGAAGCCAGCGCCTATGATGACAATTCGTTGCGGCATGGCTGTGAAAGAAGGGTGACGGGGACGATGGCTGGTCTTTGGTGGAAGAGCTATCTCGAACGAGGGCGTGTCGATTTCTCTGCGTATGCTTGTTCATTTTCTTGACTGGGACGTGGCCTCTGTTTATATACATGTTGGATCCCATGCACTCAACTCGACTTTACGAGGCGACTTCCGAAACAGCCGAAGCGCAACGTCCCTTGGCGCATTGTTTAGTTGATGGATATCCATCCGCCCGGTGGTGGCCGATTCTGCAGTTTTGCCAACCTGGTAGTCGAGGATTTGGTCAAGACACACCAACGTGATATCCACGACGCGGATTCCCGCCGCAAAGGCTCGCTTGGAACCACCTCGGCAGTCACACCTGACTTCTAATCTGAACATTGAACTCTGAAGTAGGTTATGGTGGCTTTGGTGGGTCCATGTCGTGTCAACCTTTGTGCTGACAATACATTTGATGTATTGACTGCTAGTTGGTTTCCCGTCTCAGCCGCTCATGCTAGAGTTGCCAACGACCAGACACAAGCCCAAAGCCACCAGGTTGCACCAACCAGACTCCATAAAATGCCATCAAATGGTTAAACGGGTTCCCGCTCCGCTGATCGAATACCCGGATACCCGCTTTCGACCTGCCGCACCACACTTAGCCCTCCACGTCTCCTCCGTCTTTGCCAACCAAGAGACGACCTTTGCGAGAAATTGGCACGCCATGTTCCGGCTACCGGTAAAGCCAGCAGCACCAAGTAACAAGGATGACACCCAGTGGGCAGCAGCAGCCCGAAGCCAGGTCGGCGACCGCAAAGGTCGGAGCGTCGCGGGTTTCGGTGGCCTGCCTCCCATGCCGGACACGACATATTCGTTGTGATGCCACAAAGCCCATTTGCAAGCGATGCGAAGAAGACGGCAAGGAATGCAACTACACAAAGTCACGACGGGGAGGCCTCGACAGAGCCGCCTTGGCTGCCAGGAGGGAGCGCTTGGCAAAGCAGTCGTCAACGAGCCCGCAGCATGACCCGGGCAGAGTCGCAGCAGATCTGCAGCAACCTCTACCTCTAGGTTCAGGCTCATCGATACCTGTCTTTCCAGAGTGTTTCCCTGAAGCGAGTGATTCCTTCTTCGTTGCCTCTTGTCAGGACTCCCCGCGCGCAAACCTAGTTGATGCTTCGACCTTGTCTGATTCGGACCTCGAATCTGACCCCTTCATAGACTTGTACTACAAGTGCTTTCACACCTTTCATCCCTTGGTCCTCCCACGGCATCGCCTACAAGTCTACTCAAGAGATGCCACCAAGTCGGAGAGGATCAAACCTGTGATTTCGGGGATTCGCTACATCGGATCACTGTATGCTCGTTCAGATCAAAGCGGTCAACTAGCAGCAAAGGCAGCCAGCGACATTGCCGACGCAAAAGCTGCTTCATCACCATGCCCCTTTTTATGCCAGGCGCAGCTCCTTTACTCCATCGTTTTATTCTGGTCCAGTGATCGACCTCAGTCTCAAACACACCTTGATGGTGCCATAGATGCCGCGACACTATTGGGAATGTCCCGCCAGGAATTCGCCGACACGCACAGCGACGGAGATGCTGTTTTAGCAGAGAGCTGGAGGAGAACCTGGTGGCAACTATACATCGTGGACTCACACTATGCAGCCATCAGACGCGACACGGAATTTCGTACCAGAGACATTCCGGCGACGGCGGATTTACCATGTGAGGAGCAAGAATATAACGCGGGAGTACGTGGCCTCGAATCCGTCGCATACGGCTGTCTGCCAGAGTCTACAGACTAACCAGACGCTTCATAGGTAATCCCAACCCCGGACTCACTCGCCGATTTTGATTCGAGAGAGTTTGCCTCAGACAACCATGTCTATTCATCATTCGCATATCTCATTGGTGCAACGAGAGGTGTCGCTCAAATAATGGCGGCAACACCGCCGGACAAGAAAACCTCGCCTCCAATCGAGCTTGTAGAGGCAGTGGATGCCATGATAGACGGGTGGTTGCTGCTATTGCCAGAGTGCAAGAGGCCTCTGATGTCCAAGACCGGCGAGATGGACGAGTTGCTCTTCTATGCCCACATGAGTATCCATGCGTATGCATCCCGTCGCCCGGTGGCTCCCTTTGCGCTCAACTTGCATTTGGACTTGGCTAACACTTGTTCCCTCTCGTCAAAGTTACATGGTAGGACTTCACCGCCCTTACTCGAACCTGCTATTCGATCCGCTGGAGAAGATCTCGAGTTGCTTCGTGTGCCCGCCAGAGTCCCATTCAGTCAGCGACACGACAGCCATTCACACCATGAGATGTCTGGCGTCTATTGAAGCCCAGGTCAGGATCATGACGCTCCCCAAGCGCCCGTTTTGCCACAGCCCATTCACGCTGTGCATGGTGACCACGGGGACGATTCCGTTCCTGTCGGCCTGCAAATTCCTCTTCACCGGCGCCAAGCTGTCGATTGCCCGCGAGCAGATCCGGCTGACCATCGGCTGTCTCAAATCCCTGGGCGAGGTTTGGCCGCAGGGAGCCAGGACCGTCAAGGAAATACAAGCCATTGCCCGCGAGGTGCTGGGCCTGGGCGCGTCTGCCGCACCACGAAGCGTCGTCTTGCCGAGCGATACGTCCTCGGCCGTCAGCAGCTCTCAACGCAGTCCCCTTTCGCAGAGCGGCAGCCAAAACAGCTCCATCGACGACTTGTTGTTTCCAGACACGATGGACAGTCTTTCGTCGTGCTGGGACATGCAGAATCAACAGATAGATATGAACTTGTGGTTTTCCAGCTACTGATGGCTTTGGAAATACAAAAGGCACTGTACACGTGCCCCCTGAATAATGTACTTTACTACCCCTTGTCCAAATTCGTCACTCTATGTACCAAACAAGACTTTGAGCCACGGCCCATGTACAAACAGGGCGTGCTGAGAACCGGCCTGTGTACGGAGTACCGGGCACTTGAGCCATCTATCCCAAATCAACGTCGACATGCCCGCCATCCTCCCATCCCTGACAACCGCCTTCAGGATCACCCCTGCCATTCAGTCCAAAATTGGCTCCGGGCTGGCTGCCCGCCTCGCATTCCTCAAGCACATAGGATCCCGACTCCCAGCACGTGTCGCCGTATTTACAAAGAAATACACATGTATCCATGTCGGTTATGCACCCTCCCTCGGTGTAAGCACTCATGGGCGACCCCGACATGTTGACCTCGCGAGATATGTTGACCGTGGCATGGCGCCCACTTGTAAACTCGCCCCAGGTGTTGTCGATTTGCCCGTATGGAGTAAGCCTAGTCTCGTGGTCAACGAGAGCAGACCAGCCGCCAGATACGCCATTCTCCATGGACACAGTCACCTGGTCGCCCTGCTCTGGCAGCGAGTACGAGACCTCGGGTGTCCGTTGTTGCACGAAGCTGGCTTCGTTGTCGCCTATAGGGAAATGCCAAACAATGACCGTCACGGGCTCGTCGCCCACGTTGGTGAAAGTAATCGTGTTGGGGCCATCGTCACCTATCCAGATGTTGGCCTCGGACTGGGACTCGGCGTTCAGCCCTTGGGCCGCCATGCCAATACTTGACATGTGGTCACAGTCTTTTTCGGTGAGGCCATATACCAGCGTGTCGCAATCAAGGCCGCGCTTTTTCATGGGCGCCTTGCTAATGTCAGTTGGCAACAGGTCATTTTTCAAGAGAGCGCGACTTGGGGGCTCTACGAAACACTTACACGCGAGTTGCAGCCGAGTCGACGGCGGATGAGAATGCCATGATCACGGCGGCAAGAAAGGCGACAGATGGCATTGTACAACATGAAAAATCAGGCTCGGCTCGTCAACGCAAATGATAATACAGGATCTGGAAATCACTAGGCGCAAATATAAAGCAAATAGAAGCTGCCCGACTTCCATGAGAAAATTACCATTCACCATGCCCGAATGTGACGGAATTGGTGATCCATGGCTCTAAACACGGCTATTTCTCCTTTCCATGTCACTCGGGCTGGGCTTTCTACAATAATCTGTCCTAGGCGTGTTCGTGAAACCTTTGTCTCACGTCTTTCTAAACTCGGATTCAACGTCGCGACAAAAGGAACGCAGAGCGTTCCTTTGCATGCCATTGCTGATGACCCATGGCACACATGATAATTAGATGGATTTTTCGTCAAAGAAGATATGTATATGCAACCACTATATAAGATGATGAAGTTTCATTTTTATTTGCGCAAATATGTGGGCATTCTTTTCATGGGGCGAAGCATTTTGGCTGCCTGCGTTGTCCGAGCTCGAGGCTCACATGGAGTCTACTTGGCGCCTGAATCCACGCGATTGTGACTCGCAAGGCAATTCATCATAGAGTAATTGCCTGCTCGTCGGTGACTGTATTCCCATCAATCGCTCCAGTCTACTTTGCTCCTCGCTCGCGGAAACCAAAGTGCTTCTTACATGGTAAGCGACCTCATGGGCTCGGGGCGTAAATAATTTCGGGTTGTCTCAGAAGCCGATGGCTTAATGATACGTTGCAGCGTGCTACTGCTACCCGTTTTGCGAGCAGAGTCAAAGCAATATGGTAATTGGTGCTCGGGGTTTGAGGCGCTTGACTGCTGCGCTGTTTCTCAACGGTGCAACGGGAGGCACTAGAATTAACACAGCACCACGTTTGTACATGACTGAAACCAGGTCTTATGAGTTACTGTAATGGCATTCCAGGTTAATGGCCTAGATCAAGTTCACGCCAGCCAAGCAGAAACCTGTCTTCGTACGATGGGCGTGCTGTTGAACCAGGCCCTGGCCAGTCCTTTACGGCGAAAGACGACCTCCAAGAGCAATTAATAGTAACCAGACGCTTTGCAGTTCACAAAGAGTTATTCATGGGAAACCCGAATGCGCCTCATGTTCCTGTTTATTCACTATTTTCCATCGCCGAGTCAAGATACCACTAATATCTTTACGTGCTATAACTATTATATTTCTTGTTTTTTATACTACTGCTCATCCAATGTCATCTTCCGCTGTTGGCTCGGCTGTACGCTTGCCGTTGCTCGGGGTCTTTTTCTTTTGTCTCCGGCCCTGGCGCCTTTTCGTTTTACAACCAGTGGTTCCCGTTGAGAAATTCGCCAAAGACCTTTCTTCTCATGCGTCAACAGCCACCAGCAGGAAAAGGGTTGCACGGCGCTGCCTTGCTTGTCCAGCAACCTGGCGCCCTTGGATCCTGCGGTGAGTACGGTAGCCAGCTTCTTCCCATCCGCGAGGTGGAAGGTTATACTGGCTTCAGTATACGCAGATGGAATCTCTTCCTGGTTGATAATGGGAAATTCGACGGCGCCAAGCTTGAGTCTCGGGCCATGGCCTCGCAGTTGCTCCAGCTCAGCGAGCTCCGAGTCGCTGTACGCCCTTTGAGCGGCGCCGTCGGCGCGCCACCAGCAAAAGGCCGTCAGCCAGCCGGACATGGTGCTGGGCTCACCAGAAGCTTCACTGCCAACTGAGTGGCAGGCTCGTCTCCAAAAGTCGTGTACACGCTCGTCGTTCGGCCGGTCGAAGCTGGCGACCATGAACTCGACGACGACGGTGAGGGCACGAGACCACTGCACCATGGGACGGCACCGGGACTCCGAATCAGCCCCATTGCCCTCGTTGTCCATGTCGTTGCCAGAAGTATCAAACTCGGCGAGCCGGGCCATGCGCCCCAGCAGGTCGACCCAGTCCTCACGCTCGCCGTGCAGTGTGACGGAAGGAAAGCTGCAACCCAAAATAGCAGCGTAGCCAAATATTCGCTCATGGTACCGAGGAAGGCGGCTGCGGCTATAGTTTTGTCCCTGGGCAGCGTGGTACTGAAGACGGGGAGTAGCCAGTCGGCCAAAGTATCATCGACCAGATGCTCGCGAATCATGTCGACGAATCGCTGCGTCATGGCAGGCACATCGACCTGTTCCACTGTCTGGCAATGCGGATAGGCAATCTCAAGGCGGCGGCGCCCCGCATGGTTGACGAAGCGGTCACGCAGGGCTTCAGAACGATTCTCGCCGTTGAGATAGAAGCTGAACTGCGTCAGCACAGAAAGCCACACGTCGTCGGGCCGTAGCTCGAGGTGCTGATCTTGCTGCCAGGCACGAAGCACTGTCCAGACGAAGCCATTGCTGTGCGGCACTACAGTGCCGTCATCAGCATCGGAGACGGATGTGTGCAACACTCGCCAACTTTTGGCTCGGTCTGGGATAAGATCCAAGGCGACGGATCTTGGCCGGTCCTGGCTGGTGCCGACGGCCGGGGGGCTAGACGGGGACTGTAGGTGCAGTATGGCGGGCATCGAAGCGACCAGACAAAATTGAATGGATGTAGCGCATCAGATGAGTCTGGTCTGCGGATGGCAGGCCTTGATGGACCACACGACGGTGTTGATGCGTGGACGTGGTGTGGTCTTGGTCTTGGTCTGCACAGGTCAAATTCGTCATGCGACAGGGTACACGATCCTGCAAGACACGGCATGGAACAATGTGTTTTGAGAGTCATCGGCCACACTAACGCAAGTGTGCAGTGCTTCATGCTCCGGATGTGCCCGCTTGACGATCCCCTGTGTTGGCTCTGGCAAGCAACGATTCAAGTTCCAACCAACCGTCACGACAGCCGCGGGTTTCTGGAGCATATTCCACAGAGATTAGGACGAAACAAAGCTCTCCATCCATGTGCCGGGGCCTTTTAGCTGTACAGCTGGAGGCCAGGTACAGACGCCTTGGTCAGAAACTGGGATATCCAAGAAACGGTGAGTCTATTTTGAGCGAGAGCCAGGGCAATCGAGCATTGCATCTTCGTCGCCAACGTGGATTGAGGCATCCAAGGGGAGCGGCGACGCTGCGGGATGCTGTCTCATGTAGGCTTCTTGTGCATGGGATACCACTCTTATCAGCAACAAAAAAGAAGCTCTCCTCCTATTAAATCTCCTGCATAAAGCGGTCTTGTTTGTCCGTCAAAGCTAGTAGGTATTTCCAGATGGCGCACTTCCCCAGTCCGACTCGAAGCGTTCCCAACCACCATGTTCCAGCTCACTGGCCAAGTACATGGTGTAAACAACCATGTCATAGTAGCCGTCGGCCGGTGTCTTCCCGGCACACACATTCCCGCCCATGGCAACATTCAACAAGATGGTCATTTCCCTCATCGGCCGCGTCCCCTCTGGTATCGGCGCCTTCATGACAGGCCTACCGTCAATGTACCAAATCATCCTCCCCTGTCCTGGCTGACCACCCGGCTGCTGCCATGCAAAGTCGTAGCGAACGGGTCGGGCATGCATATCGGGGATCTTTGTCCCCAGAACGCGATGCTTGTCAGCCTCGTGGTGCTGTCCCCAATGCAGGCATGTCCTGTTCTCGTGGTCGCCGTTCCACGTCTCTGCAATGTCGATTTCTCCATCTACGGGCCAGCTGAACGGCTCTTGGGGCAGGAGCCAGAATGCAGGCCAGATGCCCTCTGCGCAGGGGGACGTGATGACGGCAGTAAGGACACCTTGGTCTCGCTCGAGGGTATGCCTGCTCACCAGGCGGGCCGAGGTATATTTCTGCTCGGGGCTGGGTGAGGAATTGTTTGCCAGAGCTCGAATGACGAGCTGCCCGTTTGGGGTGCTACACGTCAAAGGTTAGCCATGATCATTCATCACAAGTGTCCAGCTCCATGAGGCGAGAGGGGAGGTGAGATGATCGTACTGGAACGAATTCTCGGGAGCAGCGGTGTAGTGTTCCAGCTCCTGGTTTCCCCAACCGTCAGGCCCGTTGCCCAGTTTCGCGTCCCATTCCACATGGACAGGCGTGTCTGGGTACAATCTCGGAACCCAATAAGTGTGGAAGCTCGGGCTGGGACCTGGCGGCGGCCTGGAAGCCATCGGTGGTGGAGGCGGTTGCTGATCTTGAGCCTGATCTCTGGGATGGATCATGCTCTCAAAGTCGGCCTTGAGGCCCTTGAGCTTATCCTTCCAGGACATGTTGCGGCAGTATACAATGTACAAAATGTAGTCACCCGAGCTGGGCCAAGGTCTGACCTTGAAAGTTGCGTAATATTTGAGATGTTGGGACGCGGGCTCGCAGCTCCACGCCAAGGTTGGGCGTGACGTCACCTGACTACGACGATGGAGTGGCTGTGTGCATGCTTGAACAGCAAACGGCGGAGCAAAGTCGCAGAAAAGACAGTGAAGTAATCACTCGGGAATGTGGACAAGTTTGACATTTGGTCTCTCTCGTGCGACTGCTATTGTGTCCGTCTTTGCTCTGCCATCATGACAGGTAACCCTAACCTTCGTGATGCACGAGCCACCGGCGTGGCTGGTTGATCCAATTGGCTACCCTATATAGGAAATGTGTCCTCATTGATCTAAATAAAAATCTGCTCGCCCCTACAATGGTTTTTTATTAATGCAAGAAATGACGAAACGATAGAAATGCTTACCGGGTAATGGCGCCAAGAGTGAGTCTGAAAGAAGCCGCACAATGCTGTCGGCGTCTGGAGGCATCAATTGATTCTGTCGTACAAGCGTCCATCAATCAATCACCCCTGACTGATCACGACTAGACTGCTGCTTCATCCACGCCGCGATACCTCCAGACAACCTCCATCGACCCAGCGACACAATGACGCCCAAGCCAGTCGCCATTCCGCCTCCAAATGGCAACCGTCGCCTCGAAGCTTTGCCGATTCTCCTGTGGTCTCTTCTCATTGTCCCATCCCTCCTGGGTGTCTCGACCATTGCGCCGGTAATCAGACACATGCGCGAGGCGTTGCGTTACGAGTCCAATGGCGCCACTGTCCCGTTACTCGACCGCTTCACAGGCATCGACTGGCTAGACCAGATTGTCGGGGATCTTGTCACGTCCTTTGGCCTGCTTCAGTTCCGCCCAGACTCGCCTTACTACTGGCACGCATTGGACTTTTTGGCACAATTTGGTTCCATTTACGCGGCTTTGCTTCTGGAGTCGTGTCGCCGCGCTCACGGGTCCCAATTGCTGCTTTGGTATGCTCCCCTGCCCTTTATTCCTGACGGCGAATGCTGATCATTTTTACTGCAGGACCGTATTGGGGAGTCTTTTGGCACAGCTTACCACGGCAGGACTGCTTCTGCCTGTGTACTTTTACTTTCTGCATGGATCAACTACCTTGTCCAAGCTGGTGTCCAGCAACGGACCCGAGGAGCTCCGCGACTCGTCGGCTCTTTCTGTGCTGCCTGCCGTGGCCTTGTCATTCTATGTTCCTCACTTTGAATCCTTCCTGGGCCCGGACTTCTCTGCACGACACTGGTGGAACTGGGCCTGGCAATTGTTCGGGCTATGGGGTGCCATTCTGTTCCTGGGTTTCTGTGGCATGCTCTGGACTTTGCGTCAACTGCTCCCCATGATGCCCACGAGCTTGTCCAAGCGCGTCAAGTTGCATAATGGGCTGAAAGCTACAAGACTGACGGCAGTTTGCCTGGGCATGGTCAATGTAGGCACCTATTGGTACGTCCTGATGAGTTCGCATTACTCGTGGAGCGAGGTGTACGTGCCCAAATACTTTTGGCAATCCGCAGCAGACCCTGGAGCCGCCTTGGGCACACTTCTCCAATTCGACTATATTTGTGTTTTTGGCTCGGCCCTGACGTGGCTGGGCTACCAGTTCAGAGACCTGAAGACGGCCGGATTAATAGAAACCAGTTGGGCCAAAATCACCAGTCTCGGTCTCATTGTAGGTGTACTTTTTGGGCCTGGAAGTCTGTGGTGGGTAGCCTGGCTGATGAGAGAGGAAATCCTCACTTCGCTGCGACCTCGACGAGAGCCAAGGAAGAACGACTAGGCGTATTGGACTTGGTTTGTACATGGAACAGGATAGACCTGAAGGCGACTTGGACGTGTGGACTGGCGCATTCCAGACTTGGTCGCCGAAAAGACATTGGCGCGCGAGATGCAGTCGCAGAAGCATCGAGAAAAGGGGAAACAGAGCTGAGCTCGGAGGCGGCTGTATTAACGCACCAAGGGCTTTCTACAACTCGGTCGGCTTTCCTCAGTGGTTACGGAGCTACTTTGTCACTTCATCGATAACGAAGAATCCCCATGTTCTTTTACATGGTCGGCATAGTGTTTGGATGCGTCGGGTTGCCGCTTGAGGCTCCTCTGTTTATCTCCATTTCCCTCGCCATCACAACCTAGCCTGGATAGTATGATGATAGCCTCGAGATGCTACCGTGGTAATTGTGCGACAATGACGCTTCTTAGAAGTCTCATGTTTGGTAGGAAAGTGCAGGGGTAGAGCCTAGCATCTCCAAGTTGGTTCCCAAGGTCCCGAGAAAAGATACTCGAAGAGACGCTAATCAGCGTGGAATATCAAGGAAAAAAGAGGCAAATAAAGCAGAGAGAGCGAACATCTAATACAGCATGCTTTCTAGTTTCACTACATTTAAAAAAAGAGGCCGAGGTAAGGGCCAACTGGTGGGATTTTCACTCCAAGTTCATAAGATAGGAGCAATGGATGAAGACATAGAAGGAGAATATAAATTAGAAAGGCTGAGGTCCAATAAAGCACTCTTTGTACACTTATAATATTTTAAGGAGATGATGCTAATTCTCCAACTTGCTTGCAGATAGAGCGATCCTAATAATCTCTTTTATAAATTTCCAAGCTAATAGTATACCAAATCAATACAAAATCTTGAGATAGCAGTCCCTTCGCAGAATATATGGACATCGTCGCTCAAGGTCGCACACTTGATGCCAATTTTTTCGCGATATAAAAATGCCATGAGAACTAGCGGGATACTCCTAGCCTATATGGTAAACCATCATGTCCTGCAGTATGATCTACCTGGTATATCAGCATATACTTATGAATAGGCAAATGCACTCTTCTACAAGCTATACATGACATAGTTAAAACCCAGGAATATGTATATGAAAGTCTCATTCTTGTACTAGCCAGGCTGGATATACTTCTATCCGATTGTATTAGCAATGCCAATTTCTAAGCCACCTCCTGCGCCATGTGCCAAGACGCCAGCAAATCTTCACATATAAGCCCAATCTTCCAATCCCCTCGGACTCTTGCCGAGGACGAAACGCTTTACAGGCCATCGCATGCACTCGGGTACACTGCGGTGGCAGTGTCCTCAGCCATACGGTCTGGGTGGGCTGCTGTGTTGGCCGCGGGTTCCGTGGTGAAGTACACGATCGACCGGCCAAGTGCGAGCATCAACGGCCACTCCAACCAAAATGGGGACTTTTTAAGAAGCTAATAAATGCGGAAACTTGCGTGAGAGATCATTTCGATTGCGTTTGGCCGGGATTAGATTGTCTACTTGCCCTCGCCACAAACTGCGACAAAACGACCGTTTGGCGGCCCGACCTGAGCTCTTCCATTTCGGCGCCTTGTTCATAAACGGCTCGAGTTCAACAACCCTGGGAAGGGTATCTGTATCAAGCATTGTGGCAGAGCGAGCCGGACACTGACAAAAGATTGTCCAGGACAGAATCTCCATTGTGAACTGCTAGCCATGACAGCGGCTTTAATCTTGAATGACAATGATACTCTCCTATTATACCGCCTCGTGATAGCAGTAATCATTGCTTTGCGACGGGACTTGTACCCATGAAATTGGCGTCATGCCGTGTAAATCACTTCACTTCTACCCCGCATGCCGGTGGCTTCTCCAACTCAATACAATAAGCACATTCCGAAACTCAACAAGACGAAAGCAAGTCTACAGAAGACTCTGACAATACATTCTCCAAGATGGTGGCTCAGAAACCTTCATCCCGGATCCGCGACTGGGGTTATAGTCCTGGGCGCTTCCCCACAGGTCCTCGCAATTCTGTTCTCGATGTCCCCGGTGCGTACCGAGTACACCGTCGGGCGGTTATTTTCGTGGGCAGACGAAGACGAAAACTGACCAAGTCGGGCAGGCGTTCGTGTCGGCCAAGTAGACATCAACAAGGGCGAGGACGTGCACACCGGTGTGACGGTCATCTTCCCCCGAGGCATCGACAAGACGACTTACATTCCATGCTACGGGGCGGTGCACGACATGAATGGCATTGGTGAATGGACGGGGGTGCACCAACTCCGCGAATGGGGGTTCTCCCGAGCGGTGCGTACGATTTTCGCATTTCCCCTGGTCGTGATCCCGTCGGAAGATTTGACGAATCATACAGCCGATTGCATTCACGAATACCGTCAGCGTGGGCAAAGTCTACGACACCCCTGGCGGTGGACGGCCCAGCGCCTCCGACAAGACGGCATCGCGGACCTGCTTGACCAGGTGCAGTACTATGGATTTCCTACCGTCGGCGAAACCTTTGACGGCCTGCTCAACAACATATTCAAAAGTGCCGTGGAGGAAGAGCACGTCCTAGCGGCCATCAAGAGCGCCGAAACCCAGGGGGCTGTTCTGGAAGGGAACCACGGCGGCGGGACGCCATGCGGAGCCATGGCTTCAAGGCCGGCACGGGAACAAGCTCGCGCGTCTTGAAAGGCGACGGGGACATCGAGTACACTGTTGGCGTCATTGTGCAGAACAACTATGGCAGCATGGACGACCTGCAGATTGACGGGGTGCCCGTGGGGAGGATGCTCAAGGCCAGAAAGATGGCCATGGCGGCGCCGACGGCCCCGGAGAGTGGCAAGGCCGCCGAGGGAAGTGAGTTGCTGTCCTGTGCTTGTAGCAGGGTACATGCTGACGGTTGTGTCAAGGCTGTCTCGTTGTCATCATGCAAGTCCCATGGCCACCATGACGGGAGAATCGGAATGCTGACACGGTTGTAGCACGAATGTGCCCCTTCTCCCACACCAGCTTAGACGCATAGCCCAACGGGCCGGCATGGGCCTCTCGCAAGTTTCCGGCCACGGGGTCGGGCGGAACTTTAGCGGCGAGTTCTTCATGGCCCTTTCCACCGCAAATACTCCGGAATCGCCGTCGTCATGGGACGGGGTGAGTAGCAGTTTGCCGCCGTTGCTGGAGACGGATACCGTGGAGACGATGAAATCCATGCTCATTGACTCGGTGTTTGTTGCCGCCGCCGAGGCCACCGAGGAGGCGCTTCTGAATTCCATGACGGAGGCTGAGACGATGAAGGGATTCAACGGATTCGAGGCCAAGGCACTGCCGAGAAAGGAGGTCGAGGAGCTGCTCAGGAAGCATGGGAGAGGATACGTGCGGGATCTGGTACCTGAGTCATATACCAGCCAGATTGGCTTGTGAGAACAAAACACCCAACGTTTAGTAGCCGCAACATGTATCAGACAAATTAGTATTAATTGGTTTGGTATGCAACGCTCTGCAACACTGCCGAAGAAGCATCTTCATCAAGCCGCGGTTCCCGTCCCGACTATCCTCCTCAGATCATTGAACCAGACATAGCGACTGATAATCATGTACAAGTGTCTATCCCACGTATACTGGCTGCCGTGACTCGCAAAAGCTCGCCTGGTCATCCTGTAACGATGCCACGTGTTTGTTATCAACGCGCGCGCGCTGTACTTGGGCTCCGCTGAGCTCGACGGGAAGAAGACGGCGGCGAGAATCCTCCACAGGAACGAGAGTGCAGTCAGCGGCAGATCCAACAGGAAGGTGTACTTCCGGGGAAGCGCCACCGAGACAACCATGTACGATGCCGGTGCCTTTTCATTCTCCGCCACGTATTGACTGGGGTGCCAAAAGTCAGCTGTGATATCTCGGCAAGTTGCTGATAGCAAAACACTTACTTCACCGCAGAGCTGACGGCTCGGTGGTTAATGTGGCCCGACACACCACCTTCATCAAAAGTGATGATCTGTTTTCGAGGATTGTCAGTTGGCTGTATGGCCGTTCTGGTCCCGCGGAAGCATCACTTACGGCATCAATGTCCCACTTCTCAATGTACTCCTTCAGTATGGGCTTGATCTTGGCCTCTTCCCACCAGACCTTGGGATTATCCTGCAAATCAGGGTGATCTAGAGCAACGCACCGAGATTTGTCGATGCCAAGTGCCCCGCAAGAACCCAAAAGTTCCGTCTTTCTGGTCTCGCCAAGCCCATAGTTATTGCCTATAAAGGCACGTATCAGCAAATGGAATTGCGTTGAACGGCCAAGTCCGATGGTGCTCATGGTAAAAGAAAAGGTGGCGTGTGTAGATGAGCGGGAGGGAATACAAGATTCATCACCATACCTGTAGACATGACGACCAAGCCGCCTTTGATGCTCTTGTTCCTGTCCAAAACGCCCAATATGCTTGGCGAGAAGAATAAACACTCATCGTCAGGGTGGGCCGTGACGATGAGCAGGTTCTTCGCCTTGGAGAGCTCGGGAGGCAGCAAACGAGCGTCGCCCCCTACCATGTAGGCCAGAAACCATTGCAGGAAGAGAGGGAATAGACACACAATCAAGGCAATCCGGAGAAACCACCGACGACGGACGCGAGTGGCTACAAGCCAGTGGCACGCCCTTGATATGGGCTGCACTGCGTTGGTGAGCTTGCGCACCATGAGTGCTGACAACTGGGGAGGCAGAGATTGAACTTTTGTAGGGGTCTGATGAACCTCAGAATGTCGCGTAGATGGGTAGTGAGAAGCACATGGAGCGTTCCGTGGCTATCAAGATGATGGAGATGAGGTCACGGCTGTGATGGATGGCCGTCTCAAGCTGCTTGAATATCGATGTGATTGTCGAGGCAAACTTGGTGCCACTGAAAGCTGACATCACCGCCTGGCCGGAAATGAAAGAACAGTATGGGAGTTCAGGCTGCGCCACAAGTTGGTGCTTGTGGCGGCTGGTAGTGTGGCGCACATGTACATTTGTACTTGAGTATGGAGTACACCGTTGACTGTTTTTTTTTTAACTGCGGAGTGCGGAGACGGATAAATTAATTACTCTCACTCGTTTCATTTATTTTACAGAATAGGTTGGCATGGGTCTCCCGCGCGCTCACCGGCACATGTGGTGGGAAATGAGACGGCTCCTCACTTTAAACGTCGTCGGAAGTGGGCGAGCGCCCCTGTGACATACATGCCAGGTCACCAACAATAAAAAAAAAAAAAAAAAAAAGGGGGGAAGAGGGAGAGAGAGACGAAGTTTGTTTCAAAAACAAGCTAGAACCACCCGATTCATGGCCATGTCATCCTTCCAGCTTTGATATCTGTTGACCTGACTCATCCTTGGTCCGCATTGGCAAAGGAATAAAACTGAGACGAAAGGCCATCCAGTCGATAGATATTCTGGCAGCGCGTCATCAACGCCATCGCACTCCCCCCACACCGGCATCAATGGGGGCCCCCGGCTGGAGCGTCTCGAGGAGTAAAACCCGCAACGAAGCTACTGGATCAGCCTTGAGAGCCTGAGCCTGACTCCAGAATACTGGCCTTCCAAGGTTTGCAGGTTGACGACATGGACGTCCCGGCGACATCTGGGCGCCACGACTGCCCCTTCCCGCTACGTAAATTAACTTGCAACAGTCCGGCCGCCTCGCCACGTCATTCGCGGACGCGTCTATTCGTGCCCCAGTGGCTAGTCACTGTTGCTCGCATGAGTCCTTTCCCATTCTAGCTTGGCGGCGGCCTCCATGCTTCATGAACTTTGGTTCCTTGATTTGAATTTTTTCTTTGGTCTCATCTTTTTTCGGTTTGGTTGTTGTCGCCTGAAGTAGCTAGGAGTCAAGGTCGTATTTGCACGGATTGTTCCGTAGTCATGCTCACGCCTTCTACAGTACTACCGGCATACATGTTCTCGTCTGGCTTACGGAGCACTTTGACTGCATCAAAATTGGACCGTCGACAGCAGCCTGTGTCTCCTCGATAGGCCGACTTGAAACCCCAAACAGCCTCGAGAACAGCGGACAGCGGAAATCAAAGCTCTAGTCCGACTCCGACCAGCTACGGCGATCGGCACGGCTGGGTCCATCCATGTCATACCTGACTGTGTGCTACCGAGTAGTACTACGGTGTTTCAACAGACATGGTGCCAATCCCATCACAGCACGGAGGACAGTCCCTGACTCCCTGGTGAGTGGTGACGGCGGCTCTCGGCAGACTGGGTCCAGCGTTCCACTGATGATGATGATGATGGGCCTTGGCCTTCTTGGCGAGCCTTGTAGGGCAATCAATCGGACAAGGCACTGCTTCGTCCTCGTACATACTCCCAGGAAACGAGGCTAGTGCCTGGGTTAGCCACCTACTACAGACAGTCCCTGGCGAGAGCGAATGCAGACTACGACACGATTCTACCGAGTAATAAATAGCCAGCAAGATTTGTCCCAGAGACAAACTCGGTGCCCCGTGGGCCGCCGCCGCCGGTCTTCTAGCAATCCGCGTTAGTCCCCGCAACTTTGGGCCAGTTCTCCATCAAGGAGAGAGGCTGTGATGGTGAGATGGTGCGCCCGGACACTTCCCGAACAGAACAAGATTGCACCTTGGGGCATTGGCAGTGGCTTGGCCATGGCTGCAGCCTAGCTCTAGGAATCCGTGTTGGAACATGGCTCGCTGGATCCCAGTGTGCCGTGTTGCCGACTGAGCAAAGAATACACTCATCTGTTGACATGTAAAATTGACAGCCACTAACCAACACAAGGCCTGGACTGGGCCACACCCAACCTTATGGCATGATTGCGACGACGAACATGTGGTCGGCAACCGTGGCTGCATTTGCCCGTCCGCTGCAGAGCTAAGAAGAGTGTGGCATGGTTTCGAGAGCTTCGCCAGCCAAACGCCATTCGGCACCTTGTCATGGTCGTTACACGTCGGGATGTCATCTAACGCTTCCCATTGATGGATGGTATGGACCGTTGACCTCTAGGCTAGGTTCCTTCTAGGTATGTAGGTAGGTCTACGGAGTACGGGGTATGCCGTACGCAAGTCTATCTTTTCGTGGAACAGAAGACGCTCTTGCTAGTACCACGCAACTTGTTACGACTGCGGCTGGGACCCTCCCGTTAACCGAAATAATAGGCATCGAATGTCAGCAGTGGGCCAGAGGATTCGATGATGATGCAACCAACCCGACACACGCACAGCTTCGTGTCTGACAGGTGCAGTATTGGTCGCCAATCGTCGCGCACACGAGACAGGGACTACGGAGTGAGCTGGCTGCTCGTGCAAGCAATGCGGTCACGAATGTGTGCTGAAAAAGGACATGGAACAAAGAACAGCGTCACCAACCGTAACCCGTCGTACTCCATGGAAGCAAGGTAATCTGGGCAGCGAGATGCGACCGAGAGGCGAAAAGTCATGATGACATGCTTGAAAGCTTGTTTCAAGCCACATAAGATGCACGCCTTGCTGCGTTATCAGAGACTATGGAGGCGGGCAATGTGGCTTGCCAACCCTGGGTAGCGCTGGCTCAGACCATGTCGGGAGCAATGGCAGCAAATGGTTGAGTCGAGTTGATCGGACCCTTTCAACACGCCGTCGGTTGGTATCATTTGTCCTCGTTTATACTCGTGCGGCAATAGGTGCAGACGTGATGAGCATCAAGAACTTGGGAGAGCACTGCACTTGTTGGAGCTTGGGGAGTGTGTGCCTGGCGTCAAGGCCCGGGCCCAGGCCCTTGTCCAGACGCGTGCCGTTGACGGTTCAATGCTTCGTCCTCTTGGTGCTCTGTGGTTCATTTGTGCAAGAATATAATGTCTGGTTATGTGCGGTACCAGACCTGACCCTGAAGTGCCTCGCCCAGCGGTGTAGCGAAGAGGTACCGGGGTACCTGGGAAGCTCAAGTGCTCAGTTGTCAAACAGGGCTGCCGCCCATCCAAGCAAAGGCCATGAAGCCCGCCCACTTGATCCGCGACTCGAGCGCTCATCAACCATCTCGGTGGATGCAACGACCAGTTGACATGGACTGGCCCGCGCCTCATTCACCAGACTCCATCGCTGCTTCACTGCCGCTGGCTGCAACCCCTGCACCACCTGCAACAGCCCTATTGGCTTAACGTTCGGCCTCGTCTGCCCCGTTTCGCCCGCCCAACCGCTCAAACCAGTTGACCCGTCAGACTTGACCCCGGTGACAATCTGGACCACCCTCGCATAGCCCCCGGTGAATCACCCCCTGGTCCTCCCATCTGCCCTTTGCCTGCACTGTTTGTGTGCCGGGGCTTGTTCTTTGTCCCGCTGCGCTCCTGCCTCATCCTCATGTAGTAATCTGTACGACACTCGACCTCCCTCCTTTATTCAGCCGTCAGCCTCCCTTCCCGTTCATCTTTGCTTCTTTCTCCTCCTCATACACTCCGTCTGTCTCAGCAACCAGTTTAGAAACGCTTCTCAACGGCCGGTACTCACTCTCCTTTACCGGAAAGGAGAAGCAGCATTATTTCGACTTCGACTTCGACTTCGCATCGTCCTCGTCGTCGCCCTCAGGCTTGTTGCTCGTCGTCGACCAAAACTGCCCGACCTCTGCATTTCGGATCGCCCCATTCCACTTCAACATGTCTGCGCTCCTTCACTCTTGAATTCATCATATCTTCGGTACCATTGATCTTTCACGATCTTGGAGTCTACTTCCATCATCCGCATGCCATCGACCTAACCTGTCGCATTTCCTCGCTTCGTTAATATTGCAATCAAATTGCACTCACAGTCGTGCGCCTCATTTTAATCTCTTCACCGAATTCTCTCACCTACAAGCACCCATCGTCCTTCCTCAAGGGTTCGAGGACTCGACACGCCCTTGTAATAATAGTGCCTCTCAATAACGCGCTCGAATCGCCGTCATACTCGCGAACTATCCCTCGACTGGCCAAACACTCTGGCCATAACGCGATAGAGGGCGTGCAATTGTTCTCAAGCACAAGGAGCGGGATTTTTGGGAACATACGGAACGGCGAGAAAAAAAATTCACAATGCACAAGTCATCTTATATACGGAACCAGTCTGGAGGAAAATTCCGGCAAATCCTCCTGGCAGCCCTGGTAATATTAATCGTTTCTATGTGGTTCGGCCGCCACCTCCTGTACACAACTTGGACACTCGCCGCGCTCCGCATATTCTGGCACGACAGCGCATCCGATTTCATTCTGTCCGAGTCGCACGACAATTTTGACGTGTCTTTTGCCAACTATAGCGTACACCAAGTCAGTGCTGAGCCGTATGAAGACGTGGTGCCGCCCATCTTGCACCACATCGCATTGGGAGACAACGAAGGCCGATGGAAGGGTCGCTGGGGGGAGGCTGTACAGAGCTGCCTCGATATACATCCTGGCTGGGAGTCACATATCTGGACCGACGACAAAGCCAGCCAGTTTGTCAGCGAGAAGTTCCCTGAGCTGAGGGAGCTCTGGGACAACTATCATTATCCCGTGGAGAGGATCGATGCCCTTCGATATATGCTCCTGTACGCTTATGGAGGAGTCATCCTGGATATGGACCTCAAGTGCAAGCGAGCCTTGGGTCCGCTCCGACGCTTCTCCTTTGTTGCCCCCGAGGCTCACCCGACAGGCTTCTCTATCGGGTTCATGATGGCCAGCAAGGGCAATGCCTTTGTTGGCGACATTGTCCGCAACCTCACCGTTTACAATAAGGAATGGCTGGGGCTTCCGTACGCAACCGTCATGTTCAGCACTGGCTGCCATTTTGCGTCGGTAATCCACGTGTACGAATCCAACCGAACCGACCTCAAGATCCTCCCGGGGCCTCTGCACAGCTTGAACGGGCGGGTATCGACACCCATCTTTGACCACCTGGGCAGCTCATCATGGCACTCGTACGACGCGAAACTGATTGTCACCATTGGAAGCCGAATCAACCTGATTTTCTTCTTCTTTGTGGGAGTTGCGCTGGCGCTGTTTTTGAGGAGGAAGGCGCTGCTACGACGATTTTAGATACCCCCCCTTCCCCGTCGGACCTATTCTTGATGTCATGCTTGCTTTGCCTGGGGGGTCATGCTTGTACGCGGGAAAATGCGAGATTGAGAGGGTGACGGGCGAAGTCTTGCCGCACAACACCCCCATAATACGACGCATAGCAACATTTATATATATATACATGGTTTGGTTGATTGCTGAGCGAAAGGTACATAGAAATATTGGACACTTTGTCCTAATTTAATGTGAGCGTTATTGTAGCGTCAGGCTTGTCGTGTGCAGTGCCCAGTGTGCGGGTGCGATTGAAACATTGGAAGCAGCAAGCATGGATGGGGATGGCACGAACAAGCGTTCAATGAAGTGGCTGCCAGCTCTAAGCCCAGTCTTCTGGACCGAGGCGATGAGACCAAGAGTAAACTTCCCCAGTCCCTGATGTCCGGGAACGGATAACGGACTAATATGGTCGAATGATGATTCCATGATTCGTTGAGTCGGTAGGGAATAGCTGTTTTGTTCTGGCTAACCCGTTGTGACGATGAGTGCTGACTGGATGGCCCCGGCCCGTCAACATTGGTGTAAAGTCAAATATCAATTGATACTGAAAGTCAGTGTATCGGCTGTTGGGCTGTTTGGACTGGGTTTTACAGGTGGACTTTACTGTTCATTGGCCAACCCTCAATTCAATGTTGCATCTTGGGCCCCGCACTTGAGTTTGACCGGGAGCGGACACTGGTGCAATCAAATCTCAGTGCTATTTGAAGCTAAGTAGCTGGATGGGTTTTTTTTGGTTTTTTTTTTGGGTAAACACTTTGCGGCTGCATTAGGTGCTGGTCAGATCGGCAATTGGGGTGAGGGGTCATATCTGACGGTCACATCTACATAACAGTGCAACTATGAAGAGCGTAGTGATTAGTAGACTCAAGATTCACTAGTTGGCCATTTACAGCGCTTCGCCCCTGGGAGCCCCACCCGCAGCACGAGCATTCCCCCCCCCTCTGGCCCCTGGTGCCCCAGCGCCCGCTGGCATCTGGAATCCAGCAACCCATGGCTGGATGGATGCTCCCAATGTGCGCAGGTCCAATTGATGTATTCAACCTACTTTTTTCATGATACGTGAGGATACTTAAATATACTTTATTATTAATAATAATAATTAATATATTTTTGTATATTAAAGCATTTTTAAAATCTTAATAACTTCTATTATTATATAATTTTTTAATAATTATACATATTTTTTAAATTAGTAATTATTATTAGTTAGAACCCTGGTCCGTTACAAAAACTGGACCTGCGCACATTCAAAGGGATGCAAGTTGCATTTTGAGACTACGCGCATTGGACGCCTCCGGTTGCCACCGTCGATCCGGTTGGGTCACAAAATTAACACCTCCTGCACACCATCAACCCATTCTCGCCCGCAGCCGCCAGCCGCCAGCCTTGGCATTCATTCATCCGTTTCCGCCCCTTGCGTAATAAGGCATCATCCCCTCGTTTGCTCCCCCGTACCTGATTCTGCTTCCGTCTGGCCTCTTCCTCTCGACTGCCGGCGTGCCCAATCGCCCAAATTCCTGCCAGCATGTTCCTATAGAGCAGAAAGCTCGTCCATCCCACCCGTCGACCAGTCTCGATTACCTAAACAACGTTCTTTAGCGGCTCACGATACTGCATTGGCTCCCTCCCTCCCTCCCCTAGGCTTCTCGATACACAAGCCGGTCTGCCGTTTGCTTCCGGGCTGAGAGAGCCCGCAATGCTCATTTCGCCTCGCTTTCTGCGCCTCCGGCCGCGCGTGCTTCTCTTCTCCAGTGTCGTCTTTGGCGTCATTGTCTTTACTCTTTTTTCCAGGTCGAGCGGGCCCCGGTTTTTGGATCAAGCGAGCATTCGCCGGCAGTTTCCCCTGGCATGGGAGCACATTCAGCAGTTTAATCAGCTCAATCGCACTGCTGGCGGAGGTATGTGGCCCCCCCTTCTCTTTATCGGGTCCTCGCTGCGCTCGAGAGAAGCGCAACGGTGGATTTGTACCCCGCTGGCAAAAGAATGGCCAAGCATCGTGCTGACTCCTCGAATAGCTTGGTTCGTCCCGCCGTCGTGGCAAGGAGACCACCCCGAGCCGGAAAATATCCTCGACGCTGCCAAAATTGCTTCAGAGGCTGCCAAACTCAGCCCCCAGCGACAAGTGCCCTTCTCCAACATTCCTCTTGTTGTCCATCAGAAGTGGAACGACGTCGATTTGAGCCGTTTGAACAGCCATCTTCTGGGTTACATCGAACGATGGCTCGAATATTCCGTTTCCGCAAATGACACCTTTCGCGAGATGGCGTATTTCTTCTGGGCCGATGACGGCGTTGCCTCCTTGGTGGATAGATACGAGCCTGATTTTGTACAAGACTTTGAAACCATGTTTTCAAGAGTGGAAAAGGTGGACATTTTCAGGGTTTTGGTGTGCAAGTGGTTTGGTGGTATTGTATGTTCCGTACTCTGTTTTCTTCCCCCCCCCCCCCTTTTTTTTTTTGCCGGTGATGGTGTCCCATGGTACGCAGGACATGTGGTTTTGCTGACAGGCTGATAGTACGGCGATGTTGACACCGTACCGCTAAAGCACCCGGCCGACTGGATTCAAAAGGAGGACATTACGCAGTGGATCGATGAGGAAACTGGCAAGATGTACGGCAAGAAACTGCCCACGGGTGATGATGCGGATGCCAAGCTTGCGAATACCAGACCCGTCAACCTCCTCTGGGGCCTCGAGGCGGACACGGACCCGAATACCAATCAATACTGGCGCATGGGCTACTCGCATCCTGTTCAGCTGACAAATTGGGCCATGGCATCTGCCCGGCAGCATCCCATTCTCCATCGATTCCTCGACCGTTTAAAGGACAAGCTGGTGACGGAGAAACAAGCTGCATTGCAGGCCGACGATGGCGAGAAACCCAAGGCCCACGATCCGTTGACGCGTACGGGCCCGGCTGCCGTGACAGAAGCCACCATTGCCTGGCTCCAGAAGCAAGTCGGGTTGCGGTGGAACGCATTGACGGGCCTTAGAGATGGGGGCCGGTCCAAGTTGGCGTCGGATGTGCTTGTTTTGCCTATTACTGGCTTTAGGTATGTGCTCTCTACATTTTACTGTTCTCTTTTTGTATGTTTCCGCGCGTCTAATGCCGATTCATGATTGTATAGCCCCGGCCGTGGCAGTTTCGGCAACATGGGCTCCAAACCATATACCGATCCAGACGCTCGCCTTGCTCACCACGCCATGGGATCGTGGCACAAATTCGATGCCCGTGTCGAATACGGCAAATTTTGTCGCACGTTTTTCGGCATGTGCAAGGACTGGAGCAAGATGCCGTCATGAATGTTGGGGGATGGGAGTAGTGACGCGGGGGTTATAAAGCGTATATATATCTGATGGGTACTTTGTATATGTTGACGACATTGTGTACAGCGTACATATTTTTAGAGGTAACAGCGGCTTTGGGTAGCATAGGTGGCGTCTGACGGGGATCTGAGTTTACTTGCTTACTTGGGATTTCACGAAGCCCGTTACAGCGCAATTTATAATTTCTGGTTGGCAATACACAGGCATTGTATACGCATGTTGCTGTTTCTTATATAAAGCTTGAAGAGAGGGTGGCCAGTCTTCAACTTCAACTGCCGGTATGTTCACGCTTCTTGCCGTTTCCCTCGACATGAATCGCATTTCACTATACACAAGAAAACGCCCCGAATTACAATCCAAGACTATCAAAAGCTTGCGCTAAAAAAAGGAAGAGACGAAAGGAAGCAAAGGAAAAAGGCCCGCCGTGGCACATCCCCCTCTCCCCCGCCAGTAATATCCAGCCGGTCAAGTGCTAACCTAGGCGACGTCAGCGTCTCCTCGGCCCCGGCGTGATGACGGTATAGTTACACGTAGGACAGTATGTCTTTTCGTTGGGCGTGGCCGGGTACCAGTCCTTGCCATAGGTGGCGTTGAGACTGACGCGGCCGACGACGCCGCCCTTTTCGGTGCGGATCCAGGTGTCGGCCTCCCAGCGGCGGCGGCGCAGGGCGTCGGCGGACAGGCGAAGCTGCCTCGCGCCGCGGATCCAGTTGCCGTAGCCGCCGTAGCCCGAGTGCTGGCCGAAGCAGAGGTTGAGGCCGGTGCCGGCGACGGTCATGCCGGGCACGAGGCGGTCCCATTTGTAGCACCAGGTGGCGCCGTGGTCGTGGCCGGAGAAGAGGCCGATGAGGCCCGGGGTGGCGGCGACGGCCCTCATGAAGGGCTCGTCCTGGCCGCCGTAGACGCACTCGGGGCCGTTGGAGCCGTCGGCGCACCAGCCTCGCCTCGAACCACCGCACCACGCTGGCGTCGACCCAGTCGGGCTGCCCGACCTGGCGGCCGTCGGGGCCGCGCTCGCGGAAGTAGAAGCCGCCGCGCGAGTCGAAGAACCAGAGCAGCAGCTCGGGCGCGCAGTCGTCGTCGCCCGGCGCGCAGTCGGCCGCGTACACGGGCAGGTAGTAGTTGGTGACGCCGGCGTCGCGGCCGGCCACCATGCTCCGGGTCAGCGAGTTGGGCCAGCGCCGCTCGCGCGCGAGGAGGCCGGCGCCCGAGATGTTGAAGTTGTGGTCGTGGTTGCCGTACGTCGACGCCCACGGCAGGCCGCGCGCGACGAGCGGGCCGGCGATCTGGTCCATGTACGCGGTGCTGTTCTCGAGGTACGTGTTCTCGCCCGTGATGAGGTCGCCGTTGAGCACCACCAGGTCGGGCCTCTCGCTGTCGAGCACCGCGTCCATGACCTTGACCGAGTTGATGTCCTGCTGGGGGCCCCATTGGTCCCATGCGTCTGCGCGCGTTTTAGCTGTTTCTGCTGTCGAGCCATGTTCGGGACGGGGTCTGGGGGAGGGTCTCACTTTCTCCAAAGTGCAAGTCCTCAAATATGGATATCTGGAACGTGCCGTCTTGGTTAAACGAGAGCCGGCGGCTGCTGCGACTACTGTTGTTGGGGGCGTATGTCTTGGGGGATCGGGCATCTCGTCGCACCGGGGACTGGCGCGAGAGGTCGACACATGCGGACAGCATGAATAGCAGCACGGCGGCTAGCATGATGAAGAGGCCTTTCTTGGTTCGTGAGAAGGGGGCGTTGGGAAACGGGCACGAGATGGGCGGTTCATCAAGAGCTGATATATATATGCCTTTTGGGGCTCGTCTTACCAGGCTCATTTTATATCCATTGCTCGCGTTGCCGCATTCCCGTCCCTGTTGACTGAGACCATGGGTGGCTCGCGCAGCACGTCCATGTGGTTTGGTTCCCGTGTTGCGCGCGGAAATTATACATTATATCGCTGGTGCTCATCTGACGAACGAGCGAAACCACACCCCTGTTGTTGGAGATTGGCCCGAACCAGTAGCGTCGACGGGTTGCGCAACGTGTGGTGAGTTTGTCAAAATTATTAATACCAGACATTATGTATGTACATCATGACCGGCGGGGGGCATGTGTCTCCTGTTCCTGCAGCCGCGTCGTTTTGATGCCGCGCACCACTGGGATAGGATTATGTATAGTACAGCCGGAGAGTTCACCGCAACCCTGATGATTGATGGTTCGCGCGCTTCGGCCCGGTGGTGGCTGGGATGCGTGCGTCATGTTCCTTGCTGCGGCATCGAGACTTGTCCTTGCCCGTCAGCTGGCTCTTTGTCTTAGATCTGGGCTTTTTTTAATTCCTGCATTGGCGGCTAGTGTATGGGCCGATGTTGCACTGCAGCGGCCCGCGTGCCAGGCAATGTTGCCCTCTCCCTCCGGCCGATGGGACTCGTGATGTCCTTGTCAGGGTCCAGGTTGAGAGCTGCCTACCTAGGTAGGTATGTAAGTATGTATGCGATGCTCTGCAAAACCTACCAGGAACAAATCCGCTACGTGGACTACGAGCTGATGAATAGCACCGGGGGCCAGTGTAGGTTCCGAGACTGAGCGTCAAGTGCTCTGGGATGCTTAGTTTCGAATGCCCGGCTTCTTTCCAAGTAATTCGGAAAGCCCATTGTCTAGACATCCCTGTTCAGCGCTGCCACGCAGCTTCCCGAGGTAACCACATTGTCCACCTCCTTCGTGTCCATGACCAAGACGCAACTGTTCCCAAACCGCGCCCTGGCCCTAAACTCTCCCACGAGGACCCTCTTCCCGCCCATCGTCGTGTCCCACACGTACGGCGTACTGTTCTTGGCAAAGGTATCCTGCTTGCACATGATGCCGACGGGGCGAATTTCCACGCCATGGCCGCAGTGCCTCCACGTGCCGTAGCGCTTGAGGACGGAGAGATGCAGCTCGACAGCGAGGTCGCCGCGGTGGGAAGAGTCTTGGATTCGCAGGCCGGACGACAACATCGTGCTGCTGAAATTGTACACCCTTGCGGAGCGGCCGTTTTTGTCTGTTCCCGGCCGCCTTGTCCACGGCCTTGTCCAACAACGTGCTCTGTTGAGACATGTCTGCTTGTGAGGCCGTGTTTAGGCTGCGTTGTGCGCAAAACAGGTCGACTCTTTCTCACGCAATGCATCATGTTGTGGAAAAGATGAGGGGATATCGACTTCACACATTGCTATATCTGCCGGCGTGTCTCCTTTGTCTTTTATCCATCTTGTTGCCGTCTCGCCAGTCGGCTTACAACGTCACACCAGTCGACATGGAAGACGGAGTCTCGCACCATGATTCCCAAAGAGGCATTGGCAACTCGATCTGCACTTTTGATCTGTCCTACGCTTCCACTTTCCATGTACAAAGGCCATGCTCAGCCGCACAAGCCACGGCGGACAAGTCTCGCGCATTCGCTGCATCATCCCTAAGGGGGTCAACTTATTGTCCGGCGTGAGTTGGCTTCCGTTTGTCCCCTGTTTGATCCTTTATATGCCCAAGGCAAAACTCGTGGTTATTTTATGGCTTCCTTGCAGGCTTTAAGCCACTGGCCTTGGGGTACCTTGCAGCCTTGAAAACGCTGGTAATGACAATTTACATGCACAGGGCCACTTCTCTCATGAAGGGAAATGCGTTACAAGCCCACCAAATAAAGGCATCACGTAGTGTCCATGGGAATAGATGGGTTACAAGCACAGATGATACCTGCCGCATGATAGCATTACTGGGGTCAGGTTTGCCAATTCTCTCTATTGTTGTTCTATGGCCGGCCGAGCTTAAACTCCATTGGAGAACTCCATACAACGACCAAAGATGCTGGATGAACGCACGCCATATTACCTCGATGGGGAATTACAGAAAAGTGTCCAGCCGTCCTCTTTCCGCATCCCGCACCGACTCAGGGATCGCATTCAGGCGTGATGAAATTGTTTAGACAGCACCTGCGGAATTTCTGTTTGTCCGTGAAGCTATCTTTCTTACACTGGAAGATAGTTAGCATGAGGGAGTTATATTGGGTAGAGAATATACCGAGCCTTGCTCCGCTCGATTACGTCAATACACATGTGCACTTACACGACGCTGTGCACTCCCTTTCGCACCGGCTTTCGTCCCACCAACGTAATCACAACACCCATCCGTTATGGAAGGATAATTTGGGCAACTGCACTGTAAACCTAGAGCAGCATCAAGGGCTTTCACACAGTTAGGTGCATAGTAAGCAAGCAAGTCCCCAGTCTGGTACCTACCGCCAAGATAAAGCAGCGCAAGAGTCATTGCCTTCATGTTTTAGCCTCGTTTGAATACAAGAATAATATTCAGCGTAAAGAGTAGCGGTTTCAGAAAACCGGTTGAGTTTTTGTCACGCCGAGTTGATACGTGTTGAAGGAAAGCCATGGGTTGTTGGCCTGTGTTTATATATATCCATAGTATGACCTACCTGAAGCCTTGACCTAAGAAGCCTTCCCAACATGTCACGTACAATCCATCAAGACGGCCACATTGCCGGGCACACTAAAACACAGCTCCGTATATACCTACTCCTTCCCAGTATACGCATGTCTGAGACCCATCAGGCGGCATTGTTGAAGACCTCGTAGAGCGTGGAATCGTTCCCAGACTCCTTTCGCTGAGACTGACAAAACTACTCGTATAGTTGTGGGCTGGCCCGCAGCTCAAGTCTCACGTTGTGAAGCATGCCCGGTGTACCATACCGGCTACACTCCCCGAAACTAGTCTCATCAATATCTCCATGTCCTCGTGGTCCATTTCTCCGTCCAGAGCCTCGTCAATCGCATCATCAATCACTGATCCACTCTTGTCCTCGTCCTGGTCGTCACCGTCAGCCGCGACAACCGCAGTAAAATTCTCCCGTCTTGACCCATGCAGCAGAGTCTGCACGGCGCAGTGGCTGGGGGATATCAGGCGAGGAGCCGAGACAGGGCGGAGGAATCGCGGCAACTATTACTACTGCTCACGTACTCTGTAAACGAGACAATACTGTTAAATTCTAGTGGACTCAACTCAAGATATGGTCTCGGCCGGGCAGTAATTGTCGAATAATTTATCAGCATTATGATTAATGAGTCTTTAACATATCAGATAAAAAAGGAATCTAGGCACCATCGCCTTGGAAAATTTTGGTCAGTTATCTCATCAAACAACACGACCACCCTCCTGCTATTCCATCTCACCCTGGTGCTACCAGGCGGTTGTTGTGCGCAAAGAGACGATGAGACGATTGTCTCGGCAAGTCCATGAGGAAACATGAACCAAGTTCAACCACACCAAATCCATCAACACTAAAATAAGTTTCTACTGCAAGCGCTTCTGGGCACCGGCGTTCTCAAACATATGTTGGGTACAGATGAGACTCATCGGGTTCTATCATCTTCAGACATTATTATTGTAAGCATCTTTGAGACGGACTTGGCATTTCCCGACCAACCCATCACAGTCGACGTAGATGTAGTAGACATCCACACAGGATGCATGTCGCCATCATACAGGATGCATGTCTCAATCATACATTCTATTCAACTTGTGCTTTCATCATTGACGATTGTTGAAGGGTGACAGACAGGTCGCAATCAATGCCGGCAGGGCAGGGCATTTGGCAAAATATCATGGATGCCTCAATCGAATGATTTGTATGCGGGCTCATGAGACATGCAGTGCTTCAAAGCGGGCGAGAACGACTATTTGTGTAGACATCTGGAGTCACTACACCACATGCAGGATGGCCATAGAAACGGCTCGCTGCCGGTCTTGTGTCTTGGGACTTTCGGCATCATGGTTGGCTGCGAGCTTGTTGACTGATCATGTTGGCAGTCACTCTAGTTGGACAACCCGACTCCAACTTATCCTGGGCTTGTGTTGGAATGCTGAAGATGCTGCTTGTGGTGATGACTCGAGACTGTCTTTTCTCTGTGTAGCAATTGCTACTAGTACTTCTTTTTACTCATTTGATGCCATCATGTCATATTACACGTCACGATGGGCCCTGGTAGCGAAACAGGGGTTCCAGCGAGCTGAAAATGTCGACTGCGACGAGCGGTTGCATCTGAAGTCTGCACCTTCTATCCGTAATCGAGCAGTCGTTTTCCCACGGCGCTTACGGATGCACGATTCACAGACAATTCTCAGTCGGTATATGCAAGGTGAGTAACATAACGGTCATTAAACTTTCTCCCACTATTTGGGGGGGCTCTGGCTATCTCTGTAGCTATCTCAAATTCCACAATCATAATCTCTTCATACTACTCTACAGGCGAGCGGCCGTCTTGTTTCCCTTCTTGAGATCGAACCGGTCCAAGTTCATCACCTTGTCCCAAGCGGCAACGAAGTCCCTGACGAACTTCTGGGCTCCATCAGCGCTGCCGTAAACCTCTGAGACGGCGCGCAGCTCAGGGTGGGCGCCAAGGATGAGATCGTTGCGAGAGGCGATCCACTTCTTGGCACCCGTCTTGCGGTCAACGCCCTCAAAGGTGTCCTCGCCGGTAGCCTTCCACTCGGTGTTGTTGTCCAAGAGGTTGACAAAGAAGTCGTTGGTTAGGACACCAGGGCGAGATGTGAAGACGCCAAGAGCAGAGCCGTCGTAGTTGGTGTTCAGGGCACGCAGACCACCAATGAGAACTGTGAGCTCGGGGGCGGAGAGGCTAAGCAAGTGGGCGCGGTCAACCAGCAGGTGCTCCTGCTTGACAGTGCCATGCGACGTGCCGTAATTGCGGAAGCCATCAGCCAGGGGCTCAAGATAGCCAACAGACTCCACGTCAGTCTGCTCCTGGGTGGCGTCGTTGCGGCCAGGGGTGAAGGGCACGGTGATGTTAACACCAGCGTCACGAGCAGCCTTTTCGACACCGGCGACACCGGCCAAAACGATGACGTCGGCAAGAGAAACCGTCTTTCCAGACTGGTTGAAGCGCTTCTGGATGTCTTCCAAGGTGGCAAGGACCTGGGACAGCTGAGAAGGGTTGTTGACCTTCCAGTCCTTCTGGGGCGACAGGCGGATTCGGGCACCATTGGCGCCACCTCGCTTGTCGCTGCCACGGAATGTGGAAGCGGAGGCCCAGGCAGTGGACACGAGCTTGGACGTGTCGATGCCAGACTTGAGGATCTCCTCCTTGATGGCGGCGGCATCCTTGTCGTCAATCAATTGGTAGTTGACGGGGGGAATGGGGTCCTGCCAGATGAGGTCCTCAGTGGGAGCCTCGGGTCCGACGTAGAGAGTCTTGGGGCCCATGTCACGGTGGGTGAGCTTGAACCAGGCGCGAGCAAAGGCATCGGCGAACTGGTCGGGGTTCTCGAGGAAGCGACGCGAGATCTTCTCGTACGCGGGGTCGAAGCGCAGCGACAAGTCAGTGGTCAACATTCTGGGCTTGTGCTTCTTGTTGGCATCGTAGGCATCGGGGATGATCTCGTCGTTGGTCTTGGCAACCCACTGGTTGGCGCCGGCAGGGCTCTTGGTGAGCTCCCAGTCGTACTTGAAAAGGTACTCGAAGAAGTTGTGGCTCCATTGGGCGGGCGTCTTGGTCCAGATGACCTCGAGGCCGCTGGTGATGGTATCGGGCCCCTTGCCGGCACCGTAGGTGCTCTTCCAGCCCAGACCCTGCTGCTCAAGGCCGGCGCCATCGGGCTCCTTGCCAACGTTGGTGGCAGGACCGGCACCGTGAGTCTTGCCAAAGGTGTGGCCTCCAGCAATCAGAGCCACAGTCTCCTCGTCGTTCATGGCCATGCGGCCAAAGGTCGTGCGGATGTCGCGAGCAGCGGCAACGGGGTCAGGGTTTCCATCGGGACCCTCGGGGTTGACGTAAATGAGACCCATGTGGGAGGCGGCCAGAGGAGACTCGAGATCACGCTTCTGGGCGTCCTTGTTGTCGTTGTAACGAACGTTGTTGCCGAGCCAGGTGGTCTCGCCACCCCAGAAGACGGACTCGTCGGCTTCCCAGCCATCGACACGGCCTCCAGCGAAGCCGTACGTCTTGAAGCCCATGGACTCGAGGGCAACGTTGCCCGTGAGGATCAGGAGATCAGCCCAGGAGATCTTGTTGCCGTACTTTTGCTTGATGGGCCAGAGCAGACGTCTAGCCTTGTCCAGACTGACATTGTCGGGCCAGCTGTTGAGGGGAGCAAATCGTTGCTGAGCCTGGCCACCGCCGCCACGGCCGTCGAAAACCCGGTAGGTGCCGGAACTGTGCCAAGCCATTCTGATGAAGAGACCGCCATAGTGGTTAAAGTCGGCGGGCCACCACTCCTGGGAGTCGGTCATGAGGGCAGTGAGGTCCTTCTTGAGGCCCTCGTAGTCGAGGGTCTTGAAAGCGGCGACATAGTCAAACTCCTCGCCGAGAGGGTTGGTGACGGAAGTGTTTTGGCGGAGGATGTTGAGCTTGACGGACTCGGGCCACCAGTCACGGTTTCGGGTGCCGCCACCAGCGACGTTGAGATGAGGACACTTGCTCTCGGCCATTGTGATGGGATGTAGGACGAGCAATGGATGAGTGATGGAGTTGGTTGGGAAGAAGTATGGAAGTCGAAGGGAAGGGGAGGAAAATGAACAAAGGTGGGAGGAGCAGGATGGCGGGGTATATAAAACGCAGAGGCAGGAGGCAGGAGGCAAGGTCGTTCAGGGTCGTCAGGGTGCCACGAAGGGGCAGGTACCCAGCTAGTTGAATCGAAAGTGAGAAGACGCCGACATGGAGAGATTCATGTCGAAGGGGCAGGAAGGGGGAGCTGGGGCATGGCTTGGGAATGGGGAACATGGGAGGATTCGAGGAAGCTTCAATGTTCAGTCGACCCCGCGCAAAGCTCGGTGTTCCAGGGACGCCGTCGAATGCCGTGGCTCAAACGAGGTGCACAACCGACGACGATGGAGCGTTGATGGCTCGATTGAAACGCCGATTGGTACATTGGCGTGCTCCATGACCAATGGCCAAGTTCTCGTTGGTCCATGGCACCACGACTGCCTCGGTGCCGCTGTACCTCTACGGAGTACCAAGGTACCATGGTACAGGGGTAAGCTTAAGCTTGGCGGCTCCGGCCTGCAGCTGTCGTCTCAGCGATCTCTCATCTCTCATCGACTTGCACATCACCATCTCTTTTGATGACGGGAATCATGAGCAATTGAAAGGTTTTTGCCCCTTGGTCCCTTGGTCGCTTGACTGGAAAGGGGGCGTGCAACAGGAGGCACCAATTGGTGTTTCTACGGAGTAGCTTTCAAATGCTTGTGAGAGGTCAACTGGTTTGCTCGCTCCTTCCGTCTTTTGCACAACACGCATCCATCATGTACAGTACAGGCATCATGTCACTTCGTTTTATATCCCCGCGCTGCCCCTCACTAGCCTCAGTGCCTCACGTCCCATGTACCACCCCTGTTTTGTCGATTACGGAGTCTTTGCATCGCATGTTGAATGCTTTCCGGGCCTTTCCTCATCATCAACATGCTTCCAATGCCCCTGACATTGGATTCAAGTCGTCAGCAGCGGCCAGCTGTCGTTATGCCCCATGACCACTCCATGGAACGGGCCATGCTCAAGTCAGCCGTGCATCTTGACAGTGCTTACTCAGTACCTTTTAGTCTTTGTCAAAGGAGAAAAAGACGGTTCGCAGCCCGGCTGCGGGGAAGCTGTTCCGATCGGGCTGTCAGAGCGTTTGGTCAAACACCGCGGCGTTTGACGGGCCCCAGTTGCCACGGCCACTGTGGACCAGCTCGTCCGTTCGCAGATGCCGGGGCTCCAGGCTCATGGCGGTACGACCAAAGGGCTTTTCGAAATAGCACGCACTTGAGAGGCGGATGGCACCATGGCCCCATCCTGTCGCCGGCTTGGACGATTTGATGGGCTGGAGCTGGGCTGCGAGATGTGTTGGAGATGCGACAAAGGTGGGCGGTGTGGGGTCAAGTCGACCTCGCCGCCGCCACCAGCCCACCACATGTACCGAGTACACATTGACGACGACTGTTTCGCATCGCAGCATTGTATGTCCATCCATTTCCCTATGCCTCTCAATATCAGCCGATTGAGTCTTCCAGTTTGTACAAAGATGGCCCCCTCTCCCTGTTACAACAACAGGGCTCCCCCTCCTTGGCTGTCAGACGCGACCTGCGAGCCGTATGACGCGAAGGAGGGGTCGTAATTCCCATTCTGTCGGCTCTGAGTGGCCGGCCTCGAATGCCCATGTCACCATATGTACTCGTGTTCACGTGATTTCCCCCCTCGGCTCGTCAAGAAGTCCAAGAGTCTGTTTGTTCTTGAGGCGGCACGTACCCTGATGTCGTGACTTTGATCAATTGATGGCATTTGATGGTCCGCGGCTGGCCCAGACCCCTGCAGTGTTCCAATATTTTGAGGTTGTTTGCCTGCCGCTACATAAACCGCCTTGACGACCAGCTCACGAGAAAGACTCAGGGCCATGTACCCTCACCGTTGTCGCTTTTTGCGTCCCGATCACCCCCAATTACCTGACAAATGGAAATTCTCACCAGATGCCACGGTGGTTGCCTTGACCAGGGGCTAGTCGGATGGCGCGCTACATGTCAAGCAGCATCGACTTTGAACATTTGAGGCGTCAAGAGGCTCCAAACATGGCCCTTCCAGCTGCTACCCTGTACAGCCATTTCCAAAAACTTGCCATATCACGACCCATCATTGCCATGCTAGACTCACCATGAAACTAGACTTGAACCTACTTGGTTTGTAGAGTCGATATAAGATGCCTTGTTTCAGTTGCTAATTATACTAAACCACCGTTCGACCTTGCCCTACTTTTTTATTCGTCACGGTGGAAGTGATGTTCCAAGTTTGTGGTATATTTGGATAGTTGTCGGCCTATTCAACGGAGAAACTATAATTTTGACTTCTGAACACACTCCTGGAAAGCTATTTGGGTTCCTCATTTTGGCTAAGAAAAGAAAACAGAGAAAGAAATAAGATGATGCTAAAATTTGACCTCATCTCATTTAACCCGACTCTGTAGCAAAGCTCTCCTAAAAGGCAGTAAGTTGCTCCCTCGACACTGTAATGCCGGGACTTTTAATAGAGAAAAAACAGCCAGGCACTGGGGCGAAGCTACGACGGCCAACAGTAGTCGATGGGCGCGTGGTTATAATCGCGGTACTCATTGACCTGCCTCCATGCCAACTCCCAGAGGATACACTCCTCATACAGAACGTCGTTCTTCGATCGCAAGAACCCGAATCAACCCTCACCATGTTCGAATCCACCACATTCAAGAAACTACCCGCTTCAACTACGAATCGTGGCCCCTTGACAACGACTTGTACTCCTCCCCCGGCTGCGCTTCCTACGTTCCCGGGCTTTCCGGCTGGGATGCTAGAAATCCTAAACAACCAACGGCGTTTGGTCGTTGCCCGACGTGAGTTGGTACTGCTTGATTGTGGAAGATGACGGCAGCTACTATACACAACTATCTTTTCCTGCCGTTTGCCATATTCGTGCGGCTTGAAGCTACCAACGGGTAAAACGGTAACGGCAGACACAGGCAGAGAGAGGGAGTTGTACTGCACGGACTGTAAATCAGGACATTAATATAATGGCCGTGTCGACCGATGTGCAGGTGATGGTTTTGGCGCCGCAAATTATTCCCGTCTAGTCCCGGGATGGCGGCGATACGACTGCAAGTATTACCCCAACCGATAGCTCAACGTTCAACACGGCCCCAAGACAGCTACACCGAAGGCTCTAACGTGACTAGCGTGATGAAAGTACATGTAGCAATCGGTGTTTCTCTACTACTTGTAATTCTTGGTTTGGCAGTATATATATATACATATATTCGTCTTTGGTCGGCGGATCGCCAACAAGAAGCAACCCGAGCCGTCGTCTGAGCATATCCCGAGCCTGAATAAACCCCAATTGGACGCAACCACCCCCATTGATGGCCCCGACTCACTTATAGAGGCGAATTAGACGGCACGCGGCGTCTTTCGGGGAGAAACCGCGTTGGAGTCTGATCTTGGCTCCGACAGGAGTCGGATATCCGAGCTGCCAGGGTCGTTGGTAGCGCGTGTGGTTGGCGGAATGTGTGAATCACCGGGCCGTGGCAAATCAGTTGGGAGCTTGGCAAAATCCGGAGAGGACAAAGTTAGTGCTGCTCCTGGACTTGAAGGAGGTTGCAGTTGACATGTCAATGCTGGTGAAGATGAGCCCGGGGGGGAGGACAGCTGGCGCCAAAAACCTGCGAGTCCAAGGGGAAAAAGAGTAATAATATAAGTCTAGACAAGACTTTTTAAAGGGACTGTCATGGTAATGGAAGAGACGCAATCAAGGTAGATGGTGTTGGTGCGGAAGAAGCAAATACATGTCCAGGGGGCCACCAGATGAGCACATGGGGGATGCAAACTGCTTGCACGATGCCGAATAAAGTCGGCCATCTTTGGAAACTTGCGGTCGTATTTTGCAAAGTCACCCCCTTCGTCGGGTCCAAGTCTACGGAGCACTGTGAAGCAGAATACTCTTGAGTCTTGACGCTCATGGGCTCGAGGGCAATATTCTCTCCAGTCAATGCCACAAGCGATGTGGAGCTCGCCCGTGTACTGGTCATTTGATCCGGGGAGGCCAACACTTGTTAGTCACATTTGTTCAGATCGTGTCTCGGTGCTAAGCGCTTTGGGGATGATTGGCAAGTCGATGGCCAGACGCATCCGTCGGTGATGCTCCGAACCGCATGTTGCCACAAAACAAGCAAGCCTAGAGAGACGGCAGTGGCCACTGGCGAGTTGGTACACTACGTAACTATATATGGAATGTAGCTGTCAACATCATCGGGCAAACCGGTCCCGCGCATCATGGTTCGTTTGGACGGCGGTTCCGGTCCTCGTACGACGTCTTGTCAGGGCGCTGTCAAAACGGCACGACCGTCCGTCGTCGCCACATAGCCCATCTCGATGCTTTTTCCATGTGAGATGACAGGCTGTGGTATTTTCCGGTGTGCATGTGGGCATACATTGACCAATCGCATATATTACTTGAGCGTCGAAAGCGTTGAAACTGGTCCCATTGCAGCACGGCCCATCGGCATAACTTTTGTGCCCGTTCCAACTTCACGACGCCGTTTGTTGCAACTAACAAGGCCGTAGAGGCCTCGGAAGCGTAAAAATAAAATAATTACATTGTATACGTAAAACATGTCTCCCGAGTTCTTGCCAGATCGTGTATACAATCGCCGGTAATCAGGTACCTGGGCGCACGCCGCCGCTCGGCCGGTATTCTCGGACACAAGCTCCCAAAACGGCATCCAAGGCGCCGCCCACAACACCAAGATGGAAACCTCGCGCCTGCGGGTGTGGAGAACCTGGGGACCCCAGCGCAAGAGACACACGGGATCAGATGTTGTGGCGGTTGTCCCGTCCCTAAGTCCCCGAGTCCCTGACAATGGCCGACTTATAACTACTCCGGGTTTCTCGCCCACCGCGCTCGTGTAAGTAGCCCTCGTCTCTCTCCCGATCAACATCTAGTCGCGGGGAAAGAAAGCTACACAACTTGGTTATCCAGCGTCGTCCTCGGCCTCCTCCGCGCATCATGTCCAAGGCCCCGAACCCCAAGGACTCGATGAAGTCGACCTGGCGCACCGCCAGCAGAGACACATGGACCTGGAGCCACTGGATCTTCGAAACCCTCGACGGCTATCCCACGGCCCTGGACAAGCCGGTGCCGAAGCACCCCAAGACGGACAAGATTCCGTACCTGTCGCAATGGTCGCAGCACGTCTGGGTGCTGGTGCACGCCGTCACGCCTCTGCTCGTCCACCAGGCCATCTTGACGTTTACAGGGAGGGAGAGCCTGCACCCCCTGCTCATGTTCCTGCTCTACTTCAACGCCTTCAACGTCATCCTGATCCGCGAGGTGCACACGCTCCGCAAAATGGGCCACAGATGGGGCTTCCTCGACGGCGACGTCCACGACCGCGACGGCATCCCCGACGCCAGCGTGACAAAGGTGCTGCTGTCGGCGCTCAAGGGCACCGGCGGCCGCGTCGCCCTCGCCATTTACTTCTCCTACGACCGAGCCGTGCAGCCCGTCGACGCCCTGTCGAGCTGGCAGTGGTGGGCGTGGCTGGTGCTCGAAATCGGCGTCTACGGCGTCGTCCTCGACTTTTGGTTCTACTGGTACCATCGCCTGATGCACGACGTCTCCTTCCTGTGGCAGTTCCATCGCACGCACCACCTGACCAAGCATCCTAACCCGCTTATGACGGCCTTTGCCGATGAGGAGCAGGAGTTTTTTGACCTCGTCGGCATTCCGTTCCTTACTTATATGAGCCTCCGGGCCATGGGTCTCCCGCTGGGCTTCTACGAGTGGTGGCTGTGCCACCAGTATATTGCCTTTATCGAAGTAGCTGGCCACAGCGGGCTGCGGCTGCATGCCGCCGGGCTATCCACGTTCCATCCCATCCTGCAGTACTTTAATGCCGAGATTGTGGTGGAGGATCATGACATGCATCACCGCAAGGGCTGGCGCAAGAGCCACAACTATGGCAAGCAGACGCGGCTTTGGGACCGTGTCTTTGGCACCTGTCTCGACCGCGTCGAGTCGGCCCCCGACAACGTCGACTATGTCAACCCGGCGCACGTGCCGCTGTTTTGAATGCAAAGGGACTGTTGGACTTGCGTGTGTGTGAATGGGTCAGGGCACCGATTCGTAGATGGCAAAGCTAGAGGTCGAAAGGAGGAGCTGTGGTGACGTGAGCAACAACGATGTAATGTACAATGATACCTTGATAGACACAATTTCATTCCACCCTCGACATCTTGTCACGCTGGGCCCCCTGTCCCATTGTCTTTGCCGCTCACGCGGCGTCTTGTCACGTTGGCAAGGGAAACGTAGTACACGCGTTGCAAAAGAGCCAGAGTACGGTGCGAAAACGACAACCGCCTGCTGGTGGCCGTATTTTTTGATTCATTACACGCTGCCAAGACACGGATGGATGCATGGCCAACCCGACCATTACGCTAGTGCACACAACCGCATGTTCCAACTCTCGCGGTTCTTGTCCATCACATTCATTCATTCATTCATGTCTACTCCAGACCCAGGTAGCCCCCCGACGTGTCAATCAGCGCGTACAGGGAGACCAAGTCGTCCCGCGACTCCAAGTTGACAATGTCCTCGTCGCCCAGGATGTTGCCGCCGTCGAAAGCACTCGACACCTCGAGAGGCAGCGCGGCGGCGTCGTCGTCGTGCTTGGGCATCGTGGCGGGCGTGGAGCTCGGCGACAAGGGCTGGACCGTCGTCTTGGCCGGCGACACGCTGTCCCAGGACGCGTCGGCGGCGGCGTCGTCGCCAAACGCCTTGTCGATGAGGCTGATGGCGTCCCCGGCGGCGGGCGGGGGGTAATGCGGCGGCGGGAGCGGCAGCGGCAGCAGCGGCGCGCCCCGGACACGGAGGGCCGAGTGGTCGCCGGGCTCGGCGCCGGTGGTCCCGGGCGGCGTGTAGTGCAGCTGGCCAAACAGGCTGCTGATGAGCTGGCCCTCCATGTCCATGGACGCGGCGTGCCTCTTCTCGGCGTAGGCCTGGCAGGCCTCGTGCAGGAGCTGGACAATGGTGCAGTTGCGGAAGGCAATGGCGTCGCTGGAGAAGCGCTGCAGCAGGCTGCGCGCCGTGTACATGGACTTGTCGAGCGGGAAGATCTGGTGCATGTCGCCGAAGTGGGCGAGGCCGACGACGAGGGCCGAGTGCACGACGCAGCTGACGCTAAAGGGCAGCCGCGTCGGCGTGTCCCAGGCCTCGACGAGCGGCTCGAGCAGCGCGAGCGTGCGGATGGCCGAGTTGACGCAGGCGTGGGCGAGGACGCGCGACGACTCGGCCGGCGTCCACGCGGGCGACGATGATGACGACGACGAGGCCGCCTGCCGGGCGTGCGCGGCGACGCGCTCCGACAGGAACGGCCGCGTCAGGAGCATGACGGTCCAGTGGAAGACGACCTTGAGGTGCGTCAGGCCCATGTTGGGCGCGCCGCCCTCGATGCCGTCGCCCGGCTCGATGTTGTCGGCGGCCAGGCCCCGGGTGAAGACGGCCGCCCACTCGCGCTGCCGCGAGGCCACGCGGTTCAGGGTCGCGGCCGAGATCTGGCGCTGCTCGTAGACGTCGGTCAGCACCTGCTCCATGATGGCGAGCAGGTCGCCGCAGGCCGAGTAGTCGTCGGGCGCCGCCGTGTCGCGCGTCTCCTTGGTCGCGGGCGGGCGGCCCAGCAGCGCGCTCGAGAGGATGTCGATGCTGCGGAGGGACTTCCAGATGCGCTCGCGGCGGCGGAACTCGTCGGCGGTGAAGCGCATCGACACGGCCTTAAGGTGCAGGCCAAGGGCGTAGGCGGCGCGCACGGCGAAGCCGAGGTGCATAAAGGCGGCGTTGCGGCGCGAGGCGGCCAGGAGGTACATGGCGATGAGGATGTAGGCCTCGACGGCCAGCGTGCTGGGGTCGTCCATGAGGTACCTGGCCGACAGGTAGCGGCCGTAGTTGAAGCACGACTCGGCCACCTCGCCCAGGTCCTTGGGCGACGACTGGGCGCCGAGGGCGAGGATGAGGTAGACGACGGGCTTGGCCAGCGGGAGGGCGACGGCGTCCCGGGCCAGGGCGCGCGGGACCTGGTCCAGCAGCACGGGCTTGTCGTACAGGTCGAGGATGCCGTTGGTGCACAGGTAGAACTGGCGGGCAAAGTGCCTGGCCTCGTCCTCGGTCAGGGCGGGCGGCGACTTGTGGTCGGATCCGGCGTCGAGCCAGGCGGGCGCGCCCTCGGGCGAGGCCTCGACCATGGCCGGCCGCAGGGGATCGTCGACAAAGGGGCCCGGCCCTTGCGTCTCTCGCACCAGGCGCCGGATCGACTGCAGGAAGGATGGGTTGGCCGAGTCGCCCAGGTACATGAAGCGGCCCTTCTTGTCGAGGATGAGGCGCGACTGGTCCAGGGGCGTGGCCGCGGGCGACGAGTCGGTAATGTCAATGGTGACGGAGGGCGGCTCGACCGAGGAGCGGCCTCGCGAGCTCGAAATCGAACCGCCGCGGTGTCGAGCGGGATGCAGCTTAGCCGCCCGTCCCCCGTGCTCCGTCTCGTATCGGCACTCGTTGTGAACTCGCCGCTCGGTGCACCGGCCGCAGGGTTGCCGTCCGTCGCATCGCTCTTTGCGCCTCTTGCACCTGCGCCGGGGGAAAGGAGTGTAAGCGTGACGGCAACATGGACGCGGCCATGGAGGGAGGGGGGAAGTCAGATTTACATGTCACATGCTCTGCTGCATCTCTTTCGCGCGGCCATCTGGTCATGACGCTGTTGGGATCGCATGTCTGTATGCTGGAACCCGGGTATATGTACACGGTAGGCTATGACGTAGGTGAGGGAGAGGGATGAATGGGATGAAGAAATAATTCAAAAGGACAAGTGCGTCGTTGACCCTTGGCAACGGCAAATCGATCTTGTACGGATCCCGCAGGCCGTCGAATGTCATGCTCCTCCAAATGTCGTGGGATGAGCAAGCAAGCGACCGTGGATTAGCAAACAGACTGTCGCGCGGGGTCCCAGGTCGGCTGCTTGATGCCGCGCCGTCATGGAGTCGTGATCAAAAAGTTGCAAAACGTGGGGTAGTTGGCGGTGGACGGGTTTGAGTTTGTCGTCGTCGCAGGACAAGCCGGGATCCTGGCACATGGACATGATGCAAATATGGAACCGCGCGCCCATCTTCAGGCCCCGGGTCGGCGGCCCACAATCAAATGGCTTTCTTTGCTGATGAGGAATGCGGCGTCGTCATCTTGAACCAGCGCATCTTGGTTGGCTTGCATGTGGCACCGTGCGTGACAGGTCGTGCCAACTGACAATGCTTTTGTGCCAGTTGCACCAGTTGACGACTCGTCGGCATGACCTGGCGTTGCCCAACATTCAAGACATTGCATGTGATGTTCCTCCTCCTTCCCCCGCGTTGGCTGGCTTCAACCTTCAACGTTCCAAAGAGCCTTCAATTCCACCCAGGCCCGACGACACGGCCACATCCTCCCATGATTCCTACACCGTGTTGCATCTCACCCGTCGCGAGTCAATGCTGCCAGGCGGTGGGCAGGACTCCATGTCTGCATCCGACGGCTGCCGAAGCTGCTTCCGACGAGACCAGAGCGTTCCGATGCCGGACTGGGACGGGAAACGGCGGGGGTCCAACGCCACGCCGCCCAGGCATGGGTTGGGGGAACGCCGCCGGCCGTGGGCATCATCGAATTGATGATCATTCATGTTTGGACTTGGGACGCAGTCATGACCCATGGCGTCATGTAGCATGTATGTGTGTATAGTACATGTACCAGTGCTTGGTACGTCGACGACGTGGAAACATGAAACTTGACACTATGACCGAGTTGTTCCCCTGACTTTCAGGCCTTCATGTTGCATACGAGGCAGCAACTCGGCCTCGCTACAGATACATTGGCCAACAAGGATCCTGCCCTCTTTGAAACTAATTCGAACCTGCCAAGCTGCCTGGCCCTTTCATCTCTGGCACTTGTGCCTCTTGCCACCAGACGAAACACGATGCTCCGGTCCCCAGTCTACAACGGATGGCGCCGGTCATGTTGACCAAGCCACCGACTCATTTCAAATATGGCCATCAACGCCGGTGACTCGCTTGCAGCAGCCCGTGACGACCAGACCAGACGCAACATCACTCCTTCGAGTCCTTCCAAACCAATACTGCCTTGAGCGCTATGCCGCGCTTGGTATCATCAATCGCCTGCTGAAAATCGCGAAAATCATAGAAAGTGACCAGCTTATCCACCGGGTAGTTTCCCTTGGCGTATTCGTCCATCAAGTACGGAATAATCTGGCTCAGTCGATGTCAGCAAATGCACCCCCCCTTTTTTGCGGCCACACAGCGCCGACTTGCCTTGCTGGGAATCGAGTCGCCCTCGCAACACCCGGAATAGCGTCTGCCGTGAATGACGTGGGCAAAGATGTCGACGCCCGTCTTGATCCCAGGCTACCGCGTCAACCGTCAGCAGCAACTCAGCCGACAACAGTGGCAAGACTCACCGTCGGCGCTCCCACAGACGCCGCGTGCCCACGGCTTCCGAGAGCCTGAATCATGGTCTCGATGACGGCCGGCACCCCCGTGCAGTCCACGGCGTAGTTGACCCCGTTGGGAGGGGCCAGTTCCCCAATCTTGGCGACGATGTCGGGGTCGCTTCCGAGCAGGGTGTGCGTGGCGCCCAGTCGAGACGCCAGCTCGAGCCGCGACGGCTGGAGATCAACGGCGATGATAATCTTGGCCCTGCGCATCTTGGCGGCCATGATGGCGCTCATGCCCACGGACCCGGCGCCAAAGACAGCCACGCTGCTGCCGGGCTGGACGTCGAGCGTGTTCAGGACGGCGCCGGCGCCCGTCTGCAGCCCGCACCCGAGCGGCGCAAACAGGGCCAGGTCCGTTGTGTCCGGGACCTTGACCAGGCTGGACACGGACGCGACGGTGTGCCTCGAGAAGGAGCTCTGCCCGAAGAACCTGCTGTACAGAGCCTGCCCGCCCTTGTCGTCTTGCCTGCGCATGGCGCTCGATCCGTCGGGCCGCGTGCCGCCAAAGTTGAGCGACTTGAACGAGTAGCAATGCGCCGGGTGGCCGTCCTCGCACTGCGCACACTCTTGGCAGTGGCAGAAGGAGAGCAGGACCTTGTCACCCACGGCGACGTGTCGGACCTGCGAGCCAATCTCTTTGACGATGCCGGCGCCTGCGAGGTCTGTTACTACAACGGAACTGGCGCGTGGGAAAAGACACAGATGCTGCGTGTGGCTCGGGTACCTTCGTGGCCGAGGACGGCGGGCGCAAACGCAGGCAGAGTCCCGTCGGCGCATGACAGGTCGGTATGACAGATGCCGCTGGCGTGTATTTCGACGAGTGCCTCGTCCGGGCGCAGTGCGTCCAGCCGCACCGTCTCGAAACTGAACGGGGCGTTGATTTCGCTGAGCACGAGCGCCGTAGTCGTTGCCATTGTGTAAGCTGGCCTGTGGGGACGTCAATATGGGAGGATGAAGAAAGATTGGCAACTTGATGTAGTTGCATATATATTGCCACATGTGCACGTTCCTGACGATGCGACGCTTACTTATCCTCGGGGCAGGCTGGATCTGAATCTGTCCCCGGGCCCCATTTGGCCCAATTGATCTCATCGGAACCCCCGCGTCCCGGCTGAACGGGTCTGGTGTGAATAGCTCACGCCGATCCAATAGTAGCGAGGTCCGAAGTCTTGGAACCGTCGTAACTGCCGCTTTGTCGAAGCGTAAAGCTACCAGACATGTACAGACCCCGCCGTCCATGTTGACAGGCAAAACTAGTGGTGACGTTGAAACGGCAGGATTACGCATCTCTTACAAACGCCGCCCGGCGTGGGTGGGATGACCGATGACGGCGACGGCGACGCTTCCCCATTCTCTTCCGAGAGCCGAATGCTTGTCATGCCTGATGTCTAGATTTTGTTAGTCTTCAACGTTGTCATTTCCCCATGCGACAGTAGCCAATCACATTCTGTCCACATGTCCAGTATCTGGGGTTCTCCGTAAACGCTACAGAGTACTCCGTATTGGAGCGATCAATTGATGCCGTGCTCGGGCCCACGCGGCGGTGGCCTCGGCTTATTCTGTCCGGGTTGAACCGGACGGGCAAGGGTCCAGTGTCTCATTTGAGGTTGCAACATTGACTTCAATGTTGTGCAAGTCCATCTTGACATGCGTAAACAAAGAGGCTCCTATATGTCGACCAAGTTGCTATACTCGTGGAATACAGTATTGGGGTGAGCCGGTCGCAGTAAGTAGCCAAAATGGGCGAAACCCTGTCGCGGCCAATTCCGGCTCACGCCAAACAACTTGCCATATGCAAAGAAACCTGAGGCTGTTGCCTCTGGTCAGAGTGAAACGATACAAAAGATGGTGCCGAGACTCGTTTTCGCATTCTTCGTCTCGACTTTTCCCCTTGCATTCCTTGACTGCATTGTACTCCATCTCACCGCCACCATTTGCCGCCTCACATCAAGCACGCAGCGACAACGTGCGGACATTGAAGCCATCATGGCGGCCGTTTCCAAGGCGGCACAATGGGCGCCTAGATGGCGAGTCGTCCAGCAACCAAACATGAACGCACCGAAATTGCCGTCGGCCCTGCAAGCTGCACGGCGCGAATCGCCGTTTTCCAACATCAAGTCACCCGAGAACTTGTGGGCAAAGCCGTCGAGGCATTTTTCCATCCACCAGAAACCAAGCCGGCAACAGGGCGACAAGGCGCCGTCCGGAGAGCACGGCGGCCACGGCAACGGCACCGAGTTGCCGGCATTCAGCCTACACGGTCTCGGTATCAGCAGAAACATGAAGCTGGCCCTCGTTGGCATCCTTGGCATCTTTGGCGCCATGGAGACGTGCATGTACGGCAAGTGGATTTGGCAATGGTGCAAGGGCCAAGCCGACGATGAGCAGATGAGCAAGCCCGTCATAGGTCGCTGATGCTGATGGAGTGGTGGATGGTGACGGATTGGGATCAATGATGCATGTTGCGCCTTTGGTGAAGAATCGCGGCGACGACATTTGTAATAGTACGCCAGAAAACCTGCTCTGTATGTATTCTAGATCAATCCCCCCCGTGGTTCGCCTTCATGGCTCATGTATACAAGGCGCAGGATATGCGATTGTGTGAAAGACGTTGACTGGGTAATTTGCAGTGCTTGTCGGCCTTTTCCTGCAACGCTGCCCGTTCCGAGTGATTATCTGCACTCAATGGTGAAGCAAGCAAGTGCATACATGGCACCAACATGATTAAGCCCGGTCGGACGATGCCGCTGAGCCGCACCGCAGCCCGGATATGCACATATGTAGGTACAACGGCATCCTCGTGGTGTTCATGTGGTGTCTGGTCCAAGTTTGCGCGCAGTGTGAACTAACTGATGGCGCAATCGCCACATTCCAGTGGCACATGGCGACATGGAGCTGTCGGGACAATGCGACCGGGATTTCAGAGGTCGTGGGCGATTTGATGCCATGCTTTGGCAACATGAAGACAATCACTTTGTAACTACCCGCCCGCGACTGGGTGGACGAGCCACTTTTTATCTACGTGGCAACTCTGCCGACTTTGCGCAAGATTGGGCATTGAAGCTACATGTACGAGCTCCGAGGGCAAAAAGAAAGGACCAGATCACTACCGACTGCATTGACTGCAGTCCAGACTTGCAAGGCGCCAATTAGACGGTCCACGCCCAGCCCGCCCATCCTGCATGGCCAAGCCAGAAGCTGAAATTCCAAATGGCTGCCAAGAAACTGCCAGAGGCACACAGGACCTCGTCATTCGTACTCGGTGTGTTGGTGGTGTTCTTGATTGGCGTTTTTGCCCCCTCACCCAAGTCACCACCACATCCCACCGTTATAACCAAGGAGCCTCGTGACGACGCCGCCTTTTGGCTTGCACGGGTTGAAATGTCGACTGGCCCGTGGCCTCTTTCGGCCGCCGGAAACGACAATGCAACCGTCAAACGGGTCGACTCAACTCGGACGCGCTGCCTCGCCTTGCGTCTTGACGCGCAAAACACCAAGCCGACAGACGACTCGGCCATGCATCCACGCAAAGGATGAGACGATCCCATCTTGGCCCAGCCCATGTTCTTGCACGGTGCCGCGAGCATGTATCGCTATCCGCCGCCGGTGCCGGCCGCCGCGTGGCCTGCAACACCACGCCGAAATGCCTATCGACTTGGCTTCCATCTGGAGCAGCACTTCAACGCCAAGATTTACACGTCCGGCTCGCCAGTCCGGGGCCACGTCCTTCTTCGCCCGGCCCAGGACATTGCCTACGACGATTTCGAGATTAGCCTCGTGGGCGTCAGCAGCACGCAAAACCTGCTGCAGCACGAGTCGGCCATCGTTGCCCTCCCCTTTATGAAGCTGGTCATGCCGCTGTGTCCCGACAGCCTGCCCGCCAGCAAGATATTCGCCGCGGGCCAGGAATACGTCTTCCGCTTCCACTTCGTCCTGCCGTTCCACCTCGCCATCGGCTCCTGCCGGCACGGGTGCGTCTCGCCCGCCGTCAAGGAGCTGCACCTGCGGCCGCCGCCCACCATGGGATTCTGGGAGGGCGACGACCAGTCCCCCCAGATGACGCAGATCAAGTACGCCGTCGCCGTGCTGGCCACGAGACGCCTCCCGGCCGACCCCCTGCCGGCGCGGGTGATTGCCGAGTCGTCCATGATCCGGGTCCTGCCCGCGTTCCCGGAAGACGCCCCGTTGGACATCACCCCCGTCGACGACGGCTACGCCCTCTCGAGGAGCAAGACGATACGCAGAAACTTTGTCGCCGGCAAGCTGGGCAGGCTGACCGCCACGGCCGCCCAGCCCAAGGCCGTCATGCTGTCGCCCGACGGCCACGCTGCCTCGGCCACGTCGTGCCGTCTGACTCTGGTCTTTGACTCGGTCGGCGCCGGCGCCCCGTCGCCCAGGATCAGCTCCGTGTCCGGGAAGCTCACGTCGCACACCTATTTCGACATGTCCTTCATGAACCGCCTCCCCAATCTGGGCAACCGGCCATCGCCCGAGGCCACGTCGCCGTACCGGTACACAACCTCCACCAAGCTGTTTAGCCTCCCGGTGGGCGATTTGCCCTGGAGAGAGGAGCGCGCCGAATCGGCCTGGGAGGAAGCCATGTTCCCGCTCGCCCGGGGGGTCTTGGCGCCGACGCAAGAGAATCCTTCGAGGCGTGCGAGCGCCGCGACGTGCCCCGACATGGAGTCGTCGATGGGCTCGAGACCAAGGCGATGCGTTGCCGAGCTCGACGTTCAATTCACGATACCCAGGAACAATAGGAAAATGTTTTTGCCGACGTTTCACTCGTGCCGCATATCGCGCACCTACACGCTGCATCTTTGTCTCGCTGTCGGCCAGACGTTTTCCACCCTGTCTCTTGTCGTGCCGCTGCAGATTGGCGTGGAATCCACGTCAGACAATCGTATGCAGCAGCACGAGTTCCGGGCAGCGCCTGGCCTTGCCTTGGTGCGAGGCCAAGACCGCGCGAGGCGGAATACGTATGCCGGGCTGCCGGGGTATATGCTGGAATCGAGCGATCACGAACTACCAGGCTACTGCTGATGCTCTGACACGAGGTTCATGAATACTTGACAACGGTGTCGCCTCTACCAGGCACCATATTCCGACTGCACTACATGTACACGCCTCGCATACGCCGCCAGGCTCTACTTGATACACAAGACCTCGCCGCTCGGCACCGAGAACCAGGCATCGTCCTCGCCCCCCCAGCGCCGCCACGTCTCAGCAACCTCTGCCAACTGGTCCGCCGTCGCAATCCCCGACGCAACCGCCGTGTCGGCAAACGACGAGGCCACCGTCCGCTCTGCCCAGAGCCCGCTCCACCAGGCCACTTCCTCGCGGGTGCTGTAGCACCACGAACTCACCGACGACGTGATGGCCTCGGCCGCGAAGCCCGCGCGCCTCGCCCACGCGTGCACCATCCTGCCCGCGTCCGGCTCGCCGCCATTGTGCGCCGCCAGCTTCCCGTACAGCGCCTGCCACGCCTTCATCCCCTCCACGTCCGGGTACCACGTGAACGCGCCGTAGTCGGATTCGCGCGCGGCCACGATGCCGCCGGGCTTGGCTACGCGCCGCATCTCCCGCAGAACTCCGACCGGGTCCTTGACGTGCTGCAGGACCTGGTGGCAGAATACAATGTCGAACGAGTCGTCCGGGTAGCGCAGCGCGTTGGCGTCGCCCTCTACAAAGTCAATGTTGTCGACGGCCCTCGACGCGGCTAGGGCTCGCGCCTGTTCGAGCACTTTGGCCGCGCGTTCCAGGCCCGTCACTCGACCTTCGGGCACATAACCGGCCAGGTCGACGGTGATGGTTCCCGGGCCGCAGCCAATGTCGAGTATGGCCATGTCGGGCTTGATGTGAGGCAGCAGGAAGCCTGCCGAGTTGCGGGCTGTGCGCCAGGTGTGCGATCGCAGCACCGACGCATGGTGGCCGTGGGTGTACGTGGCTGTCTCGGTTTTGATGCTCATTGTTTTACGATGGAATCGGGGTGTAATACTTGATGGATTTGGCACACAAAATGGGCGTTTGATACCGGTTTGGCCATGGAATTCGACGGTGACTTTGTAGGTTCTGGTCGGCTCCGGTGTCGGAGAACCTTTGCCGATTCGGCGGCTTAGACCCTAACCCTAGGTCAGTCAGGCTCAGAGCGTTCAGCGCGCGACGACTCTGTTTGTTCATCTGCCGATGGTATCGAAATTGCATCTCAATTGCTCCCTGAGGTATGAACCGACTATCTAGGAGATGCCGTGTGCAGAGTCGCGAGAAGGCGACGTCTCAAGGAGTCAGGGCCCTTGCTGCCATGCACATCACCCTACACTCGTTGTCAACGTCATACCCAGCGCTGATTCTTCTCGCTTCAAAATTTGGCATTACTTCTCTAAACTCGGAACAGTCACCTGTTTCCTTTTTGAACTCTTGTATTCGGGCAATGTCGCCCCTCTGGCTCTCGTGAGGATGGCCACGTGTTGGATTTGTACAATGTCCCGAGCTCGATGCGCCACGAAGAGAGGCGGAGAACTTGGTCATGATTCATGGGATTTGCGGCCAACGGGCAGAGATGCAGTGAAATGAAACTGGCTAGAATACACGACTGACAATTGAATTGTCGCTGTGGTCAGGCCAGAGGAGGACTGGCGACGGTGCAAATCTAGTCCAAGTCTTTCTGTATAAGGCAATCCGTGGGAAACGCTCATGGCCCTTCACCTAAGCGCTACCCGAATAGGCCTTTGGTAATAGCCCCATTGCCATCAAATACTAGACTACCGGCGTGGACGAGAAATCCGTCTCGCCAGAATCTGCAAATTAGCTATATACAGCCGTCTTGAAGAAAAGGCCCGTAAATGATACCCACTATCATTGTAATTGCGAACCAACAAGCACTGAATGTGTTGTATTTCAAGAGCCAAGCAGTGATCACACTACATAGATATATGGAAGCAAGAGATGGTCTGGCCCGACATGTTTGTTGTGGGCGTGGATTTCCGGACATCGTATCTACGCGGGATGATCAGCGTCGCACCCCTTGGAACGGATATTTTGTGCCGTCGTCTCACAATACCATTCCAAAGTCCCAGCACGATAAGCAGAAAGAAAAAGCATTGCTACACTTGACTCATCAACGCCCATCATCCAGCATTCGAAATCTGCCAGGGTGCCCATCGTGACGCCTCTATCAGTGAAATCGCATACGGCGGTAGTACGGCGGTAGCTTGATGAGCACGTACAAGCACGGCATATGGGGATGGCATCATCGGCCAAGTCCATGCTGATCATTCAACCAGCGGCACAGACTCAAGAGTCGAGAATCGGCAAGGCAGGAATTGGGCGGAGGCTTCGTTCGGGAGCAAATACGCGCTCGGGAAGCCTTTCCACAGACCAAGGATCCAACTCTTTCCGCTGCCCGTACGAGTCGAACTATCCAGCTGGCCTTTTGGAGAAGTGCATTGGTCAAGTCCATCTCGCCTGGAGGATCCTGATGGTGCAACCATCCTCGGGTGGAACAGGAGAGGAAGCACAACGAGGGAGCATATGGCGCAGGTGGCAACGTGAAGGCTATCGATGGGCCATGGCGAGAATACTGCCGACGATTTCTTCAAGCTAGCTCAGTCCAAACGAATCTACCAGAGACTGGCAACATGTCCATACGACTGGAAGCTTAGAAACTAGTTGGTTCGTTGCTCAGTGCCAGAGGGGTTGATACGAGTGCAGTTGCGGAAACTCTTGGCCCATCATCATATTCCGGGGTTGAAGATTCTTCTCCTCGTCTCCCCTGGTCCACGTGAGAAATAGCGGCCGTGTCAAGCTCTCTCGTGTCTTGGATGTCAGCATTGCCAGGCCGCTTTGCCAGATATCTTGCCGTGTCGTCATCTTTCTCTCCACAGAGTTGCCCGTTACTCGGCCGCGACAGGCGCTTGCACATGTCAGCGCTACCAGGTCTTTCAGAAATTGGTTCTCTGGAGATAAGGGTGTAATCTAGGCTTGCATTGGCAAATAAACTCCGACGATGAAAAATGGGGTCTGGATCCGTGGCCCCCAAGCGTCCGTCACCAGCCATGTCAGACGTACGTGGTGATCCGCACCTCAAATTGCAGGTCTGTGCAAAATTGTCAGAGGAACAGGGATAGAAGCCACCAAAGAAATAGTTCTCCAGTGTTGGGGTGAGATCCCCGCCGCCACCAAGCCTCCATGTCCCCACGTCACGTCGGACTGTTGATCGGACTGTTGATCGGACTTGGCCTAGTTTCCATTGGACGGGTCGAAAGTGAACTCTAGAAACATTGAACCTAACATTGAATGTCCGGGCCACAGCCTGCGGCCTGAAGAGCTGAATAGTCGGAATCGGAGCCGAGTATAGTCGGCGAGGGCAAAGATGGACACTGCGGCGAGGGTGGTGGTCTAGTTCCATACGAACATACATGGATGGAGATTACAACATGGCATCGGTATTATTATTAGCAGTAAGTGCTAAGCTTTTGCGTGTTTTCTTGGCACGCTAGGCAGCGTTTTCCTGTATACCCATGCCGCAAACTCGACGCTTGGCCTGTCCACCGCCCGCGTGACGAAATCGGCCGCGCAGAGGGTAACAGGCAAGAGGATCAAGTGCGGCAGAACAAACGCAAACTCGAGCCCAACAGGCCCATTCTGCGGCAGAACAAACCTGTCCACCCACTGCGGCATGTGCTCCAGTTGACCCGGGCCCTTGAAGCCGACTGCGGCATAGAGCCGGTCGCCCAGCGTCCACAGCAACGGTCCATGGACGAGATACAGCGCAAACGAGATGCGTCCCAGATACTGGCAGACACGCGTCTCAAAGAACCTCTTTAGCCAGCCAATGTGCGAGACCGAACTGACAAGTAGAGTCGCGGCCCAAAAGAGGTAAAACCACTTGTAGTCAAAGACGGCCTGCGGCTTGAAAAAGGAGAGGAAGTACCAGCCCCGATTCCGGGCAAGCTGGTCCAGCTCGCGGTTCTCGCACGGCACGCCGCCCAAGTAGATGCCCAGCACGAGCATGTGGTAGCAGACGACGGTCTTGTACGGCGCAAGCCGCGCCAGAAACCGCGGGAGCCTGCCCAGCGCCGCCAACAGGTCCAGGTGGCTCAAGAGCATGCCGGCGACAAACATGGCGCAGTACCACCCGTCGGCAACGTACATGAAGTAGACGACGAGCCCGACCTGGCACCAGAGACGCGCCGCGAGGGTACACCTCGAAAAGGCCAGCAGGGACGCAAAGACGACCACGGAGCCCTTGAACTCGACGGGTATCGACCAGACGTGCATGCTGTACGAGAGCCAGGGCACGCCGCCGTCCTTGAAGACGAAGCTGAAGTTTTTGAACTCGCAGTAGAGGAACCACATCTCGCCGAGCCAGCTGCCCTGCGGGCTCGCTCCGTCAACCCACAGGCCCAGCAGATGCCACGAGGTTGCGTAGACGGCCATGGTCGCGGCGACGGGGAGGAACAGCCGCAGCCAGCGCCTGAATATGGCGGACGCGAGGTGGTCGACCAGGCCGGCGAGGTCGTCGCTCTCGATGAGCCTGAGGGGCTTTATGGAAAGCACGTAGCCCGACAGGACGAAAAAGGTAGAGACGGCAAAGTGGCCGCCGGAGAAGAGGAGGCGGACGCCCGGCAAGGCGGCGAGGTGGTACTTGGACGCGTAGCCGAAGCTGTTTTCAAAGATTGGGTTCTGCGCCAGCCTGTCGGCGTTGTGAACCCAGAGGACGTGGTGATGCCAGTAGACCAGGAGGGCTGCGAAGCCGCGCAGGCCGTCGAGGTAGGCCGTTTTGTGCAGGGCTCTCGGGCGATGCGCCGGCTGCGGCCACAGCCGTGACTTGATGCGGGAGAGGCTCGTCGACGTGTCGCCCGAGGGTTTGGATGTCCAGTGCGTCGGTAATGGTCCGTCGTTGGCCGCTTCCGGGTCGGCGTTGAGCATGGCTTCCTCGAGCGAGCCTCTGTCGAGGAGTCGGGGTGAATTTTGGGCGGGCATCTTGCCGGCTTACATGGTAGGGAACGCGGTTGTACAAGGCAGAGGGTCGCTTCAAGTTGTTTGAAGAGAATTGGACCAAGGCGCGAGTCCCGGCGGAGGGTGGTGTTTTGCGCGAGAGACGACGGCGTCTGGTGCCGCGACTGACTTGGGTGTTGTATGGAGTCGTCACTTGCAACTCACGGAGAAGGCGGACAAGACCATTGTGTGTCAGTGTGAGCGTCTGCACCCCTGTTCTAGTTGAATGGAACAGGTTGAGGCTGGCATAGTGCAGCCACTCGACTAGGGTCCTTACTCGATCACGACGAATGGTTGACCAAGGCCCCGGACTGGAGAGATCTGGTTTCCGGGAATCCGGGGGGATGGCTGGCATTGCGTGCCAACAGAGCCAACCAAAGAGACGGTGAGGGCAAGCGCGTGCGGTTTGAGTTTGCGTGTGAGGGGCCGAGGTGTCGACCATGGCCAAGTTGCTCGTCTTTTGCCATGTGCCCGGAAGCAGACACCATTGACGCCTTGCCACTTGCTCAAGTCCGGGGATGATGGATCATGGATGGGTGGGAGGCAAAGCGGCCGGCGCTCTTGGCCGGATAATAATAAATGGGCCGCTTAGGGTCCGGAGCAACACCCCGTCGTGGCCATGGCGCCGCCGATCAGAGACATGGAGGGCAGACAAAGAAGCCACACACGAGTTGCAGAGTCAAGACATGGAGTCTGGTCAAGTTGGTGCCGAGTCGACGCTGTTGTAGGTGCGGCATGACCCGAGATGTCCCCATCAATGGAAGCCCCAGACTTGAGCCACCGGGGTACATGGAGTTGACTTGATTGTAATTTGTGGCCTTTGTGCCGTGTCCCAGCCATCGACTTGCCTTCACTAGGGTTGCCCCACAAACGATGAATGGATTAATGTCAAAGTCGATGCAAGATTTGAGGCGCAAACGGCCTTCTTCTCGCGCCTAGCCATGGCAGCCAACTTGACCTAGTTTCCCGCGACGCGACATTAAACGCTCACGATACTCCAACACCACATGGCCAGCCCGTCTGGATTTGCCCTCTACCAGTGACAACCACATCCCAGGCCAACAGCAGAGAGTCCCCCAGATCATAGATGGAGAAGCCGCCGCTCATGCCCTCTCTCCGGGCCCGGCTCTCGCCCAAGCTGAGAAGCATCACCTTGCCAAAAAAGATGCAGAAATGCCTGGCCATGTACCTCGGCTGCGTCTTCCTCCTCGTGCTCCTGCTCAACTTAGACGTCCTCTTCCTGCTCCCGAGCCCGTCCAGCATCATGGCCTCGCCCGCGCCGCCGCCCGCCAAGCTGCCGGGCAGCACGTTCCCGCAAAAGATATGGCAGACGTGGAAGATCGACCCGCTGCTGTTTGGCATCACCGAGACGGCGAGGGCCATGACGTGGATCAAGCAGAACCCCCATATGCGCTACGAGGTCATCACCGACGCCAGCGACCTGACCTACGTCGAGCAGCACTTTGGCCCCGACGGCTTCAACCGGCCCGACATTGTCGACTTTTACCGCCAGCTCAACCTGCGCATCATCAAGGCCGACCTGCTGCGGTACATGATCCTCTACGCCGAGGGCGGCATCTACGCCGACATTGACGTCGAGGCCCTCCGCCCCTTCCACCGCTTCATCCCCGACCGCCACGACGAGCGCGACTACGACCTCATCGTCGGCGTCGAGGTCGACATGCCGCAGTTCCGCCACCACCGCATCCTGGGCCAAAAGTCGCAGTCCTTTTGCCAGTGGACCATTGCCGCGCGCCCGCGCCACCCCGTCATGCTGCACCTCATCGACGGCATCATGAAGTGGCTCAAGGGCGTCGCGAGGAGGCAGCGCGTCGCCCTGGGCAAGGTCGAGCTCGACTTTGACCAGGTCATCACCGGCACGGGCCCGTCGGCCTTTACCGCCGCCGTGCTCGAGGAGATGAACCGCGCGGCCAGGGCCAAGGGCGAGCCCGCCGTCACGTGGGACGACTTCCACGGCATGGGCGAGTCCAAAGTCGTCGGGCGCGTGCTGGTGCTCACGGTGGAAGCCTTCTGCGCCGGCCAGGGCCACTCCGACTCGGGCAACCACGGGTCTCGCGGCGCCCTCGTCAAGCACCACTACCACGCGTCCAACTGGCCCAGCAGGCACCGCCGCTACAGGCATCCCGCCTACGGGCAGGTCGAGGAGTGCAACTGGGACGCCGAGTGCGTCGACCAGTGGGACAGGGACGTGGCCGCCTTTGACAAGCTGTCCGAGGCGGAGAGGAAGAAGATTATCGTCGAGCGGCTCAAGCTGCTGCAGGAACAGCAGCAGGAGCAGCAGCAGCCTCAGCAGCAGCAGCAGCAGCAGGTCAAGAGTCCGTGATTTCAGAGGTTGGAGTATAGACTTGATTGGCTAGGGTTGTATATCAGGGCAGCGGAACATTGCATCGAATTATTGCGACGGAGGCGTTGGGGAAATCAGTCTACTTGGCGTTTTGCCACTCGTTTCATCCAAGTACATATTATATGCACCATTCACACAAAGTCTACGTTGAACGCGGGTGGCACAAGACTAGCTGCCATACTATGGATGGCTTCCGTTCCACCAAGACATCAGTCATCAGTCATGTTACAGAGTACTCAGTACGTACCGGTGGTGGGAAAGGGCTCTGTCAATGAATGACTCCAGATGTCAATTTGCAGCCCGAACCCTGCCCCGTATTCCAGCCCTGTCAAGAATAACAGCAGGAGCTGGGTTCAATGTTCGCTGTGTTGGAACCCCACAGAGTCGCAGAGCATCTACAATCTTGATGAGATCGTTTAGGCCTCCGCTTTGGCCGCAGCGCATGTATGTATTTCACATGCCATGACTCCCTACACACACGCAGTCTCTTGTCCTCGGTTCCCGCCGCCACTAGGTTGCCGGGTTTGGTGTGGGAGCCCGAGGGAAGGGTATCCTAGGCCGGTCCATGTCCACGGTCCTCTCTGTCCGTTGTCATTGGGAACATGCAACTTGGCCCGGGGACATCTGCAGCCGGGGACGACAGGGTATTAGATAAGCGACGGGCCAATTTGCTGCCATTGGCCTGCCATGGTTCCATTCTAGATGGCAGGATTGGGTCCGTCGTCCGAGCCAACCGAGCCACCTCCACATGCACCCCTGGCCAGGACCCATGGCGGCAGCCGGGGCTTGCAGCCAGCGCCACAAATCCATGGAGAATATACCGCATTCGGCAGTCGAGCCCACTTGGCCGGTGGAGCAGGACATGGACGGTTGTCTTCGACGTCGAACATGCTCGCGGGCCCCGAAGCGAGTGTGACACGACGGACATCGGTGATACGCAACAATCGGCGGGGAGCACGAGAGGAAAAGAAAAGAGGCTTAACTTTTGGTGTTCGTACGGTCAGGGTGGATAACAGCCCTCGTGACACTCGTCTTCGTGGTTTTACGCCGGAAAGACACATAGTGCCTTGCCCACCGTGTTAGTTTCTAGAACAAGTGGCAAGTCTAGGACAAAGACGGGAGAAACGTGTCCGCCCAATTGATAGACTACAAGTTTAGATTTAGTAGCATAAGGCTAATACCAAGCTCTGTGAAAATAAGTACACTTGAAGAAGAAAAAAACCCTTCCGGGTTTGACCAGTTCCCACGGGAGGCGTGCCGACGCAACGCTCACGAGTCAGGACCAAAGGATGCCTCGCAGCAAGCCATTGGTCCTTGCCAATGCGACGACACGTCTCCCACAATTCCAGAAATTAAGAAGGAGAAGAAAAAAAATCTATGTGTCTTGGTCCATGCCGAATTCGCGCCTAGGCAGAAGCCTTTTCTCTGTTGAAACGGCCCCAACCCCCATTGAAACAAATCACAGAGCCAACGCCGCGAATGCCAACATGGCCAATCCTCCCATGGGCGCAAAGCCAGTGGCTCCGCCGGTGGTGGCAGGAGGAGGCGAGACCGGCTCTACCGTGGTCGCCGGAGGAGGCACAGGCGCGACAGTGGCAGTGGCAGTTTGGCCCGGCCGTTTCGTCGGCGTGGGCGCAGACGTGCCGGTGTTGCTGCCGCTGCCGGCGTTGGCACAAAGCTTTTGCGTTGCAGGAAGGACCTCGTCTGGATGGCAGGTGTCAGTCAACCATGGGCCCATGGCATGGAAACATGTGTACACGTACTGAGAGCGACGTCCTGGCCGCAAGCGCTGAGGATACAGCCCGCAGCGGCGCCCTGGATGACATCGAACTTGCTGCAGATGCAAGGCAAATCCGTCGCTGAGCACGTCGTGCCCTGTTTCACAGCGTCGTTGAGACAGCTAAGCGAGCAGCTGGGCAGATCGGCGAGGCTCTGGCCCGCGGCCAACGAGGCCATGGCTAGCGATGCAATGGCGAGGAACTTCATGGTGAGCGTAGGTGGTTCTGAACCAGGTTCGACAGACTTGAAGATTATCTTGTGCTGGGCCAAGTCTGACTCGACAAAAGTTGGGGTAGACGTTTTCCGGGGAGATGGGCAGCGTGGCCCATGTTTTGTACGAGGACATCCATCCCCACAGATGACTGTGGATTTTGTTTCTTCAACCCGTTGATCGGCCAAAAAAGCCTTCTTCCCCAGCCGTCTCCACCACCGCGCCAGAGATCAGCGAGGTATTTAAAATAACCAGACCCAAAGGGGCACAAGTGACCGGGAGGTTCCCAGCTAGCTGCCGGGGCCCAACAGCTCCGGGCTCTGTAGACTGTCAATTTTTTGGCATGTGCTACTGGGCGGAGACGCTGCCAGATGGGTTGCCTTGATCTGCTTATGCTTAAGTATGTACATGCTCTCTGGGGCGTGTCATGCCAAAAGTCAACCTTGTCACGCAGAACGCGCGTTCGAACCCGAGGCGCACCGTCTAGACACGATGCCGCAAACTGCCCCATACGTCATGGGAAAATTTAGGCCGTACGTCGCTGCTCAGTCTGGTAGTCCGAAGCGCCATGAATCTTGTGGCATGTAGCAGCGATGATTCTTCTCTTGGCCAACGGGGACTTGTAGCACCATGTCCGTTCTTGTACATGGCAACTAGGCGGCAAACAGGACATGGCAGACACCCTAGCTATTTTAGTAGTAAAAACCTTTGGGAAATTGCCCGGTTTCATGTCTCGGGTCCGTAGCGCCCCCCGCCAGATAACAACGAGGTCAAAGACAAACACGGACGCTCCGCTGCATCTCAGACAGGGCGGATCGGTAGAACCCCCCCAATTACAGATGCGTCTTGTGGCGCGAGACGGAGCAAGTAGTATAGTTGACGCTAAGGCGCTATTCCCTGGTTCTGGCTCTTTGCCAATCTCTCCCACGGCGTCTCGTATACACCACTCGTTCTTGCCTTGACAAAGTCGTCTGAATCGAAAAACCTGCACATCTTCATCCAATCCAGATCCCACATGTCATTCAGATGCGTCAAGTTGTTCCAGGACCCCCAGAGCCGATTCCACATCTTGACGTGCAGGACCCGGATCGGACCCTCAGTCCGCTCGGCCTCGTCCCCAAGGTACTTGGTGTAGTATTCCGGGAGGGCATTCCAGATGGGCGGCAGGCGCTGTACCGGAAACGGGCCGTCGGCTGCAAAGGCATTCTTGGACTTCAAGACACCCTGCTCCATGTCCCTTACGTCGTAGTCGGCCGTGCTCCTGGCCGCCCTGATGAGTTTGGCGTGCATGTCGAGATTCGGCTTCAGGACCAGCATGCCGGCGTTGATGTTGTCGAGCTGGAACTGTGCCACGCCCGCGTAGACGTAGTTGCACATGTCCTCGCCGCCCTTGCCGTTGCCGACGACGGCCTGGTCCTCGGGATGCAGGGCGGCCTTGTTGCACTGCTGCTCCGGCACCAAGTCGAAGATGTCGTCCATGTTCCTGATGGGGAAGGCATCCGAATCCAGGAACACGATGCGCTTCCATTCCACCTGTTTCCATACATTAAGCTTGGACAGCACGTCTATCCACCGCTTTGTCAGAATCGCTTCATCGGGTATGATGGTATCGAGCAGTTCAATCTCCTTGACTATGGCGCCTTGCCCGCGGAAAATCTGACGGTGCGTCTCCGGGATAAAGGGGCATACAAAGACGATGACGGGATATTTTGAACGATAGTCGGACCAGAGAAGCCTCCAGATGATGGATTGCGTAGACTCGAAATAAGGACCTCTAGTGTCTGCGTTGCGGCTGCAGTAGAATGTTGCAAAGGCAAATCGAGATGGCTCGTGGATGTTTTGCGCCGCGTATGTAGACAGAGGTGCAAAGTCGCGTCGAGGGACCGGGTCATTGGGGAATTCGAGGCCTGGGTCTTGGGCGGCCGAGAGAGCGCCGTGTCGGCTCAGGCTTGCGTGCCATGGTATGCTGGCGTAGAGGAAGCATGTGGCGAGAAAGAGAACAAGTCCAATCGCGGCCACAGACGTTGGCCGGAAAGGCCGCGCTACCATTGGGAACGAGAGTCTGGTGTGCTGAGGATTGAGTCGAGGTCCAAGTTGATGATGGCGAGTGGACGCCTGGCCATCCCACTAAAGTATCAATCATGTCTGGTACAACCCACTGTAGCACTAGGTTGACACACAAGACCAACCGCGCCTCCACGTGACATCCAGAATCGGCACTGGCATGCTCGGCTGGTCAACACCTTTGTTGCCCCATTCCCGACCTTGGATGCAAACCACACGCAGATAGGTAAGTTGATCCCTAACCATTGTTGGGTGACAAGTCGACAAGTTTACAGCTTGGCGACGTGCGATGGAGAGCCATTGACATGCGAAGCGCGTATGGTGCCAAACTGGTGGGGGAAGCATTGCAAGCATTGCAAGCATTTGAAGAGACTAGTCACGAGTAGTCCAAAGTGGCGGGGGAAGTTACACTTGAGTCAATTTTATTTAGTCAAGTCAATCAAATTTGATGACCACCTAGTGCTACCATCCTTTCTTTGTGCCTGGTCCAGACCGTCACAATCATTTTTATCTATACTAAAATACGTGAATTTAAAAGGATTTTATATGCCAATTTAAGAATAGTACCTTTGTTAAAAACTATGCCAGAAAACGAGCCTTCTCGCAAACAAGTGAAACGACCTTGTCGTTGAATTTGGGGTTTATCGACTTGGCCCGGTACATGTCAAGACCCTGGCTGGTGGCTTCGATATATGCACCCTTGGAATCCAACTGTCTAACATGAAGGTGTTAGTCTCCATGCAACTCGTCGACAGAAACATGACTTGTGACAAGGGCTCAATACAAAAGGCTTGGAGCAATAACTCGATTCAGTGATAGTGTTGAAGCGTGTCGAAGGTCCTTGGTCTTCCAAGAGGAAGAAAGGGACGACTGACCACTATATATACATGAAGGGAACAGCTGTGCCCAAGGTTCTCACCGGGTCATGCATCCAATTTGTGTAACTTCGAGGTCCTCTGTCGGCGGTGCCCCTTTATTGGACTTTGTTATTGGGTCCTAACCGTGTAACATGAGTTCAGGCATAAAAGTGACATATGCCGGCGGCTGCGTTTACATCATTTTTATTTAACCGGGGTACAGCCACTTTGAGCAACAAGTGTTAGCCGAGATAACCAAGACGGTTTAACTTGATATGAAACCTACCGCACTTCCCGGCAGGGGCTTCAACTTTGGTACGGCGGAGCATCGTTTTTGCGAAGTTGGACAACTCACTTGTCGTCTGGTGATGCGGCAGCTAGATACCAATGCTCTAGTGTCAAGTTTTTGTTCGTCTATATTCCACCTACCTTTTCTCCCTGCACTCCTTCTAGAGCCACCAGGCAGATTGCAGCAACTGTGTGTACGCGGCTCTGCTTGTAAAGTGTCAGTTCAACTCTAAAGCATGATGATATAGGGAACATCTCAATCTTTGCTAGCTCGTAGGTCAGCTCCAAAGCCTGATCTCATGAAATGTGAGCCGAGCCTAGTCAAGGTGGGACATGCACCTCGGCTTCCACCGGCAAACATCTCTTGTCCCGCCTCGTTGGTGTTGGAAAGATCCCTTGTAGTTGTCGAGGGTTCATGTCGATGTAGCGCTCAATACTCTCGTGGCTTTATTGGCCATTGTTAGCACGAATACTGCCGAGGCGTCTTCTGAGGTTTACTTAACTTCCGTATCCGGAGATTTTGGTTCCGTGTTCGGTCCGGGAATTCTTCTCTGGGTGCTTATTCTGTGAAATGAGGCGGAAGCGCACTATATAGTTCGAAAACACTATCCGTTTGGTCCATGTATATGGCCCCTGCTGCAAATAGTGGACGTCGCGGGGCGTCTTCATCATATTCTTCGTCAGAACCGCTCTCAGAACCGCTACCAGACGAGCGGCCCGTTAACACGAGAGGAAAGTCGCTGCTAACGTGGCATGTGGAGGAATCTGTCTCTCGCTGATGTAGTTCGACATCGTATTTCGCATGATCGATCCACCTCGCTTCATTGACTCTATTATCGCTTCGTTGCCTCATTTGTGTATACCTTCGTATCTGCCTCTGATTTATGCCTCCTAAAACAGCCACTCCAGTTTCGGCACTGAGATATTCATTATCAAGCATGTTTAGTGTAGCACGAATTATATATAGCCACCAGCTATTAGCTTCTGCTTTTTTTGCTGCTGATACGTACGCGGTTCAAAAGACAAAACCAGGCTCGTTAAACTAGTCTAGTCCGCACCCATTTTAACTAGCATTATAATAGCGTGAAGGGTTAAAAGATAATTCATGATTTTTCCGGCTATTAGCCTGAGGCTGGAATCCGCAAACAGCCCGTATCTATCGAGGAGATGTATCGTCCCCGCGGTAGACAAAGGAGGCAACATCGGGAGTTGGAGTGACCTGTCGACGGGCAAGAGCGGTCTCTTGGGATAGGACAGTGGCATGCTCAGAACCAGGCCAACAAAACTATGGAACTCAACTAATACAACGAAATTAGCCCAACGCATGCCTGTGCCGGGCTAGTAAGACTTTGAAGTATTGAGGCTTTCCAGTTGGGATAGTTGGCAAGTGTCACAGCACAGAATGCGATCCGACGGACAGTATAAATTTTGTACGGCTATTAAGGAGATTTACATGTTGGGGCATAGTTACGTTTCGTAAATGTGAGGTTGAAGAAATTCAACTGTCAATGTGCTGGAAATAGCATGTCAAACGTTAAATTTATAAGTGTAGGAATAAGAGTATTACTTCTCAAGAGATATCTGATTAGTTAAATATCTCTTCTCCTCGCTTATTAGATTTGACCCCTTTTTGTAGAGCCTTTTAGCCAGTATGAACTCGCAACAACACAATCACACGCAACGCACAAGAAGTATTACACGGAAATGGCCCAATGTCAAAGGTTACACGGGACCTAGGGTAAAGTTCCTTACCGGCTTCTTGTATTTAAAGAGGCCTTTGGTCCCTCATGTAGTGAATTTGAAGCCTCCCTGTCTGTCGGAGAAAAAGCCACGAGGATCATACGCCTTATGGATACTCAAGAGTCTCGAGTATGTCTCGTTTCCGTAGCTTTGCAACACGTCCTGTCCTTGCATGGCATCGTTCATGAATATCGGATTATAGCTAGTAATAAGATGTCAGTTGATGTAGACAGCATAAGGGGGCAGTAGCAGACACGGATTACAAAAAATGTCGAGCACACGGACGCAAAACCAACTCACCTCAGCCACTCCAGGTCGCCAGACTCGTAATTCGTCGGGTAGATTCCGGAATACTTTTCCCTGTGGAGGTCATGCTGGGACTGGACCAGCTTTTCAAAGAAGCCGGGGCACTTGTCGTCACACAACGGGTTCAACCACGCAATGTCGTACTCCATCCACACCCGGTCCCCGTGTTCCGGCACAAGCCCCAGTGCGTTGGGACCCCCATTCTCCAAGGAAGCTCGCGCGATTCCACGAGGCATTGGCTGGACCGCAAATGAGAAGAGTTTAAAGTCTAGCACATCCCCGAGCGCCGCCTCGGTAGACTTCTTGACAAGAAGATTATAGTGACTGTTTAGAAAAGAGTTCATGTCCCCTGCCGGCATGTTGGGGAACGTGTTTTCTCTAATTTGGAATCGCAGGCCCTTCATGTCCCCGGCCAACACCTCTTTGGTTAGGTCAGTGTAGGACCGGCGCTTGGTGCTATCCGAAAAGCTCGCGATGGCGTCAAACTCGTCAAACACGCCACGGCGCGGCTCTAGTCCGTCGTAGAAGAAGAAGACCAGACTCCCGGGGACGTTGACTCCGAGCGTCGAAAAGAAGTTGAATGTTGGGATAATGGCGGCCTTGCTGTCGGCATTGTTGGCGGTGAAGTTTGCCACGGCGGACAGAACCTCCTTCCGCTTGTCTGCCGTGTATGTACGGACGCCGCCCCAGATGGTGCCGTTCTGGCCAATGCCGTACGTCTTCAAGACGAACTTGGCCACGATGGCGTACTGGTTGCCCCCGCCTCGCAGGGCAAAGAAGAGTTCGGGGTGTGAGGTTGAGCTGGCAGTCGCAATGGTGCCGTTTGCGAGGACGCACTCGAAGCTCACGACGTTGTCGCACGCGAAGCCCTAGGCGGGAGTGTGAGCGGGAAACTATAGACGCCAGATACAAGACCAGTCTGTTTTCATCTTACATATTGCGCGGACAGGTAGGAGAGCCCGCCGCCGAGCAGGAAGCCGGCAACGCCGACGTCTCCCAAACGGCCGCCCACGGCGGTTTTGCCCAGCGGTTCAAGAGCCGAGTACACATCTTCCCACTTGCACCCGGCGCCGACCTCGACGGTCTCTCCATCGGCAGAGGGGATGGCGTATTGCGAATTTGGTCTAAAGGCAATCAGAACCCCTTGGTCCACGCTGGAGTGGCCTAGGTTGGGGTTATGCCCGCCGCCTTTGAGCGCGAACCGGACCGTGGGGTATGCGTTGAGGAGCTTTACTGCGACAGAGACTTGGTCAGCGTTGGATGGGAAGAATGCGCAGCCGGCTCTGTTGTTGGAACTCGCGGCGTTCCAATAGTCGAACAGGGCTGTGTTGTAGGTTGAAGCATGGGAGATTGTGTCGGTGGCCTGCGGTCCGATTGGGTCCCAAACCAGCTGCCCTGGGAATTTGGCATGCAGCCCCGAGCAAACTGCTTTGGTCTCGGGTGTCAGAGCCGCTGCCTCTGTGAGCGTGTAAAGTGCCGTAGCTAGCCACAAGACGCGCATCGTTACAAGATTATCCGTGTCTTGGGGTGTATATCAGAACTTGATACTTGTCTGTGGACATCAAATAGTGAGATAGGACACTCCTAAATGGAATCTAGAGAATTATATTGTGTTGCTATTGAGAGAGGATTCGCCATGACGAGGTCCTTGTGAATATTTATACATCATTACCAGTGCTAGTAAGTATCCAAGTCCAGGACTCCAGGGGGCATATTGTGTTAGCACGGGGACCTGATTCTACACTGCAGGGCTCTAAATGTCTCGCCTTACCGATGTATTATATTTGCTTAGTTGCTGTGGGCCCTGCTTTGTTGAGCAAGATTGACATGATGGGAGAATCAAGATGCCAAGTCAGAGGTTTTGCTGTGTGATCGCGTGGAGCAAATGCAACATTTGCAATGAGCCAGTCGTGGATAGCGTCTGTGCGGCTCTGTGCCTTGGCGGAGTTGATATTAATGCGTGTAGAAACCGTGCGGCTGGAAAGACTAGCGTTGCTTTCAAATGGTTTCTTTTGCTTGTTCTGGCATTAACCTTATGCGATTGACATTATGTACCCAATCCAATGGCTGACATAGCCGCGCTTCCCTTATTTTGCACTCCACCTCGCTTAGAGACTTGCTTAGACTAAGGTCAAAGAGCGTGTACAATTAAGGTTAGGCGTCTCCCAGTAGTCCAACTGACAAAGGGCGGCAGATGACGATCGGAAAACTAGGCTGTCCCGGACATGCGAGCTTTGTAGCATCGGTGAGACTGATGTCCTGCCTCGGCATATTTCTTAGGCCGAATGATGGCGGTTTTGAGACACATAGAATGGAAAAAGTGTTGTCCGCGACGGAGAAGCCAGCCATGTAGCAGACGGTCGCAGACTTTGTATTGACTTGCCCTGAATGCAGTGTACATCAATGGGATATCCTGCATAGTGGTGGTGGCACTTAATGTTGCCAAGAGTGAAGGCACTCTTGTTGGTGTAGGCCTCTCTCTATTTCTCTTCATGTCGTATTAGGCATTTAGACCGGGCATTTCATTTACATTCTAGACAATGTATCAATGAATGTGACAGGTACTACATGGCTCCGTGTTAGGCAGCGCAAGTTAAGGACAAGTATTATAGTAGATCGTCATGCCTATCAATTGCGTAGAGGGATGGATAGTGAAGGGGTCATAGGAGTCAATCGCATGCACGGGAAGGGAGATGCGCCGCTTCCTTGTTCCTGGTGTGGTTTTATTTCGCAATAACTACACGGTACTCTCTTTGCAGAAATCGAATAAACGAGAAAAGCAACCAGAATAGAGGACGAAATTAAATTATTGGTCCCAGTCAAGTTATTAAAATTGGATATAAGTAACTAACGTATTTATTTAAATAGAACTCCTAACTGAGATGCAGAGGACCTTAATCTTAACTATATTTTATCCAAAACATATACAATACGTATCGCTCCTCTTGCCTCGGTAATTGTCCTGGAAGGGACGCTTTGTGCGTTGTGTGTGATTGTGTCATTCAATGTTTCTAGTTAATACTGGCTAAAAGGCTCTACAAAAGGGGGTCAAATCGGCCAGCTGGATGCGAGCAGCTTCCACATACAGCCCAAATACCTAAACTCGGGGCCTAATAGTAATATTAGTTTCTTATCACGACCCAGTCGAGACAAGTAAACCACATGACAATAACGCCCTATAAGAGGTCAAATCTGACAAGCAAGAAGAAGAGATATTTAACTTGTCAGACATGTGATAAGGGTTCTATAGAGGGCTTGGAGCAAATAGCTCAATTCATCTAATAACAGTCTTTGGCATCAAAGGTCTTTGGTTTTCCTCAAGGCCTCGGTGGCCAAAAACGTCTTTAAATCCAAGAATTCGGTGGGAGACTTTGCCCTAGGTCCCAGGATTGTAGCCCTTGTGCAACAGGCTATTTCCGTGTAACAGGTATAGTCAGTTGACGGCAAAATAGAGTATAACTTAACTTGGAATAATCAAGGGGCTACGCCCTGTCCCGCGTGTCATGTCAGGCCATGCCAGCTTCTCACTTGCAAAGAGCCATCTGGCAGGAATAATTGCGTCGTGGGCAAAATCACCAGCGATGGTGTCATCACAATCACAGGCCGCTTGATGGCAAGATGCCGGTCAAGGGGCGTTGCCAAGCAGCAACGTTTGGTCCCGTCTGTTTGTCGAATGTTTCCATGTGCCTATTTGCGCGTCTCTGATCCAAGTCTATTCTTACATGCCGCCCAGTGTACCCAAGATTCCGAATCAGCGGTTTACTTGCGGTCGAGTCTACAGCTTACTACCCCCATCAAGGTACGTCCCCCCGGTCCGCAGCATCTCGGCGGCTTCCTCGACAAGCTCATGAACAATCTCGCCCGCCGGCTGAATGCGCTGAATGGAACCCGCCACCTGGCCCATAAAGTGAGGCACATCGATGTCCTCCGCGCCGTTTTCCAGGTCATGCTCCACGGGGACGATGCCGCGGTCGCAAAGGCTCTGTATCTCCTGGGGGTTCTTGTTCCACCGCCGAATGTAGTCGTTGGGCATCATCCTCAGGGGCCTTCCGGACAAGACTAGCGTCCGCTCCGTGCCTGTAAAGTCGCAGTCCACGACGGCCTGCTTGTGCTCGTTGCTGCTGTTGGCCTCCACCGAGGCCACGAAGCGGGTTCCAACCCACACGGCAGAGGCGCCCTGCATCAGAGCGGCGGCAACACCCCGACCGTTGCAGACGCCACCGGCGGCGAGGACCAAGGCGGTAGAACCCTTGAGCATCGGCGGCTTGTAACGTCGGGCCACGTCCACGACGGCAGGCACAAGGACCGAGCTTGCAATTTCGCCGGTATGCCCGCCGGCCTCGGTGCCCTGGGCGCACACCATGTCGACGCCGAGATCGAGGGCTTTGACGGCGTGCTTGGGGTGGCCCACCATGTTCATGACGAGAATGCCGTTCTTGTGCAGCTTTTCGATGATGTGCTTGGGCGGCACGCCGATTGCGCACACGAAAAGTTTAGCGCCGCTCTCAATGGTCAGGTCGATGAGCTCCTCGAGCTTCCCGTGGGTGTAGTCGTGGTTTGTTTTCCGTGCGTTGCCGCCCACCTGCGGAAGCGCGAGGTCAATACCAAAGGGCAGATCTGGCTGCTTGAAGGCGGCCTTCATTTCGGCGATGATGTCCCGAAGCTGGTCGGGCGAGTACTGCAAACCACCAATGACTCCCAGCCCGCCAGCATTAGAGACGGCAGCAGAAAGCTCGCCTCCGGAAGTATGGGCCATGCCGGCTAGAACCACGGGGTGTTGGATGCCCAAGAGTTGGGTGAAGGGCGTTGTAATGGGCCCTTTTGGCGCCATGGTGTCTGTCGTCTGGTCTGTCGTCTTGTTTTGTGATGGGTCAGTCGGGGAGTTTAGCCTTGAAAGACAGCACAGGATGATTTGCGGCGTATATTAAGGGGAAAACATGTATACGCAGTCAAGTGGATTCGCAGCTTATATCTATACACGTCAACTGGTACTATCCATGAGATTTGCGGCGCCAAAGTGACACGGCCCCAGCGGGCGGATAATCGTTCCGAGACGGGAGGGGCGGCTCACGGCTTGTTGGAGTGTGGGGTGATGGAGGAGAGAGGAAGATACCGAGGCATCGGCATCGACGTCGAGGCGCGGGGTTGGGACCTCTGGCAGGGAGAACGTCGTCAGATGATACCGACGTGCCGAAAGCCGACGGATCGTATGTCTTCTGCGGTCAATGCGAGTAGGAATACAGCAGATGTCATGTCCCTGAACATGATGAATTGAGGCCTCTCTGCGTCCAATGTCTGGTAAAGTAAAGTAGTGGGCCTACATGGAGTTGTCGCGTCTGGTGCTGCTTTCGCAAGCCAACGCGTCCATGTTCAACCTGCCCAATGCAGAACAGTCGCGAGACCGGCATATCCTTTTACCCAATGCCTGACAGATCTTCCCGAGTCGCTCCAGATGCCCGTCCACGGCAGGTCAATTTACCCCCAACCACGGGAAACAAGACGGCGGGCAACGTTGGCGGTTGAGACCATGTGTCAAGCCGTGTTTACGAAAACATGGCCAAGGATTCGGATCTTGACTAGATGCGGAGCAAATGTCTCACGCCAATTACGGCCACATGCGAGACAGAAGCTCTCGTCATGTTGGTAAAAACACAACACACCAGCAGGGAATACGGATGACATTTGTCTTCTCCAAAGACGCCTCATGTGCCCAGCTTTGACGCAAAATCACCATGTGACGTGACGCAAGGGCTGAAAAAGAAGAAGAAGAACAGAATTGAAGTTATGCTGGACCGTGGCGTCCAAGACATCATTGATGGGACAATGGATTCAATGTCGAGGTAACGTTAACGTCGCAATGCGGGGAAATTGCCTAGATGCATCGCGCAGCTGTGGCAGGCAACATGGAAGCATCGGCGCGGGCAGCTGAAGCCACAGCCATCGGTGGATGTCAGGCTGCGGTTGAGACGTAGGACTGCTGGCGGATTGTTGTTGGAGATGGGCGACCGACATGGAGTCCGATTCTGCGGACGGAATGCATTGAAAAGGTGAGGATGAAGCTTGTGGAAGAAGGGGGAAAATGTGAAGGGTCAATTCAAATGTTCAATGTTTGATGGGGCAAAAATGGTGGGGGAGCAATTGACTTGACAGCTGGCCAATGTGCAGCAAGCCACCTGCACATGTGGTGACATCAATTGATCAATGATGTGCACGACGGTTGAGCACAGAGATGTCGAGGTGCCCTGATTGATATCTACCCGTCAGCGACATAGCAAATGCCCCTCAGCCTTGTGTTCACGCCAAGCCCGCGCATGAACAGACGTCGGCTGGCATGAAACATTAATGCGATACTCCGTACCTTCAGTCTGGTTCCGCAAATTGCCGCACGCAGTGGCAGGCCCTGCCCTTCATGGGACCTCCTGGTTGGGTTGCATTGCATCTCCCCGTCCAATATCTTTTGCCTCCTCAAGGTGTTCGTGGTCTCCTTGTGCTGGTTCCCGGCCATGGTCAAAGGTGCTTTTGCTTTGATTGCAGGCGCGCAAGGACCCCATTCCGCTCTGCCTCACAAAGAAGACGTCTGGAACATTAAAGCCATGGACTCAATGCTACCAGACATAAAGCGGCTACGCTACAAGCTACATGTGCCACCAGACCAGACACGCCTCGCTGGCAAGAGCCAAGTCTGGTCCTGCCGCGCGGGAGCTTCAGCTGCGGCGTCTTGGCTTGCTGGCCTGCATCAATACTACTACGACTACTTCCAGTCCAGTCCACTCTACTTCTGGTGGGGTTACATTTCCATGGTCAACATTGAACTGGTCCCTCTCATGCTTCCAGTCCCTCTCCATCCAATTTTCTGTTCTTCACGCACACGTTCGCCATGGTTCTTTGAGGTCCCTGGACACAACCCACCTGGCCCAATCCAATGTCTCAAAGACGCTTGCAGCCACTTGCTTTGGAGGCAAGACCTTGGATACAATCTCGTCTGGTTTCGTACAAAAGGCGCCGAGTTGGCCCCTCCAACCGCCCGTCCTTTCATTGATGTTTGGCAACACCAGCAGCTCTCTCCAGGCTCGTGATTCACGGTCCGTGTGTGTCCTTTGTTCGGCACCTTCGATTGTGTACGCGTCGCCAAGGCGCCCTCATCAACCTCCTCCCTTGACACCACGTCACAACCCGTTGGCAAATCTCGCCTCAACATGCGCTTCTACACATCTGCCCTCCTCGCCGCCTTGGCGACGGTCGAGTTGACCTCTGCCGTCACCGTCAAGGTCAACCCGCTTCCCGCCCCTCAGGACGTGACCTGGGGTGACTCTGGTCCCAAACATGTCGGCTGGCTGAACCTGCGTACCAATTCGAATCGCAAGTCCGAGTCCAACACCAAACTCGTCTCCGAGGCTTGGAACCGCGCCTCCAAGGCCATCACCTCGCTGCGATGGGTGCCGCAGGCCATTGAGCAGCCCATCCCCAAGTTCGAACCCTTTCCCACCGCTGGCAGCAACGACAGCAGCAGCAGCGCCAAGTCGAAGCGAAACACGGGCGGTAGCTGGCTCAACGAGGTCAACGTACAGGTGTCCGACTGGTCCGCCGATCTGAAGCACGGCGTCGACGAGAGCTATACTCTCACCGTGTCTGCTTCGTCTTCGACTGTTGAAATCGCGGCAAAGACAGTCTGGGGTGCCCTTCATGCCTTCACCACCTTCCAGCAACTCGTCATCTTCGAGGCCGGGTCCCTGATTGTTGAGCAGCCCGTCACCATCAAGGATCACCCCAACTACCCGTACCGAGGTGTCATGGTCGACACGGGCCGAAACTTTATTTCCGCCAACAAGATCAAGGAACAGATTGACGGACTTGCCTTGTCCAAGATGAATATCCTCCACTGGCACATCACCGACACCCAGTCGTGGCCCATCCACCTCGAGGCCTACCCCCAGGTGACCAAGGATGCCTACTCTGGCCGCGAGAGCTACTCGGCCAAGGATGTGCAGGACATCATCTCGTATGCTCGCGCTCGCGGCGTGCGCGTCATTCCCGAAATCGACATGCCCGGCCACTCTGCCTCTGGGTGGCAGCAAATCGACAAGGACATTGTGACGTGCCAGAATAGTTGGTGGTCCAACGACAACTGGCCGTTGCACACGGCCGTGCAGCCCAACCCGGGACAGCTCGACGTCATGAACCCCAAGACGTACCAGGTTGTCGGCAACGTCTACTCGGAGCTGTCCAAGAAGTTCTCGGACGACTTCTTCCACGTGGGAGGTGACGAGCTCCAGATTGGCTGCTTCAACTTTAGCAAGGGCATCAGGGATTGGTTCGCCGCCGACCCCCAGCGCACCTACTTTGACCTCAACCAGTACTGGATCGACCACGCATACCCGCTGTTCATGTCGGAGGAGAACAGTGGCAAGAAGGACCGCCGACTCATCATGTGGGAGGATGTCGTCCTCTCTCCCGACGCCCACGCGCACAATGTGTCCAAGAGCGTCATCATGCAGTCCTGGAACAATGGCGTTGCCAACATTGACAAGCTCACCAAGGCCGGCTACGACGTGATTGTGTCCAGCGCCGACTTTATGTATCTCGATTGTGGGAATGGCGGGTACGTGACCAACGATCCTCGTTACAACGCACCGCAGTCGAACCCTGATGCTACCGGCGCGACCTTTTCCTTCAACTACGGCGGCCCCGGTGGCTCGTGGTGTGCGCCGTACAAGACGTGGCAGCGCATTTACGACTACGACTTCACGGCGAACCTCACTTCTGACCAAGCCAAGCACATTATCGGTGCCGCCGCGCCACTGTGGTCCGAACAAGTCGACGACGCCGTCATCAGCTCCAAGATGTGGCCGCGGGCCGCTGCACTCGCCGAGTTGGTTTGGTCTGGCAACAAGGACCCCAAGACTGGCCTCAAGCGAACGACGTATTTGACGCAACGCATTCTCAACTTTAGGGAGTACCTTGTTGCCAATGGCATTGGGGCCGCCCCTCTGGTGCCCAAGTACTGCTTGCAGCATCCTCATGCGTGCGACTTTTACTACAATCAGACGGCTGTCCAATGAGCGAGATGGACTTGAGCTTTGGGGGGATGTGTCGATGGGAGGGGCCATTTCACTATTCTTTTGTAGTTTATTCTTAGCCGTGTATCAATGGGACGAGCCCTGTCACTATTCTTTTGTACTCTATTTCTAGCAGTAGTGTCTAAAAGGAATATATTACTTTGTACTTTTAACAATATTATATTATGCCATCAGGTGTATTGTTTCCATTTGCCAGATGTGACGGCGTACATGCGACGTGGAATTGGACTCAAACGGCAGAACCAAGAAGCCACTGCTGATTCTGAGGGCGTTGATGGACCGAAAGTTAGTCTTGCACACGGCCACCCGTGGGCTGGCTCTTATGTTAGAATTCTCGGCCATACCGAGAGCTGCACCACCCTGTAGAAAGTGGGTAGGGGTTTGGGAACTCAGAAGCTGCAAGGTTAATGTGTTGGTGCAGGGTGGCGCAAGGGGCCTTGTGCCGAACAGGCAAACACTGGCGGAACGGGAGCGGCTACCGCCCAAATGGCACGGGCGCACGTGGTGGCAGTTTCAATGTTTCGGGTAAAATCAGAGATTGACTCTATAGGCCCGAATAGGCACCGTGATGCGCCCATGTCCGGCTGTTGTCTCGTGGGGAGTCGGGAGCGTGTTCACGTAATGCATTGATGCGGCAAAGTCTGTCCGTCGTCGGACCAGACCAGGCAAGGTGCAGTTGAGGGCCTCCACTATTATCCATGGCTGGGCCGTGATAGAGCCGAGAGAGGGCGGATACCTTGTCGATTCATGAGTCATGGCACGGGGATGCGGTCAGTGACCAACGCAAGTTCACGACGCATCGGGCACATGTCCAACTTGCCTGGAGAGTCCGGTCTGTTGGCTCGAGCTGGGTTGGGTGGCGAGGTAGACGACACCAGACCAGAGCATGGAACTGCCATGCGCCGGCAGGTATTCCATGACGGCTTCCAGGCCGGAATCGGCAGTGGGAGCGTCCAGAGTCTGCTGGTCGATGGAAGCCACACGGGCTAAAGCTGCATGTGGCCAAAGTCAATTCCCCATACTCCATACTTTCCCCGCATTATGGAATGACGTTGAGGCGGGTTGGCGGGGTCGCCGATGGTTCTGATTAGTGACGACCGTGACGAGACGGTTGGCGATGAAGAGAGGGGAAATTGGAGAGCCTTCATGATGACTCTGCTCATGCCCAATGGGCAATGGGCACGTCGTGAGCTTGATGCGAAATAGTTGACATGACCTTGATGGTATACCCATTGTATGTACTGCGTAGCGCAACTTGAATAGCGAGGGCCGCCCATATATTCAGCAACCTTGTGTTTGTTTTTGTCTTGGTTTTTTTTTCATTTTCCACCCCAGCACAGCTTGTTGAGCAACCGCGGCGATTGAGGCTCAGCGCAGACCGGGTCGTCTCTCTCGATTCAACCGGGCCATCATAACGATGGGCGCACGTCAATGGATACCTGCAGAGTGCCGCCGGGTCAAAAGCCATGTCTACACCGTGATGGAGATCTGCTCGCGGTTTAGCATGGTGGGGCTGAGCGCCGCGGACCGGGTTGAGCTTTGCTCCCCAGGATAAATCAGGGATTCTTCCAGCCACAAGACAGCTACCAGTCGGCCCGTTAGAGATTTGCTACTTGGGAAGCTCAATGTCCGTGCTTCTTCGCCATCGAGTAGCTCCGGCTGTCGTCCACTTGGTAGTCGCTGACGGGCCGTATAAACAACATCTCGCGTGCTTGCGCGGAATACAAATGCTGCCGAGCGCCTGTTGCACTCGACTGTTCTCCCGGTGGCATTGCTTTGTCCCATTGCTTCTCGTGTAGAGTAAATCGACCCTAGAGCCCGGGACTCGCATCATGCGCGCGACTGTGAGTCCACCAGACCCTTCAACATGTGATTGACCGTGTTTCACCCACTGACACAAACGCGGCAGCTCATCCAAGCGGCCGTCGTCGCCGCGACCCTCGGTCTCTGCGGCGCCGTCCAGGCCTCCAATGGCAAAGACCGCGTCGCCAAATGCCTCGCGCGGTACAGCGGCCAGGACCGAGGCCGTAACCGCACAACCGTGTACAAGACGGACTTTCCCGGCGTCACCTGGGATGACGACAACTGGCTCCTCAGCACCACGACGCTCGAGCAAGGCCGTTATCAGTCAAGAGGCTCTGTTGCCAATGGCTACTTTGGCATCAGCGTGGCCAGCGTCGGCCCCTTCTTTGAGCTCGACGCCGAGGACGAGGGCGGCGACGTCATCAACGGCTGGCCGCTCTTCTCCCGGCGTCAGTCCTTTGCCACCATTGCCGGTTTCTGGAACGCCCAGCCCGAGACCAACGGCACCAACTTTGGCTGGCTGCTGCAGTACGGCTACGAGAGCGTCATCAGCGGCGTGCCTCACTGGAGCGGCCTGGTGCTCGACCTCGGCAACGGCGTCTACCTGGACTCCACGGTCGATAACAAGACCATTACCAACTTTCGCTCCACGTACGACTTCAAGGCCGGAGTCCTCAGCTGGTCGTATACGTGGTCCCCGTCTGCCGGAAGCAATGGCTCCTACGATATCCGGTACTTGATGTTCACAAACAAGCTTCACATCAACCAGGCGGTCGTCGATCTGGAGATTATCCCGTCGGTGGATGCCAATGCCACCGTTGTCAACGTCCTTGATGGCTATTCCGCGGTTCGAACCGACTTTGTCCAGTCTGGCGAGGATACCGGCGCCATCTACTCGGCCGTTCGGCCCACCGGCATCGCCAATGTGACTGCGTATATTTACGCCAACATGACGGGCTCCGACGACGTCGGCATTGGCCGCAAGACTCTGGTCAGCAACAAGCCCTACATCCGCAAGAACGAGTCTTCTATTGCCCAGGCCGTCCCCGTCACATTCTCCGCCGGCAAGGCGGTGAGGATTACAAAATACGTCGGCGCGGCGTCCGGAGATGCCTTTGAAGATCCTCAGCAGGTGGCCAAGAATGCCGCGTCGTCGGCCTTGTCCCGGGGCTTTTACAAGTCTCTTCGTTCTCACGTCCAGGAGTGGGACGACGTCATGCCCGACCACTCGGTCGACAGCTATGCTGACCCCGACAACGGAACTCTGCCCCAAGACAACTACATTATCGACTCGGCCATCATCGCCGTGGCCAACACGTACTACCTGCTGCAGAGTACAGTCGGGCCAAACGCCCAAAGCCTGGTCAAGGACGCCCCCGTCAACGTGGACAGCATCTCGGTCGGAGGCTTGGTGTCAGACTCGTACGCCGGTCTCATCTTTTGGGATGCCGACCTGTTTATGCAACCGGGGCTCGTCGTGTCGCACCCCCAGTCTGCCGAGCGAATCACCAACTATCGCGTCAATAAGTACGGCCAGGCCAAGGCGAATGCGCAGACAAGCTACACCAGCTCCCAGAACAAGACGGTCTTTTCCAAGGATGCGGCCGCATTCCCCTGGACGAGCGGTCGTTTTGGCAACTGCACCGCCACCGGCCCTTGCTGGGACTACCAGTACCATCTGAACGGAGACATTGGCATATCGTTTGTCAACCAGCTCGTCGCGACGGGCGACACGCGGTACTTTAACGAGAGCCTGTTTCCAGTATACGACTCCATCGCCACGCTCTTTTCAAACCTTTTGGCTCCGAATGGTTCATCCTGGACGGTGAAAAACATGACAGATCCCGTGCGTGATTTTGTACTCGGACCCAGCCATTTTTACTCCTATGCTAACATATGATGGACAGGACGAGTATGCAAACCACGTCGACGCAGGTGGCTACACGATGCCTCTGATTGCCGAGACGCTGCAAACTGCCAACACGTTCCGGGAACAGTTTGGCCTCGAGAAAAACGCAACATGGGATTCCATGGCCACCAACGTGCTTTTCCTCCGAGAGAATGGCGTCACACTCGAGTTCACCACCATGAACGGGAGTGCCGTGGTGAAGCAGGCGGATGTGATATTGAACACGTTTCCGCTCTCCTACACAACAAACTACACCACCCAGGAGTCGCTCAACGACTTGGACTATGTGAGTAGAACCCTCCATGGCTGCTTCTCCCCCCTGAACCCGAACAAGACTAACAGCCGTGCCGCAGTACGCAAACAAACAGTCGCCAGACGGGCCCGCCATGACGTGGGCCTTCTTCTCCATCATTGCCAACGACATCTCGCCCTCTGGCTGCTCGGCCTACACCTACTCGCAGTACTCGTACAAGCCGTATGCCCGCGCGCCCTTTTACCAGCTCTCAGAGCAACTGATTGACAATGCCACCACCAACGGCGGCACCCACCCCGCGTACCCCTTCCTCACCGGCCACGGCGGCGCCAACCAGGTCAACGTATTCGGCTACCTCGGGCTGCGGCTGCTCCCCGACGACGCGCTTCACATCAACCCCAACCTGCCGCCGCAGCTGTCGCACCTGCGCTACCGGACCTTCTACTGGCGCGGCTGGCCCTTCGCGGCCTCGTCCAACGCGACGCACACGACGGTCCGGCGCGCGCGGCACGTCCGGCCGCTCCCCTCGGCGGACCCGCGCTTCGCCAACGCGACCATCACCATCGACGCCGGCGCCGACGGCAACGCCACCGCGTACCGCCTGCCCGTGGACGGCGCGGCCGTCGTGCCCAACCGCAACATCGGCCGCGTCAACACCACCCCCGGCAACCTCCTGCAGTGCCGGTCCGCCGACTCGCCCGGCGCCCACCGGCCCGGCCAGTTCCCCATCGGGGCCGTCGACGGCGCCACCTCGACCAAGTGGCAGCCGCAGTACGCCGCCAACCTCAGCGCCGTGACGGTCATGCTCGCGCCCGGCGACGTCGGCGCCATGGTCTCCGGCCTGCACTTCAACTGGGCACAGGCGCCGCCCGTCAACGCCACCGTCGTCTTTCACAACGCTACGATTGCCAGCTTCGCCGACGTGGATGTGTCCGCGCAGAGTAAGGGCGCTGACTACACCGTCGTGACGCACCTGGCGGGCGTGCCGCTGTCCAACCCCTACAGCGTGCAGGCGACGAACCTTGATGCTATTGCTATTCCGGTGGGCAACACGACCAATGTTACTCTTGGCGAGGCTGTGCCGGCGGCTCGGTACGCGACGCTGCTGATTGTCGGGAACCAGGGGCTCGGGCAGAGAGATGTGGATGCTAAGAATGGCACGGGGGCTACGGTGGCGGAGTGGGCGATTATCAGTGATGAGAGGAGGAGGATGGATGGGGAGGCGGCGCCGGCCAAGGTGAGGCGGAGCTTGACGTGGCGCGAGAAGGGGATGCTTATGGGTAGACCTTGAGTTTTGGTGCAAGATACGGGGGAGAAGCGAGGAAGACGTTGTGAATTAGACGCTTGGCTATATGCTTTAGATAGAATACATACTACGTAGTTGAGAGATGCGGCGGTTTATATACGCTACTTTGGACGCGACACGTCGATGTTTTAGGGCATGTGTTAATGTCTGGCTTGCATGGTTCGTGATGAGGCTACTGGCACAAATGTACAGCCTTGTTACGGACGGGCTACCGCGTCTTCTATATGCTGGTTTTACTCTGGGTTTTGTACGAGCTGTAAATAAAACAGGAGGATGTCGATTCCTGTGCCAGACTTGTGCTTTGGTATCCCTGGTTTCCTGTCTTGTTTCTTGACAGCAAAAGTTGGGCGCAAAACTATAGTGATCCGGCATTATAGCCATCAATTAGAGACTGTGCCTGGCAAAACCTTGTTGAGCTCGCGTCACGTTTAGTAGAATGACCCAGGAATGTATCCTCCCAGACGTATATTTTCTTGTGCTTATCATGTGAAAGCTTAAAAGAGGAGTTTATCGTCTTGCCTAGATAAAATCAGGTAATTAAAATATCCTAAGCCAAAGCATTTATACCAGGTATTCAACACGTGGTTATCAGCATAGACGAATGTTCTCATATTCCCATACATGTAAAAGTGCGTATACATCAGTCTCAATCATCTGCACAGGATAGCCAGCAGATAATCACAACACCGGCACACTATATACCCTCTCTCTATAAATCTTCCACCCCCCAACGGCCTCGTCGTCCAAGGCACCCGTCCACTCACCTTTGCCTTGCCATCGCCACCAAAACAAGGAAACGGCCTTTATCCCAAGGACGTCTCCCTTGTTCACGCCCAACTGCGGCATGTCCGCGCCCGCAACGGCCTCGCACTCAAACTCGCCGACTACGAATTCGGGAGTATACCCGGTCGTCTCGGACCGGAGGATGCGGAACGTCGGCATGGCGCGGTACATTTGGGCATAGTGGTCGCGCACCGCGTCCCAGCCAGAGACGACGGTGCCATGGACTAACAATGCAATTAGCAAAAGGCAAGGCGTCATCGCGGTCCAAGGTTGGGGTCGGCGCACCCATGTCTGTAAATGTGGCATCCGCAGCTTGCCATTTCATGAGCGCGTCCACGTCGCGCGCCTCCGAGGCTGCCTGTAGCCGTGCGTTGCGAATCTGGATAAGCCGCTGGATATTTTCCTGCGTGGCCATTATGATGATCTGATCAGGTCTGGTTGTTGTCTACTTGGCCAGCTATGACGCGGGGTTTCATACCCGAGTCTCGGCTCGTATTTCTCGGTTTATGTGACATGCCAAAGTCAGCGTCCAATGACCAACCAGACACCATGCGGGGTCTGGGAGTATCAACTGGTAGCACGTAGTACCAGACTTGAACGCCATCATACCAGATACAGTTCTGCTGTTATAGACTTGAGCTTGGAGCTTGGGTCTGGGTTGACCATGACATCTGGACCCCAGAGCCTCCTTTCTGCCCCACACATCGTGACAGACGAGGCCGGTACTTGTTTTTCAATATATAATTTCAATGTTACTATCCCTTCGAATGTGCGCAGGTCCAATTTTTGTAACAGACCAGGGTTCTAACTAATCATAATTACTTATTTAAAAGATATATATACTTAAAAATTATAATTTTTAAAGATACTTAAATATATAAAAATATATTAGTTATTATTATTAATAAAAAAGTATTTTTAAGTATTCTTAAGTATTATAAATAAAGTGGGTTAAATACATCAATTAGACGTGCGCACATTCAAAGGGATACATAGTGCAATATACATGGCTCTTTATACCTAACAGAGGTACTAGTACAATCATCACCTATTACTCCGTAATTTCTAGGCAAATGAAGGTACCATTTCGCCGTTATTATCCGATTGGCTAATGACCACTTGAACGCCGCCAGGGGTTTCCACGAGCCTTGCAAAATTCATGGGATAGTTGACCCAGTTAGAGCCCTGAAGACCCCTGCCATGAGTCCATGACCCTCATCCAAGCCTTGCATGTAATTTTAAACCCTAGAATGGTGACCCTTAAGCGAGACGTCTCCGGGAATTAGGTGGCCGTCGGAAATAAGGCTCCATGCCTTCTGCAGCCGACCCCTATCCATGCCTCCTCTGAGGGTAAAAGACAGTAACGCGGCGTGGGCATTGCTATTGCATGGGAAGCAGCCGCCAAGTGAACAGCCCTGAAACAGACAGTACATTCAATCAGAATAGCAGCACTACCATTGAACTCTTCACCGCATTGTAGCAAGACATGTCAAAGCCAAGGTCATGGTCCGGAGTATGAATAAAAGCACAGGATTGCATACGGTCGCCTATCACAACCGACACATTATATTTCCAGATATGGCTAGACAACTTATCGTCTATTTAATTGACGGACCATTTTGAGTCATCTCCCCATGAGTAGTCCTCGTAGTCGGCCGGCATGTTGCACTGTCTCGCGCAATCGTTGCACAAACCGCATGACAGAGTGTGTCCGCAGTCGAAGCTGCAATCTTCGTCAAACTCATCACATGACCAAGTTTCCCACTCTGAACCCGGAATGTCTCTTCTCACCATGCAAGTGCCAGTGGAAGAAACACGGCTTCCAAGCTCAAAGTTGTCAGACAACAAAAAGGGGATTCGCCATCCGTCTTCGCAAACAAAGGCAGCTTTCCATTGCCCATCTCCCAGCTCAGTCTTGGTGAACCGCACCTCTCCATCATTCGCCTCCAAGTACTTCCAGGCCTTGAAGTTAGTTTTGAGCGCGGCATTGGCATCCCAGATGCCGACCCAGGCCTTGACACCAGCGTCGCAGCCGGTATTTTTGGTCTTGTAGCCCATGATTATTTCGTGAGGGGTAACTTGCTTGAAGAGGAGCTTGTTGCTGCTGCAATCAACTGCTGCTTGGGCGAGCGCCGGCTGCAAGGCGCATAGCAGAAGGAAACCGGCGGTTGGTGAAAGCATGACGGGGAAAGTAGAGTGATAAAGTGTTGAATATGAGGTGATTGGGAGAGTTGCTAGTTATTGTGTACTATAAGCACGGGATGACTTGATACAGTAAAGGAACATGTAGCTCGATGGTAAATTGCAAACAAAGGGCAAGGACATGTCGTTATATTTGACACTCTGTCGCTCCTACGCCGGGAATACAGAAAATTCGAGTAGTCCTAGCCTATAATATTGTATTATGGCTTATTAGTTTTCTCCTGGTCATAACGTTCCTGCGCCCGGCGGCTTGGCAAAGTTGGTCCAGACGTAGAGAATGCTCCAACCTCACGTCAGTGGCATCAGTCGGTGGATCTTTATACCCGTTGGCAACTATAAGACCACATGTGCACTTGGTCGCTGACGGGTCTACTGGTAGGTGGATGCAATGGGCTGTGTTGAGCCGTAGCTTGTTTGCGTCTAAATTCAGAATTATTACGCCGAGATAGGGCCAGCAGAACTCGTACGAGTAAGAGGTACTAACAGCATGGAAATCCAACTATTCTTATTATATAAGCCGTATTTCGAATTCGGCTTCGGCTCGACCTAGCACGAGCTGGACAGTCTGTAGCAGAATATATTTGCCATTCGCAAAGTATTATAAAGCGCGACAGTCAGGGACGTAATCTGCTTGACTACCTTTTGCCTCCCACTATGGATCCACGAAGGATTCAGAGACAGTAATGAGTTGGTGCTTTACGCTTCTTAATCCACCGTCGATCTTAACTCACTCAGTATTCTACGTAACAACTGACCCGCCTATACATTTGGTAGTTCTGGTCGTAATGACTCGATGTCTTCTTTGACAGGGGCCCTAGTTGGACCATACATGCAACGAACCCAACCATCGCATGATTTTCGGGAATACCATAGGGAATACCATGAACAATCAAGGAAGGCTTCGTAGCGTGACCTAGGTGGGACTTTCCGTTGATAAAACTGGACGCCAATTCATTCTTACCCGCATCCGTCCAGTACAGATCACGCGGTGAATTCGTGAAAGCGCGGCATGTCCCACAATACATCCATTCCAAATGCGCAAGGGCTTCCTAGCTCTTCGGTCTTTTACTGATATAAGTTGGAAATTATTGACAATTTGAATGTGTCGTTGGGGTTCTTTTTCTTGGCTTGGAAAAACAGTGCCTCTCATGCTGATAATCCTGCGGCCAGGCCTTTCAGATCAGATACCCATGCACTTCCAGCGCACTGGAAACCAACCAAGACCGGTAGACGTACGAGAAAACGCGAGCATGATTAGGCTACGGAAGCAAAAGCTGCCAGATAATTACGATTTTACAGGACCAGAAGCCCGTGACAATGTTACACGGATGACACGTTGTCATGAAGGCACGGGCCGAACCTCGATCCCGACGATAGTTACACAAGGGCTCTGATCACGAGACCTAGGGCAAAGTCCCTCACCGCTTCTTCATATAAATAAAGGTCTTCCGCCCTCAGGGCTTCAAGGACAACCAAGGACCTTTGATATCAAAGCAAAGTATTAGCTGAATACGAAAAGTTGTTCCAAGCCCCTAATTACTAGGCCCTTGTCACAGACAACAAGACATGGCCGTGGATTGCCCTGCACCGATATTATCAGAAAAAAGCCCTGTACAGGTTGAGCACGCCCAAAATTTCGTCGCGTAGTGAGACAGTGGGCAGTCTGGTCCGAGTCGCCCCGGAAAATATTGTCTTGTGCCCAAATAACTAGCAAAAGCCATGCACGGACAAGAGTCATGCCCCAGCATCAGTTCCCATTCTAATATTGCTGCCCAGCAGTAGCATACTTGCAACAAGTACGTCATTTTTCATGATGCCCTTTTTCTCAGATAGGATGTGATGGCTGTGATGCTTTTTCACCAGAGTACAACTCGTGAAAACTTGGCCGCCCGCCGCTCATGTTTTGCTTCATCTCTGACAAATTGATTCACTAGTCGATACTTTTGAAAAACACCACCTTGTGTGCTTTCCCGTGTGGTTGGGTACTGGTAGATGTGAGTTTTCACATTTATCCTTGTAGTCACTTTGCTATTGTGACAAGGGCTTAGGCTTGGAGCAATTACTCAATTCATCTAATAACAGTCTTTGGTATCAAAGGTCCTTGGCTTTTCATGGCCTCAAGGGACCAAAAGCCTCTTTTAATACAAGAAGTCGGGGAGGGTCTTCTGCCCTAATCCGGTGACCGTAGCCCTTGTGTAACTAACGCCATTTTCGTGTGACAGCTATCCAAAGATTTGTGCTGGCTGGCGATGTCTCCTGTCTACCCGATAGGTGCTGTCACAGTGGTTATCAGGTTTGACCATGTAGACGCGGAGCCAAAGTATCCAGCAATAGGGGCCCTTGACTGAATGCTCACCATATTGGACTTTGAAACTGGGCCCTGTTGTCTCTTGACAGACGGCAAAATAGTCTGTTCGCATTCTAACAATTACACCGCAACGTAACTGGATTGAGGGCCTGGAATAACTGGCACTGTGACTAGTTACGATAGTCTGTATTTTGTCATATAAGTCCTTCGAAATGCGTGTCGACTCAATATAAGTGATGGTAAACTAAAACCCAGGGCAACATGTTACGACCTGGAAGAGACTTTTCGTGTCTTATGAAGACTTGTTATTATTGCTAGTTAATACTAACTAGATGCATCTAGAAAAAAAGTGAAATCCGGCTTGCTAGCTCCAGGCAGCTTTCACAGAGTACGGAGCCACTGTTGTTCTTGTTCATCCAGCCTATCAAGCCCATGATGCGTTATTGAGATCTTGGCGTCAGCGGGCTCGGATCGCCACTGAGAGTAGTACAGGGCATAATTCAAGGCCCTCATTAGCCCAGTTGACTCCGTAGTGAGAGTCGGCAGATATTTTCGTGACATCAAGATTGAGTGCGCTAGACTGGCGGTGACTCGAGGGACAACATTTGAACGTGAACAATTGAACCAGACCAGACATAAAATTGATGATATAATTGGTCATATGCAACCTCTGCAACTAGGCCACGAGTTTGTGGGGTTTGAAGCTAGTCCCAAAATTACAGGTCGATTGAGAAACTACCAGATCCTGAACGCCGAAAGCCGACAGCCACGACGACACAAATGGGGAAGGCCCCATGAGAAGCTGCCAGATTTGTGGATAAGTGGAAGGGCTTGGACACGCTCATGTTGGACGAGTTGGAGCGCAGACATTAGAAGCATCGTGGCGGAGGCGAGTGGTAGGTTTGCTGGTTGTTATAGTAGAGTCAATTGGAGTTGCCTTAAATGGCCAGGTGCTCGTCTACGCCTGTCGCTCCCTTTCTTCAAGACTAAAGAGACTGACGGCACTTCTTTAAACGCGTTTCCATGTGAAATTGTACTGCAATAATGGAACAAAACCCTTCCAATGCGAAGCACAACGTTGTCGTCGTATTCTGCACCGCCGCGGCGCATGTACTTGGCAGACTCCTCATCCAGCTATTGCAGACGCTCGAAAATCTACCATGGCCCGTGATATCAATAAGGAGAATACCGGAGCCAAAGTCAACTAACTATTCCAATGTCTTTCCACCATCACAGCGAAAACTCGTTGCCTGCATCGGCGCCGACGTCGGGGCAGGGGACGCCTCTTCAAGCAACCCGTCAAAACACCCCGAATTAGTTCTCGGCCTCGATGAAGATTATCGCCTCGCATCACCTTCAAGAATTGTCTTTAGTGGCTTCAGCGTTGGGGAAATACGGTCCTTGGGGAGCTTCCCAGATTATGCGGCATTGTCCGAGGTGCCGCTGCCTCGTGCTGCAAATGACTTTGACATTGCCACGGCAAGGCCAAGACCATATCGACCACTGAGGTGGCCATATAACCAAACCATGGGTGAGACGCATGTTTCAACTTGTACACCTGGCGAAAAGTGCTGATCAAGAATGCGCTGCCTACAGCGATTCAGAAGATGGAGCCCGACTATTGGATTGAGCTGGAGAGCACCTACGAAGAGCAAATTCGCCTGCGCAAGAGCATTGTCGAAAAACACAAGACGGATGTTATGCAGGCCCTTCCGGGCTCGGAGCTCGCATGCAGGGAACTAATGGAAATGGTGACGCAATTCCTCTGTGCCCGGTATCCCCGGCAATTTATGCTGGTCAACGGGGTATTGGAGAACAAGATTCGAGGTACACGACATCATGTTGACCAGACCGACGGCCTACACTTCCTGCTGGAAAATGTCCCTGAGGATTTCGCCATCATGCTGAGGGATCCCGAGACGGGAAGATATAAACTACGAGCCGGGATCATTTGCGCATCCACGGGTTGGAATTTGGGCGTCAAGATGGGCAAGGGTCTCGCTGAAATCCACGGACCAGTGCCTGATTACAGGAGCAAGATGCAGCTCAGCATGGACCGGTGGGTTGAATGCCACCAGAAGCACCCCAGACGTCTTGTCTTGACTGACTAGCCACCAGCTTCTTCACCAAGTTCCCTGCCGGCAAACCTGTGCAAAGAGGAGCCTGGGGATTTGAAGTCGGGAAACATCTGTACACGCCGCCGAGCCACCCCCGTCTTGAGGGTACGAAGAGACAAGATGCAGGGCTTCGCCCGGATGACATTTATTTTCGCGTAGATTGGCAAACGCTGCGACGATTGCCTCTCTCTGGGGCAATAGTCTTCAACTTTAAGGCCTTCTTCACTCCTGTGAAGGACTTGATGGATGAGCCGTACGTACCTTCCTTGTGTCTCAAAGTGCTTACCGAGAGCAAGGCAAATCTGAGAGAGTATAAACAAGTACACCACACGGAGCATGTTCTAACTCCCCTGTTCTCGCATTATGAACAGTCTCAGATAGAGCGTGGATTGATAGAAGCTGGTTGGGAACCACAGACTCTGGAGGAGAGCCCCTTCTTCCCCGGATGGATGGATCATTTCAGTAGGTCTCTGAGCAGGATTTGAGTGAGCGCTGTCAATTTACTATTTTGTCAAATAGTAGCAATACGTAGAAACAACTATTGCAGGATCCATGTATGGAGAATTATTACAAACATTTGCTAGAAACGGCAACTTTCAGGTCTCTGATAGCATAGCAAAATAGCCTTAATAAATTGTAAATTCACTGCCGATTCTATACGTGTCCAACCGGCTCGTAGTATCCGGTACTAACGGGGTCATGCTGTCACGAATCTCAATGAAAGATGGCACATGGCATCTCAGGCTGCCCACACAGGTCTATGTCACCTGGACAGAAAACCGCGCATTGCAAATATGCATGCAGTAGAGATGTTGTCATTGGACCAAAGATGCCCCGCTTCCCATTCTCAAAAAACAATAAATGGCTCCATCACTGACAAGTTTTGCCGGGCAAAATCCATCCAGTTCATGGGCTCTTGCAGAGTAGACGTGGCGCTCCAAAACGACCTTAGGAACTGCAAGGCGGTATAATTGCACCATACGCCGGTTCGCGAAAGCGATTCGAGAAAAAGTCCATCAATTTCTGCCCTCATCAAGGGGTCAGAGGCGCTCTCAATGCCAGCAATAAAGAGCGGGAAGAACAGATCGTGAAACAGCTCGTCTGTCGGCCCGGCCATGACAAAACGAACATCGGCCAGCAGAGGTTGCAGAAGCCCAGGGAGCGCTGCCCTTTTCTCATGGCACGTTTGAAACGCTTGATAGCTGTAGATTATAGCGGCAAAGTAGTGCGCCCGCGCGACAGCTTCAAACGATTCACGCAAGCTGCGCTGACTTTCATTCAGCCAGTCAGTGCAGGCCAAAGAGCTGATACGGGCCTCTTCAGCCCTATTGCTCCAGACGCTCATGTCGACATTGGGGGGCGGCACGTTGGATTCTCGCAAGCAGTGTCTTTCCCTCTCCAGCGCCGTGATGGCGTGTATCAGCTTGGTAAATGCCCAGCCCGTGTCTGTGCTTTCCGGCTGCAGCGGCGACGTCGGCAGGGGAGCGAAATCCTGGTGAAACATGGAAATGCCAGTAAACATTTCCAGGTCTGATACCTCCTTGAGCAAGAACCTGATGATGGGGTCTGTGGATGCCGCGAACCAATGCTCTAGCGACTGCAGGTCGATGACGGCTCGACATCCACGGAGGTGAAGCCTCCATGCCTTGGAACCTGGAACAAGGGCCTCGGTGTAGCAAAGCACAAGCATAGAGGCAAGGACCTCGGTAAGCGTGAAGTTTGTGGAAGCACTTGGGGCCACGTGGGACGGAGTTGGCAACCCCGAGCGCAGCTTGCTGCTCAGCGCCTGCATACTCTTGTCGCGCAACGACACATACGTCTTGAACAGGGCCTTTGATTGATCGTGAGGCGTGTCCAGCACCATGGACATGTGGGCAGCGGCAAGGGAGCCCACGGAAAATTGCACGCATGCCGAAGTCTGAAGGAGGCGGCGGACAATGGTGCGCAACGGATGGCGCGGCCGATCGATCCAGGTAAGCCGGGAGACTGCCTTTGTGCAGAAATGATCAACGAGTCTATTGAATATAGATGTGCTGAGGAATGGATCGACGACATGTTTGGCTTCTTGGAGGGAAAGCGCCGGGGTCAGCTCGTACACTGTCGATGCCGGGGCATCTCGAGACAAAGAGCTGGTGTCGGACGCTTGTCCATCTTTGTCGGCACATGTCTCTCCGCCAGGGCTCTCATCTTGACACAACGGCCTCTGTTTGCCAACCTGTTTCCGTGTCCCTTTGGCAATGGGAACCGACTTGCCCGCCAGGCGGCCCCTGCTTGCGATGCCTTGGTTCCACTTGAGGTACACTGTCTTGAAGCCAGGACACTCCAATCCGCGACTGGCACACTTCATGCAGGATGGTTCGGTGCGGTCACATTTGATTCTTCGTCTGATGCAGGTAGGGCAGTCTGGATCAGGTTAACGAGGGAACATGTTCAATGTTGGGCCACGGGGCGCGTGGGCAGACTGACAGTGAGCAGCCACTCGCCGGTTTGCCGGCAGACTGTTGATTCGGACATTCTTCATATCTCAGGCACTGCACATGGCCACAGGAAGCGCTCGGTCGGCCGTGAAGTGGTCAATTCGAACGTCCATTCGCTGGCGGGAGGGGATACGGGAGGTTGAAACTTCAAAGATGAGGTCTGGTGACTCTGGTCGAGGCGGGGGAATTCTCGTCACTTTGTGGCGGTGGGGCGCTCTGGCTCAGCGGCACCATGACGATGCCGACTTTCGGGCCCGACCAGACTTGTCCCTATTTGGTTGGTCCGAGCTCGACACGATGTTCTTGGAAGGTTCTAACTATACAGCCAAGGTAGCATGAATTGCTCGGCGGGCTCACCAGACTCTTTCCGCTAGGTGCGCTCACGCACCAACAGGTACCTAAATATCAGGTTATATATTATAATATATTATAATATATTTTATGGCAGGTAAATACATTCTAGTATAAATTATCTCTTTAGAATATGGGAAGAGTTTGATTACATACGATACACACGAGGGGGGTGAGCGCACCTAGCAAAAAGAGTGAGCCCGCCGAGCAATTCACAAGGACTCGGCTCTTTTTTGCACTCTAATTTGACTGTGAATATTGTAGATTATTTGGAGAAACTCGTGTGTCGGATAATACTAACTGACGGCAACCAGATATGCTCTACAACGTCTTGTCATGTAACCCGTTTGCGCACAGTAGACATCCGGTATTGCCAGATATAGTCTTATATCGAGACACGCAAAGACTGGCTTCAAGCCAACTGTAGGGTCTGATGTAGAAAGTGTTGCTGGCACTCGTATTATCTCTGCACGGTTCGGTTATCCAGCGCTCTGGGCAATATTCATCGGAGCTGTGCAAGTTGTTGCCAGTCATCAACTTAGAGTCAGCACAAATAAACGCCCTTGTCTGCTCGTGAATCTACCGTTCTGGCATGCGATGGTTGCTGCAAAATTCTCGCCAACAAATTTGTCATTTCTGCTCTGCAGTTTTCGGCATACTCCAGCAGCTCTTGCTCAACGATCGGACCAACTAGTTTGTGTAATCTTTTCGATGCGCATCGGCGTCACGATGGGTAAAAATGGCTGTACTGCTCGTAATCGCGAGAATAGGTCGCCGACCATTGCTTCGTGTTTTACCGAGTTCGACGCAAGGGAATCCCGAAGCCTAGGTTTTATTGGAGCAGAAGTACGAATGCATTTATGGAACTTACAAAAACAAGGAATATTCAGCCGCATGTGGCAGCTAACTGCGTGAGGCTTGACATACGGGGCAGTCTCACGTTATAGTGTGTACCGGATTCGGGTGGCCCTGGCGGAAGGCGTCTTTTTTAACAATACAAAGAATGGCTTCCATTTTTGGGTCTTCCGGGCGAGCATCAAGGATTTCAAGTTCCCACATGTGAAGCTTTATGTGACAGAGGAATTGAGTGCAGGCGCGTGACACCGTTTAGATCAAGGCATGATTGCTCTGCACCAAGAAATCGCCCCGATCTCATTGAGCGGCTTTTATTGCCTCGCCGCAAAACTCCTAAAATTTTCGTTGTTAATAAATTAACATTTGGACACTGTCAAGTAGTGGTAACCAGTGCTATCTATGCGTATGCTGGTGTTTTTGGCCAAAGATTCTAACGCTGAATGTAGCCTGAAACACATGTTTTTGTCGACTAAAAGCCATCCTACGTCCGTCTCGACTACCATTCTTTTCTTCAGTCCACCCTCAATCTAGACTCTTGTCTCGGGCGGCAACTTAACCACGCCCATGTGCCAGTTCCCGGCGGCTAGTGAAAGCGGCGCCCGACTATTATTCTTTGAATTAACGCCAAGTTTGCCCATATCCATTTGCAGCCTGAGCATAGTTTCCCTGCCTGTTTGCGGCGCCACACGGCATCGGCGACTAAGCATATTTTTGTTTCACTTTATTTAATTCTTCCCGTCCGTAGCAGCACCTTGAGAACTGTGTCGCGACTGTTTGCGGCAGCTTATAAGGTCTACACCCACGAAACAAGCAATAGTCTAGAACAGCTATTTAAAGTATAATTCAGCTCTGTCGGATATTACTTTATACTATTCTCGTCTCCTTTATAATACCTTTCCTCTCTAATACGTAATACTTGTTATTCTTGCTATTAGGTTAGGGTTATATTGTAACTTTATTCTACGATAAATTAACAGAAATAAATAAGCCAATTAATAGCTTATAGGTATATTATTTTCATTTTCTATAGAAACAAGTTAATCTTGAATTGCCTTTCTGTACTCTATTGTTTTACCAATATAGCCTTTTGTAAGTATATATAATAAAGATAAATAATTAATATATTCGTAGTAAACACTTAGACAGCTACTAGTCAAGGAATTAGGTTCTCACAAGTTCCTTTCGATTTCATGGATCCGGGTCTAATAGTGGCGCCCAACTATACCGGTAACTTAATAAGAACGTCCTTCCGAGCAGCAATCCAGCAATAGCCTCATGTCCGCTTGCAGCGACCAGTAAAAGAGGCGTTCTATTGTAGCTGAAATTAGACCCGATGTCCGATTTGCCCATGTCGAGGAGTAGCTGAATGACGGCCTGGGATTACACAATGAAGCTTACGTATGCGGCGTTTTTGTCCGATTACTTCAAATTCACGTCAGCTTACTGAGAAAGGAGAAAAACCAGCTACTCCTACTTTGATCTCTTTTATAATATAAAAAAGAGCACCTTGATATTATAAGACGCCAAAATCTTACCAAGCGAGATATTTGCAAAATGGAACATTGCGTGAAGCGGACAGACCTCACAAGGTGGCGTCTACGAGACGACGACAGTCGTCACACTTGGCATTACCTCGATAATGAGGCTGCAGAAAAGGACTGGCCGCAAAGCCATGCGGAAAAGTACTATCTTGGCCTGCCTTTGGTGCGTATCAGTTGTTCGTTCCTCTTCTTTCATCAAACTGGCGTCAATGTCACTAAACTTGCTACAGGGTCTTCCTGGCTTACAACGGGCCACATCCCCTTTGGGCGCCATGGAGAATGCATTGACTTTTTTTGAAAAGCTTTAGCTCCTATCTGGGCACTGGGGATGTGAAAGCGGCGGCCCCATGACGTTTTGTGCAGGCATAGTTATTGCCTGGTATGTCACCGAGACGGCAATCCCCGACCACGTTGTAACAGAACTACAGGCATATCTTGCTACCAGAGTCAACTCACAGGATGGAGGCTGGGGTCTGCATACGACTGGTGAGAGCAACATTTGCGGCACCACCATCAATTACATTGTCATGAGAATTGCTGGCATGTCTCCTTATCACCCCATTCTTATTCGAGCGAGAGAGTTTATTCACTCTCACGGCGGTGCCCTATACTCGTTGGTCTGGGGGAAGCTGTGGATGGCCATCCTGGGCATTGTTGACTGGGATATTGTCCACCCGATGCCTGCAGAAATTTGGCTGCTCCCCGAGTATGTGCCCTTTCATCCTTGGAGGTTCTACGTCGAGATGAGGCTGGCCGGTCAGCCCATGTCCTACCTGTATTCGACCAGGTGGAGATGCAAAGAGACCGATCTTATCAAGTCGCTCCGAGAAGAACTTGTTGCTCGGCTATACGGAGAGATTGACTGGGAACGACACAGGACAACTGTCTCCAAGGCAGACTACAAACAGCGCAGGTCACGGATCGTTGATGGCATAAACTGGGCATACGTTAATATTTGGAAGCCTTATCTGCTTCCTGACTTTATTAAATCCAGGGCAGAGGACTGGCTGGGCGAGCTGATTGATATGCAAGCAAGAAATACGTATCACGGAGGCATCGCCGCAGCCGACCAGCCAATGTCAACCATTGTATCCTACTCCCGAGACGGCGCAAAGTCGTCGTCCTTGACCAAATACGTCGATAAAATGCAAGAATTTCTCTGGATGACCGGGGACGGCATGCTGGTCAACAGTACCAACGGCAGCCAGTCCTGGGACACTGCCTTCATTGTTCTTGGCATCTGCGCAGCCGGCCTACATCAAAATGAACGCTGGAGACGGATATGTGTGAAGGCTCTGTAATTTCTAGACAATCAGCAAATCAGAGACGACTGTCCGGACCAAGAAAAATACCATCGTCAACAACGCAGAGGGTGTTGGACTTTTAGCAATAAGTACCAGGGCTATGCCGTCAGTGACTACACGGCTGAGGCGATCAAGGCCATTATTCACCTCCAAACCACTGCACATTATCCTACCCTGTTAGACGATGAGCGAATATTCGATGCTGTGGATTCCATGATTCTGTATCAGAACAGCACCGGGGGCGTTTCCGCCTTTGAGGCACGAAGGGGAAGCCCATATCTTGAGCTGCTCAACCCCACGGAAATTTTTACCCGGAACATGGTCGAGCAAGACTACCCAGAGTGTACGTCGTCGTGCATCACAGCGTTGGCCCTATTCAGAGAATACTGGCCACAGTACAGGACCCAAGACATTGCAAAGTTTATACAGCGCGGAGTCGAGTGGATCAAGTCGGACCAGCGAGCTGATAGTTCGTGGTACGGAAGTTGGGGCATTTGCTATACTTATGGCACCATGTTTGGCTTGGAAGCGCTGGCTGCTGTTGGTGAGACGTATGAGAATAGTTTAAACGCCCAAAAGGCCTGCGATTTTCTCATTTCGAAGCAGCGACAAGACGGAGGGTGGTCGGAAAGCCTACAGGTGCGTCAGTAGTCATGACATGCACGAGGAGCCTGCGGCACCGGACAATGCTAACAAAGATGGCTAGGGCTGCGCGGACCAAAGATATACTGAAAGCCCACAAGGCTCACTTGTTGTCCAGACGGCCTGGGCTCTCATCGCGTTGATGGCAGGCGAGTACCCGGCCGTGGAGCCGATCAAACGTGGTGTCAAGCTGCTCATGAGCCGCCAGCAAGACAATGGCGAATGGCTGGAGGAGGAGATTCTGGGCGCTTTTCACGGGTTTTGTTCATTTTCATACCCCAACTACAAGTTTTCCTTTACCATCCGCGCTCTAGGTACTTTTGCGACAAGATACCCGGACGAAAAGGTTGCAGAATAACTCCAGGAGGGACGGGTACAAGCGTGGCAGAGATGGCAAAGTATTTCCCACAACGCTTGGCCATGACGACCCGAGCAACATTTTCCTATTCTCCAATACTTACCCGTACTCGCTCGTTTACTTTGGGTGGGGATTTCGCAGCTAGTTTCAGAATAGTTTACTAGTATTCCGCGGATGCTATTTTGGTCGTTTAGGTCCATGTTAAGTGCAGAGAGTTGATAGACTTGTGGTTTTTGGGGCCATTCCGCGCTCGTTCTCATTTCCATTATGGGAAAGTACGGCGTTGCTAGAGTAGCGTAGCAGGCGACGCTTTGTTACAGAAGGAAGCATTGGTATGATGTGATTCATGACCTCTCTCATCTAAGAACATGACTATCAAGTAAGGACGCTTACATGTTGGTTTTTATGAGGGGGGTTTATACTATGTAACCAAGAGTGTATGCGGTAAACAATAATTCCTATTATAATTTTCATGATTTCATCTTATTCACAGGACTTTGAGTATGTTCGAGGTACAGGCGGTGGCTCTGAAGCTGAAATCTGAGTTGGACCGGACCTAATATCTGCAGATACAAATGTCAACTGGTGTTTAATAGCCACACCCCCCTCATATATACTGGTTTTTGAGCCTCGCCAGGCACCTGATTCAGCGAACCGCGTGATTGGTTTAGTGGTAAAATTCTCCGTTGCCATCCGAGCAGCGTCGGGGAGCCCTGGGTTCGATTCCCAGATCACGCAGCTAAACCGTTTGTGCCATTTATTCCCCGGAATAAAGTGGGAATATTTTTTTTTGAACTGCTTATATTTTAGTGTTTTCTATCGCTTGGCAGCTTGTAACACACCAGGATACGTGTACTTGTAGTACAGGACGTAGTATATTCTCTGAGATAAGGTTAAATTACCAGACAGTGCTTATTTTTTAGCTACCTATTTAAATAAAATATTGATCTCTTATTGTGTGAACCAGTTTCAGTAATAGTAATCATAGTTCCTAGCTAGCTGCTACAATACTATTTAAGGTCAACTGGTTAGTATTAACACCTGTGCTAAGATAAGGGTGTTCTCTTACTTGGAGCAGGTGCGCCCAAGACGGTGTAAGTTGGTATATTTCTTAGATTATTCCTTAATACTAGGCAGATTAGAGCGAAAGCAATTACGACTGCTAATAGTAAAGTAATTGTCAAAAATATGCTCAGGTAAGTAGAGACGGTGCTGTTTTAATAGGATAATATTTTGTCAATACTTGACTGCTCTCGTACAAGAGCGCCACTTAATATTCACTTCGACTGCGGGGTTTACCCTCACACGGTCAAATCTATTCGGACTCAAGTATTGTCCTGCCCTTGAAGTTGAAATGACGGTTGCGAGGCTAGAGTTGACAGCGGAAGTGGACTGCTTAATCACCGGAGGGACCAAGGTGTTTGTAGACATTTCTGCACCTTTGCTATAAAGTTTCCTATTTGCGCTATATCTGTTCTCTCTTTATGTAATAGGCGGAGCTCGACAGTTGGTCGTCTTGCCGTGGTGTGAAACGGATCAGAAACAAGTAAACTGGGCGCTTTGGTTTTTCTCGCTTTCTTCCTTTTCAGTCTTTGTCAACTGACAAAAGTTATTAAGCATCTGTTTCATCCACGGTATCTAAATGTACTTGTTATTATCGGTATTATGTTGCTCGGCCTATGACTTCACGGCCGGACGACTTTCTTTAATTTTAATATTCCTGGTGCGGTAAGGGGCAGTTTTACATATGGGCCCAGTATAAGTTTTCATACGTGAATGCCAATGCAAAGGCTTACCATGTCCTGGCACCGTCTCATATATTTATTTGTTATATTTATCCATGAAAACACAGCGACACTTTCTATATAGCGACTAATAGCTACGTCCTAGATTTGGCACTGAGTCGGTGGAGGTTTGATCTCCTGTTGCTCATCTTCCGTGAGTAAAGTTAAGGGCCTTGTCTAATCGGGGGTGCCGCCCAAGTCGAAGGAGAAAATGGCGTCTCCTTGACTACACATATCGTCTGGTACCAGCATCGTTTAATAGCAATTTCATGGCATAGACGTTTTTGATACTAAGCCCCAGCCTGTCCAGATAACTCGGACCATGATTCAATTATATTCTTCATAACGTCAACCCCCCACATATAATCTTGCCAGTCAGTGTCAGCCCACAGATCGGGGTGATTTCCCTCCCCGTGACTAGCGGCCCGGATAGACTTGTCTCGCTGCTCCTGTTCAGGCCCATCCGGTAGATGCAGGGTTTTGCGAACCGTGGAAGCACTGGCTTGGATTCGCTCGCCTCGTTCCTTACGAGTGAGCTCGTAGACGCGCAAGGCCAGCTTGACATCACTGGTACAGGTCAAGGCGGCCGTGATGGCGCCAGCATCCTCAATGGCGTTCGCCGCTCCCTGGGCCACGTACGGTAGCATGGGGTGGCATGCGTCCCCCACGAGGCCAACTTTGTTCTCGACCCATCGTGGCAATGGGACGTGCGAGTTGAGTGTCCATTCGAGAACCTCTCCTTCGGGCACATAGCTCAAAAGGTTTCGAATCAGAGGTGACCAATGCTGGTAAAAGTTCATCATTTCGGCCTTGCTTCCCTTTGTGGTCCAAGATGTCTCTTTTCCAGCCTCATTTTCCTTGGCCGGGTGAATGAGTACCATGTTATACACGGTGTTGTTCTTGATGGGATACGCCATAATGTGCCCGCCTGGGCCCATGTACCGCATGCCAACATTCTCTTGAAGAAGGGACATTGCTTCCTTGTCATGCTTCATCTCTGTTTTAGGAATCAGCACCCTATATGCAGCATCGCCAGTTGGGGAAGAGCGGCTTTGTTGCCCATGGCTAGCAGCAACCTGTGCTCGGATAGACGACTTGATTCCGTCTGCTGCAAACACCACGTCTCCGGAGAACCAGTCACCGCCTTGGACTTGTACGCGGGGCTCAAACCCGTCATCTACTTTGATCACCTTGTGGGAAGTTAAGATGTTGCAGCCATAGTCTTTCGCAGCTTGTAGCAAAACTCGCTGCAGATCGCCTCGATGAATGACGCTTAATGGCGCGCCGTATTTATTGCCAGCATCGGGCATTAGCTGCGCCGATCCTAGTTCCTCATCGTTTGCATAACGTCTGCGTAAAAGTTAGGACTTGAGCAGCAGACGAGACAGTATTGGATGAAATGGGTAGGAATTTGGGCATCTTCACCCACTCACCTCAGCGAGTTTCTTTCCAACATGTTGGCGTATTTCACGACCTCCTCCAACACACCAAATCGGTACAGGATGCGCGCTGCATTGGGTGCTACCTGAATACCGGCTCCAACCTCTGCGATCTCGTGAACCTGCTCGAGTATTGTCACCTTGTGCCCGGTCTTTTGAAGACCTATTCCCAGGGCCAAGCCACCTATGCCAGCACCAACGATAATGACGGATAATGGCTTCACTGCCTTGCGACCCTTCCATTCAATAGTCTCGCGGATATATTCCATGGCTTTAGTTGTTGCTTTTTGAATGGTGACAGATGATGTAGGGTATGTGCGAAAGTATCGGAAGAAACCGTGCGACGTGCCATAACGCCTAGCAGATATTATATATACCTACGCCTCTGCTCGCTAGCAAATTGCATGTATTACTTGCCATTGCATTATGAGTAAGTTCCGTGGTTAGCTAAGCATTACTACCAGCGGCAATTTCCTCCGCTTCCTGTCCATGACGTCAAACGTTCTGTTCCGAGCTTGGGATGCCGGACGGGCAGACGCTTGATGCTAGTAATTCCCGATCTTGAAAGCCGATCAGCTTGGGATCCGAAATAAGGAATAAATCTCGTCCCATCCAATCAACCGTTGCCAATGTCGTACATAAGTGGAGGTGCAGGACAAAGCCAAAGCTAAAAGTTGGCTTAAGCGCCGAGCATTCCGAACATGACAGCAACGTCGAGTCACCTCAACTCCAACTCCAACTCATTTTCGACTAAACGTGTGACTACTGTGGTTCACCCCAAACCCAAGGCTTGGTCGAGCAAGATGACAGAGGAACATGTCCGAGTCTGAGACGGCTACATATGTTTGTGGGAGTCGAAAGTCCACCCATACGCCAGGTGGCTGCGATATTTGTTTGCCTTCACGACAACGTACCTGGCGCCGTAATTAATATGAGAGTGAGGGCAAGGTAAGAAGCGGCAGGCATGTGTGCTGGGGTATGAAGACGTGAAACGACAAAGGACTAGACCATTCAAGGCTGCAAAGGTGATGAGGAAATATACGCAATGGCGAGCGTTTCACACCATGCAGGTTAAAAAAATGCGGGTTGCATTCACGATGGACATTTCGAGGGTTACCACTATCCAATCATGACTATATCGCTCGCTAGTAGAAAGGGAGGTTTAAGATGGCTTGGTAAAAGTCAAACATGCGGAGTACAAAAGACTTGTACCCCCATTCCCTGCAATTATTACAGCCTACTTCTCAATTCTATATGCTAATACATACACATGATAATTGTTGCTTGACAAGCAGAATACTACCGTTTGATTGAGCTCTGGGCCTTGAACCGAGGCACCCGCAAAAGATAGTACAAGGCAAAGACACAAATTACATCAAAAACGATATAACCAGTCAATATGCCAACATTTCTCCAAGCAGTACTCTTATCCGTGCTCAATCCGAGACTTTGCAGCACGGTATCGGCCCTGGAGACAGGGCAAAACACACATGGCCCGTCCGCGCTCTCAGAATTCACAACATAGCCTCCTGTATCCCGCATATATGCCTGAAGATACGTTTGGCACGACCCGTAACCCGGCGGAAGGGGGACATGAAGCATCTCCACGGCAGAGCACTGTACTTGAATCCCCGTGATGCCCGCAATGGCAATGCCCTCGAGGTAGTAGGTGAGGGGCGAGACGCGATACATGAACGTCCAGAAACCAGGCAAGTGATCCGGTGTCACCAAGATGCTACGACCAGTTAGCGCATCCCGTCGTCAGGGCCCAAGCGAGCAGACATACCCGCAGAATACAAGACTCAGCCAGAAGCAAAGAGTCGACATTTGGATTGCCGTTTCGATTTCCTCAATGATGGCCGCAAAGGCTTGAGAGATGGTGCAGCTCCAAATGATGAAGAGCCACAGGAGCATAAAGGCCAACCCCCCGCGCTCAATCACGCCAAAGGACGCATCGCCGTTGCGGTACATGCCCGTGGGGTAATACCAACAGACGAAGATGAAGACGGAAATGAGCGTAAACCAGGCAACCTCGACGATTAAATTGGCTGCTACCAGGACAACCCACGAGTAGAGCTTGGAGTCGCGCTCTCGCACCTCGAATAGATGCCGTGCTCTGATGAAGCGTGGAATGATGAGCATGGAGAGGATGCTAAACAACTGACAGGTCAGAAAACATGAAAATAAAAGGCTGATGAGACCCTGGATGTCGCTATCGGTTTTGTAGAATGAGATTCCGTTCACTAGACTCTGGGGGTTTGTCAGCGTCAAGAAGATGGTCACGCGAGAGGGACAAAAGTGAAGTCATACTAATCCGAAACAAGTGGCCGTCTTTGTGTATAAATAAATCGGGTTCCTCCACTGGTCGCGAAATGTTCGCTGCACCAGGATGAGCAGTTGATGAAGCATGGTCGCTCCATACCCTCCTTGATTCTGCCGCCGCGCATCTGCTGGCACGACAGCTTGGTGGTCGCGCTGGTTCGTAAAGCCTGCAAGCTGATCGAGGACCTCTTGTCTTTCCGTGCTAGAATTCCACTTTTGAGACCAGGCTTGCTGGTCATCGGCAGGCTTGGTAGAGTCTTCTATTACATCCATCATCCACTCTGCCGGGTTCTCGTCAATCGAGCACTTCCGCGATCCCCGCGACTCAAAGTACTCTTTTAGAACTGTGGCTTCTGGCCCGATATCTCCAAAGTAGACAGTTTCGCCACTTCTCAGGAGAATAAGACGGTCAAACTGGTTGAATAACTGTGCCGAAGGTTGATGAACAGTACATAGGATGGTGTGGCCATTGTCTGCAAGCTTGCGCAAGAGCGTACAGATTGACCAGGCTGTCTGACTATCGAGACCCGATGTTGGCTCATCTATAAACAAATTAGCAAGCTTGCATCCCGTTTGCGAACAAGCTACCTGCCTAGGAAAAGTACGAGATCCGGCATGGCAGCCAGCTCAACTCCGATGGAGAGTCGTTTGCGTTGTTCTACATTTAAGCCTTCGCCGGGAACACCGACTGCCGCCTCGGCGTAGGCTTCCATATCAAGCATCTTCAACACAGTTTCCGCGTAGGCTAGTTTTTCAGATCTTGACCGGGTGCTCGGCTGCCGCAGCAGTGCGCTAAATTGCAGTGCCTCGCGAACAGTCGAGGTGGGAAGGTGGTTGTCGTCCTGCTTCACGTATCCCATTCTTTGCTGGTAGTCACCGGTGGCGCCTATTGGCCTACCATCAACGAAAATTGTCCCATGAACCTTTCCGCGCAAGGCTCGCGCGGCCAGAACATCAAGGAGGGTTGTTTTTCCAGCCCCCGTGGCACCCATTAGAACTGTGAGACTCCCTGGTTTCAGCCATCCGCTGATATCTGATAATAGTCGTCGGTTACCCCCACGAGTCTTGATGTCATACGATATCTCACTCCATTGAAAAGTTGAAGTTTGTCGGCTTCTTTGCATGGGCGTCGTCACATCTGGCTCGGTATGAGCACCTTGTCCACGCGTCTTGGAGCCTAAATTCGCATCGATTGCGCCGATTTCAGACTCCGAAATGCCCGTCTCCTCACTACATTCAAGTTTCGGAAGAGGCTTCTTGAATAACAACACCTCTCCACGCGACTTTTGGGCCGGGATGTACTCCGCTGCCAACAAATGGCCGATGCAGAAGATGACCATCATGGCAAGCAGAATGGCCATGTTTCTCCACATATGGGCTTCGACATAGCCGTATTTCAGCCTGAGAAATTCAGTTCCATCCACCAAGTCTGTTCCAGCAAGTCTACCCACTTCCATGCACAGTTTTTCCGCACTCGTAATGTTGCGGTAGTCTGGGCCATCTGGAATAGTGGTTGAGCATAGAAATTGGCGATGGCGTAGTTCATTAATCATGACCCCTTCGTAGGTGTAGGCGATGGGATTGATGTAGCGGAACCAACCGAGCCAGGGAACCATGTACGGCGGGGGGACAACGTATCCTGTATATAGCACACATAAGAGGGTGAGAATAGAAACTGGCGTCAGTGTCCCATCTCGGGATCTCGAGAGGAACCCTATCATCCGGAAGAGCATTGCCATGGCTAGCAGATTGACCATCATAAACAGCCAGTAGGTAAAGAAGGATTCTCCGGTTCTGCGAAGATTTGTCAAGAAGTAAATCGGAAGATGGAGCATGAATGACAGGGCTACTTTGGCGGGAAAGTCCAATATCATGAATGCGACACGCTCAACGAAGGCGTGATAGAAGGCATATTGACTCTGCTTCTCCACGATGGGCCGTTGCGCGTACATGAGGTCGACCTCAAACGCAGGGACGAAGGAATTCAACATGGTGACGAAGAAAAGAAGGGTTGAACGCGGCAACAAACTATCGGAGCCTTCGTCGAGGTTGTAGTATGCGCTTCCAATGATGAGGCCCAAGATGACATTGGCAGCCAGCATTGACACAACAGGAACGAAGTGGTTGCGCTGGCGTTGATACGCTCGTCGAAGACACACCATGATTTGTTTGTATATTGAGAGGGAAAAGGTGGATGGCGGCAGGCTGCAAAACCAACACATTAGCCCGAGATGCATAATGTAAAGACATTGGAGCTCACCTTGCGACATCCCCCGTGGCCTCCTTGTCAGTCAAGTGGCTAGAACCTCTGCCACGGATGGGATTTGCCAACTCAAACTCTGCAATCTCATCTCGGAGCGATTTAGCCTGACGGCTCATGTTCCACGCCGAGACAAAATCGTCCCGCGATCTCGGCGTCCGGTTACCCCAGCCTTCTCGAGCAACACGCTCCGCTGGATTCGTCATGGATGTCAAGAAATCCGGAGTGGTTGCATTGATGGGCCTGGCGAAGCCGAGGGCTGTGAAATAGTCTGCAGCGTCGTCTATGGGCCCAAAGTAGATCTCACGACCCTCATAGAGGAGCATTACTTTATCAAATTGCTAATTGGAATTAACCAGGGCCTGGGTGAAAGCTGGATTTGCGACCAAGAGCCTCACCTTGTACATGGATTCCGAGGCCTGGTATAGACTCATGGCAACCGTAGACCGCAGCACGTCCGTCGAACGTCGGAGAAAGTCAATAAAGCGCTGGGCCGTTAGACTGTCCAGCCCTCGAGTGCTGTTATCCCAGCATTGCACCTGTGCTCCGCCAATGTAGGCCTCGGCAATGCTTGTCCGTCGTTTTTCGCCACCGCTCACACCCCTGATGAGGGCATCTCCTATCCGCGTATCATATCCGGAACTCAGGCCGAACAGCGAGGCAATCACGCGCGCCGTACCCTCTGCTCTCTGCGTATCATTGTGTTGCTCAGAAGCCAGGTTGTGGCTGGGCCGAGTGGAAGCTGCAAACTCCAAGGTCTGACCTAGAGTCAGCTCCGGGAAGTGGACATCGAGTTCGCCAAGGTTGATACAAGTCCCGGGTGCGTTGTGGTGCATTTCTTTGAAAGAAGTTCCTGTGCATGTTAAATAAAATTTGAGCTTATTCATTTCAGCCTGGGACGGGTACATGTTGATTTGAGCAATACCTTGATAGTTGATGACTGATCCTGCCCCGACATTGAAGCTGTGAGTATCTCCTGATAACGTTTTGAGGAATGTTGAGCACCCGCTGCCAGGGCGTCCCAGAACCAGAAGCATCTCCCCTGGGAGTATCAAGCCTTCGAATCCAGACAAGATCTGAACTTGTTGTCGCGACCGTATGGCTCGGCATGGTCTCGTAAGAGCCGATATGTACGTGTCTAGATATTGTTCCGACGCTCGGCGACCGATGCACTGGAGGTTGCGAAAAGAGATGCCGATTCGACTACGGCGACGGGCTTTTTGTGTACGTAGCCACTCTTCAAGGAGCGCTTGATAAGAACCGGCATTGTCGGCGACTTCTGGAGGATTGAACCCATGCTGAGTCTCCATTGTCGCGGCATGGAACGCTTGGAACGGTGGGAGTACTGCGGCAGTGTGGTCGTGGTACCTGGATTATATATAAAAGCAAAAAGTCAGCGCATGGATGCTGTAAAGCGGTTGATTGAAGCCTATACCTCTCTAACTAGTTAAATGCAGCGGTGTCGGGCAAGATGAATGGCAGCTTCGTTGCAGGTTCAATGGTCGCCAGAGGAGGGCATCACGTACATGGGCACATGACAGGCATCAGACGCGAAATGAAGGACAGCCCTCGAGCCAACGCGTAATCAATACCCATGGCCGGCACTTGGATGAGTTGCAGCAGAGTTGAAAAGAGTTGAACAGCCCAGATGTTCCATGTCTCGATCGACCACCTTCGTCGGGCTTTGCGCACTCGACACCCACCCGTGCCGTTTGTCACGCTGAAAGTACAGAGTACAAGAACACATATGAACTTCTGGCGGAATCAAAAGTATTGACAGCTACCAAACGGAAATGGCAACTGGGTCCAAGATTGTTTCGTGGCACCGCATGCGCCAGCGCGTCTCGTGTAACCAACAGAGTCGCGCGTGCAACCAACAGCCCGTGTTGGCCGACAAGATATAAGGCCAGCCTTGTTCATGTTGGGGCTGTGCCTATCAGAAGGGTTGCATTTACGACATGAATAATGAATTATGATTAGTAATAAGATGACTGTTTCGCAGCGACCCCCTCCATTTCCATAAGCATCCGCATGCATGTCATGATACCCTCCAGCAACGAATCGGTTAGGTTCTGGCATCCGTCTACGGAGCATCTTGCGCGAGCGTGACGCTCCGGAGGCGAGGTCTGCTCCATCCCAAGTTGAAGTCACAAACAGGCATTCTTTGTGAGACGTATGTACATACAAGGCTACGTGTGTGCAACAAACTAATATTAACGAACAGTGCAAGCCTGATGCCCTGATGCCCTGATGGCCATGGCCCCCAATGTACCCGTGCCCGCTGCATGTCCGCAGAGTGGTCAATGACTACCTCATTTCCCGAGTACGCTCATGTCGCTACATGGCAATATCCCATCCTTCTCGGCATAGCATGTTGCAGCAGCCACAGGGCCTGAAAAGCCCTGCAGGCGGGCGCTGAAAGCCGCCATGTCCGGTTTGTATCCAGACTTGGAAGCAACTTGGTATTTTACTCGGGTATGAACTCGTGACGCCGTTAATGAGTGCCGTTAGGCGCTCTTCGTTTCCTGATGCGAAAGGGAATCTTGCGTGTTGGCAGCTCTACCCCGATTCCGAACCGGTCTTTTCCCGTCGGAATCGTGTCTGTGAGAAGCTCAATGTCATACTGACTCACCATCATAGCCAGGGCGAACGTGATGACACCTTTGGCGAGGAAGCGGCCTGGGCACATGTTTCGTCCACCTATACTCGGCACATGGTCAGCGAACTCGCGGACACGTTTGCAACTTGTAATCATCGCGGCTGCTTACCGCCAAACGGGACCCAGGAACCCTCGAGCCCGTCGAGAGAAAAATAGGGCTTGCTGCCGTGACCATCGTCATGACGAGACTGGGCATGCTGGTGCCGACTCTGATGGCGAGACGGTCCGCTCGAGGGATCGGCTGGGTCGACTATAAACCGATCCGCCCAGAATGACTCTACCCGATGAAGACCACCTTTGGTATTCCAGACATGCTCGTTGTGATGGGCGACACCGGCGTTTATAAATCCCCAGCTCGCTCGAGGAATGCGCCACCTGCCCAAATCAAGCTCGCCGTCGAGCGGAATCACCGGCATCAAGACCGTCATGTGGAGGCGCAGCGTCTCGGCGAATATAGCCGACAAGAGAACGTGTCCTGTCAACTCTTTGTGGTGTACATCTTTGAGGGATTTCCCGTTACAAAGCTCGTCCAGGTCTCGTCTCAGTCGTTGATGGAGGGAGGCGTCTTGAAGAGTATGAATAATGGCCATCATGGCGCAAGGGGTTGTGTTGGCCAACGCACTGCCATCACGTCAATTTCAATTTCGGCCCTGCGCGTCACGCAACTCAACAGCGCACCACTTACCCCCAGGCTACACCGACATTAATAGATGCAATGGCATCGTCGTCAAAGAACGGCTGAAATGCCTCGTGACGGTATCGGGTCCAGCGACAGCCCCAATGAGGGTCATGGTCGCCCTCATTGTCGTTGGGCGCCGCGGCGTGATTCTTCCTGGTACGTCTTACCCAAGACCTGAATTTGCCGTGGAGCTTGGAACGGAGCCTTTCAGCCCTGCTAAATGGAAGCATCTTGAGCAGTGAAGGGATCAAACGATCATACTCGAAGAAGAGACTGATGAAATCGGGGTGCATTTCCAAGAACTTGGGCCCGAAGATGGCTTCTATCTCCGCAGCAGCAACCGTGTGCTGGATGCAGGTCCAGAAGTCTTCCATCTCTATCCACTCTGTTGCCGTGAAGACGGCCATTCGTCTGGAAAAGGCATCGATGAAGCGTTGCAGCGTTGGATCCAGCCCAGGGCCTATCAACGCTTGGCGATCGCTTTCGTAGATTTTACGATACACCCGCGGGTGCTCTGGACAGCTTGTGCCTGGCAGAGGCTTCGCGTTCATGCCCGTCTTGTCGAGGAGATACAAGTTGGCAGACTCGCGCGACAGGCCGCACGCGTTTCGGAGGAAGTGAACAGCCATAGGGCGGAAATCCAACGACGACGAGACCTTCCAGATGCGCTCAATTATATCTGGGTCCTGATACAAGTATACATCGATACCGGGAAGCATTGGTACACGTGCAACGGTTGGTTTCCCATTGTAACATCTCCACACCACGGCGGTTAGCTCTCAGACAAGCATGAAACAGGCGTGGTCACTCACGTAAGACGGGTTAGAGTCTCTCTCGTGTCTCGCAGGAGCGGGAGGATAGCTCCCAGGTAGGGGATGAGGAATGGGTACTTGGGCGGTATCTTTCCATTGCCAGGAGATCGATGCGTGTAATGAAACCGGGCAAGTTGATGAGCGAATACAACCAACTGTGAGGCAATCACAATGGCCAAGGCACAAACCCAGGTTGGTGGGCATGTAATACCAAGTTTGCAAACCGTCATCGTGTCTAGTCCCAACATGGCGTTTGCGCAAACAAGAAGGGTGTTTGTGCGTTTTTTAAGATGCGCCGAGTAATACCGGCAAACTCGAGGCTGTATACCATTACAGATATCATGTGGAAAGCCTCGATACGTTGTGAGGCTCTCGTAATCTTGCAAATCAGCCAACGGCCTATTTCCGGACCATGCTGACGAGGTGCGTCTCGAAGCAACGATGCTATCGACGACTATGGTAACTGCCGTACGGAGCACAGTATTCTTTATAAGCCTGCAAGCCTTGGATGGACTTGGCAGTTGATCTATGAGGGAGACTGGACTGAAGTACGGGCTGACATAGCCATGCATGCCACCCATCTCCGTCTAGGAACATCACACACACAAGTTTTAGTGCCGCCTGAAATGGACACTTGCATTTTCGACTGTAGGATCCGCTGACAGGTAACCATACCTGGGCGCGATGGTTGTCTGACAAGTTGGAGGCCATGGCAGCATCAGGGTGGGAGTATTGGCGAGCCTCCAGCCTCGTCTGTCTGACTTGGCATAAGCAGGCCATCATTCCACCAAGACTTCTTAAAACTCTGCATTTTCCACTTCGCACTTTTCACAAGTGTCGGCTATCTCGGCCGTTAAACAACCGTCCATCCCAGCCGCATCATACCATGGACGGGCTAGACTATACGAAAGTCCCCCTCGGGGTACCGCCTGCTGGGCAGCAAAGCAATCTGCTGGATGCTGAATCTCAGGCTTGGATCCCTCGGCTCGCCATCTACACTACTCTTCCTGTGGCCCTGTGCTTTATAATAATGCGTATCGGTACTCGCATTCGCATGAAGCACAGCTTGGGCTGGGATGATTGTACGGAAATCCAATAGCTTGGCCGTGCCGCCTTTATACTAATCGTCTCAAGATCTTTCCATACTCTCCGGTGTTGGTCATAGCATGCTCATGCTTCGGTGCTTGTGTATCAAGGTCTAATGTGTCAATATAGTGCGCCAGCTCGGGACTATGCGGCATCTTGTTGGCTGAACGCAAGTACTTTGCCTCGATTTCAACCTTCTTCATCTCACCATTCTCTAGTACTCGACGACACATATGGCCGCCACTTCTGGGACATACCGGTCAGCGCCGCAACATCCGAGTTGATGAAGGTAGCCCTGCCGCATTCCCCCTACACACGGAGAGCCCTGCTAATGACGGACAAGTAGGAAACCTGCGCGATAACCGCAGTGTACGATGTATCTGCTGCCCTGACCAAGGTTTCTCTCTTGGCCCTGTTCCTCCGCATCTTTGCGCGATCGCGGAGGAGCAAGATGATGATTTGGGCCGGCATCGGCTTCACTGTCGCATCCTACGCCACCTTGCTCGGGGCATGGATATATTACAGCGCTCCTCACCAGGGTGAAGGCTGGTCGGATCCTATCTACCGCGTGAGAACTGGCAGGGACACGCCGGTCATTAGTGTTGTATTTGGCGCGTTGGCCATTTTCACGGACTTTTACATCATTGCCATACCCATCACGGCGATATCCAGCCTGAACCTATCGACCAAGAAGAAGTTTGGTGTCTCGGCTCTCTTTGTAACCGGTCTCTTGTCTGTACCTTCCAACCCCTGCCCGATGTGCAATACTTTTGCTGACGCTGCCGACGATATCCAGAGCCTGCGCCTTTTCTGTCGCTGGGCTGTCTCCACGGATTGAGAATTATCGACTGACCATGGTCCACGGTACTCCTGATCCGTTTTGGGTTTCATGCCCATCATACGGCTTAGCGTCAGTGCTATATTTATATACGTCGTGGTATGGTTCCAACGCTGACTTTGACGCTATAGTGTTGCCGAGATCAATCTCGGCATCGTCTGCGCTTGTGTTCCCGTCATTGTCCCCTTGCTGAAGGGTCTACTGACCCGGCTATCGGTCACGACTTCATCGTGGCGGCGCTACTGGGGGGCAAGATCCAAGGGATCGACGGACATTGGTAATTTGGAGGCCGGAAAGGGAAGCCCGGCGCCAAATCCCAGCCATGTTGGGAGACGTTGGCTATCCTTGAACCTTGGCTCGCAGAAGCCACGAGGAACGCCGTCGTCAGGGACCATAACGGTAACGCAAGCAACTGAAATTCACATGGTGCCGTATTCGGAGCTGCGCTCCATCGACATGGACTACCATAGATATCTGGGAAATGGAAAAAATGGTTCTCACGCCGCCAGCGCTGAAAGGGGACGAGCCGGGTAGCAGAACGGAGGTTGTGTGTTGGAAAATGTCACATTAGCGTAGCTGTGTAGTGATTATTGGTGTCTATCAGAATGATGTCATTCACTCCAGGTCCTTGATGTCCCTTGGGATCTATTTTTGATGCCGCGGCAGCGGACAACTCACTCATGTGCCAACCTTGGATTTCGGCACATGCCCAACTTTAATCTCATCCATTAACAAGCACTCTGCGGTATTATGCGCAATGCGGGATTGCTCTCACTCGTGTGGTGTGTTGTACTCGGTTGGCTTGGGAGGCTACGTAGGAGGTGAGACGGGAATACTACCCCCAAATTTACGACAAACGCGTCAATTCCAGGGAAGAAGCCAACACTCGGAACCAGAGGTGGCTCAAGTGCTGTCTCGTTTGTCACACAAGGCTCTTCTCAGTGGCCCCTGCTCGGCGACATGCAGGAGACGTGTCAGGTTCCAAGCCTCGAATGATGAATTACAGGCACCTCGCTGATGGCGCCCAGTGGCTGACCTCGAGGGTATTGTGTTGGTCCAAGTCAGCTTACTCCTATAAATGGATCGCTGATCTCATCTGTCAAATCATCCAGCCAACACGCATACATACGTCGTAGGCTTACGCCACCCGCAGAAACCAACCAGCAACATTCGAACGCCCAACCACCGACAGCCACACTCCCCATAGCGATGAAACTTCAGGGTCGCAGCTTTGTGTAACTTAATCTTTATTTTCCCCCTCATCTTGCTTGTTGCGCCCAGGATTGCGAAAGAGAAGAATACTCCGTACCTACCGCGTACTCCGTATGTGCCGCTTATCGACGCCGCGCCTCGAGGCCATTTGAGCTCACAAAGTCCGGCCGCGCTTCTCTCTCTCACTCCTGTTCTGAACAGCCGCGATTCTTTTCGGCCCTTTGTGGCATCAACCCCAACAAGATGGGCTTTCCTGCGTCTGTTTCCGTGCAAGCGGTCCTGGTTACTTCAGTACTCCTTGCAGGCGCATACCTCTACAATAAGTTGCGCTACAGACGTTTCAGGCAGAATGCTCATATCCCTCAGCTTCCCCCGTCTCTGCTCTGGGGTCATCTACGCTTGTTTGATAAATTCACCAAGCAAGGCATCCCCGACCGTCATCCAGGTAACCCCGCTACGTCTGCATACCATCATCAGATGCCAACCGAGAGCTGACCCGAAAAGATGTCATCATTAGTGAGATGCACGAGGCGTTGGGGAAACCGCCCATTATGCTTCTAGACAACTGGCCTATCGTCCCCCCTATGGTTGTCGTTGCCAACCATGAAGTGGCCGAGCAGGTGTCTCGCTCTTCCGCCGATTTTCCATATAGCGTCATGAAGTCGCCATCCGTTGACCATATTGTGGATTTGATTGGACCGAATTCAATCCTGCTCAAACAGGTAGATACACCCGACATGTTTCGTTCGAGTTGCGATGGCTAACGCCCTGCAAGAATGAGCGATGGAAAGCCGTTCGCAAAAGATTCAACCCTGGCTTCGCACCGCAGCATTTGATGACACTTTTGCCCGTCATCCTTGAAAAGGCGCAGACCTACCTCGAAATCCTCGATCACTTTGCCAAAACAGGGGAAAGCTTCTCGTTGGACCAGCACACAACAAACCTCACATTTGACATTATCGGTATTGTGACCATGGGTGAAGATGTGAATGCACAACAGGTGGATTCGACACAGCAAGGAGAGCTGATAAAGAGTTACAAACAACTCATCAAAAGTGTGTATATTCGATCAAAAGCCGACCATGGCAAGGCCTGGCTAACACCACAATTGAATAGCATATGCCGACGATAAACTTCAGCTCCCCTGGTGGCTAATGCCTCATAGACATATCAGGCGCCGTCTCATTGGGCAGCAGATTAGCAACAGATTAAAGGCTATTGTTTCCTGCAACTTTGAAGCCACAAAAGCCGAATCCAACACTAGTCGATCGCGGAGCATCCTAGCCCTCAGTCTCCAGGACGTGGAGAAGCTCACACCCGACATATTAGCCGAAACGTCTGATCAGCTGAAAACCTTTCTTTTTGCAGGCCACGATACTACTAGCACTCTAATTATCTGGACCATCTATGAGCTCTCGCGGACGCCGCACGCGCTGAAAGCCGTACGCGAGGAGCTAGAAAGACTACTTGGACCTGAAACCACACAAGATCCAACGGCAATAACTCAGAAGCTTCTTGGTCCCGGAGGTGATGAGATCATCCACCAGATGACATACATCTCTGCGGTTCTCAAAGAGGTCTTGAGACTCTACGCGCCCGCCGGTTCTATTCGCATTTCCAAGCCGAATACGGGACTCGTCGTTTCCACCTCGCAAGGCGACTACAATCTTGACGGAAACTGGATCTACCTGAACCACTACATCATGCATCGCGACCGAGCAGTGTACGGGGACACGGCAGAAGACTTTGTGCCTGAGCGTTGGCTCAAGAGCGACGGCTTCCCGCCCAGCGTATGGCGACCTTTTGAGAGGGGCCCGAGAAATTGCATCGGCATGGAACTGGCGAATATCGAGGCGAGGGCGATTACTGCCCTCATAGCCCATCGGTACGCGTTTGAAAAGGTGGGCATTGGTGAGTTGGACTTGGACTCGGGCGGCGAGCCTCGTCTGAATGACAAGAATCAATACGCGACCAAGTCCAAACTGTATACTGTAAGTTTCAACCATGCCCTAGCTGTTTGAGGATCTGTTATTAACAAAGGTCTTAGACGATTCAGATTACGGGAAAGCCAATTGATGGAATGGTGGTAAAAGTGCGACGAGATACAGCCTCGAACAAAACATTAATCTAGACGGGCCCGGTTCCATTTTTTGAAAGAGTTTCTAAGCTGTGGCTGCTTTGCTAGTTTAAGCAGTTTTGAAGCTAATTTTAGTAATGGGCAAAGGTTTATTGAGCTTCTTTTTATCAATAATACTATCAGAGATCTACTTCCCCCGTCGCATGCGTTAATGTCTCCCACGCTATAAATAAAGAATCTGCGTGCGCGGGCCGCGCAGCTGCCGTAAACTGCTTTGTATTCGGCATTTCATATTTTTCACTGAGGATGCTATAGCCGGGTTCCGTCATGTCCTTGATGTTCTTGGTAACATTACCATTACAAAGCCAGTCGGGTGCTTGCTCAGTACCCCTTTTATTGTCATACTTTGCAAGGAATTCAAGTGCATATCGCAAGCGATTGCCAGTATCCTCAGAGTACAAGTCTCTTCCCTGGATTCGCACAGTCTCGATAACATGGCTGATGGAAGCAATGCCATAGCTACTGTGCATGAGGTCTCGACACGTCTCCATGACCATTCCGTCTTCCTGGAACGTGCCTTGACCCCACCACCAGCGTTTTAGCAGTGTCTCTCGAGACATTCCTGGTGGTAAGAGTGGCACAGAGCCATCGCTAGGAAGCAGGTGAGTATTACTTGCATTAAATTAAAAGAAGGAAACATGTTTGGCCGTACCTCTTTAGATAGACGTAGTAGCTTGCCGAGTTGATGAAGCGTTCCAAAGACGACTTATACACAGCCCTGTTGTGGATGAAAACCGCAATAGAGATGCTAGCTTCCATGAGGACTAGATGGATGTTGTTAGTGATACAGAAAAGCCGTAGGAAGAGATTTAGTGCCTACTGAGTTCCCAGTTGTTCGGTTTGTCGGATCCATTCTGGACAATAGGGAGGTACACCTTTTTAAGCATGGTTGAAAAAGTAGCAATATCTTCCTCTTCCCACCCTGCTCCCGAATATCGAATGATTTCCCCGGCTCGAGCCCAAAGTGAGGCAGCCCAGGCAGCTTGAAGGGGCGCATTTGCCCCCGTATGCTCCTGGATCGTATTAGCCCAGGCATTCATAATAGAAATCGCGACATCAGCCTTGGCCTGGTCCTTTTTCGTAAACCACGCTAAAGCATTAGTGTAGGCTGCCATGGCGTCACGCCGCTCATCGGTACACCCATTATCCGGCTTGGAATAAGCACCGCATTCGACGTTTTCCCGCGGTTTTGGGTCCGTGACTCGGGCGTACGGATGCTTCATCATGGCTGTGTAGGCATTCGACCATGGCTGCTGACCATCTTTGACCATTGACCTCATGCGCCGTAGCTGGGTTCTGTCGACGAATACACCAGGATGAACAAATTTCATGCCCGGTGCTCTCGAATCTAGATTAACTTCAGTGGAGTCGGATGCATGTTGCTGGATAACATGTCCGTTCAGGCCAACGGAGAGGGCCAGAATAGCTAAAAATACGCCAAGAATCATATTTGAAGTCATTTGATAAAGAGTTTTATTGGCAGTATGTGAACCTTGGATGTCGAGCGTAAACAGCCTGGTTGAAACAAAGAGCTTCGTGTAGCCATTGTTCGCGTTTTATATCTACTTTACTGTTGGTATTGAACGTGACATGGAGAATATCGGTATAGTTGCATGTAACGTATCCGTAGTCAAGCCAAGAGGATTCTGACTCGGGGCAGTAGCTTCATGTTATGCCATGAGGTCGACGCTATCCGTATACATTGACACACGCAGTCTCTTTTAATTACGAGGTAGTATGTCGACAAAGGCACATAAAAGTTTTTGCAGGGAGGACCTTGTTCTACGTCGATGACGGAACTTTATCCATGCCCACTGCTGTCTTCAGGCCAGTTGATAGAGCACTGGTGTCCTCAAGCTAGTCTCCATTCTTTTCACAAGAGACGACAACAAGCTAGTCCGATTTCGTACAAGGCTGCATAATGCGGGAAATTAGGTAATGCGTCATAGCTTGGCCGTTGGGCATTACAGAGCTAAGAACAGCGCTTATCTGGTACCAGACTTGTCCGCGAATTTGGACTTTTGTTTACGGAGTAGGGCACGGATCAATTGACATCATCTAAAACTTCGAGCGTCGCGCGCATGCAAAGGGACACGACGCGTTGGAACCAGCAATAGGAAACCAGAAAGTCACGTGCATGGCAAAGATAAGCAATCAGGGACCGGCGCCAAGAGGGAGCCGTAATTTAGCATGCATGACTACTAATTAATTTCGGGTAGATCCATGTCTGGATCGATGTCCACACCAGACTCTTTAGTGTCTGGTGTTTCACACAACAAATCGCGGGAACGGGAATGGCTCCCTCTCGGCACCTACTCGTCCTGTGGCAAAACTTCAGAGTAGTATTGTAGTGGGAGAGTTGACGTTACGCTGCTTGGCGGTTTGGATTGCATGGAAGCATTCTTGCGAGACACGGTTGGCTGTGTGAAGAGATCCTGCAAGGTACAGCGAAACAAGCGCAGCATAATGGAAGAAGAGCCAGGCAAGGCTAAGTGGGTCGACTTTCCGTATCATTGGTGGCTTGACAAGAAAGAGAGACAGATTCCATCTGCAATAGGCAATACTTTTATTAGATATGGCCATATTGGATCAGAAAGAAGCTGCATGTGGTCTGGTGCCTATCGTATTAGTATTTACACCACCATGGCCAATCGATCTTTGTTGGTTAGCTAGCACTGGCGATTTCACGCAGGCTTTGTTACCTTCAATGTTGACTACAATCACATCACAGGTGCCAGTTCGCGAAGCCATCTTACGCAGCACCCACCCTATATATCATCACCACGGGTCCACGACCAGTAATGGCACAACGAGTCGCGCGTTGCCGCTGGGCACCATACATTGCAGACATGAAATAGTTATAAACGGCACCTGGGGGTCGAAACAAGTGACTATTGCCTGGCCTCTGCTACGGAACCGCCAAGACTCCAGACCACAAAACTTTAGGAGCCTTAAATAACATCAGTATGACGGTACTAGTTTCTTCCACACAAGCATACTCCCAATATCGCATGAGGGGAGCCACTGCTGTATAATCCGTCGGCTTTTTTTTTTTTTTTTTTTTTTTTTTTTTTTTAAAGGGGTTACTTTCTCATCCAAGTATCAATAAGTTTTGGCGCCGCCACAAGACGTATCAGCAACACATGTCCCTCGTGATCAGCCTCATTTTTGGCTTAGCATAATCATAACACAAAGACATTCCTGCGTGGGTTTACACTTTTCAAATGTATTGCTAGGAATTGGCTGCACTTGCCTCGACGATGCCAAAATAGAAACACTTTTCGCTAGCCTTGTTCAGTTGCCTGCTGTCCGGTAATAAAGGGGTGTAATTGCTGTACAAATAGAGCGCGTTCTTTCTGTGACAATATTTTATTGCCTATCTAAATTTACAAAGAAGAGAGGAGCCAAGCTCGTGGATTTACCTCGAAGTAAAGCTACCTAAAGAGACTTTGTCTGCGACTCATAGACACTAGCTAGGTATTCCTTTCTCATCTTTTCGAAATATTCAACCACTACAAGTAGCTTCCAGTGACACCCCACTACGTTCAGATGGAATATTTCAACTGCAATTTAATATAAGCATAAGAATAAGTCAGCAGAAGATTAACTAGCAGTCCACATACCAAAGTGAATAAGAATCGCAACAAGCACCCCGGTACTTTAACCCGGCGGTATTTATTTCCAAACTCTGCAGCCTCTGTTAGCGCACGTCACGAAATTTAACTCCCAATCAAAACCAACTTACAATATATAACTCTCCCCCGAACCCATCTCTTCGCCGCCGACAGGCACAAGAGATCCGTTCTACAAAGCAGACAGATTAGCAAATAAAACTCCAACAGAAGAGCATAGCCATCTAGGTCGACGTACAAACTGAGGTCCGGCTTTGCCAACCCACCAATGTCCATTGACATTAGTCACCGCATGGTAAAGCGGCTGCCTGTTATTCTCATACCCGCCCACGACGCCCTCCCTACCCTCTGGAATCCGGCCCGCGTACGAGTCCACCCACTCCATGATATCAGGGTTAAAAGGCAGCAGATCATACGAGCCCTGATGGGGCTCTGCCCGGCCGCCAAACGTCCCAACACAATGCGGCACCTCGTCAGCGACAACCATGCAAGGATGGACGGTGCCGTGAAAGTCAATAGCTGACCCGAGATACATGGGCTTGCCGCTCGCGCTCTTCCACTCCACCGCCCCCGCGCCATTAGCTAGAGGGAACTCGTCGTCCTTTTTGAGGTGAAACCGGCCGTCGAAGCGGGTATCCGTGTTTTGGGCGTGGTACAAGATGGAGTCGATTTCGCGGGGGTCAAGCTGCTCCTGCTCCGAGGGGTCAAACTCCTGCCAGAAAACCTGGGTGTTGTCGACGGTGCCCTCGGTCCCGTCTTCGTACTGGACAAACAGCTTGCCGTCCTTGCCGCCTTTGAAATTGGCAATGGGCTTGGCGGACTTGACCACGCCGTCGTAGAATTTTTGTCGGAGATCGGGGGAGATGAGATCCGCGGGATACCACTCGGGGTCGGAGTTTTCGTCAAACTTGACCAAGTACTCGTAATGCTCGATCCAGTCGTCGCTGCCGTCCTGGAAGGAGTGAATCTTTTGCTTCACGTGGCGGCAGTGAAGCAGCTTGGAAGGGGTGACGGCCTCCATTGAAATCTCGTCGTCTTGCTTGACGTACTGCAGGTTCTTGGGGAATAAGTGATTTGCGGACTGTGCGCCGGTGCCCGAGGCAGTGCGCGCGTATTTGAAGGTGAGAATTTTTCCGAGCGCAACGGGATTGTCATGGATGAGCTTTAGAATTGGTGTTGGCAGCGATGCGATCCACGGGGTGTTGACGTCGACAGTCCCCGGGATTACCTTTTCAAAGATGGGCGTATAGCGCCAGTTTTGAAGACCGTACTGTCGGGGGGCCTTGACGTCGACTACCAGGACGCCCTTGTCCTTGGGGGCCTTTTCGAACTCTGCGTTGGCCTTTTCCAGGTCGGCTTTGGCTGCCTCGAGGTCGGCCCTGGCCTTTTGAATGTCGATATCGGGCTGGTTGGATCCTTGGGGCCCTTCGGCTTTGTCAATCTGAGCCTGTGCCTTGGTGACGGCGGCCTCTGCCTTTCTAACTTTGGCTTCGGCATCTCGGAAGACCTTCTTTTCCTGTTCGGTGATGGCATCCTTTTCGGTTTGTTCGAGGTCGCGCGTCATGACCTGCAAAAGGCATTAGTATGCTTTGGACAGTTACAGATTCAATATTCACGTTGGGAATACCTTGAATGATTTCACCCGAATATCGTGCGTCTTTTCGGTTACTGCCGTCTTGCTTCCGCCAGGTCGCTCTGCCTCCAACGTGGCTCGATACTTTTCGACGAGGGTCCTGTGGTCAATAAGTTTCTGGGCATAGTATCCCAGCATTCGATCCCTTTGTCCAAAGTTGAGGAAAATGACTTTTCCATTGTCCTTGAAAAGCTTTCCATCAATACCGATTCGGTTGAATGTTCTCAGCTCTTGTTCGAGGTTGTCGGGTCCCTGGTTGCCTTGACCTTTGCCCTTGCCCTTGCCCTTGCCCTTTCCTTTGCCAGGAATTTCATTTTGCGTCGGGTCACCCTCGGGTATTTCAGGGCCAGGTTTGTTTGCAAGCTCTTCGATGGGTCTCAGATCAGGCAGCTGCTCACGAGCAACGACATTGCCTTGATAGTTGAAGATGCGCTGGTTGTCGCCCGCGAAGAACTTGTCGCCGTCCTTGACAATGCTTTTACCCTCAACACGATAAATCTAAATGTGCAGAGTTAGTAAAAATGCGTCAAAGTATGGCTTGGAGCAGTGGACTTGCTGTTGTTGTTGGCGACACCTTGCCCTTGGTACCAGCAGCGGGCAGACCATCGGTAAGTCCAAGTACCTGCAGATCAAAGAGGTCGTCCTGGAGATTGTCAAGGCTTCTGTCAACATCTTCTACAGTCAAGTTTTGCCTGTGAATTATGTCGTCGAAATCATGATAGATGTTCGTGCCGACAGCGAAATAACCTTGAGGGTCATAACGATGGTGGCGAAGACTTTCGATTCCTAAGGAGGATTATTATTCGTCTGCACCGCCTTCGACTCTTGCGACACCTGTACTCACCAGTGAGGCCAGCGTCTGCTAATGCTCCGCCAGCCATTGCTCCCCCAGAACCGCCCAGGGCACCACCACCCAGCACAAAAATGGTGCGAGTTGCCTGTTCTTCGGCATGAATACCCTCTTCCGTCTCACCCATGGCAAAGTGAACGATTCCTATACTCTGTTAGATATACCATGGCGATGTTCAGCCAGGAGCAGTGTTATACCGTCAATATGTCCCAAAATGGGAATCGAGTCCACGAGCCCACGAATACTCTCGCCTGTGTGGTTAACCCACGCGTCTGCCATTTGAGCCTGTCGATGCTCGCTGGGCATAACAAACCCCCCAAAGAAGGACGACAAATGCGGAAGCAAGCGCTTCCAAGTGATAGCCGAAGCCATGTTGCCAAGCTCTCGCAACGAGAAAAAAAAAAGAGTGTGGTGTAGAAAGAAAGTGAATGTTTACGTGTCCCGGGCTGGGGGGTTGGACTTTTTGGCCTTTAGAGAAAGAGATTTTGTCTTGGGTCTAAAAGCAATACCAGGAGACACAGGCAGCTTTATATATCATGTTCTTTGCCTCATACTCTGAGGTTGACGACGATGGAGGCCGATCATTTGATACTCTAGCATGAACTTAGACAACTGTCTGTGGGCACGGCATTTGAGCCCTACCATGCCGCGAGGGCTGTGCTATCATGCAGGTGTTCCCCATGATGTCGCGTGGCTCAGCATGAGACGAATTCATCAGACTATTTACCTCGATAGCGTGAGACTTGATTGCCAAGGAGCTAGCATTACTATGCCTCCCGCTGGATTGACTAGCTAAGTGCAATTGCATAAAGATAAAGTGCTTGGGTGATGTAGGCAATCACGTAATACACAGCAGTCTTGCTATGGTGACGTTTTATTTCTCTAAAGAATAACTTGAATCGTTCAAGTTGAGGAATAACCAAGTGCTGTCACACAGTGAGCTCGTGGTGACATGAGCTTTTCCCATTCGCCATCGAATCTTGTAGGAGAAAAGCAATCCGTCTTGTTCAGTCTGGTAGGAGTTGTTAGTTGAAACAGTCTTGGTGACAAAGTCGGTAGTTTGTTAGTCCAAGGCTAGCCCTGCGCTACTTGGATGCCGAAGCTGCTGCGGTCACATATTGCCTAATTGGGAAATATTTCTTGTTGCTCTTCTGCTGGGGGGTGCTTCAAGTTGTCGTAGTGCTCCCCACTCGAGGAAGAGAGAGTCATGTTCCGGGAATTTTAACCGTTCCTTGGAGGAGTCATGTAGTTGCCCAAGTCGCGGGAATTTTCATGCAAGTTTAATTATACGTTTATGCAAACAGATGGGCGGTTGGCGTTGGCGGTTTATTCCGTCAAAGAGTGAAGTCTACGACTAGGACGCAAAGGCATCCAGCATCCAGAGTGGAGGCGCCTTAAAATTCCACTTGCTAGAAAGTTTGGGTCTTAGCGCAGACGCGTCAACTGCCGGCAAGAGTCCACGTGTAACGAATTCATATCAGACCAGACTCTTTCATAATCAAGATGAACACAAGGAGACTGATGTCTCAGCCTACCGGCCCAAGACCCCCCCTGAACTGCGAAGGGAATATCTGGAGGTCAGGCTCTAAGAAGGTCACCGTTCTTTTCCACTTAGGCATCAGCTACTGCCAGGCTTCTTCAATGTGAGTAAAATATTGATCCGCTGCCGCAGCAATCGTGTTCCGGTCAACTCACAACGTGGCGAGTTGTGTGGGGTAGAACATGATGTCCAATCGGAATGGGTACTTTACAAGTTCATGTGCCGGAGATAAATAATTCGGGAAAGTCTGGGCGGGCAGTGCCATGTCTAGTCATGTAATCGGCAATTGCGTGAATTGCTCGGAGCCCAGTAGCCGCCGGCATTCACAGCCCCACAGGTACCAGACATCAATTTCAAGTATACCGTTGACATGTAAATACATGGCAGCAGGAGTAAGTAGTAAAAAGCTCTGTGAACATTAGTCACTTTTTAATAGGGCTATAGCTGGAAATAGCTACTTATAGCAGTATTATCAAGAAATTCGGGTAATTATCTAACCGCCTCTTTATTTCATCAAAACCTACCGCGATTCACTCTATTTTTATTAAGGATATACTTGTGGGGCTAGTAGCAGGTGCAAGTGCGTCTACCGGGCCGCGAGCCATTCACCAGACCGGACGCTACTTGACGTATTCATTGCTGCACGTGGGAGCATCCATGTCCCCTCTTGCTGCACGTAATTAGCCCATGTCCCTTTATGGCTGTGCCGTGGCTGGCGGCTAATGTTGTCAAGCTTCCAGAAGTTCCAGTCTCGCGCTTGGCCTTGAGCCCGGCAGCTGGGGCGCCCATCGAGGTCCTCGCGGACCTTTTGCACCGGGCCGCCATTCATGGATTTTTGTATTGACCCGATGCCAGGACGTGACATGACTAGTGGTTGGCGGGGCGATTACATCAATTGATACCGGTTGCTTGAAATCGACAAGTTCCGCTGGGCCTCATCTTGCTAGTACAGGGAGACGAGTAACAATGACTGCAACATGAGGTACCTAGTAAACCTTATATATCCCTAGAGGTATGGTATTGTACATCTATCAAGCTGCCTCTTGCATCTGGACGGATTGGTTATTCTCGCCGACCCCTCCGTTCATGCATGGTTTGCTCTGCGAACCGAGCATGTCGGCTTAAGAAGAAGTAACTGCATTCGATGATGTAGCTCTCCATGGGTAGCTTTTCTGCTCTGGCGAGCTTACTTCACGTCAATTACTACATCAATTTTCTGACCGAGCCCTATCGCAGACTGACCATCATCACCAGCCGCGGCACGAACAGGTATGCTCTCTCCGGTTTGAGGACGGGACAGATGACCCGATCCATATTGTACGGTAATCCTATAAACACCCAAAGCCTTTAGGCAATTAAAAAGCAATGATCCAGAGAGCCTGGTAAGCATCATCGTCTTTACCAAAGCAATCACAGCGACAGACGAAAACGCCATCATCATAGAAGGGTTGTCCATGTTTCGAACCCGACGGAGCCGACGTTGCATAATTGCGGAGGGAACTGTCATCTATGTACTCGTGCCACGCCCATCGACTCTATTGGTTGTGGTGGGACTCGCTCCATATAAAAAAGATCAATTGATGTCAAGTCTGGTATTGACCTGTTGACGTTAAATAAGGCAAGACCCGATGTGGCGCCGTCCCTCAGCTTCACGTTCCCAATCGCCAGTCTGCCAGCTCACCATTACGAGACAAAATTGGACACTGCAGAATTCCTACAGGATTTTGCTTCACCCTCTCAGCATCTGAGGTACGGAATACTCACCGATTTGTGCCAGGCAAGTTGTCGCATTGGCTGGCCACCCATCGGAGTCGCTCAATACACGTGAGTCAAAGGGTCAATCCGAAAAGATGTGTGACGACGCAGCCTAGAAATTCCTTTGTCGATATGTCACGAATAGGATCAATACCATGTGCACCTATCAGTTCAATGAGCCAGCTGTATGTACTGATCTCACTCGAATCCTGAAGTGGCACGGATTCCGTGAGGTAAGCTGTACTCCATCAATGACGGCTGGCTCTTCCCCGATTCATCCGACTGGCCATTGCGCAGCCAATCGCTATGGACCCTTTGTCTCTATAGTTTCAAAATATCTGGTGCGTGACGCGGGGACAAGCTATGTCTCAAACACGCACCGTGGTGACAAAAGTGGCGAAGCACCAGACATCTTTTGACCTGTACGCTGCAGCGTTCCACCAAGTGCCTACCTCATTGTGACCTGAAATCTTATATCCGAGTCGGGTGCTCGTATTTTTTGTCTGCATAATGGAAGAGGAGCTTGCCAAACAGTGGTGGCCAATACAAGATTTGAAGTCTGAGTTGATGATGCTTCCACGACAACCCTCTCTTTGGATACGCACATTCGGCTGTATTTGGACACCTTTGAGGGCGGCTTTTGTCATATCGGATAACTGGGTTGTGATGGGGTAACTGTCAAATCTGACGAGTGTCCTGCGCGATAATTGATCGCCGAGGACCAATTAAGTCTACGGACCAGAGACATCTTTGTAAAAATTGATGTGTTACACCGCCTACAGTTAACAAATATTAGTAAAACGAGTGAACAATACACACACCCACAACTTCATTACCCCCGGTGGAAACTCCTCTAATAGGACGACAGTCAATCTCTGTTACATAAACGCTTCCTAAGATACGACTTTGTCTCGCAAGCAATACTGTACGTACAATCCTCAGAAGTATTTCTGAGTGGAGCATCGTGAACTCTAAAAGCCATTCGCAGGTAGATAACAATAGCTACAGACTGGCATAGTAAAGGTGTCTGTTGTTGCGATCCGTCCGTTCTGGTGTGTAAGGACTGAAATGGATGAGATCCGCAGAACATGTTCAACCAAGAACAAAATTGCTCTTCTCCGTTTAGCACGTTAAGTCAAAAAATAGTCTCGACATTTCCCCTCAAACCACCAACCATGAAGACATTTTTAGCAAGTGTCACACGGGTAGGTGTCACAACGCCCGAAGACCGCTATATCGCGATGCCTCCGGAGCCGGCTGCGTCAGCATTTAGCTCAAGTGATGCATTGTAACAGATCACAACAGGTCGAGGTTTCAAGGATGGAAGCCCAAGTACTTGGTACATGTACTTATGACCTAGATGTCCCCGTCACTTAAGTCAGGTCACACACGCCTAGATTATCATGTATATATTCGGGTCGTAGGTCGGGGTCCTAGATTCAACTTCCCAAGCATCTGTTAAACTTAAAAGACAACATTGGTTTATTAAATAAAATTTGAAGCTATTCAAAACCCCTCTACGAGGCCTTATCACAGTAAGCCAGCATTCCACCTAACTCTACGCTACCACACCCCTCACACGTAATGCCTAGAAATGAAGCTCTCATATCTCCCGCTCCACGCCATCGCTTGCGCTTTCACCACCAATGCTGCCATTGTCAATTTTTACTCGGACATCAACTGCGCCCAGTTCGTCGGAACCCGTAATATCTGGGACGACACGTGCGCACCCGGCAACCCCGGATTCAAGTCGTTCATGGTCACTACGGCTGGCGGCGACGGCCAGAATCTTTTGACAAATTTTAATCAGGGTGACTGTCCGTATAACACGCAAACTGGCTGTTTCAATGCCCAGACTGTGGGTGTTTGTAATTGGGTGTGGGAGGGGACTAGTTATTCGATCGGGTCTTCAAGGGGAATTTCATGTTAAGATCTCGAGGAATCGTGGACGTCAAGGTCGAGTCGCTCATTCAAAACAAGAGCAGTATGAATGCATGAGAGGCGACAGCAACTGCTGCCTGTAAGGCTTTTCGCTTGGTATGAGTCCACCAAGTGCTCTTTCATGTCAATAGCAAATGAAGAGTCTCTCGTTGCCTGATTTGAGTAGCTGCGCCGTGTAGCTATTGCATTCTAATTCGGCAGCAGTACAATGTGAAACGTGTATATGCTCTGTCGGTCCTTTCAGCCGCAACGCTGTCTACGATGTGCTTTTTGCCTTGGTTCTAATTAAGCTACTGAGTCTTGTACTTGCGATGCTTGATGTATTTGTGTATATATATATTAGAATTAAGGCGCAGTGGTGTGTAATTGCGCAGCACTGGTTTACTATTGTACCAGACCGTAATCTTCCAGCAGCACTTAGCGCCGGAAGTGAGACGCTGATGCAAACCTGTTTGGAAAGCGTCCCGGTTAAAAGGCAGCTTCTTTTTAGGACTTAATTTGGTATACAATTCAACTGTTTGATTAAGACATTTGAAATGGAAACTATACCCTACCGGAGATTAGTAATACCTAGCATGTTAAGAACAGGATGAATAAGTCAAAAGATTGTAAATTTTCTATATAACCAAAGGTTAAATACGAATGCAAATACTCGAGCAGCTAGCAATATGGTAATCGCTATAACCTCAAATAAACAACTCAATCTTGACACTCCCCTCTTGTATCCCCAGCTCACACCAACGGCGTATAAACCATATCGGGTTCGTGTGTAGTGATACTAGTTCGTCTTAAGTTGACAACCAGGGTCGGGGTTGCAGTAAAAGCACTGTTTCTCCTCGTCGACGAGTACGCAGCCACGAAGTCTTCGGCATGACTTTGTAACATGTTAGCCATCATGATATACGTTCAAAAGTAGCCAAAGATGGTGGTACTCACAAATGGGTGGCAGTTATCATTGAGTCCGAAGATAGACGTAGAGCTGGGGTCCTGTGCAACTGGAGTGGCCAAGCACAGGCCAGCAAAGACGGTAACGAGGAAAGTGGTAACTTGCATTTTGGCGAGGATTACTTGTTTTAATGTAAAGAAATCAAGGAAGAATGAGTCTGAGATGAAGATCTTTGTTGAACAGCATCTCCCATCCTATTTATACTCGACAAAAGTCCAGTGGATACTTGGCAAGTATTTTGAGCTGTTTTCTGGCCTTCGAAATGGACTCATTCTCACGTCAAGGTTCTATATCAGACTCACTTAAGCTACCAACACACAAGGGTACTGATTTCGTAGCAGTAGGGCTATAGCAGGGCTACAAAGACCAGGGCAAGTTCGAGTCGGAGCACGAAAATCGGAATTACCACGATTCCAACCAAGTCCGAAGCAAATTCTAGGTTTGTGATACTTCTTGTCCATAATCGTGGGCCAAAAGTGGCCGGATCAACCGGGAAGAATGTAGCATGACACCTTGAATAACTCCAAGTCTAATATGTGTCAGGCCATAAAGTATGGTACTTTTACTAAACGTTACATTTTACGCCAGTAACTGTCAATAACGTTTTTACTAGGTAATACGTCATAAAGGTGCTACGCAAGCTCAAAGTACACTGCCTGAAGTACAAGGTGCCAGGGTGGAAAATATGTACTTTGCTATTCGCTGTCTCATATACTTATCCGAGAATCCGGACCCGAAATACCTAAATGCCGGATACCACAATTGCCGAATAGCCGAATGCGAACCATAGATCCCTGCGAGGTGTCGAACAAGTCCAAAGGATTCGCTATCCGCTTTTTCCGAGATTCTATAATAATAGTGCGATGTCAAGATTAAATAAATGGCCAGCGGACATATAAAAGCAGCCTAGCATAGTAGATATCAACAGGAGGAACAAGCCCTCTGTAACAAAACGATAAATTACCATTAGAGATATATAGGGTACAGTTCCGAAACGGTCCCTGTTACAGCGAAGAGCGAGCTGGAATTCTCGGATAACTCGGATTAGTAGTAGTGAATAGAATCATGCCACGAGGTTTATTGCGTGGCTCACAGTTAAGAATACTCGACAGGAACACATAGACCAAGGACTGTGCTATTGTATTTCCTTGTTTATAACTCGGAATTTGGTAAAACAGCGGTTACTTGCCCCGCTTCCACCGACTCGTATCATACCGTTGACCATTGCAAGAATTCAAATGATAAGGCGCCTAGGCTAGAGAACAGCGACAGGTAGCGGGTAGATAAATATGCTGCAACGCCCAGGGACCATGCTTCTCGTAAACATTATGCTGTCAACAACGCATCTAGAATTCTTAAACTACTGCATCCATAAATGGAAAAACTTGAGCAGTGGTAGCCCGTTTGCCTTTAGTGTTTGCCTTGGGTCCCGGCGTCATCGAAAATGGTAACACTTGGACCTAGCGAAGCTTGATCGGAGAGGGGATTGACATAATATTCTGCGATTTTATTGAAACGCCGTTTTCCAGCTTCTTTGTCGCCCACAGCCTACTCGACTACTAGCTATAGGTAAGCAAGGCACTTATACTTACACGGAAGTCACCGGACGTTACTATCAAGGCACGGGCCGTAACCCTAATAATAAGTATACAAAAGCTAAAAATTGGACTTGCAGCTTTAAGCTTTTAAGCTTATATACGCCTTAATGTTTTAAGAAAATTAAGAACTTGAATATTCAAGCAAAGCATTAGCTGGCCCATATAAGACTGCGAATATAGCGATTTGGTAGGATGTATTGGAGGACATGTCTCGGCCTTGGGTGGCATGTAATGTAACTGCGTCCTTTACAAGATCGAGACCCAGCGGTGGAACTATATTCTCCTCTATTTCTAACTTCTACGCCCCGTGACGTTACGCAAACCCATGCGCTGAAAAATTACTCGACAGCTATCATTGTTTTACAGGAGGCAGCGGCATGACTGCTCCAAACGCCCAATTTGTCCTCTTTGTATATGCCACGCCCTCGCCACGAGCACATGGCATTCAGCGAAATCACAAATGCTGATCGAAGCGAACGACAACTCCATCTGGCTTCCAGTCAAGCCATCAAATTCTCCCATCTATAAGGGTGTCTGGGCCGAGAACCTCTACTGGGCCGTCCTTCCGCGTGCAGGTGGAATTGACGCCAATGTCGGTCATGTCCACCGGGGAGCTGCCTCGGAACAGGGCTGCGCGGGCGCCTCGAGCTGAGTCTGGTTCCAGTCTCGGGTGTATACAGGCCGAGATCAAATGGGCTTGACCAGACCGGACCAGACCAGACTTGACTCGTATGGCGGGCTGAGGGTGGCCCACCGAAATCTTTCCAGCAGCTTGACAGTCCCGGTCTATATTCTATTGACGCGACACCCGTCTGGTCAATAGCTTCAAGAAATTGGCAGTGCATTGCGAATTCAACAGGCGGATAGAGTGTCTGGTCATAGGCAAGATGACTGACATCCAAGAACTTTTGCCGGCACTTACCCATGTGGCTTGACATGACACTTCAATTTTGTCAAGTATCACACGTGAAGCCATCTCTTTGACATTCAGACACGAAACCAAGTCCTTATGCAGCTACAGAGGAAATTGTAGACTCCGCAGAAGCAAGGCTCGGGCTCCGACGAGTCAAGTTTATGGTATGCTGGCACTGAGACGGAAGACAGTGCACCAACCCCCCCGTCGTTATCATCGCAATTAGACGACTGGACCCAATATCACCCCCCAAGAGTCATGTTAGCGTTGATGGATATCTCAGTGTGACAAGGGCTAAAGGCTTGGAGCAACATGACTCAATTCATCTAATAATAGTCTTTGGTATCAAAGGTTCTTGGTTTTCCTTAAGGCCTCGTTGACCAAAGGGGTCTTTAAATACAAGAAGTCAGTGAGGGACTTTGCCCTAGGTCTCGTGACCGTAGCCCTCGTGTAACCGGCCATTTCCGTGTTACACTCAGCATGGGAGATAATTACGCCACGTACAACTACTGTTAGGAGCTCAAGAGCTCTCCTTTTCTTGTTCTTTCTTCTCCTTCTTCCTCACCTTTGGATATTTGTGAGAACCGTCAATATACTCGCTGGACCGTTATAACCCTCATGCGACAGAAATCACACCAGACACTAGGTCAAAAGTAAAACTCCATTCCTGAGGGTGGGTGACGTATCTTGATCCATTTTCGTTCGACATCGTGCCATTCCCGCAGGACTCCACGGCAACTTATGAGCTAGGATTCAATATCCGCACAAGGAAGGATTCGGGAGATTAATTAATAAAATGCCGAGAGGCTCGCGGGGCAGTAGGGGCCCCACAAATCGTACCGAACAAAACCAGTACATGTCAACTGGTTCCTTGACTCAATATTTTTACTAGTAAATACTATCTTTTTTGCTATCAAACAGCTCGTGGAGACTCGCTCACTGAAAAAATTGTCTAGCAGAGGAGGCCGCACGAGCCATTTGGTAGCTAAAAAGATATGAACGCATTTTTTAGGAAAACTAAGATTTACAGGTTATGCAAGTTTACACACGAAGCTCAACAAAAGCCCTTTCAAGCGATATTAGCCCTAATATGCAGGCGCCCTCCAAAAAGAAGGGCAAGCAGACCCATTACTGGTGTCAAGTATACGGAGTAATATAGCCTTTCATACCGAACAGGGTTCTTGGTATAACTATTACGAGCTAATTCTTAAAAAGGCACTATTTAACCTTATTGTCTGATTAGTTGATAACCCCCGGAATAGGTGCTCCACGAGCCCCTCAGTATTCTATAAGATAGATTATACTCATGAGTCGTTCATACTCGTTTGTTTTTTGCGGGCCTGACCTTTTGAGCTTCTTTTATTCTCTATAAATACAGCAAGGTATTCATTTAGATTACTGCATTACAGTTTATCAATAGCAAACAACAGTCTTCGCTATTATACATTATCATCATTTCTATGCCCATCTTCAGCACCCTACTGTGAACTCCCCTATACAATGGTGCGCATTACTGCTATTGCACTAGCCCCCACGTTTTTTGCTACTTTAGCAGTAGCAGCAACTATTGATAAGAGGATAGTAGGCGGTGAAGATGTTCCGGCCGGTGAAATCAAGTTTATTGTCAGTCTTCGTGATCAGAATGGGACTCATGTTTGCGGGGGCAGCCTGTTAGACAGCACCACAGTTCTTACGGCTGCTCATTGCCTTATCGACGACGAGATCCAAGTTGTCTCTGTGACAGCGGGAACAGTGGTAAATATACTACCCCCCCTTCAGTCTGGTACTTTGGTGCAGCTGATGGAATATGAAGCAGCACAGAGCTAATAATTGCCGCAGTCCACCAAGACGGGGGGAGTAAATGCAACAGTTGCATCTGTCGAGAAGCACCCCAATTACACACCAGGCGCGCCCAGTGATTGCCCAGCGGACTTGCCGTTGCATGAATGTGGCAGACGCGCGGACTTACCGGGCGGTCGGGAAGAAAATGATATTGCCATCCTAAAATTATCAACTCCGATTGAGAAGAACGACAATATTGACTATGCCGGGCTTCCTCCGGCCGGCGGGGATGCCGTGGTCAATTCCACCGGGATAGCTGCAGGCTGGTAAGTGCCATGGCTCAGCACTGCAGCATGTCTGGTATATATGCTAACTGGCAGGACAGGGGCGCACAAATCCCTCTGGAATCAACTGTTCCCAAAGATGGAGAAATGAAACCCATCATCCTAGCTGAAAAACTTAGCAAGGTTGTTCTTGACATTCACGCACGCGAGGACTGTGCCGCCAAGTACAAGAACCAGCAAGTAGGTGATAGAGATACCATAGTATGCGCTGGTGGACAAGGCAAGAATCCATGCAAGGGGGACAGCGGTGGTCCTCTTTTCCACCCGGAAACAAGGGAGTTGCTTGGTGTCGTGTCATGGAGCATCAGCGACAGATACGAAGACGATCTTTGCAACAAGACTCCCACCGTGTTTACCAGAGTTGGCAGCTACATCAACTGGATCAACGACAACCTTGGTTCTAGGCCTAGCTCTAGGCTTGCTGCTGTGAAGCACTGCACACGCCCTGAAAACGACGTGATGCAGTGCTTCAACGCCTTACTGTTCTGCCACGCTCGTGAACTGAGCCCTGACGCACCGGTGTTAGAGCACCTTGAATGCATCGACAGAATACAAATATGCGCGGACCAAAAGACACGACTAGATCAGTGCGTAGCCAACGCGAAGGTGTGCAAAGAACAAGAGAAGTTGCCTGTAGGGGATCTGGTCAACCTTGCTCGATGTGCTAAGAAAGATCTTTAGATGAGAAATATATTTTTAGGGCTCAGCTTAGATTCAAAATAAAAGCAACGATGGGAAGTCAACCATTCCTGTTCTAGACTAGGTGTAGTAGTCTTCGCAGTGTTGAACATAATAGTGTCACGTTATAAGACTTGTTGTTAAAGCATTTTTTTGTCTTGTATTTCCCCTATAAGTTTGTAATAAGATGCCCATTTTCTGTCAGCATATTAGGACTCGCCGACTTCTGGTATTTATAGACCTCTAATCCTCCAAGATCTCTGAGAAAACCAAGGGCCTTTGATACCGCAATGTTGCGTATTGAATTAAATTTTGAACCAACCGTTTCAAGCCTATTAACCCTGCCCTTGTCACATCAGCCAACAACCAACAACCATCAGCTGCAGGCGTAGACACCGAGTCCCCACAGAGTCGATGCCGGACACCAGCACTTTTCCTAGCTCAAGACGTAGGTAAAGATGGGCAACCAGCAATTTATGCCCCAAGAGCACAGAACATGTCGTGATTCTGTAGCCTAGAGATGCTGGCAGGGTAAGCTATTTATGAATAGTGCAGGCTGGAGTCTACGCATGATGCTATCTCATGTTCAACACTACCCCCCAGTCTTTCTTTGTTAGGTAATGAGTCCCGAATGTATTTATTAGGACTGATTCTCAACCCTTCAAGAATGGGAAAGTCTGGCAGTTGCGTGCTGCGCCATCGTCTAGAATAGGTTTCCCAGCAAAAGATTGCCGATCTATTTATAGGGGCTGTTATCACGATCCTAATCCAGGGCGTAATTTTATCAGTCATTTTTGTCTACGAATGCCCAAATTCAGGACTACCACATCCGAACAGAATAACAAGTAATTTGAATCGTGACGGTATAAAAGCCTACTCCACCCACTATTGTCCTCTAATAATACTCATAAAATAAACCCACGAGCCATGTATAACTTGATATCCAGGCCACTCTTGGCCTGTAGACGGCCTTCTTCTTCAACGTATCCAAGCCATTCCGGCCTCTTGTTCAATATCGCTTCATTTCATGGCTGAGATGGGCACGTTCATACTTCATGGTGCCGTCCATATAAATGAATTCTCGTCGGCTTGAATCTGGTAACAATTTCTTCATTGTGCCGACACCCACCATACCAGCTACCTCTTTACAGATCCTTCGCGTCTTGGAAAGTGCAGCCACTGAAGAGTCGGTCTCGTATCTCAGCTCGTCGCCTGAGCAGCCCGGCTCAGACGTCGACTGGTAGATCTCACTATTTCGGGATTAAGAATCAAGACCTTTGATAAGGCCTAAGCTGTCAAATAGGCGAAGTAAATCATCTGGAACGTGTAATCTGTAGGCAGTGTGCTGTGTTGCGGCTGTGATGAGCTCTTTATGGGTGTCCTCAAAGGCCAAGCTATCGCTATAGACGCGTACACTGGGTTCTTTCCGAATATATTCCTCACACGACCTTAACCATCCGTCTACCAAAGCAAGGACAAGACTTAAATTTCCACGATCAACACGTGAGGTAATAGATTGTCGGGTATTAAGAATAAGCTGGGTATTAATAACCGAATATATAGAGCTAAAAGGAGAGATGGTATCGGCTAGTGCAATCAGTTTTCGCCTAGGGTCAAATGCTTGAGAGTATTGGGAAATCTTCGTTCCCAGCTGGATGAGCTTTATCAGAGCCGCTTCTATATCCGGATACCATGTAGGCAGTTCTTGCTTGTGTAGTCTTTGGAGAGGGTTGCGAATCGCCATTCTTATCCCTTCGTCTAACATAGCAAGAGGCGTTGAGCCATAGTTAGAATCGCCATTGAAGGGAGGCATGTTGAGCTAAGGTCCAAGATCGTAAAGCAGCCCAAAAAGATACTCGTAGAAATCAACGGGGCAAGGCCAATTTATGTGACCAGGGCTTGTGATTGAGGACTTGGAACAATATCGTATTCAGCTAATAATTCATTTTAATATTAAAGGTCCTTAGTTCTTCTTCAGGCCTTAAGTGCAGATTACCCTTATTTATATTAAATAGCGGTGAGCAAGCGAGCCCGGAAGCCTAAGGCCTCAACTAGGTCTCGAGCCCTTGTGTAACTATCGTCGGGTTCAAGGTTTGGCCCGTGCCTTATGGCAACGTGACTTCCGTGTAATAGATTAAATACGAGCAAGGTTTAAATGCATGGGTTCACGTGAGGGCAAGATCTATTCATCTCCACGCGGACTACACGACCACGTAATCTCTCCTCGTCACGTAGGCACTGAGCAAAGTGAGTTAAAAATTACCGACACAACATTTGCAAGAGGCCGCTTTATTAGTTCGTGTCCTTGTACTATTTTTACTAAACTTGTGAGGTCCTAGCCCCTAACTCGCAGATGTTTCCAAGAACACAGGTTGGTTTACTAACATTTTGCTTTATGTGATCTATCGAAGATCATGGATTATTTGCGACATCCAGGCTATTATATCTCCCCGGCCTAAATTAAATGTACGACTCTTGATTTCCTACACAGGCAGTAAAATCGTTCAAAACATCACACCCGTTGGCATACTACTGCGTGTGTGGGGTGATATAGCTGTTGCCTTGAATGAGCGACTTGACATTGACAGGCTCCATGAGCCCGTACTTTGTTCGTATAAATAATCGTGATTTTGGGAATGGAAGGCTAAATAAAAGACAAACAAGGTAGTCGTGATCATAAATGAAAACAATTTGACACATCCATCTTATTTTCCAGAAATTGTGGTATATATCCTTGACTATCGCCTATAGATTTGCTAGATTACCTAGTATCTGAGTTGATATGCCAAGATATACCGATCTTTTTCAGTCGAAGTATGGCTAATGCTGCAGTAACAGACCAACTAGAGGCATCCAGCACATTTTGCATGCGAGCATATCCTATACTCGTTATCGAAACCATCATTCTTTATCTGAACACCGAAGGTAGGGGGGGCTGTGTACGATTAGCTTGGGTATATTGCCATATTTAGCAGTGAACTTACAAACGCAACAGTACCAGTCCCTTTTCTTTTTGGTATTTGGCTCTTCAGGAATTTTGGAGGGCTTTCAAAGCTTGAGAGGTTGGTAAAGACTTTTACAGTGAATGTTCTTCCGTGGTTCGGCCTAGACGAGGGTTGGTATGGGAATGAACGGGTATTTATACTCATGACTGTAATGTATAGAAAGTCATGATGCTTGTTGCGTCCATGGTATTTGCTTTCGACACATTCAACCGTTACAGCTAGCTTTTAGTACATAGACAATAGCGACAATTTTGATACGTCACAAAATGATGTATGTTGTTGGCTTGGTGTGATTTACAATACATGAGTCTGTACTCAGATTTCCAAATTATATCCCTCCTCACCTTGGAGGACACCCCCTAGGCTCCAATGAATCTCCTCAAGACAGAGTAGAATTCGTTGAATCAAGGATATTTGTTGCAGGCCACAACCAACTACAGTCGGAGGCAAAAAGTATTTGACCACTTCTGGTACCTGTCCCTCACGCTTTCTATTATACTATATTAGTGTATATCTCCTAGTTCACAAGTATAATCTGGTAGCTGTGATTTAATTCAAGGTTGAATTGGACTTGGGAGCTTGGACGATGCCAGGCGCGGGAAATTAACACGCTAGGTTGGATGGATAATATTGCATCTATGTAACCAGTTTTCGGTTGCTTATACACAACAACTATGGTGCATCGTAGGGTATGTTAGGCCCCATCTTGGCCAGTTCGTCCAGAGGCAAGCTCCTCAACCAAGAATATAGAACGTATAGGGATGTGCCGATATACTAATAACATGAAAACCTCAACACTAATCTGAGACAATGAGACAACACTCACACTATAATCGAGATAATATTATCATGGAGAACAAGAATGGCCTGACAAGAGTGCTAATGCTCCAGTCATCTGTCATGAAAGACAGGAACCAAATCTAGAATTTCTCCATAAAATTCTTTCTCACCGTCCACAGCCTGGCTCGCTTGCCGAATATAAACATGGGTATCGTGGTAATCTGCACGACAAGCTGAATGATCCCCAGCCACATGAAAACCTTTTTCGGACCCTCATCGACCATCCAATGGGAGACAAATAAACCAAACACCAATCCATGGAAGATATTCTTGGCAAAGTTTAGCGTCACGAGTGCCTCGCCAGCATATTGACGATAGCTGTCCACACAAAAGGTAATAGACGTTGTTGAGCCCAGCGAGCAGCCAAAGGAGAGGACGCCAAAGAAGATGGTGGGAACTATCCAGTGGTCCTTTTCCTCTGCTGACCATCCAAAGCCCATGAGTCCAGTGCACGTAGCCAGTGTAATGGGGATTGCCATGACGAGGCGGAACTCGGGCTCATATAACCCACCGTTGCGCGACGACATGGCTCGGACCACTATGTCGCTCACCCTGCCAGCTACAGCAGTTCCTAGAATACCACCTATGAACGGAGAGATGTAGACGAGGCCTGTCTGCAATGAAGTAAAGTTGTACGATGTTGGGTCACGGTAAATAATGGCCATGATTTCGCATATAACCATGAGCCAACCGATGGAGCATGAATAGACGGCCGCGGACCACAGCACGGATGGGTATGCAAAGAGAATAAAGGGGCGCACCATGACCTTGAGCCACTTGTCCTTGTTTAGTCGGCCGTGATATGGCCTGAGTTGTTGTCCGAAAGACTCTGCAGGTTCTTGGCGAAGTCTATGCGTGTATGCTTGGGTGGCCGGGGCCATGCCTGTTGAAACTTGACCCCGTTCCGAATCAATATTGGATGATTTCACGCAGTCGACTTTGCTAGTTTCAACACTCTGGCCAGGTCCATCCCGTTGGCTGCCATGCTCTCCTGGTTGATTCACAACCGGCTGTATTTCGTCAGGCGTCATGGTTGTCGTTGTTCCGCCGACAGGGCCGACGGGCGTCTCCGACTGTCTGCCGTCTTCTTCTTTTCCTTGCCCGACACCCAAAGCAGTAGCGGCATTTTCTTGGCCAGCGGGCGGCATCGCCCTTGGAATTATTGCTCCCGGAGGCTCCGGAGGAGGAATACTCCTTCGCGACGAGAAGTGGCGGAAAAAACTTGGCCGCTTCAAAAGACCCCGTGTTGGTGTCCGATCCCAAAAGGTCTCTGGCACAAACAGCACCAGCAACATGAAACTTAAGCATGCCACAATGGCCACGATACTATACGCCGTTAGCTCCTAGTTCAAGACCTGACAGGGTCAAAATACCTGGTTTCACAAACAAGAATATCCAGCGCCACCCAAATCGCTCAATGATGGCAGAGCTCACGAGGGGAATTAAGTTTTTGCCCCCAAGAAGCAGCAGCGTGTATATTCCAATACGGTACGCTCGCTCGTGGAGGAAGAAGATCTCGGCAATGGTCGCGGATGGTAGGCACTCAATGGGGCTCAGGGAAATGCCTTGGACGATGCGAGCAACGACGAGCGACGGAAAGGAAGGGGACAGCCCGGCCCAAATGCAAGTGCCGATGAAGACGACGGCGCTCGCAAGGTAGACGGGTCTTTTGCCGAAGAGAATGGCGGTTGGAGACGCAACCACTGATCCGACGCCAAGGCCTGCCATGTAGAGACCGACTACTAATGAGACGGCTTCCACATTGACATGGTAGTCTTGGGCAATGTCGGTGAATCCGGGGGCCATGAAGGATCCTATTCCGCCTCCAATCATGCAGTAGAAGCCCAGGGATAATAAGGCAGAGTCCCGCCTCCATCCGGGCCAGTTGAGGGGGTCATTTGCCGACTCGTCGGGCTGCGGATCAAGGATGATAGTACCATCCTGGGTCCGTTTCTTTTCCGGAGCCTGCCGTCTGATGGAGTGTCTATCGGGATCTACAGGGAATCCAGCCGGGATAGACGAATGCGACGTTCGCGCGTGGATGTTTCGTAGACCGAGAGGTTCGTTGCGGTCCGCGGCAAGAAGCAGCACAGAACCTGCGTGTTCAGAGTCAGCATTGTCGCATCTTGGTTGATGTCCGTCGTTATACTAAACATGTGCAATCGGGTATACATGCCTGGAACTTCTATCGTTGTCTTGTCATTGAGAACCCCAAAGCTCCATTTTGAATGAGAAGGCGTCCGCTTTTCTGGCGAGGAGTCGGTGGTGGTGGACTCGTACGTAACTTGTCGTGTGGCAGGAGAAGACATGTCGCAAGGATTTTCTTTAAAAACTTTGAAAATATTCCAAGTCTGCACGGGCTATGTTTATTCTGGTTGCACAGGGTACATGCTCGTTGATAAGGCCCGGATATGCGCATGCTCTGCCGTACGCCTCAGGTCTAGAACGATGAAGATATTATTCCATACCCGGGCTAAAATGGCAAATGCCAAATCGTTGCATTTACAACAAAATACTTTTTTTCGGGAAGCTCGGCTACATAGACAATGGCATGAGCCCATTCGATGAGTGTGCGAGCTGTGACAGCAGCCACGCGCATTGGTCTCGAGGAACATCACCACCCACATGGGATGCGACTTTGCGCGTGATTCTCAACTTGACGCCCACACAATGCTCAATAACAAGATGTAGTGGAGCAGCATGGAAGGGGTCTAGAATTTTTGAAGCGCAAGCCTGGATCGGCCCCGAGTCGATGACACGGTGTTGCAGGTCCAGTCAGTCGCGCAAACTTTATCGGCTCAGAATGTAGCTGAGCGCAGTGTTCCCCGTATAGAGGCAGATTTATGCCCCCTCCTAATCTCACTTGGTATGCACAACGACGGTGGTGCAAGTGTCACCTGTGCGACTGGTGCAGCGAGTGGTGTAGGTCTACCTGGATTTTCTATACGCCCAGATGCGGGCAACTTGTCTCTTTTAGCCAGCTGGATAGTGCCGCCTGCTTATTGAGCTGGTCATATGCACGAGGATCAGTGTGATCAACATTCGTGGGGCACGGGTGGCCGCCTTCGCTCTGGTTGTGTTGGCACAGGTTGGGTGAGACATGAGCTTTCAGCTTTAGCACAGGCCAGTCCGCGGATCGCCAAAACTAAAGCACGTCCGCGCCATATGAAAATGAATCATCACATCTGGTCCTGTTGCCGAGAGCACGAGACGATGTGTTCTGGATTGCTGAGCTGGGGTGGCCCAGACAGACTTTCCATGGACCAAGTTCTCTGGATTGGTCTTTCTAGACTGCTACTTTCCAAATCCTGCGTCCGTTACAACCTCGATTGTAGCTCGGATATCTGGCTCGGTTGAGAGTCTTGCGCCGCAGCCGTATTTACTCTGTTTGTGGTTGGTTCAAAGTATGGAAGGGCCCTTGATACAATGCAACTTGACAGCTTGAGCAAATAGAGTTTAGACTCAAACGGCACTTGCCGCCCTGCCGAAGAGGTGGGTTACACTTGCAAGACTACGGTAGTATAACCGAGAGAAGTGGAGGTTTTGTAGAGGCAGGTTGACATGATTGTGCCCGACCCAGGTCTCTTGAATGGGTGACTACAATTGACTAGTTGGCCAAGTATGGGAGGCAATTATCAAAAGGTGTGTTCGATCTTTCTACATGCCAAGGGCCAATTAGCCTTCCAGTGCTGTCATTGAATTCGCATCGTTTGGTGGAAGTTGGGGCCAAGTGTTCTGACTTGCTACGAACTATGAGGCGAAAGGCGCATCTGGTGGGAGCATGTTCCCAATGAATTGTCGCTTTAAACACTCAAACCATGTTCCTCCATATGACAAAAATTCATCAATTTCTCACAGAACTCTGCGCATGTTTGACTTTAGCGCCAGATGGGTTGAGGAGTTGCTCCATTCTTGTGCCAAGTAAACATCTTGAATCAATATGCACTAGGCATAAGGCAACTCTTACCATCTCAGTAAATTCCACATCTCGTGCGTTGCCGACTGGTGAAATTATTCCCCACGGACGTTTGTTCGTCGTGACGAGTTGCTGGTCTTCTGGGCCCAGAAATTGCCGAGTCTAATCGTGTGTTGCAAGTGCTACATATGTAGTTTTCAGGACAAAACTTGGCGTCGCTCCTGTAGTCACGATAATTTTGCGTTCTTTTTGTGCTTATTCTCAATCGAATTGTGCAGGATCCTTTTTTTTTCATGGTCTGTCCATGAGTTCCTTGTACGTCCGTAATTGTACGAGACGGTTCATCAATACTGGCTGACTACACAAGCCACGGTCAAGGCACGATATCATCTTAGCCAGGGAGGTCTGTTGCTGGCGATGCCACCGTTGAAATGTGAGATCAATATGGCACAAGGCATATTTGAGCGCCCACCGTCGATATTTGAGGAAGTAAGACGCATGGTGATGGAAAGGGAGGAACTCGATGCTACTTTGACAATTGAAAACGCAGCCCACATGTGTTGCCAAGGCCATGAAATATGGTAGAAACAGGCGCGGTAAATGTTCTTTTTGCAAAACTCACAGCTTCGCGATTGTCAAAATTTGCTCGCATCTTCAAGTAGTGTCGGCGGGATTCATAGCATTGGGACAATTAGCCCAACCCTTACTTCTAGGGAACTCGTGAGTCGTCATCGCAGGCATGACTCAACCAAAGGAATCAATGGCTGTGTTCGATCTACGGGAGACACAACCGTCCATCCATCGAGTCCCAACTGATTAAAGCCGCGCTGTCAAATGTCAACTGCAACCAAACTAGCTATTGGTCCGTTATGAGCAAGTATGAATCACAGTGAATCATTTAAACTAATACCGTTTGATCCTAGCTGCCTATGCAACAGACTTCAAAGTATGTTCGACAAAGGACCCGCCGAAGCTTGCCTGGAATAGGTCAATTCTCACCTTTAGCGACGATCACCGGTCACATGCACATGCAGCTTACTGCACAACATCAAACCCAACGACCGACATTGTAAAGGAACCAAAAACCCCATCCAAAGCAGCGTAATTCTCTCTACGCAGTACCTCCACATTATGATACCAGGAAACAAAATGCTAGACAGCAATCTCCTTGACGTGCTGGGTAACCAACCATCCCTGCACAAATTATACACCCAGATAGCATCCATCTACGCCGTCACCGGTCCCGAGGTCCACGGTCACATCATCAATACTCTTAGAAACGGACTCGAAAGATTAGCAGAGAGCTTTCCATGGCTCGCAGGCCATGTCATCAACGAAGGGGCCAGCGAAGGTGTCACGGGCACTTACAGGATCATACCTACCGACAAGATCCCGCTCGTCGTCAAGGATTTGCGCGACGACGCCTCAGCACCAACCATGGCCGCGATGCGGCAAGCCAGGTTTCCCTTTCGCATGCTGGACGAGAGCGCCATTGCTCCATGCATGACCATCAACATGCCCGGAATGCCCATCGGCCTAGTTGACGACCATGGGCCGGTTTTTGCCGTCCAGGCAAACTTCATCCAAGGCGGCTTGGTCTTGACCATGGTCGGACAACACAATGCCATGGACATGGTCGGGCAGAACAACATCATCAAGTGGCTGTCACGAGCTTGCCACGGCGATGCCTTTTCACAAGAGGAACTGGCAGTCGGCAACATGGACAAGAGCCAAAGTGTTCAACTCCTCGACGCCTCGTGGGAGCCCGGAGCCGAGATTGAGCATCAGCTGCGGAAACCGCCCGTTGCAGGATCCGAGGAGAGCACAACGTCTCCAGGCACACCTCCCAGATTATCTTGGAGCTACGTCAATTTTCCCCCGGCGTCGCTGAAAGGCCTCAAATCCGAGGCGACGGCCACCAAGCCCGCTAACTCGGCCTTTGTGTCCACCGACGACGCCGTCTGCGCATTCATCTGGACATGCCTCTCCCGAGCCCGCGCAAACCGCCTCCCCGCCGAGGCAAGTACCACCTTTGCGCGGGCCATCGATGTACGCTCACGGCTGGGCCTACCGGCCACGTATCCAGGGGCCCTCACCAACATGACGTACAACCGGTCGTCGGTGGGAGCAGTGGGTGCACAGTCGCTGGGCTCCGTGGCATCTGATCTTCGCAAACAGCTCGACTCCAGCGTTGTAGACGTGGCATATAACACCCGCGCCCTCGCGACGTTTCTCAGCCGCTGCAAAGATAAAAGCCAGGTCGTCATCACTGTGTGTGTGGATGCTTCGTCGGGCGTCATGCTCAGCTCATGGGCTGGCGTTGATCTTTACGACCTGGACTTTAATCTTGGGCTGGGACGGCCCGAGGCAGTGCGCCGACCGGGCTTCCTCCCTGTTGAGAGCTTGATGTACATTATGCCCAAGTCTCCGCGTGGTGAGATGGCGGTGGGCATGTGCGTCAGGGACGAGGACTGGCAACGACTCGAGGAGGATGAGGAATGGAGCAAGTTTGCCGAGTTTATCGGGTAGCTGGCTGCATTTACATGGCGAATTAGGCATTTGAATGAAGAAGAGTCCAGTTTAGACCAAGACGTGGTATTCGTTGGCATTTGTAGGAAATGTTGGGGCCATTATATTTTGTTCGTCTTTGCGAAGGCTATAGTTTCGATGCCGGGTCATCTACTCGCAGCCCCGTGCGATATGACAAACTACCGTGCCACACTACCACGCAGTCTCCGGCCATCATCGACCTTGTCAATGAGAAAGTACCTGCGCAGCATGTCGCAAGCGGCGTCACCAACTCTATTTATCTAAAGCTGAGCACTCGTGGTGTTTAGCACAAGCTCTTCGCCTCGCGGCATTCTCGAGACGTACAAGTTCAGCCGTAGAATTCCCATCAGGAAACCGTCGGAATAGTTACACACTTGCAAGTCTGGGCTTGGGGTGGGAGACGGACGTTGGAGTTGATTCGACAAGTGTTCAATAACGACAAGTTACAACACGCGCGTCAGGCCCGATGCCGCCTGCTGCAGGGACACAGAACTCTGCTGCGTCCTGGAGCAGAGTGCGCTCTAGAACACACAGCACGATGCTGCTCTGGCTGATGCTCTCTATCAGTTCATCTAGTACTGCATTCGGGGCAGCCTTGCGCGCATCTCCAGGGCTGGGCTGACCGTTTGTGTGACCAGAGTTTCCGCCACATCAAAACAGTACGGCATCGAGACTCCTTACTCGGCATTGTGGCCGATCGAGAGGCGTCAGGCTAAAGGCTGTTGGCATGGTCCCAGTATTGTTGCCCACTGAGGCTTTCAGCTTTTGGTTACCAATGTATGAGTTGAAAGTTGAGGGCGTCAGTGGCTTGTAGCTCCACAGCGAGGATATCAACCCAGTTAACCCTCATTTTTCTGCCATGTCGATTCTTGCATGTCGAGCCGTCTACATCCGCCGTGTATCATGACACTCGAGGCCGTGTGCGGCACAAGAACACGGCTCATTCTTCTTTCTCTGCGACGGCGGCTGATGATGTCCTGGTAGGTGTTTTGCCTCGATGTGCGTGGTGTTGTGCCAGCGCGCCGCGCAGCAATGAATGCTGTCTTGTTGCAATTGACTTTTACCAGTGTCTCTCCTTTTCAGCTGGGCGAGTTTGCCAACTCTATTTTTAAAGTGTTGTCGTGGGCATTTTTTACCCGAGCCTCGCTGGTTAACTCGGCTAGCGAGGCCTCATAGTCGATTCTGCCCTGTAGACATGTACCGCGCTGTTGTACCTTCATAGTCTCCCTTCTGTCTCCAAGCCAAATGGTAACAGAAATCCTCGAGTTCTTTGTGAGCTGATGACAGGGATAAACTTGAGCAATCAACCGAGTAGAGTAACAAAATGCCAACAGTCAACGCCACCAAACTCCACCGCATCAACGTACCAGATAAACAGCCACAACTTGGCCACTGGTCGGAATTGAATATTCGTAATTACTACCATGGCTACTCCGTAGATTCCCCCGCCATCAAGATTCGGTGTTTTAATACCAAGCACGGGATCCTCGATGCGACATCAAGGCATGATCAAAGGCAGCAGCTACAGCTCGTCGTTCAAGGATCGATACAACGCCTGGTTTTAGCACATAGCCGATGGCATCACCACCAGGGCTTCACCCCCTCAAAACCTGCTGCATCGCTCACGGCCAAGCCAGTCTATCGTTTGTGGCGGCTTAGTTCGTGCGCGATCGTGCATGCCGAGCCGCACTTGGGCCGCGGCACATAATGTTCCCTCTGACAGCTCCCTTTTTTCATGTGGCCAACTCGTGTGCCTCCCTCTCAGGCGGCCCAGTGGGCATCTCGTGAACCTGAGACCAGTGCTGCCCATCGTGGGCGTGGCCAACACTGCTAGGAGAGTAAGCCGGCCCCGGCGCTTGAAACGGCGTGGAAGCGACGCTCTCTGTTACGCTGGAGACTGGATAACCACTGGCGTATGAATACTCCGAGACAAACGGCTGCTGGGTAGGACTGAAAGCCCGCTTCTTTCGCCGCCGACGAAGGAGCATGAAGGCTGAGCCGAGAATCGCCAAGCCAGCTGCAAAGGTCAGCTTCACTCGTTCAATGTGCAGGCAGGTCCCCGCTTACCGACTCCTCCGATGACGCCTCCTACAATGGCGCCCACTGGCGTTGACGATGAGTTTGGCGGTGGTGGTGGCGGCGGCGGCGGCGTCGTCGTCGTCGTTGTACTGGTCGACGTGGTGCTGCTGGTGGTTAGAGTGTAGCCATTAGTTGTCGTGCCACTGCTGGCTGTCTCAGTAGCATGATAGTAGATGGGAAAAGTTGTCGCGGCAGTCGCACACCTCTGAAAGGTGTATCCGAGGAACGACGAGTCTGCGTATTGAACGATTGCACAAAAGGGGCTTGCTGTGTTGGAGCTATGTTCTCAGAGCATTTAGCAATTTCACATTACTCTCATGGCAGGGTGTATCGTTGATGCCATGTTCTTACCAGTATAGGGTATAACTCAAGTCGGCGCCGCTTGCTGCTGCCGAAGATTCTAGGGGGAGACAAGTTGTCGGGAATTTGCATGGACTTGTCGTTGTACAGCAGCCGAAAGCCTTGTATTGCGAATAGGTAGCGCAGAAATAGGAGCCTCCGCAAGTAAATGCCTGGTCTGGGAACATGTCAAGGTTAGCTCAAGGACTCAAGACACGCGTGAGAGTCTTGACCGAAAAACCACCACGTACTGGCGTCGCCATATAGATATCCGCACGTGTGAAGCTCTGCTGCCGAAGTCGTCGCGCGTCCGAATATTGCTAGATGGTCATGAGGGACAGCAGCGATCGTCGGGCTAGGTCCGGCTTGATATGTTTCTGGTGGTTGTGGCTCCGTGGTCGGTTGGAGCATGGATCTGGCGCTGGCCAGAGGATGCTTGCGCGATACGACGAGTGCGACGAGGGCATAGCGTCGCGACGAAACCATTTCGTTGCTGTCTGGTACGCGGGTAAGAAGTAATATGCTCCCAATCCGCGATGGGTTGATCTGCGAATTGTCACAGCGTATGTGTCTAACTTTATAATTTCCATCTTGTACGCGCTTCGTCTACATAGCAGCTGAACCACAGGTGCCGCCACACGCGTAGATGGCCTACCCAAAGCCAATAGTAGTAAACGAATATTGGGAACGTTGGTGCGTTGGCTTCAAGGCGTGGCCACCATTGAGCGACAAGTCAGGTAGTTGACCATTGGTCTAGAACCAGCTGAGCAAGTCACCAAATCTGAGACGCCTCCAACAATTCCCACAAATGTATTGCTACATCTAGATCATCTTGCTACACATTGTGCAAAGTTGTTATATCCGTATAGAGAAATCTGCTTTTCTTGGTAAGCACCCAGATAACCATTTCCATCACTCATAGGGGTGGGTTGAGAGTCTTGGGCCAACCTAGACATCTGGAGTTGATTTCGCCTGCTCTTCCTTGTGAAACGAGCTGGTGCCGATAGCTGCTAGGTTTGCACTCTTGCTCGGTAGTAGTGTCCTAGCTATCTACACAACCAGTTACTTGGACTATTACACATAAATATATATGAAAAAGTCGAAGACATCTACTTGTTAAACAAACGTCACTCGTTAAAGCTGGAAGAAGTTTGGCAACGTATTATATCTTGGCCACTAGAAAACGACACCTCTAAGAGTTACACACGATACCTCTCTCCACAAACCGAGCCCCATCACGCGCTCCCACAAATCCATCTTCAGTATTGGAAGAAGTTCGTGGGGCCCAACATGACATCTTGATAGGACGATTGTAGAAACAATAAGGGTTAACGAGACCTGATGTAACTTGTGCTTAGAGGAGGAGAATGGCAAGAAAGGCGCCAAGGACAGCCCCCAGTCCAACCTTTGCCTTATCGGCAGGACCTGGACTCGGCGGGCTTGTGGGTTGCTCACCCCCAGGAGACTGCTGGGCAGCGCCGCCACCTTGCCCGCCCGGTTGGCCCGGTTGGCCCGGTTGACCAGGTTGACCAGGTTGCTCAGCGTTGGCTGGGCCGGCTTGCCCGGGTGGCTGAGCACCGGCAGGAGCGGCGCCGGCTTCACCAGGCTGCTCAGCAATGGCAGGAGCGGCGCCGGCTTGCCCAGGTTGCTGAACATTGGCAGGACCGGCTTCTCCAGGTTGGTTAACAGGCTGAGGTTGTCCGGCGCCTCCTCCCGGCTGGCCGCTGGCCGGCTGTGGCAAACCACCGCCGCCTCCGGGCGCACCGGGAGCGCCTGGAGCACCTACGGGACCACCACCACCAGGAGCGCCTGGAGCACCAGGGCCGCCTCCGGGAGCACTACCTCCAGGAGCACCGGGAGCACCGGGAGCACCAGGACCGCCTCCAGGACCACCGCCACCGGGGGCACCAGGAGTTCCGGGACCACCTCCGGGACCACCGCCGCCGGGGGCACCAGGGGCACCAGGACCACCTTCAGGACCACCGCCGCCGGGAGCACCGGGAGCACCGGGAGCACCACCGGGACCACCACCGCCGACCGGGCCAGGCAGACTCTCGGGCGGAGTACCTCCAACCTCGGGAGGAACTGCCCCTGGTGGACCACCCTCAGGCGGCTGTGGTACCGGCTGCGGTACAACAGGTGGCTGTGGTACAGCCTCTGACGACTCAGGCGGTGGTGCAGCCGTTGTTTGAGCTTGCGTCGGTCCAGGCGATGTTACTCTAGTTTTCCTCTCCGTTGTAGCCTGTGTTCTGGTGCTCCTCGATTTAACGCTTTCGGAGCGAGTACGGGACTTGCTTCTCTCACTTGTAGACCTTGCTGTAGGCTTGCTTGTCTGGTGTTTAGAGCTGGTGAGGGGACGCCTGCTGCTCTCACGCTTGGTGGTTGAGACAGGTTTCTTGCTGGTCTCATGCTTGGTGCTTGGGGGAGGCTTCTTGCTGCTTTCATGCCTAGAGCTTATAGCAGGCTTGGTAGGCTCATGCTTGGAAGTCGGAGGAGGCTTGCTGGTCTCATGCTTCAAGGTGGTTGTTGCAGGCTTCTGGCTCTCTGGGTTCCAGGTTGGGGCAGGCTGCTTGCTTTCAGGTTTCCAAGTCGCAGCAGTCTTGTCACCGTCATGTTTTTGGTCTGGAGCAGGATTGATAGTATCTGGCTCAAGTTAGAATACTTGTAGAAGTTTTGCTAACATCAGCAAGAGCCTTACCAGCGGCAGCAAGTCCAGAGGCCAGGTAGGCAGCAACCACAAGCTGAGTGACCTTCATTTTGCCTCGTGGTCTCGGAGCAAGATAGCAAAATGAGCTTGGGCAAATGTCAATGAACTTGACGAAGTGGGTGACTGAAAAACTCGCAAGTTGTCACAACTTGTTGCCGATAAGACGAACCATATGGTAATTTAGGCCTACATGCCCTCACATCTTTATACTCGTCTGAGGAGCTCGACAGGCAGATGAGATAGGCCTGTCTGCTACCGGACTGGGACATCACATAGCTTAGTCCACGTTGCATCGAAATACAAGGCAGTAAAATCATCTACCGGAAACAGAATAGAATACCCGAAAACAGTCAGAAAATTTGCGAAGATCTATACTAATATGCCCGGAAGCGTAGATTTGGTATAAATTGGCTACAGTGTCGTTGATGTGCTGCGGGCCAGCCCTGCGTCCACGTCGGGTGAAGTGATGGCTCTCGCCTCAATGACTGGTGCAAAGGCCACGCCAACATCTTGGAATGTCAGCCACTTCTAAAAGTGTTGAAGAGTCTATTCAGTCAGATACCAAAAGCAATGGTCTTCAAAGACAAAATGTGCAGTGGAGCAGGAGCGTGGTTATGGCGCAAACTCAAAATACCGCCGATGGCTACGATAGACTTTCGGAAAAATCTAAACTCCAAGATTTAAAGAGAGCCAAACTAAAACTTTCGTCCGTAGGTTTAGCAGATGGAGAAGGCCGTTAAAAGTTAATTATTGGACCTCAGGGGAGCCCGACACATGAGTTGCTCGCGGCCTTGAGGCACCCTACAACGTTAAGCCAGGCAAGGAACAGAAAGGATTCATTCTGAGAACTAACCAAATAACGAACATAGAATGGGAATATTCCCATTGTTAAGCGGTCGCTCGCGTTGCCCATTGTGCGCAGCGCCAAATAGTGAGTCGGAAGGCTAACATAATGGTGCTCAACGTGCAACACAAGGTTCCAATCCGTCAAAGTTAGACGATGACATAACAGGAACCAGTTTCGGGCAGGTCGAATTATTTATCAACCATTCGTGGAAACGGCATCACTTGTTGTCTTGGCCTGCTCTCACGCTGCGTCTGGCACAGATGGAGCTTGGTCTGATGAGCGGCGAAAGCGTTCCTATGACGGAAGAAATTCAATACCCTAGCCACGAGATGGCTCAGGCTGGTATCGGAGCACGAAATCAGCAGTGGCTATTTCGTATTTAATCACAATTCATACGAATGCAGGCACATAGTTTTGATACGTCCAAGACAAGATCAGACGTTGGCGTTACCGCTTTGATCAGTTCGTGAGGGGATCCAGTATGCGGTCTGCTGAAAGCAACGGACAGCACTCAGTGTAATGAGTGGCCGCCTCATAGTCCAAATCATCAGATAGATAGTGGCATAAGAAAATAGAGACCGAGAACGGAGTCTCAAATATGATTTGCGGCCATCGGATGATTTCGGTAGCAAAGGAGTCGCGGCGTGATGGAAAACAGACGAGATAGTACCATGTAAAACGCCATGTCAGTTCTCTAAGCATACAATGCATTTCCCATATCAGATGACGACCGGAATGATGGCTGGATTCTGTCAATCCGATGATGCTTCGCTACTAACCAAGGTAAGAGCGTGGCTAAGCCCTCAAAGTTTATGCATCAAGATTGACTTTTTGTCCACCAATCCTCACCCAGCACACTAATCTCGCACGGGAGCTTCACAGATCTCTTCGAGTCAACCAAGGCGTCGCTACAAAAGACACAAATCTGAGCATTGAAGCGTAGGGCTTTAGCATGCAATTCAAGGAAAGTAGTCAAGGATTGAAACTAAGTAGGCTAGACGCTTTTCAAACACCTTCTCGGAACATTTAGCCACATGTGCATTCACCACAATACCTCCGTTGGGATGTAGTGTCCCCCCACTCACAAACTGACTCCCATTCCCTGCGAGGAAGATGTAGCTGGCCTGGCTGGCCAATTCAATCCATTGGCGTCCAATTCCCCAACCCATGTCCTTGCTGCCTAGGCTTTTCCATTCCTGACGCAACCGATGGGGTCCAAACTGGTCCAGCGGCAACGGCATTCACCCGTAGGCCCTTCTTGATCAGATAATTGGACAAGGAGCGAGTGAAGGCGATAATAGGAGCCTTAGTAGTGGCGTAGTCGAGTCTGCTGGGAACGCCAATATACGAGTCTACCGATGCGCTATTGCTGATGCAGCCGTTCTTGGCCATAAAAGGCAAAATAGCCTTGGTTAGATAGGAGTAGGAATCGGTATTAACGCGGAAGGTAGAAGCCCATTGTTCTCTAGTACGAGTTAGCATGTGAGAAGGGCAGTTGATTGAACTGGTGAATAGACATACTCGGATATGTCGAAAATAGTGCCCTTTTCGTTTCGAGCAGTGGCATTGTATACTAGAATATCTACCATGCCAAATGTGGATTTGATCCTTTCTGCGACGTCGGTGCAGTTGATTCAGTGGCTCAAGTCGCTGGAAATGAGGACAATCTCCCCTCTATTCTTTTCTATTTGGGCTTTTGTGTGCTGCGCATCTTCTTCGGCGGGTAGGTATACAACTGCCACTTTGGCCCCTTCCATGGCAAGAATAATTATCACAGATCGAGGAATTCCAGAGTCTCCGCCAGTAATAAGAGCATTCTTGCCTGTGAGCTGGCCACACGGGACGTAGGGGGCTTGCCCTTTCTCAGTATGCTAGAGGTGGACCTCGGTTGGCTTTGGTGTCATCAATGTCTCGCTCGAGACCAGGCTTGTCTTCGGTGGTGTCGCCTTATCACCGGATGCTGGGTGGGAGACTTTCTGAACGACTTCTTTTGGGGTTTCCGTTGTAAATCGAAATGTCGGGGTTTTATTTCAGAAATAAGTTTGACTGATTGACAAGTTTCTTTGACTGGATTTAAACAACCCTCGCGGTCGACATTGATCCTTTTAACATCCACTTATCACGAGCGTGATAACGCGGGCTGGCGTAACCTGCTCCCAAAGCCATACTTCCTTGACATAAGGAGAGGCGAGAGACAAAGAAAAGATTTACTAAATGATATCATCCTGTGTCTCGAGAATGGAAGATTATGTGACAACTTGATGTATGGGCGACGTAATGAGTACATAGAGCATGAATGGCGAGACACGGTGAGTTGTTTGCGGTGACGAACACTCTCCGAGCAGATGGCACCCGGTACAACCACTTCAAATGTAAACCGTATTGTAGGAATCTCAATATGACGTCGCTGTATGACTGACAGACAATCATGGTGGTCTCGGCTGCTTGGGCCACGTCAAGGACATGATGGTGGTGATTTCTTGAGCTTGGTGTAAGCATGTCATTATGACACCACGATTTCCACCGCCGCCGCCTGCCTATGTTGAAGGCGGCAACAAGCATAGACCGAGACACATCTCCCGTCTAGGCAACGTTCTTGACCCGCGAGTAGACAGCAGCAAGCTGGGAGATACCGCCCAGGCACAATTTGGATCCGACGGTGGAAAGCCAAGTTGCCCAGCGGCAGGCGCCATATAGATCTGTCTAAGCCATGCCCCCTATTTTCTAGTTTGTAATTATATCTGTCGTTTGTCTCTCTTTCAAAGCTTGAGAAGGACGTATCGCACATAGGTGCCTTGCTGTTGTGTTATACAATGCGACCTAACCCCGGTTTCTGGAGCGGCGACTGATGAAGCCCGGACGTAGCTGGTTGAGTCTACCATAGAGCCGGCTCTCATTATTCAGTTCAGGGGATAAAGACCTGATTCTCTACGAATCCGATGAGCGGAGGCATATCGCTCTTTTGGCACTGTCCGCCCCGGGAAAATGTGCATCATCTTGATATGTTGATAAGTTACATAAGTACCTGGTAGTAATTTTATGCGGGACATGTTGCTCAGAAACTTGAATGGCATCTGTCTTCTAGTCAATTCCAGATAGGGCTTCTTGTTCCATGTTGTTGAAGAGCCAATTGCCCGAGGCGAATGTCTCGAGTACAACATCGTCCGGATTTTCCGAGTCTCCTCGGTCAAGCATGGTCTTAGGTCCGCTCCGGTCCTTGGCGGTGCTCTTTACCACGATCAAAGGATCAAAGTCGCCTTACAAAGGGGCTACAGATCGAGCCAAGTCGAAGTTGACAGCACAAAATGCTCTGTGCAAGGCGTTCACCCAACATAACCGCAGCCGGTTTCGGATCACGCTGCCCGAGTTCTAAAACTCAGACAGGGCACGCGCTGGACAGACAAGTGTCTCGCTACGGTTAGCAAAGACTTTCGATATGACGATGTTGGGGGAAAGCATGCGGCAGATTTATCGCGGCAACGTGCTGCCTTGACGGCTCGCAACGTCACGATGCTGCAACTCCTGCCCCGGAGGACTGGTCTCGCAGGCGACAACCCCATGTGCACATCTTTGCCTGTCGAGGTTTTTGGTCTGCGATATTCGGGCCAATCATGCTCGTCGGAGCTGTCTCCGGAGGTAACTGATTGCTGCACCCAAGAGCTTGCGACGTCCACCATAGGCATTAATCCCACGGACTGGAACTCCCTTCCCCACATTGCCGTCTGCGATTTGTGCATCATATTCCCTTTATTCGGGTTTTTAGGGATAGATCGTATACTTACACTCGTCGTGTGATATGCTGCTTTAAGCATCTGTGATGTCACAATGCCGTGGCTGCTGCGCATCAGGAGCGATCTCCGAGGGACAAATGACCTTGCTGCACTATGAGGTCAGACCGTCGCCTTTTTCAGATTCTAGCAGCCTCTTTGGGCACGGTCAATCCAATCAGCTGTGCTGGAGGCATCCGAGTACGTAGTTGCAACCAAAACCTAAAAGGCAGCGTTCCCGCGTCAGGGGCTTAGCGATGGCGCAGGCTGTCCGAACCAGGGGTACGCTCTCACAGATGTTCTCTAGAATGACGAGTCATAATATCTGTTCAGTGGGTTCCGTCATCTCTATTTCTACCGCCGCCTTGGCGGGTCAGCTGGGACAACAAAGCAGCCATGGCGAACTGTGAGGAACTTGTCAGTGCGGCATTGAGCCCGGCTTTATAGCCAGATGGAGCCGTCGACAAAACAGTAGCATCTTGAACTCGGACCATCCTCCGGCTTTTTCAGACCAAAGCGTCGCCTTCATGCAGTATTCAAGTTTTCCGGGTGTTGATCATGATGGAATACATTGGAATCTGTCCATCCGAGCTACTCCGCCCAGCGACATAAATACAAGGTGGTGACCGAATAATTCTACGTATTTCCATTTCAATAAGACACTACGACAATCATATGCCTTAGCTTTCTTTCAAAGGGATACCAGATCAAGCCCACTTGCTTCAAAGCATCAAGGTCCGTTGTGCATTCATTTCAAGGGACGGTATAGTCATGAAGCCGTCAACTCTTCCATATGACAACAGCGAATTTTATGGGATAAAAACGCCACAAGGCAAAATCATGGTGTCTGCCAATCTCCTCATGGCCTCTTACAACACGACCGCTGAGAACTGGAGACTGCCGTCGTATCAAAATAAGCACACCAAAGGCATCATGCCCACGACATATCCGCCAGCAATCAAGGCCAGCCCCAACGTTCCTGGATACGTGGCCCCAGTAGGCACCGGGCCACTGCCGTTACCGTGCCCGGAAGCTGGCACTGCTCCATTTGGTAGTTGCTCGTCCGTCGAGACAAGTGAGCCGCGGCCAGCTAATCCTCCCGCTTCTTGTGGCAGTCTGGACATCGCCACGGAAACGATACCGTCGTCTCCATGTCAATACAAGATGAGTTACACCCCGCCGGGGCGTGCTTTTCCGGCTCCGTGGCATCCTAGACGTCCAATATCGACTCTCGTGTCAAACAGTCACAGCATGGCTCCTGCGACGGGTCTGGCACACAAAGATGACGAGCCAATTCCGTCATACATGAGTCCGCAGGCTATCAGAGCAAGAAACATTATACTTTTGTCCCCTGGAACAAAAAGACCCAACAAGGTCGCTCGCGTACCTCGACCCAGCGCCCGGCACGTATCCTAGGCCGAGAATCTCCGTTTGCTAAAACGACGGAAGCCAGACAGGTGATTTTGTAGTAAATGTGTGCGGAGGGGGATACGGTCGAGTTGCTAGCAGAAAATTTACTACATTTAGCTTGGAGTCGGAGGAGTTTTTCTGCTTTTTTTCCTTCCTTTTTCTTTCTCTGTTTTTTTTTTTTTTTTTTTTTTTTTTTTTTTTTTTTTTTTGGCAAGGGGGACTGGTTCGTAAATTCTCAATGTACGGTCCTAACCCGTCCCCTCTTGTTTGTAGAGTCAAGCATTTTTGACATAGTCTCTTAATGAATATCGGAGCGTTTTCTATTTCTGTGGTATCAACGCCAATCTTTCAGTTGTGTGTAGTAATAGCTACCGTGCGTTGGAACACATTTTGTCCCCCCTCGCCAATGCAACAAGCCAAAACCTTGGGAATCGATGCAAGATGAGACGCCTGCCAGAAACGGTACCAATTTGGACCAAACGCTAAAAATTGCACTCATCTCCCACGCCAAACGTGCTTCAGGGCGACCCGGGCTTCCCGCAGCGCACCACGGCAGGAGAGGTGGAAGGAGTTTCGTGAGCTTGCCCCATGACGACGGGTCCATCATGAAGGAGAGAGGGCAATGTTTGCAAGATGACTACATTGCCGAGTCCGCTTCGGATATATGTCACGCAGTACCCGGATTCGTCAGGTTATTTGAAGCTGGTTCCTGGCAATATTCGCTGCCGGATGTGCGGAGCCCATCTTGGTAAGCAGCAGGCGCGCATGGTCGGTCGCCGACATTGTGATATATGGCGATGCCATCCGTACGTTGCCTTCATCCGGGCTCGGAGATTGTTGCACGGGCATCGTTTCATCCTCCTGTCCAGTGTGCTGTAGGCGTAGGTGCACCGAGCTCATGGACCTGCCCTCGGTTTCCATACTCAGACCAAGCATACCGGCAGTGCAAACGAAATAAGGCATGAGTCCAGACACGCGGCGAAGAGTAAAAAGGTCATCGTAGGACTGAGTCAGGGCCAGGACGGACTGCGCAGTCTCTTTACATATCGTAAATGGCCGGATGTCGGTGCTTCCCATGTCCTTGCCGATGAGGGGCCGGAAAGCACATAGGAGGCAGTAGTGGTAATATATGCTGCATCATCTGTTAGGTGCCTGTGCCCCTTTGCCGGCGTCGTGTGCTTACTGGGCGAATAGTACAAACGGCGTTCTGCCGCAGTCACTTTCGGCATAGGCAAACAACTCCTTGTACCAGTCCAGACACTTCTCGTAGAAGGCCCTCACGTTCGCCGGGCCACTTGGGATGTTTGAGCGAGCCAACGCTATGAAATTGTACACCCATTCGGTCAACTCAAAGATCTTGCCCGAGATGATCTGCATACCAAGCATCTGCAAGTTGCGCCCTCCTGGGGTCAAGGCTGCGATCCTGTTACCCAGCAGACTCTCGACTAGTTTGTCTCTGTCTTCGAGTACGCACCTGGACTAGACCCACGACCGCCGTTTCTGGCTTGCATAATCGGATGTAGCGTATTCAAGATGGATACATGTGCTTGAGCGGCGGAAAGCTGGGCGGTAAACACGCGCCCCGTGGTCAAAAGTAACATGCTGCAAAACATGTCAAATCGCCACCCAACACAAGTCATGGCATCTTTTATTCACATACCGAGACAGCGACACCGCCCCATGGTAGGTAATGTCCAGCACTCTCTCGTATTGCTTACTCTTGTTGCGAACCGAAGACTCGGGGTCGTGATGCTCTTTAATATTAGCGATGAAATTTTCCGCATACTCCTGAGCCTTGGCTTCTTGTCCACACCGCAGGTGATAGAGTGAGAGCACCCCGATTGCTTGTATATCCGGAAGGACCTTGGACCGGTGTTTGTGCAGCTTCGCATTAGCCTGGTCAAAGAAGGTTTTGCTCCCAATCCACCCAGATGGGAGAACTTCAAGTTCGTCCTTGTCTTCGTTTACCAGGCGACATGCCAGTGCCAGGATGGCGCACACCAATGCCGAGGAACAAAACTGGCTCGAGTCACTGTAGAAGCTCTGCAGAAAAAGATCGTGAGATAAAAGGCTGAAAGGGAGGTAGTCCCAAGAAAAAATGGCGTCGATGAGGTGATGTATGTGCGCCTTTGTCCATCCTATCTGGGTCCACCTATCCTGATGCCAGTGAGACACGTAGGCGTCGAGTGGCCGCGGGGGAAGAGTCAGTATAGTTGACTGGTCTGAGTCGGGCGGCAGCCCGTTGTTCCTTGAAGTAGGGCGGCAGTGCTTCCACGAGCGCAATTGTTGGAAACATGAGCTGGGAGAGTCGTCGCTCGCTGTGCCAGGCGGCGTCGTGGCACTGGTTTCCTTGCTTTGGACAAGTATGCTCCCAATGTCTACGCCACGCCGAATCTTTTCAAAGACTTGTTTTGCATCTGCTTCGTTTGAGGCTTGGAGAAGCCCATGGAGTTTCTCATACATGGTGTTGGTCGCTTCCATCTCCTCAAATCTCCTCTTGATGGCTTGCAAATGTGTCTCGCCCGACCTGTCCGTTTCGTAGAGACAAGTGTCGCCTTTGGTCGCGCAGCTTGCACACGTCGGGCGCTCCCCGCTACACTATTAATATGGTTTCTTAGCCATCAAGCAAGATTGCAAAGAGAAGTCACCGCCATACTTTGGACTTTCGCTTTTGACAAGCCAAGCAAGCAGATTTTGTAGGGTGTTTGCGCCGCATTGATGTCGATGCTGGGGTTGGGGGTACCGGGCCACGCCGACGGTCTTCGGGCTTACTCGGGAGTAATCGTCGAGGTTGGTGGTTTTTGGAGCTGCTCTGCCTCCTCTTGCGTGCCATCATTCTAGAGGTCCCTTGTTCTGACTCGGGGCCAAAGAGGATATACAAGGGTCCGAACGGGGATCTCAAGACAGCGGGAGAGAAATGCGCCGGATGCGTTCGAGTCTGGTGTCGATCTGTGACCCCACAGCACCCCCATTTTTCTACCGTCAGGCTCGGTGCCACCAGCTGGTGGATTGCGGGGCACGAGTTGCACTACCAGTTGACTTAATCACTGCTCGCGCCCCGGCACGGGCCGCACGTGATACAAAGAGCTGGTCAAGTCATGGCCAACAGAACGCGCAGCGATTCCCCGACGTTCCATGTCATGCCAGGCTCTAGTCACCGAGACCATTTCGTAAAAAGAGATGCTACTACCAGCTACTCAACCGCCCGCCACACTTGCCTTTTGATTTGTCCAAACCTAAAACTAATTGTAGCTAGGGTACGCGAATCAGGACGACGAAGAACGATGCCGAGAATAGCACACGTGTCGGCTCAAAATGACGAACACAAAGCACAACTGTGGGATCAAAAGGTATCACGAAAAGTCCCGGTGTTGGAAAGACTAACCGCCAAGGTCGCTTTGAATCTCCGGGTGCGCCATCTTCCTGCTATGCAAATCCGCATAGATTGCATCCGACTCATCCGGCGATAAATGCTGCATCCTGTCAAGGTCGTCCTTTTCCAGCTGACCCAACGTCTTGACCGGATCCTCCCCATCTTCAACCTTCTTGTCCTCCTCACCAAGCCCCGTCTTGTGTCCAATCAGCAAAATTTGCGCGCGGGGATAATTCATAAACTCGGGCTGCGCTCCCACCTGGCGCAAGTCCCCGAACTTGTCAAGTACCCTGCCAGACTTTGTCAGATGCCGCACTTGAAGCTGCTCTCTCGAGTATCGATGCGCACTCACGACTGAGGATACTCTGGGTCCTGTGGCAACTGTGCAGACGACGGGCCCTTGTACGTCGGATTCCTGCTACTGATGGTGAAACCTCCCTTGTCGTTGAATCACAGCGCATCTGCAGCTCACCCAGCTCCTGGGGCAGAGTTGCCATGTACGAAAGGTGACTCTCGCGCCCCGTCGTCGTAAGAACATACACGCCTTCCCCTACGGGCGTTGCATCGGGAGATTGACGCCGTCCCGCCGTCTTGGTCTCGTAAACCCCTCCCTTTAGAAACTTCTCGCCAAGTTCGTCATACGACGCGTGGGATTTTTCGACAAACGCCATGAATCTGTCCTTTGGGCCTGCAGGTAGCGCCTTCTTTGGCAGGGCAATAAGTCTGGCTGTGGCTGACGTGGGAAGTGCACCGTGGAGCTTTGCGTCGTCGGGGATGGGCCGAAGGATGAGATATCCTCTTGCGATGTCGTCGATGGACTTGGGTTCATCGATACCAACCCGGCCACGGATGAAGTAGTATAGCACTCCCTTTTCCAAGACATGGGGTGGTGCTTGTGTATTGGTGTCTGCTTGCTTTGCATCCGTCTGTTTTTGTGGGCGCTTTTTCGTCGAATCAGCAGTATTTTTGTGCTCTCCATCTTTTTTATTCTTCGCTTTTGGGCTGATTTCATTGCCGGTTCTATTTTCCGCTTCTTCCCAACTGGCTGACCCTGCGCTCCGGCGCTAGATTTTCCAGACCGCGCGGTGGGCATGATGCAAAGGATTCTCTAGGCAATAAGCTTGCACTTTTGACGTAAGGTCCCAGGTGCCGGCTTTTAACAGAGTAAGGTGCGGCCGTTTTTATAGTTTTAGGTGTTGCAACGTGCATCAGCGTCACTGTTATATCATAGATGTGGCACCTCCAAATCAGAACGTCACACATACTCGGAGGACTCCGGTGGCGCACTATAAAGTCCAGGACAGACCGTCGGCATGTCTCATTTAGTACTGCAGTTGCAACTGAATACGGAGTCCTCCGCATTTGACCCCTCAAAATTGGTGCCCTGGTGAAATGTGTCATCCGAAATTGGTTGGTATCGTTGCTGCTCGAGACACTCAACAGTAGGACTTAACCTGGGGCCCGTTTTGGGCCATGGCCGAATGAGAGGGATGCAGAACATAAATCAGGGCCTCGGGCGCTCAGCATTCTGTTGTTAGGTTATTCCAGACAGAGAGTCGATACAGTCCAATCGTCCCTCAGACGGTGGGATAGCACCATGTCAGGGCTACGCATTTGGCCATCAGGCGAGGGTTGTAATTCGGAACAAAATGGATATGTTGGCCGAACCTTGCTCAGATCTCTCCCCACCACCTCTGCCGAGTCCTTTCCATCTCCAACTCCTCTGGGAATGGCTCCAAGAAGCTGCTGAGCAGATCCTGCCACTCTGTTCTCAATATCTGGGTGCACCACGCAGACGTATATTCCCAATAATTTGGATACCAACCAGAAAATTCCCAGTCAATGATGCCAACCACTTTATCCCCTCGGACAATTATATTACATGGGTTCAAATCACCGTGCGTGAAGACTGGCCGAGGCCAAGGCCCGTCCTGTCGAGCGGCCATGTCCTTGACATCCTTCCAATCTTGCTCAGCCGCCTGCTCAGGCTTCTCGGCTTCCGAGGGCCGCAAGTTGTCCCTCAGCCACAAGTGAAACTCTTGTATGGATTGGAAAGGGCCGAAGCGGCGATCTGGACGGGGCATCCGGCTATCGAATAACGACCCGCCAACACAGCTCTCGACCCCCGCGTCAGGGCGAGGCTGAAGTGAGCGAATTTCTTCCACCATGAGCTTCAACTGCGCCAAGAGCTTGTCCTTGGATTCTTTGGATCGATCATCCCATCCTTTCGCGATGCAATCGCCTCGTATTCTCTCCATGACAAGGTATACGCGTCCATTGCGTACAAAGGAGCACCAGACCTTGGGTATAGGGACCGAGGTGTTGTCGGCGATAAATCTCATTGTCGCTCCTTCTGTCAAGTCGACAAAGGCATCCGACTTGACGATTAAGCGTCTCGAAATAGGAACGCAAGCGCCCTGGCGACGAAAGAACCGTGCGGTAGTCTTGAGGGCAACAAGAGTAAGGAAGCGGCGGATGCGAGTGTTGTTGATGGCAAGGTTTTCATGCCCTGCATCGAGGTGTCTTGCGTCTCTGGACATTGGTCAAAATCGGCGGAAGTTTTGCCTTGACAGACAGCTTTAGTAGTACTGCCATTGCCGCCAAAGCGAAAGTAGGCGGGATATTCAGACGTTTAAAGTGTGAAACGAGGGTTGGGAAAGGAATGCTAGAGATCCATGCCATTTGATCAATGGTCACATGCAGACGAGCGTGACATGGCACCTGGGGATGGTAGCATTATTGATGTCAACGGTCTGGTCATGTCAACATTGAATAGCACGTGCGGCCACCACATGCAGACTTCAGTGGTGGCACTGGGGGCTTTATGGGGAACTGGAGCGGTGCCGGCACCGTGCGGGCACTGTAACAGAGGTCGCTGGTGCCTGTATCCTGTAAGAGCGGTGCCGGGGGGTGCTATTGACATGTAAAGGTCACTCCATGTGGTCACCTGGCGCCTTCAAATCAATAGCATCGGGTGAGATGGCCGAGTTGGTTATGGCGTCAGGTTAAGGTTACCTTAACACCAGCTTCCTGATGGAGCAATCCTCCTGGGTTCGAGTCCCAGTCTCATCATTTTTTTTTCCACTCGAGTGGTTTTTTTTCCTTTCCTTTGTAAATTGTACCAGACCTGATATTGAAAAAGAACTAAGGACGGACCCCCATAATGGTCGACAACATAATGACAGGACAACAAGTATTATCACACGAATCTTAAAACCCGCTGACGGGGAAGGGACAAAAGAAAGATTAATAGCCCCTTTTCTACCAAAAGTATACAAGGACTTACTACATGTATCTAGATTAATATAGCGTAGCACGCCTAATACTCCAAAGGAGTGAGGATTTTCCTCAGCAAAGGCGTTAAATACACACACACACACACCTGGTGCCTTCAATGTTGGGACATCTGGATTGATATATCAATTGATGTGCGGCAAGGTCTCAAGGTTCAGTGCTGCCACTTGACTCGTCACAATGGATGTCAAAGGGGCCTTTGATGCGATTCTCCCCAATAGGCTGATTCTCCGACTTCGGCAATGATGGCCGGATTTTCTGATATGGTGGACCTATTGACCATTTTGTCTCCCATCACAAAGCACTGGTTAGATTCCAACATGCCAAAACAGAACCCACAGAATTCACTCCTCCGCGGCCTCCCTCAAGGCTGGCCTCTATCACCGATTCTTCATCTCCTAGCTACAACTCCTATCTACTCTCTGCCTGGGGCAACAGAAAGGTATGGCTGTGCAGACGACACAGCGATGCTCCATGTCTTTTTAGGAGACTCTGTAAAGGAGACTACGGCGGAAACAGACACTGCAATCGCGTAAATGCTGGCATGGGGACAACGGGAGGCTTTCTCCTTGAACCCAGATAAGACAGATGTCATGCAATTCTCTAGGAAACAAAACAGACTTCCCATCAGTCTTCCACCAGGACCAGGAAGAGAAGGCACAGAAGTCAATCTAGCTCGATCGTAAGCTTACTTTTAACACGCACATCGAGAAATGGTTACTTACGGCAAATAAGGTTATCCCATAGCTACGGTTTATTAACAATATAGTACAGAAAACGTTAGTGGTAGCAGCTAGGGGAGCAGTCTATGCAGTAGCCCTATCCATACTCTTTTACAGACTAGACACATGGTTCTTAGGCTTGCCCTCTAAGATAACATAGAGGAGAGTAAGGACTATTTTAAAAGCTTAACTCTTAAAACTCCAAATAATCCTGAACACGGCCTACCACGCTATCCACCCTGTCTAAGAGACCACCCCGCGAGTCTTTCTCTGAAAGGAGGCGGCAATCCCGCCTGTAAATATTATCCTCAAGCAAACACAAGCGCACACCGCGCTTTAATACGTAATGCTAGATGCAGCCCTCTTGATTGTTACAAGGATAAAACAACCGCAAGCTTGCCCTGTAAATTCTGATATTTAGTCAGCATCAAAAAAAGGCTAGAGGTGGCCGGCAGGCTGCAGTTTCATATAAGCTAATAGACACCGAAACCGACATGAGTCAATTGGGGACCCTATCAAGAGATTTAGTACCAGACAACACCAGACTTGTTTCTATTATCGTCAACATCTGGGGGGACATCACTAGACAGCCAAGACGGAGAGGTCACGCCCGCCAGGTGCCAATATTGCATGACTTGGTACCCGCGGACTGCTACACTGGTGCGGCTGTATAATAATGCCAACTTCCCTGTTTTCGGACCGGATAAATTCGAAACAACCCATCTGCTACCACTCGGTCCTCGGGCCATTACAAAATTTGAAGCCATGTAAAAAGAGCTGGTCGGGGCCAACACACAATCACTCGGCCAAGACCGCGCCTGATTTAGAGTAATAATCGGGACACTTCAATGTTATCTTAATAATCACATTGGTGGGTTGTCCACTACTAATTAGCAGGCTCGAGGACAGTTTCGTTCCACCAAAGTTTTGGGGAAGTATCTGTGGCATATAATAGTGTCAGATATCAGGACCTTAAAATAGGGCAAGTCATTGCTCTTTATCTTTTCAGCTGCAGAATAGCTCGCGGAGACTCATGTACCTAGGAAAATTGTAGGTTAAAGGACCCTCCACGAGTTATTCCGCAGCTAAAGAGATAGTACCACGACGCGGCATTATAGATATTAGCATCAACTCCTACTCTTAGGATTGTATCAGACATATATATCCGCCAAGTACAATGCCACGCTCCTGCGTTTTCAAGTCGCGACTTTGTGTCAAAAATAAAAGGGCACTAATCGTGCCACGCCCAATTACGGCTTGTTACTGCCATTATAAAATAAGCTATTAACGTAAATCACACACACACACACACATATATATATATGCAGACATTAACAAGGCTATAAAATTAAGTAAACGTACGCCACACAGAATTTATAGGAGTTAGGTGTCCTTCCGGATTAGGACCAAGGGGTAATACATGATTAATTTCAACGTAAAACATCAATGTTTAGTTGCCCCAGTACCTACTTAGGGGTCCGGCTATGCCCGAAACGACTAATCCCCTGTCGTAAACGAGACCACCTATTCCGCTGAACCTCTTGGTCTGGTTGACTTTCCTCGGAAGGCTGTTCTTGGGTGGACCGAGAAGTCCGTCTTTGAGCATGATCCCCCGGCGGCTGCCCTTCCTCGGTATCAATTGTCCTGACACCACCCGTCTCTGGCTGTGCGCATGAACGAGTTGAAGACTGCGAAAGACGGTCAAGCCTCGGCATCTTACTTGGCGACTCGGGTGTCGCCGATACGGGCATGAGCTGGGGGGACATGGGCGCTTCCGCTACTTGGCGCGGTTGTATATTGCGCTTCTCCTCGATGATCCCTAGATACTCTCTATACTCGCTATTGTACTCGCTGTTGAGGCTCAGCACGTCCCGCAACGTCTGCTCAGGCTCTAGTGTTTTGAAGCGCAGAGACGTAGTCTGGTCCATGTCCGCTGGAGGATCGCACAAGTCGAGCCTGGTCTCTGGGAAACTGGCATTGACATCTGCGCCGTATTCCAGAAATATTTTCATAATCGCAACCCATTTGATCTTATTCTCATATGTCTGCGCGGGCCCAGGATTCGATGGCACTGCATCGACGGAAAAGAGGTGGTAGCCCGCCTCAAGAGACTTCACGCCACACATTTCGATCTGGTGTAGCGTCATTAGGGTCAGCCTGGCAGATGAAGAAGGGCTCTACTAAGCCAGAGGGTGGAAGATTACGGCAGTCGCGGATGGCGGTCGCCCAGGGGAGCGTGGCCCTTTGTATTGATGAGATGTGTGAGGAGGGAGACATTACTACCATCCTTAAGCATGACGACGTACTCATTTACTTTGTTGCGTAAATACCACCATAGTTCGGCTTTTATAGCCAGGAGGAAGCGGTAGTGCTCGTGTGTTATGCCATTGAAGGAATCGGGCAAGGGGACTTTGTACGTCGGGCTAGTGGGCAACGGCTGTAGTCGTTGGATGCGAAGACATATAAGGCTGAGCTCGTTGAACAGGCGGGTGTAGTGGTGAAACACTCCAGGGCCATCGTCGGCAAGAGAGGCAGCGGCAAGTGCTTGAGCCACCAAGTTGTTGATAAGTGTTGTGTAATCAACGTTGGAGCACTTGCTTTGCCATTCTTCGTCAAGGTTTTGTTTGAGTCGAATAATGCAAGCGCTTAGCAAGTTATTAGAAGGGTCGAAGCTAGCGTCTGTCGATTATCCAAGTAATCCTTGAGAATTCTGAGGCTTGGAGACAAAGCTCCTCACGGAGTCATGGATGAAGCGAATGTTGTTTCCGTCTTGAATAGAGAGAAGACCACCACAACGGCGATTCATACGCCTAGTTGCCTTGAGTCTCCGCTCTTCGTGGTCCGATTCGCTCCTCTTCGGTTCATCGTATCCATATTTGGCATTGATGGCTACAAGCTCGCTTGGAGCTGCCTGGATAGAAATTTCGGGGTCAACAATATAGTCCTCGACTGCGATGCATAGTAAATCAATGTCCAACTGAAATGGCGCAATGGCGACAATGCGAAGAATCCTGGCCGCCTCCTTCTTGTAGTGTGACGGGATATCGTCCAACATTCTCTCATACAGAGTCTCCAGAAATTCGGGGGCATGCACAATTTGGTCGTTGAAATCCAAATCGTCTTTCAAGTGTTGAATCAATTTATCAACAGTGGGAGCTGTCTGAAGCATGACTCCCCAACAAAGGCGGATTACGTCCTCGACTAGTCCCTGGTTGACTTCTCCGTTTGCTAGTCGTTTCTCAACGTACTTGACGATATCTGAGCTTCTAAAGTGGTCCATCTGCTGCAGTGTTACCTCGCTGAAGCCGCCTGTCAGTAGTAGTCGTTGCTCAACGTCTCTGACAACATCTGAGCTGTTCAAGTCTTCCATCCGCAGCTGCGCCACCTCGCTGAACTCGGAGAAGAACACGCTGGAAGGTCGGCTGGAAAAGCATATCTTCAGATTTCGAAGCGGTCGGCGGCGAGATATGAACCGACATACTCTGTAAAGATAATTTGAATCATGCTCTGTTTTGGGCCCGCATTCGTCCAAGGCGTCAATAATGAGGATGAATCTGCTATCAGAAGCCACTTCCACAGTCTTTTCAAAAACCGACGACAAAGTTACCCATGACAAAGACGATCCGAGAAAATCTGTGCCGACGATGTCTCCGTCCCGGATGAGGAGATTGACAACATCGCCCCGTTCAATGCATATATGATGGAGAACGGACCGAAGCATATCACTCGCAGTCTTTTGACCTTGCAGCCGTCCGTTGAAGCAGAAGCCTGTAATTGATGTCTGATTCGCCATGGTGCCCGGTTGACTCCGAGCTCCAGAGGCTTGGATCAAATGGTGGTATAGCTCCGCCATCAAGACAGTCTTGCCGCTGCCGGTGTTGCCTCGAATCCAGAGATATGGACACTCGGGATCGTTTAGCCAGTCTATTATTTTGGAGTTCACCGGCTTTTTTGGGAAGCCGGATATAGAATTCAACAATGATGAGGCGACTGTGTCGGATGGTAAAAGGATATAGCCACTTGAATCTTTTTGCAGAGCGAAAATAATATCTGCCACCATATCAGTAATTTATTTTGCCATAGACCGATGGTCACACACCTTTTTCAGAATACTTGGGCTGGCACAGCTGTGAGAATGAGGCTTGAGGAGACGTTGTCTTGGAGACGTAATTGTAGCCGTCTTGGTGGTCTGGTAGGTCTACTATAAAATATTAGACCCCCTAATACAAATTGGATATTGGGGTCATGGGCATCGCCGTCACTCACCTGAAATGTGGCTCTCTGATTGCTTCTCACGAATCAGGACTTCATGGAGAAACTCGACGATTTTTTCGTAGACAACATCGTCAGTGCACGATAGTCTGGGGAGACTCCCGTGATCCTTGTCGACGCTCACATTTTCCGCATTAGGTAGTTTACAGTCTATGCCTTCTAGAGGCGTGAACTTTGAAAGGTTAGTAGACTGTCTCCTAAGCAGCCAAGTAGGAATTAAAGGCCCTTTACCTGTCCCAATGTTTCTGTAATGGAGAGCATCTTGATGTGTAAACGTCGACATATTCCTCCAAAGTCCAAATCAAGTTTATTGTATGCCTCAGTCTGCTCTGGATGGGCAAATCCTAGTTTGGTTCGTCCTCTCAATGAATTGTTCTGCCCAGGGTCGAGGCGATTGTCAATGGCCGATTGTACTAGCCTCTGAACCGCATCATTGCATGAATTTTCGTCCAACTCTTGGTGTGGAGTACCCAAAAACACGAGCCCTTTGATAGTTCTGAGGCAAGAGTCATTCTTCCGGACTGCAGCAGCGAGCGCTGCTTTCACTACCAGACCACCGAGGCTGTGGCTGACGAATACCAGCGGCATGGTTTTTCCAGATTTGGAAGAGAGTTCTGGAGCATACACTGTGCTGCGGACAAAGTCTAAGAGTTTCGTCCCAAGCTCACTACAATTTGCTGCGCCCGAGAAATCTGTTAGTTCAAGCTGGCGGTCCCAGAAGAAGACTCGGGCTTGTAACTCGCTCTTCGGGTGGTATTTCGTAGGCCACATCCATGAAGCCGACTCATCGGACCACGTCTTGGTAGGAGATTCGTAATATCCATGAACGAATACAACGTTAATTTTACTTTGCAGCTCTGGGACAAACTTTCCCTGGTTGATCACAGTACGCATGGTGGTGATCTGGAATGCCTCATGGTATTGCTGGATTATTCGTGTAATTTCCTGGTTTTCTTGAGCTAGTTCTAATAGCTCTTCGACGCCGTCAAGGTGGGTGACAGATTTAAGCAACAGCTGTACCTTTGCAACTGATCCATTCCTCACTGCGATATGTAGCGGTGTCATGCCTTCGGAATCTTTGGCGTACGGGTTGGCTTGCCGCCGTAGGAGAGTAAAAACGACCTCCAATGAAGGGTTAGGCGATTCGCAGGCAAAGTGTAGCGGTGTTTGCTCCTCGTTTGTAGTAACATCGGTGAAAACCCCGGACGCCAATAGTTCATCAACTACACCGGTCCAACCTCCAAATGCGGCAAGATGAAGTGGCGTGATTCCCTTGTCGTCTTGAGCCTCGGGGTTTCCCCCCTTGGACAAAAGAAGCTGAACCACGTCTGTTGCTCCGATGGACGAAGCGACATGCATTGGTGTTCGATTTAGTTTGTCAGTGAAACTGGGGGGAAAGCCTTGTTTCAAGACAGCCAATACTGTAGTTGGTGAGACGCCTTCGCAGGCCATGAACAGTGGAATTTGGCCTCGCTCATCTTGGTTTAATGTTGCCGTGACAAGAAGTTTGACCATCTCGTGGTGGCCGCGCTCAACAGCCCAGTGTATGGGACGCATACCAAATGCATCAGTGGCGCAGAATAGTGAGGCGTGGTGGATGAGTTCCTGTACCAAATCCGTGTTGCCTATTGAGGCAGCAATATGGTAAACAGAAGGCTTCCGTGGATCATCTTTGTCAATATAATGGCAGCGTGCTCCATCATCAAGGAGATCTGCAACCAACTCCACGTCGTTTCGGCGGACAGCAAGAGCAATTAATTGCTGAAAGGAATCCTTTGACAATTTTTTGTGCTCAACGGCGTTTTTTGCAATGCCTCGTACTGTCCCCCAGTCACATTTACCCATTTTGTCTATCCCTATAGCCTCGCGGATCCAATCAGGAAGAAGAAGCTGCTCCGCGTCATGTCTTGATTTTGCCCAAGCTTTGTAATTCTCAATGGTTCTGCCGTATTGATCACTTGAGGCACTTTCCCGTCCGTGCCTTTGAAAGACGGCCTGCGCCTTAGATCCGGAATTCACAACGGCACATCGTTGTTCTAGGGACAGATTCATATCCCTGCGCGGCAGTTGCCCTGGTGCTAGGAAATAGAAAAATTCCAAAACCTTCGCCAAGTCGTGAGCAGTGAGTATACAAGGTATGGACAAGGCAGAGACCGGTGGAAGCCGAGCCGGGGAGAACCCGTGGATAAGATCGCGAACCTCGGCGTTATCCCAGAGTCTCGCCAACGGAACCAAAACCTGCATCGACTCGTGTTGTATCCACTGATCAGATGATTGGGCTACGAAGAGGTGCTTGGACCAGTATCTTAAGGGGTAACTGAAGTTTTCGACTGGCAGCGTGTACCTCTGACTCTCCAGGTCGTATGTCATCTGGCTGCTTCCTTGTATCAGATCTTGGAGCAACGTAAGACATGCGATTCCAATATGATAATGAAGGTGGAATCTGAGATGTCTGTCAGACAATTTCTGCTGGAGGAAAGTCTTGAGATCGGGGTGAAAGAGGGTCAGTGTGCCGTTGGAAATTCTGACCAGTCCGAGAAGCTTCGATTCTAAAGGATGGACTCCTTGCATTGTGTCAGTTTCGGGGAAAGGCTTGCTCGCATTTCTCTCATCCGACAGAGTAGTGTCCGTCTTATAACCTTCACCACACCAAGATGCAAACTCTGATGGAGAGGGAACCAAGGCATTTGCCTCGGCGAGATTCAGGGGCCGCTCTGCCACCGCAATCAAGAAAAGCAGACTCATGTGCCTCCATCCGCGAAGTACGATCAAATGATCAAATGCCCAGCGATAAAGCTTATCAATCTCAGTTTCTGGTTCTAGATCCCCCGCACGGCACTCTTCCAAGGTGGCAGTGAATGCTTTCAAGTCATCAAGTGAGGATAGTCCGCCTAGGATTTGACGAGCCAGACTTACAGCCAGGTGGGACCACATACATATAGAACGAATTGTCCCAGCCAGTAACATCAACTCGTTTTTCCAAGACGGAATCACTCTGCACTTCTCGTGCGCGGAATGGAAGAGAATATCGAGGTTTTCATCTGGTTGAAGAACAGGTTCGAAGTTACGTAGCGTGTCCAGAGCCACGATGTGCTTCAAAGAATGTATCTGAGCAGTATCGCAGCTCAGGCAGACTTTAACCTGCTTGCTTCTCATTGTCTCAATTAACTCAAGGAAACGCTGAAATAGAGACTTGGATATCTCTGAGGAGTCGTCCAGACCGTCAATGACCATGATGACCTCGCCAACTAGCTCGTCGTGGAAAATCGATATCAGTATCTCAATAAGTTCCGGGACAGTGAAGGGGCTGATGAGAAGGTCCTTGCTGCTCAATCCACGGGTCGACTCGGTCTCTCCTGATAAGGTATCTAGATCAGGGCACATCTTTTTCGAATCCTCGTCATATGCGGTCCAAGTTTGCTCATCCCACTCTGGCCAACTTGGTCTCGCACGACCAAAAACACGATGATTCGGGAAGTGACGAACCAGGACAGGCATAATCTCGAGAAACTGGAGTAGGAATTGGTTCAGCATCTGAACAATGACATCATCCGAGCCTAGAGTATTTCTATAGAAGTAGCTCAGCACACATCTTCGAGGGGTATCTTCGAGGTCCTCTTCCTTCTCCACACCAAGGAAGTGAGCTATTCGGTATGCGAGCGTCGATTTCCCCGATCCTCTGGGTCCTCGGATAATAAGCAGACTATCGGAGTCGAGCCATTCCTTGAAGCCATGACTGTTTACTACCCATTCGGTTTTGCTCAGCGTGTCTCGGCTGCGCATAGAAAGATCATCTGTGATATACGACTGCGGGAAGGCCAAAAGTCTCTTTAATCGGCGCAGCTTGACTGCGTGCCATATTAGGAGTTGAATGAAAATCTTGGCATTAAATGAAGGCTTACCAGTGGGCGCGAATTGATACATGATGGATTGCGGTGTTAGAGTGGCATTATCATCCTGGTCACTTGGCTTTTGTAGAGTTTTCGAAGACAAAAGATCTGTAGACGAGTTCAGTCATGGTTCTCAACTCTCGTAAAGAAATCATGCCAGCAGTACCTTGGACAGCAAATACAGTACTCAGCTCCATCCTAGACGGCAGAAGCGCGACTGGGGTGTTGGAGATGGACACATCGAGGTTCCCGGGAACAGAAAGGATGGCTTGGATGGCATTGCTAAGCATTCGATAACCGGGATCGAGGCGACTTTCGAATTGACACATGGTGATATGGTTCCCTGGGAGTGTCTCGCGCGTCTCGCACGGATGATGAAGCCCATTCTCGAAGCTCGTGACCTGTTTTTGCCTATCAGTACTGGTTATGAAGGGAAGTTTTGCCTGAGATTTGAGATACCAGAGTAGGCAAACTGCCTCCGGATGCTTCGTGCTGTTCAAAAAATGAGAAGATGCGCATCTTGGTTGCCTCAAGAACCGGGTAGAACTTTGACAAGACGTCGACGGCCGCTCTCACGGCAACAGCGTCCAAGTTGGCAGAAGATTCGGGGAACGTGCCAGCTACTTTGTGAACTCTTTGTAAGATGGGCTGCCACCCGCCCACAGATACGGACCTGTGCGGTGTACCAAGGAAGATGACGCCTCTCATGGAATGGAGAATGCTTCCGCCGATTAAGTCTTCGGAGTCTTGCATACATTTAATACACGCCTATTAAAGTGTTTGGTGAGAAACATGGCAAGTTGGGAGTAGAAGAGACATGGCAACGTACTGCTTTAAGCAGGAAGCCAGCGAGACTGTGTGCGATAAATATTATCGGCTTTCCCCCGTAGTCACCTTGTCGGGCATTTCCGAGCACGCGTACTAGGTTGCTGGCCGTCTTTTCTATATCCTCAACACCAAAATGCGTCCATATCTTGGTGTCATGATTGAACAACAACACTCGGGCTCCTGGGAAGTCATCGACGACGTAGTCCGGCCAGAACACGTCTCCGCATCTCCAAGTATCGTATCTATCCGCACCATGCGAGTGCAGAAAGACAAGACTGCGATATGCACTGTCAGCTCCAGTCGCGTGGTTTCTTGGGTTGCCATTTCAGACTCATCTTACTCAAAGTCAAAGTGTTGCTTTCGAGAGCGGGATTCAATGTAGACTCTGCTATCCGCGTGAGGGTGTATTTTCATGCTCGACTCGGCGTCATCGAGAAAGAAGGTCTCGATCGACATGTCTCTCCCCAACTCTTTCGGTGCGAATGAAGCTCCCGTTCCCAAAACATCAGTGTCGAAGCTCTGGGAACTGGACTGCATCATCGAGTTCCGAGTAACGGGACGAGGGTCCATCTTTCGCAATTATGACAAATCGTTGCCTTCACGGTGGTTGTAGACTGCGGTCGCCTGCCAGGCTGAGAATGGGAGTGGCTTCGCAACCCGCTAAATACTGGGTAGACGTGAAACATGACGGATAGAACAATGAATGACATGATGTAAGCTCTTTGAAGCTGTGTCGGACCAGGTCTGCGCACCGAATGAACAACGAGTGCGGCAGCTCGAGACAAAGGAATCGGTGGGGTCATTTGCGTCAGGTTCTGAACCTTTGTTGATGTGAGAGGCGATCATTTCCCGCACTACGGAGCAAGCAGTCAAGATATTGGAGCGAACAGTCAATGAAGTCGTCTCGCTGGCGGGCTGCACAGGGCCACCACAATACACGTCCATCATCCACTCGATCGGTCAGTGTGCCACCACATGTATACTCCGTAGAGAGGAGGATACAACCAAACATAAAAGTGGTCGCTGGTGCTACGTCCTGTATAGGACGATGGTTGCGATCCAAAGTGTACATGATCTCGGTCTTTTGGTAGTTTGGGTTGTCGAAAAGGATCTTTGGAGTTCACACAATAGAAAGGTCCCGCCCCCCGGGGAAACACCTACGTGTGGAATTATATTCAAATACGGGGTAACTTTTTTGGTCTATTGGGAAATAGGCGAGTCTGCGGTGGAAGTCCAGGCATCTGTGAAATTGGCAATATCTCACGTCGGCGAGTTGTGATACCAAGTCGCTGCGGCCGACATCGGCATTGGGTAACTGTCTTGACTGGCAACGAGACATGCATCAATGTGAAGTGTCAACTTGAGCGAAGTGCATCGGCGTCGGCCCAAAGGGCCATATGACCCGTCATCACTCCCATCGCTAGGCCCGAGCATGGTTGCACAGGTCTGACCATGCATTGCCGTGCGGACATGGTTCATGACGCGACTGAAACAATTTTGAGCTTTAGGGTAGGTTAAGTTGACGAATCAAACATTGAATGGACCAATTGACGGCTGGCTGGCCGGTGGGGCCGCGGCGGCACACCAGAGCAGGGGCGGCAGATGCTGGTCTGACGGCTGCTTCCGTCTGCTGCCAGTCGACCAGTAATCTCACGGGAAGAGTCGTGCTGGTCTCATTCAAGTGCCATTTCGTTGATGATGGAAAATTTCAGAAGCCAGCATCGCCGACCTTTTAAGCAGCCCGTGCCCGCCACGGCCCTCGAGGAGATGAGTGAGTGCCAGACAGGCCAGTTCAATGAAAATGAGTCTCCGAAACGCGCAGCACGGCACATGCGCGCTCTTGGCTGCGGCTTGGCGGCGCGTCTCCCGCCTTGGCAGCCACCACGTCAACTTCGTCTCTCTCCACTACGCCTACTTCATCTTCGTCTCCTTGTTCAGCTCCGTCGTGTTTTGGCTGCTGTCGGCGCCAAAACTCTCCGTCGCTTATGTTGACAGCCTGTTCATGGTCGTGTCCGGCGTCACGGAAACCGGTCTCAACACCGTCGACCTCAGCAAACTGACGACGGCACAACAGGTCCTGCTCTGCTTGCTGATGATCTGTGGCAGTGCCGTATGGGTTTCAATATGGCTTGTTTCCGCGAGAAAACGCTCATTTCGCCGGCTTCTAGCTCGAAATGGCCTGTCTCGGCCTCCATTGGACCGTCGACAGGGCGTCCATGTACCCTATCCTGGCGCCTACCAGAATGCCTCGGACAGTGAAGCCCGTGAGGCAAAAGCGACCGAGGGCGATGCAGAGCCGTTCGAGGGACTGTCGGTACAGGCATCCCGTCTCAGTCCTCCTGCACCTCTGGGGAGCCGCAACAGACGTTTGCTCAACCCTGGCTCTGAACAAGCGCTTGGCGAACCCTTGGAGGAACCTACGCCCAACCCTCTAGCGTTCCTGACAAGCAAGAACATGGGACGAAACGGCGATTTCATCAACCTGACTGCCGAAGAGAGGATCCAAGTCAGTAGCATCGAGTACAAAGCCCTTCAACTACTCTCTCTCGTTGTTCCGCTGTATTTTACCCTCTGGCAAGTCCTTGGCTGCCTCGGCCTGGGAGCTTGGATTGCCACAAACCAACCGCGCCCGGCTTTGGAAAACGGCATCAATCCATGGTGGCTCGGCATATTCAACGGCGTCTCTGCCTTCAACAACTCCGGCATGTCGCTGCTCGACGCCAACATGGTGCCGTTTCAGGCGGCCTACTATGTCTTGGTGACCATGGGCCTTTTAATTCTGGCCGGGAATACAGCCTACCCGATATTTCTTCGGTTCCTCCTTTGGTCTGTGTTAAAGGTCCTGCATGTCTTCCCTGAAGGACCCCTTGTCACTGAATGGCGGTCGACCCTCGAATACATCCTGCGCTATCCTCGCCGTGTCTACACAAACTTGTTTCCTACGCAGCACACCTGGTGGCTTGCCTTCATGGTACTTATGCTTAATGGAATAGACTGGGCGGCATTTGAGCTTCTCAACATCGGAAACCCCGTCATCTCTGCCATACCCTTTGGACCGCGCATCATGGACGGGCTCTTCCAGGCTGTCGGTGAGTCACTTCCTTCTGTCCCATGGGATTTATTCTCCACGGTTGCTAACCAATACTGCCTACAGCGGTCCGATCGGGAGGCTTTTACATTGTCCCCATTGCCAAGACACACATTGGCCTTCAAGTGCTCTATGTCATCATGATGTACATTTCCGTTTACCCAGTCATCATCACCATGCGCAACTCCAACGTGTATGAGGAGCGCTCCCTGGGACTATTTGCCGTCGAGTCAACCAAAGACGAGGAATACGTCGATACATACGCCAAGGCTCTCAGGTCGTTGAGAACAAGGCGGCTGTTCATCTCGCAGCAAATTAGGGGTCAGCTGGCCGATGACATTTGGTTGCTCGCACTGGCCACATTCATCATCACCGTCATCGAAGCGCCGCATTTTGCCGAAGATCCAGTATCATATAGTGTTTTCAACATTATATTTGAGATTATATCCGCATACGGCTGCGTTGGAATATCCGTCGGCTCACCCGGTGCCAATTACAGTTTTTGTGGCGGTTGGCGCGCCGGCAGTAAGCTGGTGGTTTGCCTTGTCATGTTGAGAGGCCGGCATAGAACACTGCCCGCCAGTCTGGATTATGCGGTACGTCCTGCCGGAAAGAACATACAACAAGAGGTACTCGAGGAGCATCATTAGCGCGGCGTTGAAGCATTTAGATTTACATTGATAGAGCATTATACTTTAGATACCTCATAGAATATGTTTATTCTTCATCATCTTGGAAATTGTTTCGGCACTCAGTTCGCTTCTGAATACACATCCAGTGCGCAATCAGGTTTGTGAGAATATGGCACCAAGCTCTCGAAGCTCGCTATATCTCGCATCCTTCTCAATCGCGACATCCATCTTACTCGTCAGCACCTTGACCTCGTCGACGGTTCTTGTACCAAAGTCAAAGTCCTCACCACCACCAACAAACGCAACCAGTATCTTGACCCATGTATCCAACATTTTGCGCTCCTCATCTGTCGGAAGCTGATTGATGGAATAACTGCGCTAATTAGAACTCACGGTCTTCACATCGACGCGCACAGGGGTAAAGTCAACAACTTACTTCCACAAGGGCCCGTCCATGGCGTGACTAACGCCGTACTCCATCGGCGCAACCGTCTCGTCAATGAAGCTCAATCTATAATCAATTCGATACCGCCAAATATCCCTCGTCGTGAGCCCATGTCTGCTCAGCGCGTCAACCAGATACCTACTCGACGCTCGAACTTGTCCATCCGCAATAATTCTACCAAACGCGTCCTTCCAATCCCTAATGTCACTCGACTTTGGGAGCGAGTACTGTCCGAGAATCTTGGCCGTCGCCGCAGGGGAGTAGTAATTCGCCGCCTGGAGCCGCAACGATTCCACAGTCGGTTCCGTCGGCCCATTAAACTGCGCGTACAGCGTCTCCTCATTAGCAACTTCTCCTATGAGCAGCTTCATCCCCCGCGACGCAAACGCCTCCGCAAACGCCTCCGACTGCAGGTACTCGACCATGCCAGCGTGGAAAAACAGCCCGTCCGTCACAGGGCGAAAGGTATGGCTCTTCAAGTGGCGGATGCATCGCACGAGGTCTGCCTCACTCGTGGCCCGAAGCCGCGCGAGCCTCTGCGCCGGCGACGACGAGAGCGGGATACCAAAGTGCTCACAGACCTCGTCGAACTGCGCCTCGGCGTCCTGCACAGTCTTTGGCTGCGCGGGAATCGCATTCGACGACATCCACGCGCGGCGGAACAGCTTTCCTGCACGTGGATTGCGATGCCGTCGGAAGTCATGTAGAATCTGCGCCTCGACGCCGTACGCACCCGCGCTCCTGCCCGCAATCGTCATGTTGCCCACGTCCCCCCCAAACGCGGCAATGTTGTCGTGCACCCATTCCAGGGCGAGCCTCTGGTCCCACAGGCCAAAGTTGCCTGCGGCCTCGCCGCCGCTCTCCTCCAGCAGGGCGCCCGAGGACAAGAAGCCGAATACGTTGAGGCGGTAGCTCACGGCTACGACGATGGCGTTCAGGCCCCCCGTGGAAATCAGCTCGGTCGGGTCGCTGGCTGCGTCGTGGCAGGCGTCGCCGACCTGGAACCACCCGCCGTGCAGCCATACCATGACGGGCCATTTTGCTGTCGCGGCTGCGTCGGCGGGAACCGGGGTCCATATGTTGACGTACAGGCAGTCTTCTGTGCCCTTGACTCCGTCATTCGCAGAGTTGACTTGCCCCGTGGCCAGGTCGCGGTCCTCCTGTGCCGCGGGGGGACGCAGCTCCGTGGCGTTGAATGGCTGGTCGGCAGGGGAGTATGTGAATGACGGAGGGAGAGGGCGAGGTTTGCGCCATCGATGCTGGCCGGTGGGAGGCAGCGCGTAGGGCACGGCGGCATAGCGACGAGCTTTGTTGTCGTACTGCAGGCCTGTGATGCTGCCGCGGGGGCCGAGGTCGACGGTGTGTTGTTGAGTAGTGTACGAGAGTGTGTTTCCCATCATGATGTGTGTGCTAGGTATGGCGGCGATGGTTTCTAACTGTGTGCTTTCGGTACGGCGGCATATATATGTGAATACTGCTCGCCAAGTCGGGTATTGAAGAGAGACCGAAGTCGGTTTCGGAGGTCAGATTAGAACCCGACCTTCCGAGGTTTCTGGCTCGACGGGTGCGGGGAGCAAGGCGGAGGTGGAGTTGGAGTTCCGTCGAGGTTCCGATTCGGAGATGGCCGGCGAGGTTCCAGCCGGGCTGGAGGCCCGAAGCGGCTGTAGTGCGCCGGGACAAGACGGGAAAATTGGCAGACCTCAGTGCTGCGTTTGGCGCGTTGTCTTGATGACACTCCACAGCTGAATCTTGGCCACATTGTAACAACCGTGACTGTCTGGATAAATTCCCGAAGCATGGTAACTTGGTTTCCAACTGCTGCCGTCACATGTGCTGCCAGCCACATAAAAGATAGCTTCGCAACTCTTCAAAAATCGAGGTTGTTTTTCTATACGCTTCAAACTAGAGCTATAAAACTAACCCCACCGCTACATTTTCCTTCGCCAATTCCGGAAGCGTAGCCAAAACTAGGAAGAGAAAATGCTGTGAATCCGGTATCCCTTGCGGCCCAAGCAACTAGCATGCGGAGTAACAGCCTATCGCACCAAAAAATGGGCGTGGCCACGGTTGACATGTATTGACATGGATGTGTTCAATGTTAGTACCCCCTATCCTGTGCGGCACAGCCATCACCACTCCAAAAAGCCTGATCCGAGAGTACTCGCACTACTTTCGTCCCTACATTCTGCAAACTCCGGCTTGGGAGTTAGTCTGACATTGAAATCATCACAGAAGCGTGGCTACAAAGATCGTCACGGAGAAGCGGGCAATGAACCGTCCGCTACACATGGTCTTGCCGCCGCCAAACGGCCGGAACGAGGGACTACGAGGCAGGTTCTTGTTGTTTCGCCAGCGCTCGGTGCGGAACTGGTGCGTGGCGTCGCCGAATATGCCCTCGTCGAAATGCAGCAGTCGATGCGGCACAAGGATACGGCTGCCCTTGCGCATGCGCTTCCCGCCAATGACGGTATCTCGTGTGACGAACCGGACCGACGCTGACCAGCCCGACATGCGCAGCGTCTCGTGCCAGACGGCATCGACCTCGGGACACCTGGCTGCGTCTTGGATCACGGACGGGTCGGCAAGGTCGGGTCCGCGAAATGCCGGCGCGGTTTCCCTACGGTAGGCGGCTAGCAGCTCGGGGTTGTGGAGGAGATATGTCAGGACCCAGAAGGCTGTTTTGCGGGTGTTCGTGTTGATGCTGCGAGAGGCCTGTAGTCAGTTTCTGGCTCTTATCCCAGTGTAACCTTCAAGCTTGAACGGAGGGCGGGCGTACGCGAGATACAGGTGGAATAGGATAATGGCGAGGTTTTCTCCTTGGACGCCCACGGCCCTCATCTCATCTTCCATGGCATTGACTAGCCAAGCCGCATCCCCGCTCTCTCCTTCTGCGGCACCTGCAGGTATTTATCGAGCGAGGCGATGACCCGAGCCCTAGGAACGGACATGTCCGAAGACAGAAAGCCCGGGTATTGGTAGAGCATCTTCCAGATGAGTTCATCGAACAGCAAAAATACCGATGGAAGTGTGGGATCGATCCTCGCCAACATCTCTCCGAAGTAGATGTCCTGGCCGAGCTGGATAACGTATTTCGAACACCACTGATAGAGCGGCACTTCGACACTCTCGCGGCCTGACGAAGTGGCCGTGGGCTTCGCGCAGATTTCTTTGGGGTGCACATGGCAATTCAGCCATTTCTGCACGTTTGCCTGCAGAACAGCCAGATTGGCGCCTGGGTGTAGTTGATGCGCGTGCATAACAGAGGCCAAGCGACCGATGGACTCGCCCCGTGGGTTGGGGAAGCCGGCTTTATCGACGGGCAGGGCCATGAACACAGCCTTGATGGCCTCTCCGTCGTTGCCATTGTTTCTCATGAGGCCCTGCACAAAGTCGTCAAAGGAAACAGCCTCGGTGTTTCGGTACACTTCGTCCGACTGCTTGACTTGGGTGACGACGTAGAAAGTCTTTCCAAACACCATCAGAGCGGACAGCTCCCGGGAGGTACCAAAGTATGACCTTTGGGGCTATTGGTAAGCTTTTTCTGCTGGTAGTGACTGTTTTCGTCGAGCGCACTCATCATACCTGGCTCTGACGAGTAGGCCGTTTGAGTCCTGGAAAAATGCACGGGCATGACCTGGGCGGAGAGAGTTAGACCACGTCGACGGGACGGATGGAATTTACGAATCCTCAGGTCTGCTGACCCAAGACTATTGAGTGACGTGGTTAGTGCTTCTGTCGCTTTTCCAAGTTGACTTCCTTGTTGGACGCTCACCTGGTATCCAGTATGGGAACTCTTTGGGGAGGTCTGGATATAGCCAAGGCAACACGGTAAACCGCCATAATCGCCATAGCACCAGTGTAGAGAGTACAAACGCTGCAGGAAGTATCGCGGTCGAGACTACGTTGGGCAGGCGTACGGCGTGGTGGGCGGCGTGCAGGAGACCGGCAGAGTCGCTGGGAGACTCGTCGCCCAAGTAGGGTGTGGAATTGGCCGACATGGACATGATTTACGAGAATAGCACAGAAAGATTGATTTGGTAGGAAAGATGAGAATATGGCGGGTATCAAGAATACTTTTTATAAATGGCGGAGACTCGGCCAGCGTCGGGAAGAGCCCTCCTGCAGGGACGTACAAATGTTGTCGTAAGTCGTTGCATTTATTGCACGATATCGAGCCACCCTTGACCCTTTATACCGCCGAATCCATGCAACTAGTTCTACGTAATGACGGATTACCTTTCTGCTTTTAACCTTGGATATCATGTCTAGTAGGATGGATATGACTAAAGCCCGTTCAATTAAGCATGACAAGCTTATAGACACGGGGCACTTTGCGTATTTATCCGCTCCCATTACAATCTCTCACAAGAAGCTGCTCAATGCAGTATGCTTTAATGCGTTGTATCTTGGAATGGTGACGAAAGCAAGCGGACAGTATCTCATGATTGGCTGCAGGCAGGATGACCACAACAGATATGGAGGCGGCATCGTGCATTGTAAGATTCCATGACACGAAGCATTGCCATCCGGTCAAGGGGACATATGTACGTAAGACTGCACTGTCGCGTAGAATACTCCGTACTGCATATCTCAATTCATGTCAGAAGGCTTGCGCCCCGTACACTCCGGTGGTTTGGTATTGCTTTTGGGGACCGGTGAGTACCAGCAGCAGCACGGAAATTGAAGCGGCCAGGAATACCTGTCCACAATCTATAAATATTTCGGCTCCCCTTTTGCTAACCACAGATAAATACTTTGCCGAGAGACATCGCTGGAGGTGTAATGCGAAGAACCAATGAATTGTACAATACAGAGTTTGCAGCCGCAATATTATCAACTATAATCCAGGACGTCTTAGACTTGGCATGTTCAATACAACCTGCACCGCCGTCATCTGCGTGAGTCTCTCAAGTCAACCCTTCATCACTCCTCACCGCAAGCCGGGCAAGGGGTCTAATGCTTGGGGTGGTTCTCAATCCCTGCAGTATCTTGCCTTGTCCAGGGTACTTGGGAATAAAGTATCGTTCCCAGGAAGCGCAGCCTACACAGCATTGCTGGGGTCATATTTCTCACAGCCAGAGGCAGCCGTCCGTCCACACTGCATCGTCTCGCCCCAATCTGCGCGAGATGTATCCAAAGCCGTGATCGTGCTCACAACAGTGGCCACAAATAACTATGACGGTGATGATCTCAACCGCCCACCCACGCCAGGCTGTCATTTCGCGGTACGGTCAGGTGGACACGCCAGCTTTGCAGGTGCGGCCAACATCCACAGCGGCGTCACCATTGACCTCAGCGGCCTCAATGCCATCACGATTAGCAGTCGGGATTTTGTGTCTGTTGGCGCTGGCACAACCTGGGGCGAGATATACTCGCAGCTCGACGCCCGAGGGTTGACAGTGGGTGGGGGTCGCGCATCCCGTGGGGGTCGGCGGTTTGTCTGTCGGTGGGGGCATTTCGTACCTGGGGCCCCGCGTGGGGTGGACGTGCGACACCATCATCAATTTCGAGGTGGTGCTTGCCAACGGCTCCATCGTCAACGCCAACCACCACCAGCATGCGGACCTCTTGTGGGCGCTTCGCGGCGGCTCCAACAACTTTGGCATTGTCACCAGCGTCGACTTGCGCGTGTTTGAGCAGGGCCAGCTCTGGGGCGGCTTTGTCGACAGACCCTTTTCCACCATCGACGACCAGGTGGTTGCCTTGTCCGACTTCAGCAACCCGGCAACCTACGACGACTATGCGTCCTTGCTCGCCACCTTTGCCTATTCGGGGAAACAGGATGTCAAGGTCATCGTCAACAACATGGAGTACACCAGGCCGGTGGTGAATCCACCAGTGTACCATGCCTTGTCAGAGCTGCCCTCCCTGTCCAACACGCAGCGAATAACCAACATGTCAGATCTGGCGGCGGAGACAGAATCGAGGGATATCAAGGACTTCAGGTATGATTCCTCTCCAGTTTGATGATCCCTGTCCACACACGCTCTTGTCGTCTCACCTGTTTTCCCACTTTCCCACCAACCGCTGCGAGACTGACTGCTGATGGGATGGGGGAGCGGATCCAGGCAGGCAACGGCCACCGTCACCATTCAGTCTTGTGTCGAGGCCATCAATGCGACTGTGAGGGCATGGAATGCCCTCGTACCATCAGTACGCCAAATCCCGGGGCTCGTGTGGGCAGTCACAATGGATCCCATCCCTCCAACACTCTACGCGCGGCACGCTATGGCCAATGCCCTCGGGCTGGCCAACCGTGGCGACAAGTCCCTGATCATCGTCATGGCGACCGCGACCTGGTCCAATGCTGCAGACGACGAAGCCGTCAACATGGCGATGAAGAAGCTGATTGCAACCACTGAGCACAATGTGGGCCGGATGGGCAAGCTGGACCCCTTCATCTACATCAACTATGCGGCACGATGGCAGAACCCCATCGCCAGCTACGGGCCGGCCAGCGTGGACAAGCTGCTCGAGACGCAGCGCAAGTACGACCAGTCCCTCGACGTGTTTTTACTCGCATGGTCCCTGGTGGATTCAAGCTTGCCCACTCCGTGACACGGTGAGTGAGGGCTATTGGGACAAAGTACGGAGTACGGAGTAGTTGCAGTACATATTCACTCCGTGCGGTGCATGTACAACTCTCCAGAACGAATTGGCCAGATGGGTTACAAAGTACGTCCAATGTTCGTACTTCCCTTTCAAGTTAGCCAGTTGCGAGTATAAAAGTATGAGACATTTGCGGGCTGCGCCGAGCCAGACAAGCATCAATTGCCGCCACGTACTTGGCTAATCACCTTTCCTCTCAAATTTGCGCCAATGATTGTTTCAATACTCTTCTCGTCGATTCTCACCTACCTGGCGTGGACTCTTATTCGACTCGAGTCCAACATGCACAGGGCTCGCGCTCTGGACGTCCCTATTGTCAGGATCCCGTTCGGCGTCAACAGCTACACCTGGGCCATTCTACAACCGTTCGTATGGAACCTTCTCAACTTCCTGCCCGTGCCGTGGAGCTCATACCCCGACTTTGTACGATATTCGCACCGCACTTGGCACTTTCTGGAGAAGAGCCGCCCTACCGCAACTCTGGGGCCGGCCTGGTGCTCGTGTCACCAGAAGAAATCAGCCTGCACATTGCCGATCCGGACATGATTGGCGAGATTTTTGCAAGATGGCGTGACTTTGTGCGTCCAGTGCAAAAATACCGTGAGCCTTCTTCCATCCCTTGGCCCCCAACCCCTGGCCTAACTTGTCTCGATGTATCTCTGGCAAGAGGCCGATATCCACGCCGACATCGACGGACGTCGGCCCGATGGTGCTAACAATGGACTGCTGCACTAGGCATGCTGGCTATCTACGGGCCATCTATCTTTACCGTAGGGTTGGATGACTGGCCCCGCCATCGCAAGGCCGTCGTGGGCCCGTTCAACGACGACTTGATGTCTTTGGTGTGGAGGGAGACGTTGTGTCACACGCGGTAAGTGGATTTGCTGAGGTGGCTGGTTGCAAGCTGAGGTTAACTCAGGCCGGAGATAGATCGATGCTTCACGCTTGGACCACTCAATTTCGTGGCGATATCCCGAGTTTTGAAAATGACTTGCGAGCACTCACATTCAATGTGCTCGGTGCGACAGCCTTCCATGAGCGTCCCCAGTCACAGGCCGATACCAGACCGAAGGACTCGGAGAAAATCGCGGAGGACTACCAGGATACCTTGCGAACTGTTCTCGACAATTCTATCTTGTTGATGTTAATTCCCTATCACCGTCTCAGAGGGACTATTACTCCCAGACATCTTGCTAGAGTTGGACTCGCAGCCGAGTCATTTAGGTCTATCCTGCTAAAGGTTCTCCGAGAGGAGACAGCTGCTCTTGGCAGTGATGGCTCCAAGCAAAATGGCTTATTGAAACCCCTCGTCCGTGCCCTGAAGCCAGATACTCGCGAGCAAGCCAAAAATAGTGCAGCCCCGGTATCTGCCAAGGCCAAGAAGACTGGCCTTTCTGTTGACGAGATCCTTGGAAACAACTTTGTCATTAATTTTGCAGGCCATGATACCGTGCGTCTTACGCTAAATTTTACCCTTGCTCTCCTAACAGTACATCCAGACGTACAAGAATGGATCTACCAGGAAATCAAGATGTTCTCCGGGGGACACCCGAATGATGAGTGGCACTACGACATGTTCCCCAAGCTCAAACGCTGCCAGGCTGTGCTACTTGAGACGCTCCGCATCTTCCCCCCAAATACTGGCATACCTAAAACTGCGTCCCACACGGCGCCGAGTCTCCGGCTCGGGGATCAACTTCTCGTCACCCCCCCCGGGGACCGAGGTCTTCCCGTTGCTGATCGGTGTCCAGACGGACGCCAGGTACTGGGACGACCCATATATCTGGCGACCATCTCGCTGGATTTTGCATGACGACAAGGGAGACGAGGGGCTACTTCCCCTGGTCGGAGGGCCCCCAGATCTGCGTTGGCAAGAAATTTTCACTGGTTGAAGGCGTGGCAGTGTTGGCTTGTTTGTTACAGGAGCATCGCTTGCTTGTGCAGGTGGAAGCAGGCGAAACGCAGGAACAGGCCAGGCATCGAGTCCGCAACTGCATAGACGACGTCAATTATAATCTGCTGCTTAGGATGAACCATCCTGAGCGGGTCAGGTTGGAGTGTGTCCCAATCCAAACCGAAATCCGGGCCTAGATTAATTTCATATTTGGCTTTCTCGACCCTCTGGTTCGACACATCCATTGTATCTGCCAGTTCGTGACTGGGAGCCGCCGGGTAAAGCCCCCTTGGCCTTAGATTTGCCGCCTTTCAACTTGAGCTACAGAATGAGGCCGTCAATCATGTCCGCCATCCCTGTCCTGCGTTGGGACTCCGGAGTACTGCAGCGTATAAAATGAAGCACAGTGTGTGGATTCTGCCACAAGTTATTCTTGGCCAAACTCACCGTGAAGCAGTGTAACTTGGCTTGCAACCGGTACAGCCTGGTTCACACACAAAACACCAGCCTTTGGGAGCCGAATTGGCCAAAGTACGGAGTAATAGGGTGGTATCTGCCATGCATTCCTGTTCAGCCCAGTTTGCGAGTGTCCCCGTATGTGCTATACACTTCATACTGTCAGTTGCAGCCTTGAGAGGCTTGTCTTACTTTTAATGACGCTACCTGTTTCTTATTCTGCAGACAACTTCCATTATTTCCTAGATATGTACTCCTACCTCCAGCCCTCACTGAGTATGGTTCCTGCCAGGGCGATGTTTCTGCCGAATCCCTGTCTTACAGCTCCTGGTGCATGGAAACGAGTGCTTGGGGGCTAAATATTTTCCGAATGTGTGAATTTGTAGAGCATTTTCTGCAGTGCTCGATGGTGTGGTCATTGGAAGAATATTGGCTATGCTGGGGAAAACACCAAGTTGATTCTTCCACAGCTCCATAAACGTATCCATGCGATAGTTAAGCTCCAAAAGCCCCTCCATCCACATTGGATGGGAGTGAAACGAGGCTTTTCTCCAAGCTGATCTGCTAGACAACTAGCCGGATTACGCCAAAACTGGTCCAACCTCTTCGTCTGTGGTCCTTGGTTAGAGAAGGAGCATGTCAAGATGAATTCGACAAATCATCTTTGCAAGATACTGGCAGGGAGACCGCCCGGCGGCAAGTACAATTTCATTGATCCTCCCAGTCTGGGACCGACTGTCATCGCCGTTGGCACTACGCTGCTGGTCATTTCGATCGCCTTCACGGGTGGGCGGCTGTTTATCAATCGCAGCAAGTTGCACTCTGCCGACTGTGAGACCCTAGCCCTAGGAGAATTCTGGACCAGGAAACGTGCAGTAGCTTACTGGCATACAGAAGACATCACATTGGTGGCGTGCCTGTTGAACATTGCCTACACTGGCGTCATCATTGCGCGTAAGACACGACGTTGTGCCATGTTGCTTTTTGTTTGAACCGTCTCGCCTCAGCAGTACTGACGGAAAACCTCATCTGGGCAGAGCATGATTCCTTCCGCCACGCCCGGGACGTTCCTGTGTGTTTTTACACCGGGCGCTTCCTTCAGCTCCCCTTCATCCAGACGGTGCTGTTCTCGCCCGTGCTCTTCTTCTCAAAAGCGGCCATCTTCTTGCTCTACCGACAGCTCTTTGCGACGGGCAGACGACTCAAGCTCGCCATCAACCTTGGCCTTGTCATCACCTTGCTCGTGTACCTGTCCAACATCCCACTGGCCGCCGTGTACGCGGCACCCGATCCTGGCAAGCCATGATCCTCGCTCCTCGTCAAGCTGCAGACCAAGGGCCAGAGGTTCTCCCTGGCTGGCGCTGTGCAGAGCGCTGTTGGAACAGTGATTGACCTGTACATAATCTTTCTTCCCATGCCCATTTTCCTCGGCCTCCACCTGCCGCTGAAGCAACGACTACTCCAGATCGTGTGCGTCTTTTCTATTGCACTTCGGTACGTCTGATCCCCGAAGCCCTCTGATTTGAGAACGCATTGGCCAACTCTCCTTTGCCCTGCAGCGGAGTGGCGGCTATAGCGTTGTGTCGCTTTACGCGAAGACGCAGCTCCTCTCGTCTGACGAATTGTCGTGGCTCGGCGCCAGGGCATCTACCTTCTTTAAGTCCCTGCGCTCTCGCCTGCAGTGTAGTCGTCGCGCCGGCACCGGCATGGGGAAGACTACATCGCCCAAGTTGAGTTTGTCTACGAGCAGCAGCAGCAGCAGCAGAACCGTGGCCAATTTGGTGGCGGCAGTGACGAGTCAAAACAGATCCTTGATTATGAAATGACTGACACACAGCCGCTCAAAGCTACGGGTCGGATTGGCATCGCCAGTCCAACCACGTGCGTGAGGACAGGCCGGCTCAACAATGGGTGTCAGCGGGAGGTAGAACCGACCATGCACGTCGGTGAATTTGTAATACATTGTGTATACAGCCGCTGATGATAGAAACTACTGCATACGTCTGCCCATGGCGGGATATGGCTTCCTTTCATTTTCTACCCTGTTTGTTGACCAGTTCCTGCACGGCAAGGTGTCCGGGACGATGAACATGAGCTTGTGCCAGGCAAAGTACCGGGACATGCCAAGAGAATAAGCGGTGTTTGCGAGGTTGTGTTGCACCAGACTGCACAGTACACTCGGAAGAAGTCCGGTGTGTTGTGTATGAAGCTGCAGCCACGCCGTTGGAAAAACTGGTGCGCCTTGATGCCGTCAGCTGTCGTACGCCGGAAACAAGGGTCAAGGGACTCGAGGCTCTCCCTTTCCGGTTGCATAGCCAAGACCAACTGTGGATGTTCAAATGTTATCAATATTTTCTTCGCCCCCACCATCGAGACACTGTATCTTCTGGCACACCACGGCAATCCCACGCAACACATGTACATACATATAGTGCTGGCCCTTGCCATGTGTGTATGGCACCAGACGAGACCCTGCGCAAAGACCCCCATCCCAGATTGGCAGGCGAATACTCCGTACACCAGACGGCAGAAAGACAGCCACTGAGCACAGTGCAGTTTGAGGACGAAGGATCAACTAATTGAAGGCACAATGCCGACACGCCCGCCGCCACGCGCGTTTCATGGAGTGGAAGAAGGCGAGCGCGAGACAGTTGAAGGCGGAAAGAGAAGGCCGAAAGGCCGAGTGACAAAATTACATGCCACATGATTCTGGACGGATAAAAACATGAATGCCCCCGTTGAGCCCATCACGGTCCATTGCGACGCCCGGATATGCAGGCGCCAGTCTACACGAGAGCTCGGAACCAACACAAGCTGCAGCTGGGTGCACCTCGAGCGCTCATGTCTGTTCATAATCCGTCACCTATGTACATAACGGAGGGTCACATTGAGTACAGGCGGCGCAGTTTCCTGGCCCAACAAGATGATGGACACGTTGAGTCTCCGTCGTGTGTGTGTAAGGTTCTTTCTGCATCAGTCCCCCAGTCCTCTGCGCCCTTTCACAGGGTTTACTTGACGCCTTTTTTCCCTTTTGCTCCTGTCTCTCTCTCTCTTGGCTTTTGAGCTGACGGTTTTTTTCGCAATGGAAAAGACCTGTGCAGCCTTGCAGGCCGCCCTCGGTTCCGACAAGGTCCTGTTTCCGGGAAGCGACGCATACGCCGCAGCGCTTACGTCGTATTTTAGCCCGCAAGTCTCGGGCCTCCATCCCCAGTGCTTCGTCACGCCCAGGTCGCCCCGCGATGTATCCTGCGTGATTGAGACCATGAGAGCCACCGGAGGCGAGTTTGCCATACGGGGCGGCGGGCACCAGTGGTTCCGAGGCGCGACCAGTTGCTCCGGAGTCACAGTCGACATGCGCGGCCTCGACTCGGTCGTCATCAGCGGCGACAGGTCGAGCGTGACTGTCGGCGCGGGCGCGACATGGGACGCCGTCTACGAGACGCTGGATGTGCTGGGCTTCAGCGCCGCGGGCGGCCGTGTTGCCGGCGTCGGCGTGGCAGGGCTCGCTGCCGGCGGCGGCATCTCAAGTGCTCCTACTTTGGCCCGCGGGAGGGCTGGACCTAGGGCTGGACCTGCAATCAGGTCATTTTGTTCGAGGTTGTTCTCGCCGACGGCTCCGTTGTCGAGGCCAGCGAGCAGCAAAACTCGGACCTGTGGCTGGCGCTCCGCGGCGGGTGCAACATCTTTGGCATCATTACTAGCCTCGATGTCAAGACGTTTGAACAGGGCCTGCTGTGGTCGAGTCTTACGCTGAGCCCGCTCTAGGCCGTCGACCAGCAAGCCCGCGTGTATGCCGAGCTTATGGATCCGGCCAAGTATGACGAGAATGCGTCGTTCCTCTTTGGCTGGTCTTTCAACAGCACGCACAAATTGAGCGTTGCCCTGAACCTGCTCATCTACACCAAGCCCAACGGCAACGAGGTCCCCCAGGTGCCGCCTTTTACCAACCGGTCCCCGACCTGCCGACAATCCCGTACCCTGCGGCCGGCGCCACCGTGGCCAACATGTCGACACTCGCCAGACAAGGCGTCTCACTGCAGCCGCCACAAGCGGCCCGGTATGCAACTCTTCATCTGTCATGTTGAATACCGAGTCGGCTAACGGGCGGTAACGATACAGCTACCTCTCGACAACGGTGACCTTTGCGCCTACAGAGGCCATGATCCGCGCCACGTTCGACGCCTACAACGCCAGCTTGCCGTCGGTACAGGACATCGCAGGCATCAGTTGGAACATCAACCTGGAGGCGCTGCCGCCGCAGCTGTACGCGCTGGGGCTGGCAGACCGGTCCGGGCGGCTCGCCGTGTGTCTCTTGTCGCCTGCGTGGTCTCGTGCCGGCGACGACGACAAGGTATACGCGGCGGCGCGCACGCTCATGGAGGAGATTAACTGTAGAGCAAGGGACCTCGGGGCACACGACCCGTACATCTACATGAACTACGCGGCGCCGGGGCAGGAAGTGATTGCGAGCTACGGGCAGGCGAGCGTGGCACAGCTGCAGCACGTCAGGGCAAGGGTTGATCCCCACGGCCTCTTCACCCATCAGGTTCCCGGGGGGTTCAAGATTCCCCAGTGATGGAAGTTAGACGCGCAAGGTAGCCACGGTTCCGTCAATACTACAGATACTACATGCCGTCAAATGTTTATCATTGCCAATCGCCGAGAATGGTCTCGCCCCCCACCAGCCGGGTATACTTTACCGATTCCGCCCAGACCAACGCGCGCTTCTGGGCGTCCCTCGCCTCGGGGTTCGTCTCCATCGGCTCCCTGCCGTTGTAGTAGACCGCCTTCGCGCCGGGCCGGGCGTCTGCGTTCGCTCCGCCCAAGAGGCCCGCGACGTGCAGGACATCGGCCCCGGAGCGCTGCGGCGTCCGTACGGGCCCGCGGGGGAACAGCAGCGCGACGGCGGGCAACACGGCGCCAAAGAGGATCACGCGCATGGCCCACGGCGCGAGGCGCGTGATGCTCGTCACCATGGTGCCCGGGTCGACGCCGACGACGCGCAGGTTCCCGAGGCGGGCGTCGGCGTCGGCGCGCCGCTGCAGCTCAAACATCATCATGAGCAGGCACAGCTTGGACGCGCCGTAGCGCCGGAGCCCGCTGCGGAACGAAGGGTCTTCCTTGGCCGAGCCCCAGGTGCCCTTTGCCACGGCCTCGACGCTGGCCTCGTCGCTGCCAATGATCTGCTTGTACTTGCCTTCAAACGCCTTGCTGCGGTCGTTGCGCTTATCACTAGGGCTGCAGCGTGGGACCCTCGGTTAGCCTTATAAATATCAAGTATGTTTTTTGTTTCTCTTGTTCGGAGGGGGTTGGACGCTTACTCGTGCATCTGGCTTCCAATAACAATAATAGTGCCGGCTTCCTTGTCCATGCTCTGGAGAAGCAGGAGCGTGAGCAGCCAGTGTCCGAGGTAGTTGGCTGCAAAGGTGACGTCGAACCCGTCACTCGTCCACGTCTGCTTGCCAAAGTCGAGCAGGCCAGCGTTGAGGATGAGGGCGCGGATGGGCGGGATCTGGCCGGCAGACACGCGGCTCTATGGAACAGCCCGCGGCGTGAGACAGTAGCAAGACGTGAGGGCGTTTGGAATCATTCGGATGGGGACTCACATTGATGTGCTGTGCGACTTGGCGAACGTTGGCGAGGTTGGTCAAGTCCAGAGAGGCCACCTCTTGCTTGTGCGACGGTGAGCCTCGCGAAAGGGCCGCGGCGAGCGCCGGCGCTGCGGACGCGTCTCGCACGATGTATATACCGTGATGGCCTAGCAACTCGGGCCTGGAAGCTATATGCTCTGCTATTGCACTTCCCAGACCGCCGTTGGCGCCGGTGACGATGATGGTTCCTTTGCCCGCCATTGTGCTGGCGACTGAGGTGCCTAAGAGTCGGGTCGATGCTGTTCACGGTGCGGCCACAGAGACCGGATGACTGAGAACGCGGAGCAAGGTGGTGATGAATGTACGGAGAAGATGGATGGAGATGGCTACGAAGCAGGCTCGTGAGACTTTATTGAATACGGCGCCATGGGTATGAAATGAGGCAGAGGTGACACCTCATGTACGGGCACCTGCGGTGTTCCCCCCCATGCTCCCCGGTGCCGTGTGATGTCTGGTATTCACCAAGATTGCACGAATGGGTAGTTGTGCTCGTATGTATGTGAGTGGGGAATATGATATGAAGGCTTTAATCGCCGTGTTGGTCGCACCGAGTCTGTTGATTGTAGAAGCGAGGCTGTGGGCGCACGTTGGTCCATCCGTGTCAAGTCGCATTCGACCATTGATGGTGTGTTGGGAGCATGACAATACCCCAGGGTTACATTGCACGCGCTGCTCACCCATCCTTGTATTTACTCGAGTACCTACACGTACTCTCGAGGTACTGGAGCAGACATGACGGGCAGCAAATGCAGTCCATGGCCGCATTTTCCCAACATTGAACATCGCGCTCATGGGTGCCCTTTGGGCTCTGACGATTACGCAAAGACCACGCATTAATTGCATAAAAGTACGACATGATATTGCCTTTCTTTCCACCACTGTTGGTTATATTTTCCCTCGTTTCAAGTGATTAATGCGCCACAGGTGCTTCACCTCGTGTTCCTCTTCTGGTTTTCCCCGCCGTACCGAGCATTTGAGCGTATGTCACGAATTTCTTTACGTACGAGCAGTCATATTTACTTTTGAACAACCTGAGCCGTAGCTAGGCTTTATATAATTTCTAACGTGTACTACATAAGATATATGAACTGCGACCTGCTTTCTTTCAAATGAGTGAAATGATGGTACGACTGTCAGAGGCCAAAGTGAGAGAGAGCCAAGATAGTCATATTTGTAAGCATTATCAAGTAGAATTGGAGGCACTAATAAGTTTGTCTCGAGCAGCACGGGAACCTATCAAATAAGGTATTAGATTGTGTAGACTTGGGGGGGGTATATTCCTCCTCCGCTACCTTGCGGCTATCAGAGGGGTATTTAGGAAGTAAATAGTTGGCATAGCCTTAGGAGCACTTGAGTCAATAGTTCGTCCAACACATACAGCGACTTGAGCTGTTGTCTCAGTTAGCAGTAGCTTTTGGTCGTTTAAGACTACCCTCTCTTAATACGCTAGGGCGCTTTATACGAATATTTATCACGTTTTAATTCTTTTTTCCCTTATTCTTCAACCGATCTAAATAATCGTGCAAGCACTACATTAGGGCAGGGCCTATTAACAGTAGCATAATATGCCTGGCCGTACCCAAGCCAGAGAACCGCAACAGAGCGTGTAATATACCATGAACACAACCAAGGAACTAGCAGCTAAAAGAATAAGTACCGTCTGCTAGTTTTACCTAATTCTGGAGGACTATTGCCTTCTCATGCTTTCTGTACTCTATACACACTGCCTTGGCAGGCAGCGGTTGGGATAGCTCGGAGACCAACGCTGAATACACAGGGCGGACTTTGGTTCTAGCATTAGAGTTTTATTTTGAATTGGTAAGTTCAAGTATACTATTCCGATATAGTTTCTTTTTGCCTCTATAAGAAAACTAAATCAGCTTGTGTCATAATATGTGACAAGGGCTCAAAAAGGCTTGGAGCAATAGCTCAATTCATCTAATAAAAGTCTTTGGTATCAAAGGTCCTTGGTTTTCCTCAAGGCCTCGGTCGCCAAAGACGTCTTGGAATACAAGAAGTCGGTGAGGGCCTTCTGCCATAATCCCGTGGTCGTAGCCCTTGTGTAACGGGGCGATTTCCGTGTAACATAATATATATCTACCAGTCAAATTATATACTTATAAGCTCTTGTAGCTAGTTTAAATAGATACTGTAAGTTGGTAGTTTTGTAATCTTAGTCTATGCACCTTCCAATCTTTATGTTGAAATATCGCACCGGGCGTATCGACGCCTCCGCCACCAAGTTGCCATATATCCTATTAGCGTCCCATCTAACTCGCTTGTTGTCCTCTACTCTTAAAAGACCCTACCGTGTTAGCTTATAATCACTATAGTAGGTAGAATTATCTGAGTTGTGTCTTTTAACTTTTTGGCTAGCAACTACTTAAACTCAAGGTGTGATGTATAAGGGCTTTAGGTCTTGTTACGATATAGGGTAGGCTATGCAATATTCAGAACTTGATGTGTATCAAACCTTTAGGTGACTTGCTTTATCTTGTCACGTAAGATAGAAGAAGTCCTTCAATAATGCCTTCACCAAAAAATACGTTAACATTCGGCTGTGGAGTCATTCAAGAGCGAAAGAAAGTGACAGATGCCAAGGATAGCATTCTATCCCACACGTCGCTTTGAGAAGACTTTGTCGTTACATATCTCGCTGCTGTACAGACCAGACATACATGAAAGGTACTTGGAAAATAAACATATGCAAACAAGGGGAAGTCTCCCTCAGTAGCAGTTGTACACGCTCACGAGTCGATATACTTTATTTGGAAGAGTCCATCGGGGATTCACTTGGCGCGGCCTACAGATGGCGTGTAGAATACAGCCCAATAGAGAAGTAGACTGTGCTTCATATTTGAGCTTCATAAATAGCCCCTCAAACTAGCTACCGAAATATTTGTGTAGATTTTGAAGCACAAGAAAGCGGCATCACTCACACATTGGCACGCCCAACGGTCAATATTTCCATTGTCAACATGAAATAATCGCAGTCAATTTTAATACCAACAACTCATTATATCTATTTTTCAACTTCAGGGCTATACAAGGTGACAGTCCAAAACATGAATATCCCAACCTCACTCTTTGCCACGGGTAGATGGCCTCAACCACACCTTGGCGCTCATATCGGGCAGAATAAACTTGCCAAATGGCATATTCTTCGGCCTTGGCCCAAAGTTCTCGACACAAAAGTCGAAATTTTGCAAGAGATGCACCATGGCAAGCTTCACCTCGTCGGAAACCATGAATCGGCCAGGGCAAGCATGGCGCCCAATTCCAAAATGCATGCTGCGTTCGTTGGTGGAAGTGAGGTCACACGAGGACACGAGCTTTGGGTCATGCCTCATTTTGGAAAATCGGAAGCCGTCGAAACGCTGGGGATCCGGATAGAATCTCTCGTCCTGGAATAAAGGGGCGTTGGGGGTGAAAATTGCGCTCCCCTTCGGAATGTGCAGACCATTGGAAAAGGTGTAGTCCCTAAGAGCCAATCTCGCCAGTGCGGCTAATACAAATGTTAGAAATTATACCAGACCTCTGGCGTAGATGGGCGAGGAGGCAACACGTACATGCGTCGAGCGGGTTCATTCGCTGCGTCTCCTTGATGAAACTATCTACCTTGTACATGGAGTCCAAAGCCTTCTTGGTACCCTCGCCGTGCAGTTCAAAGCATTGCTTTATTTCCTCTCGTAGAGGGTCAGCATACTCGGGACGTGTGGCGAGCTCGAAGATTGTATGCACCACTAGCTGTCGGGGCTGTTAGCAATGACTCCAACGTATGCAGAATGAGCAACGTACTTGACTGGACGTATGCAATGCAGCAAATATTGTGTTGGTCATCATATCGGTAATATGCCAATCGTCATATTCTTCGCCCCGTTGGTCAACCCAGTCGATGGTGAAGTCGAGGAGATCCTACAGCCTTGGATTAGCAAGCTCAGCCTGGCCATTGCAGTTGCCGAGCACAAACCTTCATGGGATTCTTTTCCCGGGTACTTCTCCTTTGTTGTATCTCGGTGTACAAAATGCCCTGCAGCTTCCTCACAAGTCGCGGGGCAGCCAGGAGCTTTGCGACAGAACTGGGCATTGTCAGTCGCAGGACGGGAGTGTGAGAAGACTTGAAAGAAGCGGACGTACGGCCTTGCCCAGGCTGGCCAAGAGCGCAAGATAAGGGCATCCCGGGGGATGGCATCGCCGAACCGGCAGCACATGTCTAGAAACTCGACATCCCTACACAAAGGCTCACCGAACAGAGAGTATGTTGTAAGACGTGCAATGACCTTGATGGCAAGTGGAAAACACGGCACAGCGCTCCATCCAGAGTCTGCGGCCGGGGGAGTACCTCGGAACAATGAGAAGATGCTCGACCTCTGGTTCTGTACTAGTCGCTGCGTTTCTTCCTGGAACCCATGGATAAACTCGGCTGAGAAGGACTTGAAGAACGGGTCCTCGGGTTTGCTTGCCCTGGTCCTCTGCCAGCTCAAGGCCTTTGCAATGACCGAGTTGGGTATCCTGCGGACATCGTGTAGCTGGCCTGGAAGAAGATGCTCGAATTGGAATTCCTTGGTCACTGTTAGACGTGCTGCGATGTGACCTGGTTCTGCGGCATACCTCGGACATGACGGCCCGGAAAGACAAGTGATCATCATCCACAGTATAATATTCCTTTGTCATCTGGCGATCGCATATAAATATGTCCATTCGGGTCATGGTTGGTATCTGAAATGCAAAATCACCATGCTGTGTGTCGACTGTTAGCTGCGTTCCATGTTGCCATGAGAGCCGAGAGCAACTTGCCTTGGCGTATCCCTCGCGAATAGATTCTCGGGCGTACCAAACATTTCGAATCGCCGCCAGCCATTTCGTATATCGCACTCCAACCCCGATAATGGGCACATCCACCTTGAGACATGTTTATTATCTTTTGAAACGCGGTACCGGAGAGGGAGTGCACTCTTACTGCTATGGGATAATCGAGATACAAGAAGAATGCGGCAGCAGCTACGGCAACGCCAATAATGGCAAATACCGCGGCCGGATAATCGTCAAATACATTCAGTCGTTCGGATAGCATTGTAATGTTGAGTAGGTATCCAGACGTCTTGCTCAAAACTCGAGATGGTAAAGAAAAGTGTAAGCCATGATGACGAGCGGCGCCGTGGCTCTTTGTCCCTCGCCGTTAAAAAGGCCAGCCAAGGTAGTCTGAGCGTGTCTGGTAGTTTGCGCCCATGGCTCCTTTCGAATAATCACGCCGTCATAGCTGCTGGCCGAATTTTCCGATCCTTGACGAATTTTGCAGCACTGTCTAGGATTATCGAGGGCCGGTAGATTGATGAGTCGAGTTCGGTGATAAGACGCATACCCTAGCAGGAACACCGGCCATGGCGACAGCCGCAACGATGGACAGCCGACCATGTGACCCGAAATGTCGTGATGGCCCGACCGAAAATGTCGTGAGCCAAATTGATCCGCGATTGTGGGCCGTTGGCGGCAACATATCATGCAGGTCCCGGGGCGGCGGCGATATGCGAAGAATGCTAGAGTCCGAAACTGCATAGCTCCCGGACAGGCCACGCGCATCTCCGATCCAAATACGACATGTTCCATGCGACGCGGCTGAGACTAGATGCGGCACGTCGAATGGTTCGTTACCATCGGGGGTTGCACCGCATCCGAACGACGGGGGCCCAGAGATGCCGGAGCCACCGCGTCATGTTGCATTTCCGACAGCTAGCCAATAACCAATGCCATGGTTCTGCTTAGCCAGTTTTCCCCTTGTGTTCTACTGCATAAGGGTCATCGTCACAGGTGGCGGCAACTCCACCAGTGTGTCTCTAATCTGGAGAATTGGCCCGTCGCAAGCGTCGTCATAATTCAGGGTCCAGGAACATGTGAGTGCGCCTTGATCACAGTGACTAGACTTAAACTTTAGCTAAATCTAGCGTCAGCGGCATAACGGCTCTACATGGTGTAAACCTTTACTTTTCCCTGCTGAAATCTTTCATCCCGTCTTCACGTTCGACAAGTCCATTCTTCAACATGTCGCTTTTACCTGTCGTCGTAGTTGTCGTCGCTCTTCTCCTCTGCTATGTTGTTTACAGTAGCAACCGGAAAGAAAGCATACCCAGTGCCAGATGCTGGCCGTCCTTCTTTCCCAAAGTCTTTGACCGGTTGAGTTACAATAGCCAGGCGCCTCAACTCATCAAACATGGGTATCAAAAGGTATTCGATGCCAAGTTCCCGACAATATCGCGGAGCAGTCACTTACTGCGCTATAGTTTCGAGATCAACCGTTCAAGCTGCATAAAATGGACATGGACTTGGTCGTCATTCCACTCAAGTACGCCTCTGAACTGCGCGCGGTTACAAACGACAAGTTGGACCCCTTGACAGCGAGCTTTGATGACAATGCTGGCGCCGTTACGAGCATACTTCTCGGGAGCGAACTGCACACACATGCCATACAACGGCGCTTGACTCCCAGGCTTCGTAGGCGTCATGAAGTCCGACATTGACTGACGTTGTGCTAACAAAATGTAGCGAAAATCATCCCGGTGATGATGGACGAGCTGAGGCTTGCCTTTGAGCAAGTTTTGCCCATGCAAGATGGTGTGTATTCCTCGACCATAAACATGTATCCATCTAGCACGAGCTGACAACCATGGATGCCTAGATTCCTGGGTCGCAGTCAATCCGTACGAGATGGTTCTTCATCTGGCTACTCGTGCCGCGGCACGGGTGTTTGTGGGAGAGCCAACCTGCCGCGACGAGATTTTTCTCCAGACAACCGCTTCATATAGCCGCAACGTCTTCGAGAGCATCTCCACGTCGCGCCGGTTCGGCAGTCTGCTGACATCCTTTTTTGGAACGTGGGTTCCCGAGGTGAGAGAGGCCCGCGACCAACTGCAGTACATCCAACAGCTCCTGGGCACAGAGGTCAAGAGACGCAGAGAATCTCCCAACGAAGAGCACGATGACTTTTTGCAATGGTGCATGGATCTGGCGAGGACCGAGGAAGAATCGCAGCCAGAGGCCCTTGCGCACCGCACGCTCGGAATCCTGAGCATGGCCGTGGTCCATACAACGGCCATGGCCAGCACACATTTAATCTTTGACATGATTGCGGACAAGGATCTCACAAACAGCCTTCGAAAGGAACAGGCAGCTGTTCTGAAAGAAGGTTGGATGAGCATCTCGCAGCAATCCATGCTTGACATGAAGCACCTGGATAGCTTGATGAGAGAATCCCAGCGGATTAATCCAGTCGGAGAGTGTATGCGCAATCCCGACTCTCGTACATGGAATGGGCATGGCTAACCAGGACCGCAGTCACTTTTAGGCGTCTTGTCCGGAAGCCCGTTACATTGTCTGACGGATACCAATTAGAACGCGGTCAGCAGATTGCGCTTCTCGCAAGGTCTATTCACATGGATGAAGAAAACGTGCCCGATGCAGCTACTTTCAAGCCAGACCGGTGGCTCAAACAGCAGAATTCCGCGCCGACTTCGTTTTCTAACAGCAGCACTGCCAACCTCAATTTTGGCCTCGGCCGATATGCCTGCCCAGGACGATTTCTTGCTTCTGTGCGTGATTCAAGTGTTGCTTTGCTTTGTTTTGATCCAGCCTTGCTAATTGGATTCACAGTACACGATTAAAGCAATCATGAGCCGACTTTTACTCGAGTATGACTTTCAATTGCAGGGACAGTTTCCCTCGGGGCGGCCGCCCAATATGCTTCACGGAGATAGAATTTTTCCTCATCGCACGGCGGTTGTTCTCCTGCGCCGCCGTAATGCTGTAGCATCTAAAGCTTGAAATGGGCACTGCTCCAGGACGCACATGTCGCCAAAGTTGGAGAATTGTAGCTATAGAAGTAGAGACGGTTGAAAGGGGAGGTGTTTTATTGAGCTTAGAATGCAGTTTGACATGTCAAGATGAGAGTATAGATTAGATAGGAAAATTTCAAGGTTCAATTTGCCGAATTCGTTTCAAACCACGTCTGTTTCAGGTGAAAACTGAAGTGTCATCCAATATCAGAGTCATCAGCCGATGAGCAGAATCTAGATATTCATGCGTCGTAGTGCTATTAAACTCCGTGCCGAACTACGCAAGTCCGCCGATGTCGCCGTCTAACGGACACGAGCGGGATTAGGTTGAGTTGCCGTGGAGAAAAAGACCCTGCTTCGTTCCGGCTGATAAAGTCCCACATGTTCCGTCCCATACGGCTATTTTTGGGGCGCCGTATGTAGTATCCATGTATAATGATAAAGCCAGATACGTCCGCAGTGTTTAGAGACGGGGGTGTGGTTAGTGTCCTCGGTATTATCAGGTACTTTGCCACTTTGCAGGGAGGTATGCGAGTCATTGCCTGATAGGATCTCTTTTGAACGGTTATATCCGATCTCGAAAGTTGAAGAGGGAAAATTTGCAATTGACATGTGGACGGATGACGTATGAGCTACAGATGCGACTGCAGGAGGAGCTCTCGGGAACATTCAAAGAGGCTCTTCGCGCACCATTTTTCTTTGCACATCACTATACCAACCATTCTCAGATACTCTGTTTCCAATTCCTCACCGCTTTCTGCCTATTACTCTTCCTCTGAGCGATTGCCCGAACATTACAGGATGGCAACCCAAACGGTAACAGTTCTTGGCCAAGATGTGACGGCAGATTCCCTGGATATGAAATACTGGTCGGATAACTTTATCCCACCAGTCAAGTCTCTTCTAGAAGCTACGGAGGCCTACTCTCCATCGGAACAAGAAGCCCAGTTACGCATCCTGAAAGAAGTTGTTCTGCCCAATCTTGGTCCGCGGCCGTCCAAAGCTGTTGGGCCCTCGCATCTGACGCAAAGTGGCTCTCCACTTCAGCTCAGTCTCAATGCGTCATCCAACAATTGCGTAAGGTATTGTTGGGAGATGTTGGGTGCCAGCGGAGGACACGGCCGTGACCCTTTGGCCATACAGGCCGCTCGAGATATCGTGGCTTCTGTTTCTGCCAAGTTTGGCTTTTCGACCAAATGGAGCAGCGCGTTGCTATCCGCCTTTGCTGTCAAACCAGACGAGGCTCAGCATATTATTGATATGCTTCCCCAGTGGTTGCAAAGCTTTGTGCCCGAAGGTGTTGAAGCGGCTCCTCTGAAGAGAATCCCCTTTGCGCTGACCGCCTTCGACCTCAAAGGCTCCAACATATCCATGAAACTCTATGTTAATCCCAAGGCTAAGGAAATCATCACTGGTACTCCAGCAGCGGGTGAGGTTTGGAAGATTCTTCGAACTCTCACGCCAGCATTTAAGCCCGAAGCAATCGACATGCTAGAGAAGTAAGTCTTGAGTCAACACAAAACCTCCCCCGCATTGCTGTACACACAAATACTGACTTTTTTGACAAGATTCTTCGCTGGTCTTCCTGAGCCGTCCCCGATCGAATTGGTAGGCATTGACTGTGTCGACGACGCCCATCTGTCTGATGCTAGGGTGAAGCTGTACATTCACACCAGGAGCAACTCGTTCAAGACTGTGCGCAAATATGTTACCCTCGGAGGGAAAATCAATGATGAAGAGACGAACCAATATTTGGAGAAGCTTCAGCCGATCTGGCACCTGCTGCTTCAAGAACCGGAAGGCCCCGTTGATGAGGATTTCGAAAAGCCGATTAACGATTCGTCCATGCTTTGCCAGAAATTGTATTTCAGCTTTGAACTGCAGCCAGGCAGGGACTTTCCCAACGTCAAGACTTATTTACCGACTTGGAACTATGTTCGAACCGATGAGGAAACCATTGCGAATTACCAGGAGATCTTCCAGATCTGCGGCCACCCCTGGGGTGAAGAAGGGAGATACAAGAAGATTTTTACGGATGCATTGTAAGTTGTTCTTTATTCCTCACCGAAGAGAGCCATGTTGATGCAGCGTGTGCTACTCTACGCTGCAGGTCGCATAATGATTCACTAATGATGGTATTACAGTGGCTCACCAGCACACGGTCGCAAGAGGCCGGTTCACTGCGACGCATCGTATATTTTCACTGAGAAAAAGGGCGTTTATCAAACATTGTATTACAGCCCCCCTCTTGCAGAAGAAGAGTGACGAGGTCCTTGTGAAGACGCGGGTTTCGTCTAATAATATCGTATTTGTCAATCGCGTTCAAATTATACAAGCAAAAGAGGATGGCGCGTACAATTGTAGCAGGAATAGTTTAGAGTAATACCGAAGTGCTTAGAAAATCCAAGAGTTTTTATACGCAGAATGACGACTCATACTTTTCAAACTGTCTTTACCATATATTCTGGTCGGGTTACGGTAGATGGCGACTGTCTTGCCATTCACGTCTTTCGCAACAACCTGCTGCGAATAGGGTAACGACCAGTCATGCACCGGTATAGGAGTTGCCTCAAACCAGACCATACTATATGCCTGACAACTAGGCCAAGGGGCGTACCTACAGAGAATGTTGGTCGGCAGTCAACCATACTACCCTTGAATACGTGCCATCACTGGTCGCGTTTCAGCGTGACACGTCGAGAAGAACGAAACGCCACTTGACATCTGCAAGCTGTGAAGTTACATTAGGCCTGCCCCTCATGTTCCGAACAGGAAGGGATTCATTCCACATCCGGCTAATACAGCAGCAACTATCAAGTTGACAATGTCGTTGCCGTACAGGTTGCAAAGAAGAGAAGTTGTACATGGCGGGGATTGTCGGAGATGAGAGCCCGCATGCCAGACACCAAATCGTGTCAAAGCATGCTTACAAGCTGATGTCAGGGATATTCAGTCAGGGGCCACTATTGCTGCATTGTTTTTGCTGCAGGACTCAACAGTCAAACAATTCCTGTCGTGCCACCGCACCAGATCATGTCCCTGCTCGTAATACTACAGACAGACGATAAGAATTACCTGTTTACAATTGCCATCACCAGACTCGGCGCGATCAGCATATCTATGATGGACGTAAGTGACACATTAGCAAAACGTAGGAACATGCATGTGTCAAGTGCGTAATCGTCCACATCTGAGTTCCTGTGCAGAATTGCGTATCCTATACTCTGTGTCACACCTGTCAGTCCGCTAGATCTGGATATGTTGGGAAAGCCAGAATTGGTGTTTGGAAGAGCCTAGTATCCTTGGTTCTTCTTTTTTGTTAAATTCAAGGCCTGGTGTGGCATTGCTGGAGCGACTGTCCTCTTATTCTACGTTTTATTTCAACTCCCATCACAAGATATTTCGTTCAAGACAGCAATTACAATGGCCAATCAAGCTTCCATGACCAACCTCGACTTGAGGTACTGGATGCGCCACAGCGTCCCGCCGCTGCTCGCTCTCCTAAGAGCGGCAGGGTCATACTCGGAAGCAGATCAAGGCAAACATATCCAATTCCTTTGCGATCATGTTCTCCCCAACTTTGGACCCCGCCCAACCGATGATTCCTCAAGCAAGTCGTGGTTCACCCAGAGTGGTTTTCCTATGGATCTCAGCCTGAACCTGAATGCCGGGCAGCCAAAAGTGAGATATGCCTGGGAATTCATAGGTCCAAATGGGCCCGAGGATGGCGACATGTACGCTATAGGCGCCTTGCGAAAATGCCTGGCATCTCTCTCCACGGAGTTGGGATTTAGCACTCAATGGGCTGATGCTCTACTGGATGCCCTTGCTCCAACGTCTGAAGAAGCAACGACAACCCAGCAAAATATTCAACAGTGGCAAGCGAGTCTTTTGCCACCTGGGGTTGAGCCAAAGGCCGGAGCCAGGCTCCCCTTTGCAGCGGTGGCATTTGGCCTAGATGGCCCCCGGACTGATACCAAGCTCTACATTAGCCCCCAAATCAAGGAGATGGGGTCTGTTAAATCTATGAATGAGACTATCTGGAATGTTGCGCGCCATTTGGAACCTCCAATTAGCCAGAACGCTATTACGGCTGTTTCCGAGTACGTTCAATGGCTACTATTACGCATGAGTTGGTACATGTTTTAACTTGAAGCAGATTCCTTCTAGAGCGTCCCGGCCCACCTTGTATGGATTTGCTGTGCGTGGATCTCGTTAAAGAACAAGATTTACATCGAGCCAGATTCAAGATCTACATTCACACAACGAGCAATTCATTCAACACGGTTCAGCAGTGCATCACCTTGGGCGGCCGACGGCAGGACGAAGTCACCCTAAAGAGCCTAGAGGTCTTGAGGTCTATATGGCATCTTTTACTCCAAGAAAAGGAAGAGGTTACAAATGACTACGAAAAACCAGTCAACGATCCGGCAATGCTAGTGATGAAGCTCTTCTTCTGCATCGAGATTACTCCTGGTCAAGATCTCCCAGATGTCAAGTTGCAGGTTCCTATTTTTAATTATTTAAAGAGCGATTCGGAAACCATTGAGAATCTTGAGAAGATTTTCCAAAAATGCGGCCAGGAGTGGGCAGTAAATGGGAAATACAAAGAGGCCTTTGAACTTGCTTTGTAAGTTTTCTCTCTAATTTCGATGACTCTGATAGTTCGAATATTGAAGGGCGAAAACTAATGTCATGCACTGTAGTGGAGATCCCAGCACGGATCGTGAAGTGCCAATCCACGGCCACACATCATTCAGCTGCACTGCATCCGGGGTGTACCAGACTCTGTATTTCAGTGTGCCGAGGTGCCTAGAATAACTCGGAAGAACCGCATTGGGCGTCACTGAACTGTTAGACTGCCAAGCTGGATATCAGGGATGCCAGTGCTTTTTGCCCATCCCACGCGTACAATGCCCTGAAAGCGCAACTAGAGTATATAGTGCGATTTCAGTACTTGGAAGTATCTTAAAGGCGTCAAGTGGTTAAGAAAAGTTTCTGGCGAAAAACCCGGGTGTTTTGTTCTGAAACCGGGCCACTAACGCAAATTCGCGCGGCGAGGAGGTGTGGTTTAGGGTCTTGGAATAAGGGTTAGGGTTAGGGTCAGAAGCTATATAGGCAATGTTGCTTTAGGAAGAAAATATGCTACAGTACATGCGCTGTTGTCTTAACAATGATGCACCAGACCACATGTAGCCCAAGTCACAGTAGCTACTCTTGGCAACAACCTCTGAATCTTGTGACGAGTGTCAAAAACTAAAGACCTATTTTCATGCGTATCTTGGAAAACGTGCTACAATAGTTTTCTGCACGGAGATGACGTATCCTTTGGGAGGCTCGCCAAGCCCGATACGAGACACGGCAATTAAAAATACGTAGAATTTTGTATTGACAAAACTTGCGCAAGTTACATGCTACGATATTACTCGCGATTGGCCAGATTTTTGATAGTGTGATAGCGAAGGATAGGGAGCAGCGTATCAACAGATGGTATTCCATGAGAATCAACCTGGATAGGTAGTTCAATGGCCAAATACAACCACACTCTGTTTGCGACCTCGGTACAGGCGTCAAAATTGTGACATTGTTGGATACCATCGCAGAGAAGTGGACTCCCAGACGTGGGTGAGAATATCAAGTGGTTGGGTGACATGAGGCAAATTCCGCATTGTTATCTTGTCCTCGCCCCTACCATGAGCATGGTTGCGTATTGAGACTTGAGAATTAACGCATGAGAGCTCCTGCAGCTTCTATGGGCGCTGCAGAAAAATCGTATGTTCTTTCTTATCAAAGAAGGGTATTGATAAGCTCAATCTGCCGTGGCAAGTAATGAAACGTTGTAAGTGATATGTCACCAAAGCTCTCGCAAACTTGACGAAATTAAAAAAAGATCCGAACTTCCCAGTCCACTCTGCTACTTTTCTCACAATGAGGTAGGAAATTAACCGGTAATTTTACCATGATGTCGAAATGGCCAAACGCGGCAAGAGTTCGCCCAGATTTAGTAATGAGAGCAGCGCCTCGTCTCTATTTTAACTACTCTGCATGTTTGGCGAATTTGATAAAAATAAAATAACATTCAAATTGACTAGGCTGATTGTATGGATTATTTCAACTCCAACATCTTGAGAATTGCCCGCATCTTCTCTCCACGGTTTGTACCATTTTCCAAATCCGCCAACTGCGCCTTGGCCTGCTGAAGCAAAGACTCAATCTTTTGTCGCGAGTAGACAAAACTTCCCGTAGACTCTATATATCCAACCGCGTACTCCTTCACCATGGGATCCTCACTGCGCTGCTTCAAAATATTCAGCAGTCGCAGATCCCCCGGGCGCGATCGAATACTATGAATAATGGGATACGAGAATTTGCCTTCAGATATGTCCTCGCAGTAGCCCTTATTCTTTGAATACACGTCACTTTGCAAGTTTTGATAGTCGTCCCGAATCTGAAACAGGGCTCCGAGAGTCTCTACCAGCGGGACGAAGTCGCGTTTGCTGGAGCTTTCACCCTGCATCAGCCGGATCGCGAGGCGGAACAGGCCCCCGGTTTTGTTTTGAATCATGCGCATGTACTCTTGCTCGGTTGGGCAGTGTAGCGAGTCTCGCCAGTGAAGCTCCATGCCTTGGCCGCGGTGTAGGTTGACTAGCTCCTCGGTGAAGATGGCATATGCGCGCGGGTTCGTGAGCTGGTCCAACTCTTTTTGGGCCATGAAGTAGGCTAGGTTGGCGGAGTTTATGGTCTGCGCAATGCCAAAGATGCTGTGGGCAACGGGGACGCCCCGTCGTAGTTTGGACGAGTCCTGAATATCGTCAATGCTACAACTTGTCAGTATCACTTTGGCAAAGCTTGCATGACGACGACGTAAACTTACAGCAGAGAGGCGTTGTGGAGTAGATCAATGATGCGTTTTATCACAGTGACCTTTTCCTCTGGGACGCAAAGGAACTGGTTGAATGCGTTCGTTAAGCCGCCACGGATATCTTTTCCGGGCGACTCTCGCAAATAATCCAGAGGTGCAGTCAGAACCTGGTCTTGGGTGAGCAACTCTTTTTTCTTATCGAGTTCACGTCATACCAACCTTGTCTTCTAGGTATGTGGTGTTTCCATTGGAGCGCGGAGGGGTGGCTTGCGACCAACATGTCATATCCTGAGGACGAATGGTTTCCAATGTGGTGGTGGTGGTGGTGGCCATGATTGTATTCGAGCAGAGACAATCAAGTCTTTCAAAAGTGTCGGGTCTAGTGAGTAAAGGAGCACAGAACATGGTTTGTCTTTCGCAAAGATATGGGCGAGGGTGTATTTGATAAGGAGAATATGGTCAGCTCCAAGCTCATCGACCAAGTACAGCCAGGCCTTATCAGTGCGAAATGAGCTCGGTATTCTCTCAAGATTGAGGTTGTATGCGGCGCATCCGAACACGCCGAAAATAGTGACAGGTTACATGTGGCAACTATGACGGCATCTCCGTTCGCTTTCATTAGTCACAAGGCGTATCAAAGGGCATGGCTCTTTATTAGTTTGCATATGGCCATGCAGTGCAACCAGCGAGATCCGATTTGCCAAGCAATTGGTTTATTTTCTATTCTAGGCAAGATATCCACCTTGTGCAACATGCATCAAATACGGGGCGTCAATATAACATTTGCGATGGCCTCATGGACCACCATTGCCGGCGGCCGACAAGGTGGATTGTGTTTCTGTCGTCCCCTTTCACGAGATCAGTCCAGCTTCGCAGCCTTCTGCTCGGCCCGGGACACCAGATACAGACACACTCCATAGGTCGAGTCGGCGAGCACGAAAGTGGCGAGACTCCAGAGAATGAGCGGGCTGCCGAGCCAGCCATATACCTCGGGCCAGTACTTCCAGCGAAGAAAGGCAAAGCCGACGGTGCAACACGAGCCAAGAAATCTGCTGAGCCTGGGGTGATGTCAGTTCCACGCCGTCGCAGTTACACAAACCTGCAAGACCCTTAACATACCATAACGTCCAGGATGTTCCTCGTGTGCTGTTTCTCTGCAGCAACTGGCACATGCCGCCGATACTCAAGGCCAGTTGGCATATGACGGCTCCCCATGAGTACGCCAGCGCAGGCCCTATTTCCAGGGCCAATGCAACATGACCAGTGAAGCACACCAAGGTTCCCAAAAGGAGAATCAAGGCTGCATGGTCCGCAACCAAGGGAGAGTGACTCCACTCGATCCTTGCCGATCGGGCTGCCGTTGCCATGATGAAGACGTTTAGAGTCACACCCGCGGCGAAGACGGCCAGCTCGACCTTGTTGGACGACGGGTATACCAGCGTATACACGAGTTCCCAGCCAATGTTGTTGCAGAGCGGAAGAAGAGCCATGCTGTACGTTTCTCCCTTTGCGGAGTGCCAGATCATCAAGGCGTAGTTGACGACCCAGCCGAGACCCATCAATGCAACAAAGGTGTCAGCTAGCCATTGAATCTCCTGATAGCCGGATGGGGCCTGCGCGTTGTTGAATCCGTCCATGTCGTCAGAAGCCGCAGTGTCCGAGGAAACTAGGAAAAAAGGTGAAGAAAAAAGTTGGTATACCAGGAAGAAATGACGGACGCAAGCATTCTTTTTATACCCCTTGGAACCTGATGGTCAGGTCCCGAAAGCCACAAACTCTTGGCCTTTTCATCAGATATTAAAACTCGACAGGTTCCCGTTTGGAAAGCAGTCGTCATTACCCACTCACCTTCATCTACTTGATTTCACCATCTACACAGCTGCCCTAGAATACCTACTTCCAAGGCCTAGTAGTGACCCCAACATTCAGACTCTCACCTTGTTCACTGCTTCCCATCAACTCGACACATACCACTCCTAACTACAACAATGGCTTGGCTCACAGGTCGCTTCATGGCCGGCGAAATGGCCGCCGTCTTGTCCGCATTCGCCCTCGGATACCTCGTCCGAAACAGATGCCACGACAAGAATACTGCCTCTCAAACCGTCAAACACTACGGCTATGACAAGAGCCGTTCCCTCGAGAGCAACAGCGAAGCCGTCGACAAGCTCCCCAGCTGTCCGTACGAATATCTCCTCGGCATCTACGGCCGTCACCACTTCGCGCCCTTTGTCAAGGCGTTTAGTCCGACATTGAAGAATGACGACCCTGACAAGTACGCCCTCATCCTGGACATTATGGACGCCGTGCACTTTTGCCTCATCCTCGTGGACGACATTTGCGACGACAGCACCAAGCGCAAGAACCAGACCACGGCGCACATGCTCTACGGGTCGTGTGAAACGGCCAACAGGGCGTACTTTGTGCTCACAAAGACGATCAACAGGGCCATGCGGGAACGGCCTGTTCTGGGCGTGGAATTGCTCAAGGCCCTGGAGCAGATGCTCGAGGGGCAAGACATCTCCCTGGTCTGGCGTAGGGATGGACTCAAAGCCTTTGGGTTCGCGGAGGAGGACAGAGTCCCCATGTACAGAAATATGGCGCAACTAAAGACGGGGACACTGTTTGTGCTTCTCGGAAGACTGCTAAACGACGGTGGGGATCAACTAGATGATCTATTCACTCGATTCGGGTATGCACTTTTTTTGTTCTTTTTTGCTCTCTGTTCAGTAAGCTAATCGATCTTGCGATGTAGTTGGTACGCGCAGCTGCAAAACGATTGCAAGAATATATATTCCGACGAGTACGCCGTCAACAAGGGTGGCGTGGCGGAGGATCTGCGAAATGGCGAGCTGTCTTTTCCCATTGTCGTTGCTCTCAATGATAAACACGTCCATTCTCGGATTGAAGAGGCGTTCCGGAGCCGTAGCGAGGGCGATATTGAAAAAGCCATGGCGGGTTTGCAGTCTCCCAGTGTGAAGAAGGCGTGCCTGGAGGCGCTTCAGGATGCTGGCAAGGGGTTGGACAAGTTGGTGGCGGTCTGGGGACGACGGGAACAGATGAAGACGGCGTGAATTTTTGAATACCAGGTAGTCTTTTTACGGGACGGTGTGAGCCCGGCAAGCAGGTAGACGTGAATTTGACCATACTCGTTTGACACTCGATTATTGCGCATGTTGACAAATACAACGAGCTATTTCCATGAAAACTCTGTTTAGCCATTACAGTGACGGTTTGACACTATGGCCAATTTGCTCTCCAGCAGCCAAGTGTCACCCCTCTTGTTCATGGTTGCGTCCCAAAACGGGTATATCACGAGCGTACGGGTTGGATGTTGATGGTTATGGCTGACAACGACGAGCGTAACAACAGCCGGTTTACTGAAACCAGTTGAACAAGTCCCGCCCATTTCTCTATTCAGCTTCGAGGAAACAACCAGCTCGTGTCTGCCTCACATGCCCATAATAGCAACACACCTACGCAGCGATCAAAAAGCGGGACGATCTCGGGAAGGATGGATCGCCTTCAGAGCCACGGATGGAGTGGAGTTGGCTTCAATTATTGAGCTACATGCACATACATATGTAGCTACTCGGATTTCCTCGTCTCCCTGTGGTCCCTCGTGCCGTCTCTGAGCCCGATGAACGCATCCCTCAGCACCAGCGCGTCGGCAGCGCCCGCGGCCGGGCCCACGACCAGACTGACAAGAAACATCCTGACCAGCAGCTTCCAGCCCATGCGCCTCCCGGCCGCCGCGAGCGCTTGGCAAAAGAGCCCCATGGCCAGGAAGAACCCGCTCGACGTGCCCGTCATTTCATTCACCTGCCGCACGCGGGCCTGTCCCTGCGCCGCCGGCGCACACGCGAGCTGCGACATGGAGCAGTCGGGCACCCCGAGCAGACTGTTCATGAGATGGAACGGCCCCCGGTCCGGAGACACGGCGGTTGCTGCAAAGGCCACCAGGAAGGCACCGACGTGTGTGACGCCCGTGAGCCAGAAGGCGGTTCGCAGGGCCAATTTCCGCGCTCGTCCTGCGGCCACGCTCTGGGCCGGGCGGCGGTGCAGGAGCCAGAGGGACACGATGGGCATGGCTGTCGAGAAGCCAAAGCAGGCGGAGATGCAGGCCATTGCGGCAACGAGGCTGCGGCGTGGATCGTGGTTAGCATTTGCCGGCGCTGGTGGGAGGAAACTGATGGCTCTACGGTGTACATACCCGAGGCCGCGGACCGGCCCTGTGTGCGGCACCGTCTCGTGCAGGACGATCAAGACGAACCCTGCGAGTTGGCCGGCGTAGAGGACCAGATGAAGCATAAACCAGGGCCAGTTGGACTGGAAGGAGGCTGCCGACGTGCCGGTGCACATCTCGAGCCATGAGGAAGCGCCCAGGGCTGCATGTACATGCATGATTGGATAGCCTTCACTCAACTTCCATGTCATTCCGGCAAGGCCCAGAAATACTTGCAGGAGACTAAACAGCCAGGTGGGAGACGTCATCGTGTCGACAACGGGGACAGGCGGCGCTTGGTTCCGGATCGGCATTAATGCAGGGACTCGACGGGCTTGCTGGGGGCGTATTGGCGTCATGAATCATGAGCTTTGGAGATGGTCTGTCCGTCTTTTTTTGTATCCGGCCGAGTAGTTTGCGTAACGGGGGGGCTGCAGGCGGCGGCTCAAATGGACGTGCCGGTCGATCTATTCCGCGTTGCGTGCTTGCCATTCGTCTCCTTTGGGAAACGCGAGCGGCGATGCGCCGGCGGGTTTTTGACGACCTGCATGCGCGGCACATGGGTAACGAATTGGGACCGCTTGGTGTTCCCAGGTATGCGGATTGGTTTGACGGCAAGTGCCGTCTGCAGCTCGCCTGTTATGCGTATATCTAAGCCTGGTCATATATCACTTTGACGCTTTTTCCTAGTATAGCATGTTACCGGGACCCTGGGTTGCACCGTTGACGTTTTCCGCAAAGTCGTGCCGTCGACGGTTGGCGCCGGCGTGCGCGCAAAGCCATGCGCAGCTGAGGCGGATGTCGTCTGTCAGATTTCACATGAAGACTCGGATATCGTGGCCGGATTGCATCATAACGTGGTCATCCCAAATCATATCATGATGACAATTGCAACGCACAATCATCCCATGCTGCGTCAAATGCCTGAAATGCTGGTTACTAGACGCACGCCTCCGAGGCCGCTCCCGTATCGCATCATGCAGTCAAGTTCAGGAGATCAAGGGTCCAAGCAACGACATCTTTATTCCTGTCAACGTTACATTGGATAGCGCTGGCGACTCTTCTATATTCTTGATGCGCTGCGGGTTTGGCTGCCCAAGTCAGAGAAGACGTCGGGACTCGCACTCGAGCAGAGCCCATCTCATTCCATCCATGTCTCCTTGATAGAAGCTGTCGCACCTCGCAGCAAACCACTGTCGCCATGCCAAACGACTTCAGCGTCATAATCGTTGGGGGGTCTGTGGCCGGGTTGGCGCTCGCCCACTGCCTCCAACGCCTTGGTGTCTCGTTTACCATTCTTGAGCAGGGTGAAATCGCGCCCCAACTAGGAGCCTCGATTGGCATTCTGCCCAACGGGGGTCGCATTCTCGACCAGCTTGGTATTTTTGACAATATTGAGAAGGAAATCGAGCCCCTGGAGCTTGCTAGGATTCGCTACCCGGATGATTTCTGGTTTGAAAGCCGATATCCCAAGGCATTGCACTCCAAGTACGCAGCACCAAGTCGTGGACACGTGTAAATCGCATCAGTTGCTGACTAGTTTCGTTTCACCAACAGTTACCATTATCCTGTGTCTTTCTTGGAGAGGCAAAGGTTTCTCCAAATATTATACGATACGCTCGAAGCAAAGAATCACATTTACACAGGGAAAAAGGTCCTCGCTGTGGAAAGCGGCATAGACTGCGCCGTAGTCAAGACTTCCGACGGCAGTGAGTATAGAGCAGATCTTGTCGTCGGCGCCGACGGTGTACACAGCGTCGTTCGTTCCGAAATATGGAGACACTTGAAGCAAACTTGTCAAATACGCGCAACGGAGAAGGAAAATTCAGGTATAACACATTCATAAGCCGTCAAAATCTCCTATAGCTAAGGCGGGAAGCACAGGCATCAAATACGAGTATTCCTGCATCTACGGACTTTCCCGCGACGTGCCTCACATGAAACTCGGAGAGCAGCTCAGCCGTTTGGATGACGGCGTTTCCATCCACGTCTTTACCGGCAAGCAATCTAAGTTCTTCTGGTTTGCCATGGTCAAGACACCGCAAGCCGGGTACGCCGGAAAGGGCGCCTGTTCAGACCAAGCAGCAAGACAAATCTGCGACGGCATGCGCTCCAAGAAATTATCCGATGTCCTCACCTTCGGCGACGTATGGTCCCGATGCACAATATACAAGATGACCCCGTTGGAGGAAGGGGTTTTCAAGCAGTGGAATCACGGCCGCATGTTGTGTATTGGCGACGCTGTCCGCAAGGTATGTATGCCCCGGGGTTGATGTGCGCCTTGTTTTCCATGTGCAAATCAGAACGATTGCCGAAAATACCAGACTTAAGACTAACGTGGTGCAGATGTGCCCCAATATAGGGCAGGGTGCCAACATGGCCATAGAAGATGCCGCCAGGCTCGCGAATCTCATTCACAAACGCCTGCCGTTGGGCAAACTCTCAGCCAGCGACGTCGACTCGATGCTTCGCGAATTCACGGCGGCCCAGAAGCCTCGTACGAATAGCATTTGTGCGCAATCCGAGTTTCTGGTGCGCATGCACGCGAATCAGGGCATGGGGAGAAGGCTTCTCGGCCGATACGTCATTCCATTTTTGAATGACGCGCCGGCTGGTCTGTCTGGGCTTTCTATAAATAACGCAGTGAAGCTGGAGTTTATCGATGCGCCCACCAGGTCGCTTGGGGGCGCGTGGGAAGCGTCCTGGGAGTCTGTTTTGCGGATTCTGACGGGCTTGCGGCCCAAGATGGGGATACATTATTCCGTATATGTGCTTGCACTTTCGCTTGCAACATATCTTCTCCTGTAGAGTAATAGAGTATGCGGTGAGCGTGACATTTTGATAATGGGCGTATTTTGCTATTGGATGAGATACAATATAGACCACAAATAAGAACCTAGCATGAGGATTCCAGGTCGAGTAACTTGGCCTCGTTTGCATTGAAATTTACAATTAAAAAGTTGATGGGATGAAAAGTCGGAAAGTTGGTTCAGCCTTTCATAACTCTCCATAACGCTGGTCAATATTTTACTGTCAGATGCAAAGTACCGTGTATATATCTTTGGCTCGGGTAGGGTCGACGTAAGCTGAGACCAAAGTACAGTACTTTTACAAATCTGGCCCGTTTGTACTTTGTTAAACTTCTCAAATGGATTTCTACGCAGATAGGGGTATATTGCGTCAACAGCACCAACCTGGACAGTGTAACACAGCATCTAGCCGCAGCACAAGATCCACCCTCGAATCCGATGTTGCCGCTGATGACACGGTAGGAAATGGCCATCTCCGTCTGCATCCACACCTGCTGGACTATATCAATCCTCTTAAAGCCTGCTATGTCCCCTCGACAGAGTGGTACGGACGACGTCAACCGATCCCCTTTCCCCGATTTCTCCATCCTACCCGTTTAAATATGCATGACAGCAACTCGACCCAATCTCTTTCGCGCAATGCTCTGTCCACGTTTTTCCACTCATCAGTTTACAATGTGCCTGCGATACAAGTAATACTTGCCATTCTTGTCCTGGTAATATGCGCTTCGTTGTACTGGAAACCTTCTACCGGCATCGACGTACCATATGTAGGGTACCGCTCATCATGGGAGCCGCGTTTCTTAGCTCAGATACGTTACACCTTCAGCGCTTCGTCAATGATAAGTGAAGGTTACAAGAAGGTCTGCGGACTACCCATTGGTGCTTGTTCCCGGACACGTCAAGTTTCTAACGATTCTCAACAGTGGAAAGACTCCCTATTCCAGATTTCGCGGTATGACGGGGATTTGCTCATCCTATCCAGAAACTATTTAGACGACCTTCACAACAGACCACCCCAGGAGCTAAGTGCAATCCATGGCTTGATAGAGGTATGAAGGAAGACACGCGAACTATGCCTTTCCAATGTATATCAACGCAATCTCACCACTCACTGCGTTAGAATTTTGGCGGCCGCTATAGTGGCCTCGGATTGCTGGGAAAACACGACGTCGGCATCCGCGCGTTTCAGGTACATGCTTGCCCTGATGACTTCAATGTTCCAATTGGACCCGTGCTAAGCATTTGATAGATGAAAATCACGCCCAATCTTGCCAAGCTATGCGATGAAATGGTGGATGAGCTGGAGTATTCCCTACGCACTGATCTGCCTCCCTGTCAGGGTACTTTCTCCCACGCTTCTGATTCGAAAACTATATAAGCTGACGCGCCGGTCATATTTGGCATAGACTGGACCTCGGTGTCGATTCAACCGTTCATTCTGAGGGTAGTCGAGCGCATAGTACACCGAACCTTTGTAGGACTGCCGCTATGTCGAGATCCCGGATGGCTCAAAGCCGCGTTTGGACACGCTGACAATGGTAAGGTTTCCATATAACCAAGTGGGCAAATGCGCTGACCCGGTTCGGTGGGCAGTAACGATAACACAAATCGCCATGAGGTCCGTTCCTTGCTTTATGCGGCCGCTTCTGGACCTTTGCCTCCCATTTTCTTGGAAATACAAGGCCCATCTCCGCGCAGGAAAAAAGGTGCTCATACCCGAGGTGGAACGTCGGCGAGACCTCGAAACCACCGGTGTTGACTATGTGAAACCCAACGACTTGCTGCAATCCATGGTAGAAATGACGAATCCCGACGACGAAGAGGGTCAACCTGATACTCTGGCCCAGCTAATGATGACCATGACTGCCATCGCCGGCCACAGCACGGCGGCATCTGGATCCCATGTGATTTTCGACCTCGTCTCTCGCCCCGAGTACATCGACTTGCTACGTGAAGAGGCTCAAACGACGCTCCAAAAGAGCGAGATGCGTTTCACAAAGCAGTCCTTGTCGGGTTTACGCAAAATGGACAGCTTCATGCGAGAGTCAGCAGTCCCCCCCTGCCATTACGGCGCCTTAAACCCATGCCAGAAGCTAACAGATGATATTGTAGATCTCAGCGGCATAACCCCCTTTCACTGTGTACGTCTTCCCAAGCCCCGTATGAGCACCACGACTCGAATGCTAATACACCCTGCCACTAGTGGGATTTCTTCGCGTCGTCAAAGCGCCCGCCGGCATCACTCTGCAAGACGGCACGCACGTCCCGTACGGCACGCAGCTCTGCATCCCGCCGCACTCCATCTCCAGCGATCCGACGGTGCTCGAGGACGCCGAATCGTTCAACGGGCTTCGCTACTACGAGCAGCGCCGCCGGGACCCCGGCCAGGAAAACAAACACCAGTACGCTACCACGGACAAGATTCACTTGCATTTTGGTTATGGCAAATGGGCTTGTCCGGGGCGTTTCATGGCCTCCGACATGATGAAGATGATTGTTGCTACGCTCTTGCTGCGCTATGACATCAAGTATCCGGATGGGAAGGGGAGGCCGACAAATGGACATATTCATGAGTTTCCGTTTATGAATATCTACACGAAGCTCTTGATGAAGAGACGGGATGATCTGCCGGTCGTGTAGTCGTGGACGTGGTGATTGACCTAGTATACCTCGAAACATGTATACAGACAATATGGTATTCAACGATTTCATGTGTCATTTTATGCTTGTGCGAAATGATTCGACGATCTGCAATGGTTGGGCCACGGCATGATTTGGCTACTCTTCACTATGTATTATCTCGGACAGACGGCTCTGCTTATTGCGGGGCAATTTTGTGTCGGGAAAGCTTTAATATCACTTAATTCGATCGTAGCCCATGACCATACCTGAGAGATGTGAACAAGGAAAAGTCAAGTATTTTTCGTGTTTAGGACAGAGCAAGTGTCTCGCGAAATGACACACGTAGCAGCTGTGGCGAGGACAGGGAATGTGTCCATGTGCACAGTGTAAAGCACAAGTAGGCAAGATGCTGCGTGCCTCGTAGGTTGTTGTACCCGCGTAGATGCGTTGTGAAGCGAACCAGTTGACATTTTGATGTGGAGGAGCACATGAATAGTGGCATGGTTCAAATGATGCAAATATATGATGAGCCGGCCCTCCAACTAACGACAATCTAACGGAGAAACGTCGTACGTCATGATAAATCATCTATATTACCTTGGCGGAGTACCGAGAAGCTGTTCAATGGAACACGACGGGTCCTCCTTGCCGTGAATTGGAGTGCCTTCTTTTTGTGACTCTTCTGCAGAGTGAATAAACTTGGAGACTCTTTCAACAGTCTAAACGTGGCACAAAACATCTCTCCTAGTCTCCGAGCTGTAAGCGATGGCCTTTGCTTTCTGGTTGAGCCGTATAAGTCATTATGTCCTAGGGATGTCTTCTTATCGACCAAGGTAGCTGACGCATGGATTGGGGCTTTTATGCCTATTTGAATGAGGTAGGAGATTGTGATGGGTGAGCTGGGTCGACACTGATCGGCCTTGGAGCACATTGGTTGTCACGCCACTCGGGTCATTTCCTCTACAATTCATTATCGTCAAGAATCGAGTACGGGATATCTCAGGTTCTTTCTTTTTTTCACCTCGACCAGAAAAATACTTGGTAAGCAGACCCCATCTTTCACGCCAGCATCAGATGAAACAACGCCATCATTTGCCATGAGTCGAGGGACGGGCTAATGTCCTACAGGGTTATTGAACTAAGCTGGCCTTCTGATTGCATTTATCAAGAAAAATGGGGACACGAGATGCCTTGCATCTGTGCCAACAAGCAGTAGATGATCCAAGACGGTGAGCAACAGAGGAACCCGAGCTATTTCCCTTCGGAGTATGGTCGGGGTAGTATTTTGCATTGTCTCACCATCTTGTGGACGCTGGTCGAAGCTTGAACCGTCCTATTGAACCATTCTAATTCGGGAGTTTTTTAAGAGGCAAGGCCCCAGATGTTCGTAATTTCCGGCGTCCCAAGGGTTCCTTGTAAGTTCAGCTTCTAGAAGGGATAGACCTTTCAGTCGCAATCACTTGGAACAATAACAAACGGCCATTTCTCTTGTGGTCTTTAGTCACTAGGAGTAAATAGCATGAAAAACAGGATACGATTCCTCTCGACAAACCTCTGTCCTCGCGGCTAGCGCGATATGACAGGTGACGATATCCTCAACCACTTCGCACAAAAGCCAGTCGGAGCCGTGCCTGTTCACACCTTGTCGCTTCCAACTCAATGCTGACATGCTCAGCTCGATGGCCCCTTCATTCACCAGCTTCCGAGTCAAAACGCATTTCTAAGCAGGCGGGAACGGGGCCAAGTTGACAGGCTCTGAGCCCACTGGCTAGTCATGACATGGAGTCAAGCATCAATCCAAGCAGGCCGCCCGCCAAAAACCAGACGTCAAGCTCAACAGCCTCCTCAGTGAATCCCAGCACAAAACGGCCCCGTCCCAGTCGCCGTGGGTGAGGCAGCAGACACGGGCCAGGTCGTGAACAAGCCGCTTGGTCGGCCATCATACGAGCCAAGGTCCTCCTGCGTCCTCACAGCTTGCAGGGAGACGCAAGCGATTCATGTACAACATGCTACCCGTCTTGGCAGGTAGAAATTGCAGTGACGCGCGTGTGGGTTGCATTGACAATGCTGAGAGCAGGGCCCTGGCTAGACCAGATGGAACCGCTGGGGAGTTATGCTTCATGCGGCGTCTATCGCCTGTTGTTGAGAGCGTGTCCAATCAACGGGGGCCGTGGCCTAGACGAAGCCGAAGCGCTGGTGCTTCTCGGCCGGGATGGGATGGGATGTCCGATCTGTGGGTACTGGTCTTGATGCCATCGCGACATCAATCTATCGTATATATTGCCCGGGAATCCCGCGGCTCTGGCTGGGAATCGTCACTGGCCATCCATCCTTTGCCGTCCACTCCTTTCTGCCATTGACTACTTGCCTCATTCGCCACCATGGGATTTACACAGGCTCTCGTTTTCGCGCTGGCCGCCGCCACCATTGAAGGCGCCTGCGCACCGGGTGCAGGAGGAGCAGCCGCCTCGCCTCAGAACATGGTCGTGAGCCAGGCCCCCGACTTTGTGCGCCCCTACGTGCTCCCCAAATACAGGGGACGCTCCATCATGCTCTCCCAGGCCGAGGTGTTGCGCTTCGCCATCACCACCAACTCCAGCGGCGGCGCCTTCTCCATGATCCAGCACAACGGCCAGTTCAACAACAACGTCTCGGCGCGCTACCACGACCACCACAACGTCCACGAACACCTCTACTGCGCCAGGGGCCGCGTCCAGTTCTGGGCCCAGAAGAACACATCCGAGGGGGAGCAAGAGGCGCGACAGGCCACCCCGGGCGACTACGCCAGTCTGCCGACCGGCACCATCCACACGTTCCAGCTCGTCGATCCCGATGCGCAGCTAACCCACGTCTTCCACCCCGCGGGCTTCGAGCACCTGTTCGACGTCTTCTACGGCGAGGGCAAGTACAGCTCGAGCGTCTCGGCGCCCTACCTCGCCACCGCCTTCGACGAGTCGCCGTTTGCCGGCACACTCTCGCCCGAGGCCATCGCCAGCCTCAACTCGCTGGACCTGTACCTGCACGACAACTTCGTGCCGCGTCGCGACTTCGTCAACGGCACCGCCGGCGACAGCCGCCTCAACTGGCACAACGGCCCCAACGAGCTGCCGAGCAAGTACGGCGAGCCCTACGCCATCGCCAAGGACTACGGCCCCAAGTTCCTCAACGCGGAGAACGGATACAAGATTGTCCAGCCGTTTGCCGACAAGAATACCGAAAAGGACTTCACCATGGGCACGGTCATTCTGTCGCCCAAGCTTGATAACGAGACGGTAACCACGACCACTCTGCCGCACCACTTTGCCCTGCAGATGGAAGACGGCCATCTTATTCTGGCTGTTGACGGATACGAGTCCGTTGCCTTGCTCCACGGCGACGTCGCGTTCATCCCTGCCGGAACCCGATTCTCCTACCATGCCGACGTCCCTTATACCAAGTTCATGTACATGAATAATGGCACCCAGGGCTTGGATCACCAGCTGATGCAGAAGGCTGTGCCTTGGGGCTGGCCTACGTATCCCCACTACGCTGGTTACAAGGCGTAAATGAAGCTTCGTCCGGTGGCTATCGTCACAAGATGGCTAGGGGATTGAATGGAGAGCGAGTTGGTGTTTTGGGGTGGCCTTGAGCTTGTTTCTTTTTTTGTGCCTTGCGTGGCGTTGGCTGAAGGAGTGCTGGATGGGCCTACTAAAGCAGGACAAGAAAAGTTCAAAGTGTATAGTAGATAAAAGCAACTTGAGTAAGCGGTGTAGTTTAGCTTTACATTGCATGTGTACATAGAAGCATGGGGATTTGCCAAATTAACCTGTTCCAGGTGCTTCGTGACTGCTACCCCGTGGTTCAGACGCCATCTGTGAACCCTTGCGACCGATCTGCTTCCTTGTCCATTTGCTTGTGGCCCGATCGTGCGTGCGTGCGACCCTACCCGGCCGATTACGACGCTGCGGACAGAAATAAAGACGATAGGCTACACAACCTTCTTACCAACTTGACGGGCTTTCCGGCTACATATGTATGCTTATTTCCAAAGAAGCGCTACTGGAGGAACATGCTACGCCTCCCATGTATGGGCGAGAGGCCCTGCTGGCGGCTTCATTCCACGTGCTGGCAGTTGTTTCAAGTCAGCACATGTACTGACATGAACTCTGGGGTGCGCATGAATCTAATTGAATAAAGCCCACAGGCACAACCGCTATTAGAGTCATACTTGTAATGCGAATCATCTCACCTACTCTCGAGACTCAACAGCCTTTGTTTCGATTGGCAGAGCCCGCAGATGCTTCGCAAACCCGCCATCGCGTCCACTTACACCCCTACATACATACATACGTAATGACCAACATTGAACGTCAGCTAGCTTTGGCAACGAGTGGAGTCAAGACATTTGCCAAGGTCGACCGCTCAAAATGCCCGAGTTCGTACGTTGCGGATCCATCATTTATCAGCCTATATTGCAATAGGAAGGAACTATGAGCCTCCACGGGGCTCGCTTGCTCGCAGCGTCGTCAGTCGGCATCATATTTGGCGCCTGGTATTCGAGTCTGGTGGATCGATGTGGGCAGTGCCAGCCAACATGTCCACATGGCATCGATGCCATTGCGGGCCGTGGGCTAGGTTTTCCAGATGCCGAAACATGCCACATGACGACGCCCTTGGGGCAGCAGTTGGCGACTCTTGTGTAATTTTTTTCATCGACCTGTCATCAACGACATGCGACCGGTAGGCGAATGGGCTGCCTCTGCTTCAGCCATGTTGTCCACTGTTTCATCTCCACCGTTGTTGTTTTGACTCGTGTCGACTATGTAGTTGCCAAGCAGGCTGGCTACTTACTCGGTCTGATCTCTGCGCCTCCCAGCTCGCACGGCTACGCCTCCCCCTTAATAGCCAAACATTTGAAGGGTGCTTACTCGCAACTTCCCCACTGCGAGTTTCTATTCAATGCCCCCCCGCCCCCGGGTTGGTCAATCGGTTCAATTTTCATCTCAAGCCTGGCGCACCAAGCTCTCACGAGTAGTCGCTGGCAGTTATATCCAGAAACATATCCGAAAAGTATGTGACGCGGGCGCATCGTCACTAGAAACGAGGTTGATGCGGCACCGCTGCGACCGCCACAGTCGATACCATAGAATAGTTGTCACGGTTGGTGGGGAGGTAACGGTTAATTATTGGAGCCCGTTGATGGTGTAGTGAATACGCAGTGAAAGATGAAGAGTATTAAAATGTATTTCTGCCTTGATTGTCTTTTGCCAAGTCGGCGCCATGGCACTGTGCACATGAGAAACTTTACACTCCAGATATATGTCTTCTCAGCAAGCAAGCCGCCCATGCGGGAAGAATTGCAGAAAATAACAGGCTTTATATTATAAATCATCTTATGTAGATCAGTCAGAGTGCAGAACTCGAATTTCTCCCTCTCAACTGAAACGGACATCACAAAAGCGAGCTCATCTTTTTGTACGAGGCTACGTATAGGGTAGGACATGAGTTTGGAGATGATGTCGAGAACATCCATGGGCACGGTTACTACGAGCAAAACAGCTTAGACCCTCGGGGGAGGAAATTGGAAGAACTTATAGATCTGTTCTTTAAACATTGCTCAAGCTGATCAGTTGGCAAATTCTCTATTGACAACACCTCCTTCACTAGTCTGCTGCCATCTTGGGGTGTGGTCTCTCTGTCTTTGGTTGGTTGATCCTTGCCTTGTACCGTCACATATCGCTCGTGATTTGACAAAAGCAGCATTGTGTGCGTAGTCTGAATGAGCGACCTGGTCTTGACACATGCGCAATTTTAACCTTGAAAAGAAATCAAAGCAAGGGAAACAAGAATAGCGAAAGAGTAAGCAACGACAACTAGAAAGCACCGAAAGCGTCGCCAGCACTTCCATAATCATCAAATCTTGTTGACAAGAGCTGCGCCTTGCAAGTACAAAACATCCTTTTTAGGGCTCTCATTACCTCTCTCACTGCTAAAGTGAACCTTGCCAGGCTCAAACATGAGAATATAGTCGGAACCGCCGTATGAGACCATGCCCAGCTCATCTCCCTTTTTAACTTGTGTGTTCGGCTTGCCCGTGTCATCCCACTGGACCGAGGAGATTTGTGCCATGCCAACGGCAAAAAGTGCCACATGGCCAATATCGATATCCTTTGAGCCTGTAGTATCAATCAACCACAGCCCACGCACCTGATTCCACTGATAACCAGGATGATTCTGCGCGTCAATCTGCCTCTTGCCGTCGCGGTCTTTATATGGCATTGGTTCCATTCGTCGAGGAGGAAGCAGCAGCTTTCCAGTCTCCGAATCTGCCGTCACTTCAAGATAGACATCTCCCGGGATCTTTTCGCGGTGCTTGACCGTCCCGCTGACTGGAGCATGGACGCGATGGTAGTTATTCGGCAGAAGAAACGAATGCATAAATATGCCATTATGAAACTTGTTTACCAAGTCAGCAGGGATATCCTTTAGCAGCTGCTGGATTGGCCACTTTAATCCCTTGAGTTCCACTACTCCGTCCGAAGTAATAGGCCAGAAACCATCAAACTTGGCATCGCACGGACTGGCGACGGTGTTGTTCGGGGCAACAGGCCTGTATACCGGATTCACCTTTCGAGTAAAGAAGGCATTGTAGGAATTCCAGCCCCCTGTCGGCTTCTCGTATTGATAGACGGTGTATTCCGGGTTCTCGCTGAAAGACGAGACAATGTCAGCAGACGCTGCCGTGTCCATCCATGTTCCCAGCGTGCGGGCGTATTTCTGAAGCCACAGAGACAACTCTGTATGTTGGCCGATATATTTTGGTTCTATGGGCGTTTGCTTCTCTATAATGCCCTTTTGATGAAAGACAAAGTAGAATAGCGAGAGCACCCAGAGCGGCTCATCTCTGGCAGACGTGGTATACGGCACCCATCTTAAGTAGCGATCGCAAAAGTCGAGAAAATAGTTTATGGTTTCATCATTGGTGGCTCCCTTTTTGATATGGGCTTTTTCAAGGTCAACTGGAGCCGCGGCAATGGCACGCTCAATTCCGGAGGCAAAGTCGTTTTCCCATTTTTTTGCCTTTATCATATCAAGAAGTTCCTGGACAAGCTTCTCGTGACCAGACGTAGGTGCGTTGTGAGACATGGCGACGTTGGTGGCAACAAGACCTTCACCTTTGTCCTTTGAATTGTAGGTATAATTAAAATGACAACACAGCTTGGTTTTGCTTCAAAGTTCTTGTTTCCTGGCCGGACGGGATCTTTATAGTAGACAGACGGGCAAAGATGACACAGTGATGCAAGACCTCTATGTAAAGGCTCACAAATAGTTTCAATATCAAGTAATAATTGTCTTTGGGTTCCTAAAGGTCCTTGGGGGCTCAATCTGGAGCCTGACAGGTGTCTCGTATATATCATGATGACAATAAGTGTGTGTAACCTGACCTGGATGACACTGAGGCATTTAGGTTATTGCTGTTGGGCCTCCATGCCTAGCTCCCTAACTCTTGATGTTCCGTGATAATGCATCCTTGGTACATGTGCAGCCGGTCTCGGAGGGAGACGTTACTTTCATGTAACATGCAGTAACTAGAACTTTATCACGACTCTGATTCACGAGCCCCGCACGCAGATGCGTCAACACTTGGCCTTTCAAGTCTAAAATACAAAATTTATGTTTTTTTACCTGAGGGTTACGTTTATATATAACTCTCACTTAACGTGCCGTACTCCAAAACAATAAATTTTAGTAAAATATTTTCAAAAAAACAAAAAGACATCTATGGACAATAGCCTGTCAGGAGGTTATAACCCAACCCCTCAATGGCTTCGTGCGTTGCAGACTGCATGAGCCCAGAGGCTGCCAACTTGGCCGATTGGCGACAACACTCCTCTGTAGATGTAACTAAAACTAATGATGGTGCATGAGATGAGACATCGGTGACATTAAAACGCTCACGAGACCCAACACATTATAAATCCAGAGGGTAAACACTGCGGGAGACCCTGTTTACGTTGTGTCTGGCGGTGAATATGTTGAGCTGGCATAGTCATATGTCACGGTTGAGGTTGGATTCGGTGAATCGCGAAACTACCAGGGGGATGCGGGAATGAGCCATAGCCAGTGATATTCTGGCACGGGACACCAGACTTCCCGTGGCATGTGGCATCTGTTTCCATAATCGTAAGTGAATGTAATGCAACTATCACACGACGGCCTGTCCTTGCCCGTAGCAAACTGCCATTGGACAGTGAGCGTTTGTGGCTTACTCTCAGAATCAGCAAGCCACCCTGCGGCCCGCGGATCAGGTCACGGCCAAATAAACCAGTAGAACAGACTTGCGTATTGTGATATCACGCGCTAAAGTGATATTTATATTTATATTCACAGAATAAAATTAAGTGTGCTAGAATATCCCTTTAGCACCTGTGATATCACTTTAGCTCTCTGGCACCTTCGATATTATGAACCGATTTTTCCATAGCATTAGTCGTAATTTATTTCCAAGTCATCGTCACTGCCACTATCAAGACCGGTATTAGTATTGCGCCTACCCTGCCGCCATCAAGCGTGTTCTAGATATGCCTGTCACGCAGCCAGCGACCAATACATTTAACCTTCTTAAGATTATTTTAAGCTATTCTTTTGGGCGCTTGTTGACCGCCAGAAAAAGAAAAATTCTGGGGCGGACGTCACGTGCATATCACTTTAGCAATTGTGATATCACACTTGGCCGAAAAAAAGTGTGATATATATTCACCATGATATTATATTCCTTTAGCACATGTGGTATCACTTTAGCATATCACAATACGCAAGTCTGCAGTAGAACCAGTAGGTGTGCTAGTTTTGCTTGTCCCTTATTGTCCGTCCTCGCTCTATTCAGCTTTTGCATAGACAAGCCTGCGGGGGAGACTTTAAATAATACTGGATAGATAGGCGAGGAGTCGTATTGTCTTTATATCTCAGAACTAGGGGGAAAGGGGGTTATATTGGCGTAACATGGATAACAGTGGCTCGATCTTGTCCTTAAGAAATGACCATGTACTGCTTTGTCTACGAGATGCTCGTTTTACCTTAAGAGTAAACTTTGTTCATGTCTTCTTTTAGCTAGTCTAAAGGAACATAAAGTGCTATAAAAATGTTAAAAGATTGTACTATTTAAGCAGAGTAAACACGCTCGTGCATATTCTTTGTAAAAATATTATTTGTAGTAGTAAGCCTACTGGAGACACTACTTCATGTCGCTCACACGCCTCAAAGGGACATCCGCTCTTATCCCCTGTAGCCGCGGAAGGCTGCGTGTTAATTCATACACTAATACACGTCCTCCCTCACACTGCGCCTTCGGCAAAGAGAGAACTGGCTCAGGTTGCCCTGGCGTTCAAGTCCTAGGGGTATTGGGAGATGAGTTCAGCGGGACAGAGGGATTACACGTAGAAATCACACAGATTCACTTTCACTTCTTAAGCGCATGACATGATGTATGTTGCATTATCACAAGTCAAGAGAAGCATACCCTGACTCAAAAACAAAGCCTCTGCATTTGCATGACAGTACAGGGAAAACCCCAAAGATATGTACTTGCAGGGGAGAAAAACCTGTACCAAAGCGTCTCAGGAAATCCGCCACTCCCTTGGCTTCCCTGCGAGAATTACATCCCATCATCCTCTGCATTTCAATTAATCTTTGTTTGAGCACCTGATAGAGCTGAATCTGGCAAAAGGTGGAATATTGTGGCATTGGGTATGCTGGACACGGGCAAGCTGAGTCTGGCACTTGTTATCCCTATGCCATGTTAGTCTTCGTCGCACAAATACCGAGCGCGAAGCAAGGGACCTACCGATACAGCGTGCAGTGTCGTGAGTTGACTCGAATAGACCTGTAAGGGCTGTATTCACCCTGTTAGTAAAATAGAATAAAAAGGGGCAACGATGGTTTCCATGCTTACAAAGGAGGCGGCGCACTAGGAGAGAGCTGGACACACTCCTCATTTCGCAAAACCCTGATGTCTGGCTGATGGCAATTCTCTTTATGAGAGAGCTCAGCCTGCATTATGTGAGACCAAGGTTATTTTGTACAGGGGTAAGACGACCTACTGGTGGCCCGATGAGGAATTGATCGTCGTATTGACCGTCGTCGTATTCAGCGCCGTCGTAATTAATGACGGCGCCCAGAGCGGCAGTTGCAAGGACGAGCAAGTTTGCGAAGAGCATTTTAGTTAATTAGATAGTTTGAGATCTTTAAGGTATTTTAAGATAGACGAGTGGAAGTTGCAGAAAGACGGTGAAGAATAGTACAAGGAGATTAAACAGATATTTATATTTAACTAGTCTCCTACTTACAAGCGCGTACTTTGTTAAGGATAATCTCCAAGTTGTAGTATGAGTGAAATATGTTGGAATTTAAAATAAGCCATTAAAGTAACTACTACAAACTTAGAAGTTTCTACTATAACTCAAAAACTAGTTTTAAAGTTGAACTGTAAACTATAAAACTAAAGTGCTCGAGATATTCCCAAGTATACAGGCTAAAATCGTCACGTAGAATAGTTCTGGACACTGTTTTCATATACGTAGAAGTAGTCAAAAAACGAGATACAAAAGGCTAGAACCATCTCATCCTACAAGTAAATACTGTGTAACTGCGTAGTGGATCGAAAAAAGCCACTATAAATTTAATTTTACAAGCATGCTAAAATGCGTCTCAATTACGACGCCTCTTCAATTAGAATAAACTCTATAGCATTAAACTTTGCATTTTCTTACTCCACACTATAATAACAAAAGCTTATATTCTTTGTCTTGAATTTTATATACGTCAAGTATATTAAACTCAGTATACAAAAAGAAACATATTTTTTGGCTTGTACGGTAACAGGCTAAGCCCGATATTGCTCCAGTCGGCTTACACTTTCGCCTTTAGCTCCGGGCTGTCGGCCGCGACACACCGATAAGGGAAGTTACTCAGTCATCGAGCTCAGCAGCTCAAGAGCTTTCCCTCCCCTCTTTGGCGTTAGCGATCCTCGTTGTAGTCGCCGAGCTAGTTTTCAATATACTCAGCTAGGACCGTTACATGCGCCTGCCGATAGCCTTTCCACATACGTTGAATAGATGGTCCCGAACAGTCTCAAGGATTCTATTAGCTCCGCCGCTGCGGAAATTGAATTTAACCAGCATGTAACGGCTAGGGCTCCCGGATGAACCTAACGGGGTTTATGTGAGCAGAGACGAGACACTGGCGGTCGATCTGAGCAGTTGAATGTTACGTTGGTCATAGGTCATGGGAGTGTAACCAAGGAATTACTATACGCTTGAAGTTTACGCGATGCCTGGATAAACTAGTGTTGCATCGTTGTGGGTAGTTCACCTGCACTGCTCGTCAACACCTCATATCATCCATAGCGCTCCGACTATTAACTAGAGCCGGCCCAGCCTGCGACTGGTGAGTAACACATCACTTGTGTAAAACTCCGAGATTCCTTCCCGATGGCCCGGCCGAGATCCTACGTCAATTTGTCCGGCGAACTCGTTATTGAAGAGGGACGGTTCGTTGTAAGAAGGGTGACATTGACATTGTGAGTCGGCCGGTATACATCTGACTGGAACGGAGGGCGATGAACCAAAAGTTAACCATGGACGCCACAACCGCCGAGGCAGGATGCTGGACGTCCATCACTTTGACGTCACTGTCTGTTTCAGACACGGAATTGAACGGGATCGGTATGACATCATCTAACGCCCACGGGCTACCAAGAAAGGAACAGGCTTTCGCAGTTTGCGCCATGTCGGTGTAAAGTTCCAGAAAGCTGATAGGATTGAAGGTGTGGAAACACGTGAAGTGAGCCGGGCTATGGCTTCGGCGGCTGTTACAAGTTAAATGCAGTGAATTTGTGAATACTAAAGTTTTACGTAACACCAGACGTTCAAGAACAGCATGCATCTCTCGAGTACTACCAAAGCCAGGTGTTATAATAATGCATTTAATCTAGCCTTATCAAATATCTGACTCTGATGCCGGCGTGACGTTTTATTTTTATCGTCCTGATCCTAATCTCAGAGAAAGCAAGATATTCGGAATTCTCGCATATAGGTCCGCATGTCTGAACAGCCAAGGTATGAGGCATCCTTCTCACAATTAGAGGC